CAGAACAGCTTATTGTGCTTCATGTAAAATCTCATGGAATCGTGATGTAAACGCGGGTAGAAACATTTTAAATTTGGGACTTGTGAAATTGGGAATAATAAATAAAGAACAATTGCCAAATTGGAGTGATTTTCGAGCGTTAAAAAATATCCAAGATTGGAATGAGTAGGGGGAGATTTGTCTTTCCAATAGTCTTCTCACTAGATGAGGGGAAAAGGGGTTGGTTTAATACTGCCTCTTTTTTACATGTCCGTAAGGACGTAGCGAATAGCGAGGCAAAGCCGCTAATGTAACTCTATTTTTTATTTCATTATATTTTGGCGCGGTTATTTAAATTGTTTTTCAATTTGAATAGATGGTAAAGGGCATTTCCATGAAAAAGCGGACATTCTTTCCGTGCGTCACGATCCCTAAATTTGTCTGTAACTTATTTTAAAATTATTATAAAGTACAAATTTTTTTTTCGATGCAAAAAGATAAGAAAATAGAAACGTTTCCAAAAAATTTTTTGATTTTATAAGCAAATTGAAAAAAGATACAGCCGTTTTAGTCATCGTGACGCACGGACGAAAATTCAATTGTTCTCGTGGAAATGCCCTAAAGTAGATATTTTAATGAAACAGAGGAGAATCGAATTCAAAATGTGAGGTTAAAAATACAAGTAATGATTATTTTTTTTTAAATAACTAAAATTATTTTAAAAATGTACTAAATACTTATGTTTCAAATATATTCGGCCATTTACTGCAAGTTCGTACAGTTTTAACGGCTTCAATTTTCTTCCTTTTAAAAATATAAGCAAAAACGTCGCTGCCCCGCCATAAGGGGCAAAGCCGTTTTTTTGCATCTTCTTGAAAATAATTAAATTAAATAATCATGCTTATAATAAATTAAAGAATTATTATTAAAATTTGTTGTTAATTAGTTTGAAATTAATTAGAAAAAAAAATCACGTAAATTGATTGTGTAATAACGAAAATATTTACAAATAAACGTTACATTAGCGTCTTTGCCCCGCTCTCCCCTACAATATAGGGCATTCTATTTCAAACCGTTCCACTAGCAAAGTGCAGATTATATTTTTAAATATAGATTTTATTTCGAAAGAGAATTTCACAAACTTTAAAATGGTAGTGAATTTTAGAATTATCATTTTTATTGTCTTATCTTCGAACTTAGACTTTTCGCAGCGTATTCGAAAGCAAAAAAACTTAAAAAATGTTAAACCGCCAACGGTTGGCTTTAAGTGTGCATATTTGTGTTCAATATGGAAGTAGAACTGCATGCAATAGCTAAACCGGTTAAATTACAATAAAAATATAGGTATACATGTGGGGCATTCTTTGTCAACTGTCTCAGTCAAAAAATGACAAGTTCTGGGATTGGTTAAATATTTTACAGTTATATTTTACATATTTTCTTAAATAAAAATAATAAAAAATTTTTAAAAATGTTAACTTTTTGGAAGTCTTATGTATAGACGTATATAATAATATTTTTGTAACTCGGGAGGCTTGCTCTGAAAGTTTCAAAGAAATTAATGACCGCCTTAGGGGGGCATAAATCGTGAAACGTGTGTGCGATATCGCGACTCGTGTGGGTGCGGCTTTATGGAGCGCGCGGGCCATTGTTATGGATCAAAAGGGAGCAAAAAGGATTAAAATCCAAGAGGAAGGAAGGCGCGCCAATGCCAACCTGATCACAAGTATAGGATCAAATTTATGCAGGCCTCTCTCTTTCTCTCTTGTTGGCCAAAATCCTATATGTGGAACCACTATCTCCTTTGTCTTTTATTAAACATATATATTCTATATTCTTTATTTCTCTTTGAAATTTTTTTCAGTTTTGCAATAAAAGTAGGCGCATTGTCTTATTCACTTTTCAAATAATTATTTATTAATAGTTATCATTGTTGACAACATCAAGCTTCATCCGCGAAATTTGAAACTTCTCGATTGTATATACAATCTGGTTTGTCTCATTTTATATATTATCTGGTGTATCGAATTATCATTTCATTTTATATACTTATTTTAGGTATTACTTTTATTTTGAGAAATGAAAATGATTCATTTTCTGACAATGAAAACACCGTTTTTCTTGTGCTAAACATTCTTAATATAAAACATTAAAATTGTAGATAGAAAGCGAATTGTGATGACTTTTTTTTCTATCATGTGAGCCTCCCGCAACGAACTGTTGCTGAACGCAGTTGATTAAATTTCACAAATTAGTCGAGCTTACTGCCTTCAGGTTTCGTGTTACACTCTTATAAGGATTTGTAAAATATTGGTGTACATATATATATACAAGTCACAAAGATTCATCTTCAAACACAGACAGACACTTTTGTCTTGGTCCATAAAATGAGCGTTATTCGTAGAAAATCTTTGCTAATATTATCTTACTGAAAGCTTAATGAATTGTTTCTCAGCGCATTTTTATATACATATAGGTATATTTTTGCCATTTTGATTATCACCCTAACGGCATCCGGATATTCAAGATATTCTATGGATGTCCTAGGGATAACCGTAAAGTAGGATATTCATATAGGATGTCTCAGGGATAACCATAGATATCCAAATTTCCGGATACGGATAGAACGTCCGTAGGATATTTAAGATTTATTAATTCTGCACACCATAAACTGTGATATTACTCTAAATATATGCCTGTATTAGAGGTGAAAGGAAATAGAATTTTGCAACTTTGCAGCACCTTTAGCGGTATCTATTTATATACTATTCGATTTAAAATTTTGTAATTGTAATGTTAATTTCTTTTCACTGTTACGAGAATGTAAAGAAAAAATAGCCTAGAAATTATAGAATTGCATTTATTCACTTAGAGCAATTGCCTTGTGCACTACATCTCTGTTTACTTTATTTTATTTTATATATAGGTACATTGGCGGGCACATACTATATACATAATATGTGCCGCGCCACGCCAGTTCATTGGTGACGTCAGTCCCTGCCAGGTCAAGTGGCTTCATTAAAATGACAATACCAGAAATTACGAAGCAAATCTTAAAAATGCTTTTGTCAGGGGAAAAGAATCACTTGGACAGAAATCATTCTTTATTCAGTTTGTCTTTTAAATTTATATTAAATAACAATTTTTTCTTTTAGCAACTTAACTCAATGTTTTCAAAGAAATTCTCGACAGTTTGTCCTGTTTTTTATATTTGCCAATTACTTATACAATTAGAAACATAGAATAAAAAACAATTTTTTCTTCAAACATTATATTAAAATATGTACTAAAAAGAATGTGAAAAAATATTAAATTCTTCTACGTCAGCGCAGTAAGCGAATCTTGGTCGCAGAAATTAAGTTTCTACTCTGATTGGTCATTATTTCCATTTTAAAATTAGTGCAAGATTGCTCATCTGGTCACGTCATCATAAAACTGCAATTGTAATTTCTCGGAATTTAACTGCACGAGAGCTTTAAACCTGCTTGACATTTGCAACATTTTCTAATTTTACAATGTTTTTCCCATTTTTTCCAAATCATTAAACTAAAGAATAGAAAAATACTACTTTATTTTACAAACTGAAAAGAAAGTCTTATACTATTTTAAAGGCAGCCTTTGCTGATTAGCAGTGCTGAATTTCAGACTCAATTTCAGACACTAGTTCTGCGATGAGCATTATTTTAATATTTAAACGATTGCTGAGTATAACAAATATTTTTCTGTGTGTATATATAGAATCAATTTTCTCAAGCAAAATTTCATTTTTAACTTTTTAAGTATATGTATATAAGCTAAAGCTGTCGCTTGTCAAAGCAACATACATTCTTTAAAGAGAAAGTAGTTTATTTAAATAAAATATTCTAGTCGAAAAAAGTAGTTTTTAATACACAGATGAAACTTATTTTTAAGGAGATGTCTTGGCAATATTTTCAAATAAAAAAATAAGTTTTTAAACAGTTTATTTCCAAGCGCAGATAGAAATGTCTTGTGATGATATAGAATTTAAGTAATTTTGCCGAATTAGGATAATAGAAAGCTGACCACGTTAAAAGCAACGACTTAACATTATGTTTTTTCCGCGTTTCCTATATGGGTTTTGTTTAATACGTGGAATGAATAAGACATAATTCCGCATTTAAAATTGTCATTTTTTTGCAATGTATTTTTTTATAATTTTGAGAAAATTTTGCGAAGGCGTCTCTAACCCTAACAGCAACGGACGTCTTATCCGTATCCGAAAATTTGGATATTTCTAGGATGTTCTCAGGATATCCTACTTTCTGGTTATCCTTAGGACATCCGGATGCTGTTAGGAAATATTAAAAAATAAAATTTAAGGATATTTTTCCATTTTTTTCATGAAATTTTATATCTTAAATTATAGAATTAACAGTTGTTTACGTAGGTATATAGTTTTTAATTTCAGTTTAATACTGTGAAACTATTCAATGTGAGTTCATTTTCGTGTTTGATGGTGAAGTGAACGGTCTGAAAACAGGACCGTAGAATTTATGGGATTTGCTCCGCGGACACCAAATTCGAGAATTCAAGGAAATCCACCTTCAAAAATATGAATAACAAGACAGTAAGAATTGTAATTGTATGAAAAATTGTTTAACTCTTATATAAAGAAGAATAATTGTGCGTTTTGTCCCATTAAAAACTACAATAAATCTTTAGCTTCTCCACGTTAATACATAGAGAAACAAAAAGCAAAAAGAATGTCTTACTTTAAAATGCAACCTTTGCTGAATTTACACAATAAATTTTACAGAGATTTTACATGCTTATATTATTAGCAGTGCTCTGATCTTAAAATAAGACTTTCGCGTGTTGAAATGCATAACTGAATTGAATTTTTATATAAAATAATAGAAAAAGAATAGAAAAAGAATAGAAAAATCAAAAAATTGTATACAAAGACTTTCTTATCCCAAGAAGGAGTTTGTCATGTAGGTGTGTTCGGCCCTGACTGAGCTCTGGATGGACGCGGGCATAACGCGGGATCCAACCGACCGACTCGACTCAGTTCGACTCTCGCTCTCTGCTGAGAGAGTCGTCATGTCGAAACTTAAATTTAATCTAAAAAACGTCAAGATTAAACACTTGATCGTTGTTTGTAATCTCTGAAAAAAAACTCTTTGGTCTTATCCTCAATAAATGGAGTGTGTGCTAAAAATGTGACTTATATATTTATAAAAAAATATATTATAAAGAATAAAATCATTTCCATTAATGGAAACTTTACTCATTGTTTATACAATTTAAAAATGAATTAGGTGTTTCCTTTTTTTAGAAAAAACAATACATCCTTTTTTGTATTTCTTTCTTCGGATTATGAGTTTCCGTTTCGTCTGACAAAAAACTTGTTTCGTCACTTATGAACAAGTTTTTGTTTGAAATATGAATGAGATATGTGAAACGGAAGTGTGTAGCAATTGAGAAAGAGAAATATTTATATAGTGAAGAAATGAGGTGAGATCGTGAAGCAGCGCAAATTAACTCACTGACTTCGAAGGTACTGGAAATTGGAAGAAAGAAAAGATTGAATGGAAGATGCTTCCATCAACCTTGATCTTCGTCGCGGTGTTTTTGGTTCTTCTTTTAACCACCACCGTGTCGACGGCCCCTACAAGTACAGACCAATGCGATTGGACAGGAAGGTCAGTACTATCACATTTTACTCTTTATCAAACAAATTTTTCTACCTTCTCATTATTACATAACTTCAATTGCACCCTTAAAATCTTTTAAAAAGATAAAATATAAAAAATTGATAATTCTAAAAATCTCACTCAATTGTTAATAAATTAATTGAAATACATACTACAATTTATTCATTGTCTTTTAAGAACTTAATTTGGTTATACAATGATGTTGTAAATATTAAGAAAAGAAAGTTATATTCAAGTCATGTTAGATTCATATTGTCGAACTTACCGATTCATGTTTATACAAGGGTAAAATCGAATCCTGAACAAAATCGATTTTAAAAAGCCAGGATAATTTAATAACCGAGAAAGAAAAGTTTATTAAAATACGAACCAGTTATACCACTCGAAAACCGGTTTGCCCTCACAATCAGTGACAGAGGAGAACGGCTCTCCTACTTCAATTCAATATGCACACACACACATATATATTATATGCATGAATAACCGCGGCTAAATATTAACATAAAATGTACAAACATAGCTAGGATCTTGTCACCTTACGAGGTCGACGATCTCTAAAATCCTTTATTTATCGATATACATATATTTCTACTTTTAATATGGGAATTTTTTTGATAAAATTAATATTGAAACAAGTTTAAATTTTGTATATTTTATCTCATTCCATCAAGGATAAATAGAAAGAAATTTTGATTTTATTATTTGTTTTGGCAAAAGAAGAAAGCAATTTGATGATTGTGAGAATGTAAATAATTATTTGTCTTTCAGTGGTGGAAGTGGAAAAGGCGTTCGCCCAGTGTACCTGCGTTGTTCGAGGGGCACCGTCTTTTGGCGAGATCCTCATGGCGCTCTCAGAGTAGTGTTGTCAGGAGGTGAAGGATTTCATGGCTTTCGTGCGTGTGTGAAAGTCTTCGGTCCAGCAAGGGTATATCTGGAAGGTAAAACTTCTCTGAGACCTGTGTATTCTCCCAACGATGGAAAACACAAGTCCTATCATCGGTGCTTCCACTCTAACGGTCAATTGGCAGCTCTTTATGTGGAGGCTGATGAACCTTCGCGGGAGTATAATAGGAGGATAGTAGAGCTACAATACGATCTTGAAAAACAGGAGGAACAAGAGGAAACAGAATGTAGACCGTGTTCAAAAGAAGAATTGGCCAAGACTTATTGTCAAAGTGATCTCGTTGCGAGAGGTACTGTCAGTGCTGTTGAGAAGAAAACAGACTTGGATGATTTGGTACTCAGAGTCACCAAAATTCTCAGTCGTCTTGATGTGAATGAGGTAAGGAAGAAAATCTCTAATTTCTCTCAATTGTTTCAGTTCCTTGGCTTGTACAAGTACACAAAATTCGGACAATCATTTTTCAAATTTTGTTAATAATAGAAATTTCAATTTTAGGATAACGAATTGGATGTAAATTATTCACATCTTCAGAAAGAAGTTCGAATCAGAGTTCCAACCAGTTGTGACGCTCGTCATGGACAGGGAGAATTTGTGATAATGGCTAAGAAGAGATTAGGGGACTTAACATTAGCTTGTGCTCCAAGATTAGAAACTTGGGCAGAAGCAGTGCGTGAAATGAAAACTGCTCCCTGTGTTCTTCGAACTTAGTGACTACAAGAATATTTATTATGTGTAATTTACAAAACTAATGGTAATAATCATATTATTATTATTAATAATAATAATAACAGAACCTAATAATAGAAAGTGAATGTGTTCGTTTTCGAAATGTTTGAAGAAAATCAATCCTGCTGAACTGTCAACAGTCTGCCGATTGTAAAAAAAATCATACAAATTTAACTTTCTTAAAACAATTATTTTCCAAGAAAATTAATTTCGCACTTGAATATTAGTAAACATTATTATATATTTTGCCTGTTACAATTTATTTTAATGTTATTTTTATTTCATGCATTTTGATAATTACAAAAACTAGTGAATGTTTGCTTGTAAATAAGAATATATTTTTATGCTTGTATATAACTAATGTATTTCTTCGAAGACGATACCGATCTCTGAACTGTGATATATTTTATAATAAGAGATTTAAAGAAACGGATTTATTATCGTTTATATTTGTATAAATTTATCTATAAAAAATAAGTAATAAAAGTAAGAATTAAATAAAGTTTAATTATTTTATCATCATTTCCAAAGTTAGAGGATTTGTGTTTCATGACATATTTTGACATGTAATATATTTTATGAAATATTTTTCTAATAGTTTTTTTATAGTCTTTTTAATGGTGATATTTTTTATTATTATTATTATTATTTGACCTTAAAAAATCAAAATTTTTTAAAAGAAATTCATTTTTTTTTGTTTTTTTATAACTTAATCGGCTGCTGAATGATCTAAAAAATTTAAATCATTTCTATCAAATGGATAATAAACTTTACTTTGAATAATTTTTCCTTTATTTACATAATTGAAAATTAAACATTTTTTACATTTTGCGCCATCAGTTTTAAATATTATTATATGTATATAGCTATAATTTTACATGGACAAAAGAAATTAATTTTTTGTTTTTAATAATTTCAAGATCAGTTATTTATAAAGTTATAAGATAACAGAAAAGAATTTGTAATAAAAAATAGAAATATAATAAAAAATTAACTTATGGTCCATTTTAAATGCGTATATTCAACAATATAAATTTATTAAAGGAACAATAATAATATAATAATAATAACAATAATAATGAAAATAAGTTTAACAATTAAATTACAAGAAATATTAAAATAAAAATGTGCCCAAGAAAGTAAAATTTCCTTTTCACTTAGAATATAAATTAAGATCATGATTGTCTTATTGTAATCTTTATATAAAAATATGTATCTGACATGAACTGTGTATCTATTTTTAATTTATAACAACTAAAACGATTGTTCTCAGTTCTTGGGTAAAAGAAAAAAATTATGAAACCCTTTAAATAATTTTTAAAATATGTATTTTTGAGAAAAATGTTTTAAACAAAAGTTATTGAGAACAGAACAAAACAGGCCCATATGGACCATAATTCCGTTCATTCGTTTTACCAATTAATACTTGCTCAAAAATATTTAAGGAGTTCCATACTTTTGCAACACCCTGTATAATAACTTTTAAGATATTCACAAAAATCTGAAAATTCTTCTTAATTTTATGAAAACAGAATTAAAATTTTGTAAAAGATTAAATTTCGTAATTAAAGTAACTGAAAAACAACAAGTTATTTCATTTAACCAGTTCTTGTGAAATAAAGGAATCCAACAACAAGAGTAAAAATTTAAACATAAGGATAATTAGGACAAAGTGGTATCAATAAGTCATCCATATTTGGAATGACGACAATTTTCTCAAATTCTCTTAAAAGTTTTGTTTCTATCCATTGTGTGAGGTAAACAATGTCAAATGTTTTTTCACCAAGTGCGGGTTTCGCAGTTAAACTTATCTTTGGAACAGGCTTAAATCCATACCACAAGCGATCAGAAGGAGATGGTGGAACGTTTACAGCTAAACAGCCCTGAATGCTTGAAACGCTAACCATGAGTTTGATTTCTGTATTGGAGACTCCTTCCATTGCTCGACGGACGTATGATAATTCTGTAGCCTGAATTTAGTGTTTTAAAAGATACATTATAGATGTGATATAAATTAATTTAAATTCTTCTTATTCAATTCTAAATGACTTACGCTTTGAAAATATTTACTAGATGCTAATTTATCCATCATGCTCAGAAATTTTCGACCAGAAGACTGAGTTGGACTGAAAATATGAATTTTAATTTTAAAAAATTTAATAGAAATTAAAATTTATGTGATAAATATATTATGATTGTTTGAATCATTACTCACGTGGATTCTCTTGAAACACTGGGTGAAGCAAATTGCACATTATCCTCGTCTTCTGTTGAAGTTTCAGGACTATCTTCGACATCACTACAGTAGACGGGAGATCGTGCTGGTATATATTTATCTGATTCTAAGGTATCGTTAGAATTAGAATTAGTAGAAAGAGAACCTGTCCTCTTTAGCTTCATGAGATTTAATTTAGTTTCAATGGTCATAGTTAAGCATCCTTCATAAGAGATATCTAAATCGAACCACAGACCTCTTCCATCTAAAAGAGGTTTCGTTGAATTATGAATTATAGGAGCACCCTGTCCAATAATTAATTCAGATACTTGTAAACTTTCCATGAAATATGGAAGTTTAATGTTGGAAAGTTTTCGTTGTATCTTATCTTGAATAAGATTTATCATATCTGGACACTTATGCATGTCGAAGAGAAATCGACCCAGTAGAGCATTTAGCCACACTTGGTCGTTCAATAATAAAGATGAATTTGACTGTAGATGTGGAGGTGTCGTTTGATTCTAAAACAAACATAACGCATAGTTATTTTATTGTAAATATTAAATAAAAAAAATTTTATTTTCAAATTAACTTATTAAAAGAATTATGAACTTACTTCAGTATAACGACTCATATAAGACATGTAGGATATCTCAGGTGGGATTTCAAAGAAAAAATTCCAACTAGAATTTTTCGTTTCATTTGGCAATGTTATTGGCGAAGAATTTTGAAATAATGGCAACTCTTTAGCTGATGATATCGAACTTCGTTTACTTCCTACTTTTGCTGACAATGATAATTGTCTATACCAGTCTTCTTTTTGACGATCAGTTCTAGCAAAAATAAATATTTTATGTTTTACATCTTCGAATTCTTCTTTGCTGTCTTCGAAAACATCTTTCATCTCTTTCGATTGAGAAAGATCATCATCGGTTTCTTCTTCTTCCACAATAATTTTACCATTTCCACTTTCAATTTGTTGACTTTCATCATCAGAAGAATTTTTTAGAAAATTACATTCAATTAAAGCTTCTTTCGTTAAAGTTATACAGATGGGATACTTCTTACTCCATCTCCTAAAATAGAAATTATATAAATTCTTCTCTTATTATAAAAAGATAAAGTTAAAAAATATTTTCAAGTATCAGTTACCATACCTTCTTCTAATTAAAGCCAACGGAAGTAATTCGACTGACGACCCAGACAAAGAATAAATTCGTTTCTTTGTAAATTTAACTTTATGGCTTGGTTCATCCCATACAGCTCTTTTGGGTATTCTTGTTTTAGTCTCTAAAACTTGAAGAATATCGCCTTCTAATTTTAAAAAAACTGATTTTGTTCTTGCCACATGATAATTTTCAGGCTTGTAATCATATGGCAGTTCATTTAGCCATCCTTCAAATTTATCCAGCACAGCGAATTCCTCTACTGCAGGAATTTCAAGTACAGAAATTAATTTCTTTTTTGGAGGAGTTGACAAGACTTGTTGAATTTGAAAGTAAGTTTTCCTATAAATAAACGAGACAAAAATTCCTACACAAATTCCTTTTATAATATCAGAAAGTGGAACTATCCACAAAACTAATAATATACAAGTTAAAAGAAATAATTTATATAATAATAAATTTAAAAGCTGCCGTAAAATGTGTTCTGTTTCTGTTGGTTGTGCACTTGTAGATTTATAAATGCGACAACAAAAGTCTTTAAAATTAATCCCTATCCTTGAAATTTCCGATTGTTTAGGAATATTAGTCTTGTTTACAATGTCTTCGAAAAGCTCAACAGCCTCTACACCACTTTCTATGGATTTTTCTTCGTAATTTTTGGTTTTTAATCCTGTTTCAATTTCATGAAAAGTAAATCTAGAGGAATTAACTCTTCTCCGCAAAAGTGGTGAAAAAGATTCTTTGCTTTGCTTTTCGGAATTACTTTCATCTACAGGAGTGATATCTTCAAAGTTTTCAGAATCGCTAACACTGCCAACGTCTGCTCTTCTTCGCTTCTTCTTTTTCTTCTTTTCACTTTTAATTTCCGAAATCTTATCTTCAAAAGTCTTTGTTATTTTTCCCCTAATATCTAACAGCATTTTCCAAGTATCAGAAGGTGGTGTTCCTTCTGATAAATTTTCATCCATGCTGGTTGATCGCCTCTCCAGGTTACTTTCGAAAGATTCAGAATTATCCATCTTTTTAAGAGGACTGCACTTTGGAGATAGTTTTTCCGATTCTTCATCTGAATACAATTCTTCCAGCTCATCATCGCTTGCATGGTATTTAATTGAAGGGACGGAAGTCCCTAAAAATTAAATTTCGTTGAAAAACATATTTTTTTTAGAATGAAATTAAATGTTTAGGAATTATAAAATATATTTAATATATAGGAGTTTAATGTATTGTCAGGCATACATATTGAAAAAAAAATTATTATTATTATTATTATATATATTATTAAAATTATTATCGAAAAAATATTACCTTTCATCATTCCTAATGTAACTTTTCTTGGATTGTTTTTGGAGATCATTTTCAGCCCCTTAAATTCTTTCTAGATAAATATATCGAATATTTACTTTCTTGATTATTTTTTAAATGAAATGTCGTCATTTTTATCAACAATCTCACTTACAGTCATTACGAAATAAATTTTATGACTCACTCTTTTTCTATTTATATATTTCTATATTACTTTGTCGAAAATACAAATAATTTAAAGTTAAACAATTTGTGCATTGTTCTGACGAAATGAAAAGACTTTATTGCAATTCAATCATTATTGTGAATAATTTAAAAATGATTGTTATTGTGATAAAATAGATTGAAGGTATTTTCACAATATGTCATTATGAAGAACCAAAATTTGACAGTTCTGCTTCTGCCTGATCTTTGACATCAGGCTGTTTCACAGTTGACCTTCTTTTAAGTAAGAGAGAGGTAAGAGATAACTTTATTAGTTAGAAAAGGATACGTGAAATAAAGTCAACTCATTGTAGAAAGGCCCTGAAGCTTCCCATAAAGCCACGACACACTCAATGTTTTTGTGGAAATAAGGGTCAATGCACAATAGCTTCACGAAAGTCATTCACAAACGAGATTGTAGTTTGGGTCTGAAGTCGGTTATAAAGAAAGACAAAGATATCCACGTGCACGTGGATATGATTTTTTGGAGTATCTATTTTGATATTTTTTTGATCATAAGGTATGTTAAATTTACAGTTTTTATTAATTAATATATTGTGAAAAAATATACTTTAATGAGTGTTCATTTATTATAGAATATAGTTTACTGCCATTTATACACGTATATATTTGTTTTGTTTGTTTATAATAACCTAACCTTTAATTGCGAAAATGAAAAATTATTTTTATATTATATTATCGTTGCTGATTTTTTATTAAGTATGTCAAGTGTTTTCCATTTAAAAAATTCAAAAAAAAAATAATCTAAATATGTTGTTTCGAATTAGATGAAGGAATATTTAAAAAGCGGACTTGTTAAGCAGAAATCAAACAAAAAAATAAAAATGGAAAGTGACGATTCTGATGATTATGAAGATGATTGGGATATTTCCCAAATGGAATCAGTAGTAAACAAACGACATTTATCTGACGAAGAAATTGATACAGTTCCTAAAAAAAGGAAAAAAACTGGTAAGGATTTATACAAACCTCCAACAGCAGACGAATTAAACCAGCTTAGAGAAACCGAAAATTTATACCATTCTAATTTATTTCGACTTGAAATTGAAGAAATTCTTAATGAAGTGAAGCTTGCAAAAAAATATAAAACACTTTTTAATTGTTGGTTTTCTACATTAAAAGAATGTATTGATTCGATTGAAGAGACTAAAGAATACAAGGTGACGTCTAATTTAAAGATTCTATTTAATTTTTTTCTACATTATGATTATGTAAAAAATTACGAGACAATACTGTTTAAAATATTATATATATATATATATATATATATATATTAATTATTTTAATAATATTAATTTCAGTTAAGTGACGAAACTTTCTTGAAAAAACTTGATTTAAATATTCCAATTGCCAATTTACCGAATGAAGAAAAGGGGACTTTTAAATTTATAAAACCATCAAAAATAAGCGTTATTGGTTCTTATGCTTATGAGACTAATATTAATACAAATACAATTATTGATATTGCAATCGAAATGCCAGTAAATTCATTTCAAAAAGGCGACTATCAAAATTTTAGATTTTTAAGAAAGCAAAGGCTTTATTTAGCTTATATAGCCTCAAGAATTAATGAGAAAATTGTTGGAAGAAAATCTTACATTGGTAATAATGAGAATGTTGTTTTAAAACTTATTCCGGATGGGAAACTTGGTAAAAAATGCACTATTTTCATTCATATCGCGGCACAAGAAAACAGTTTTAAATTTAGTCGCTTTTTACCCGATAGAAATAATGTAAGACCAGGATGGTATTTCAAAACTGGATTACGTGAAGAAGGTGAATTTTCTTAAAATTATTAACAATTCTATTGTAAGCTTTCTTCTTAAAAAGTAAGTTTACTTTCGTCTTTTACAGTTACAGATCCGCTTAGTTCAACACCACATTATAATTCAAACGTTCTTCGTAGTCTAACAATGCTGAAAACAAATGAGGAAAATGAAAATTTAATTAAAGAATATCCAAATATTCGAGATGGTATAATTCTTTTAAAAATATGGTTAGGTCAGCGTGAGTTAATTAAAGGATACAATGCTTTTACTGGTTACATTATTACCATGTACGTAATATATTTATTACGTACAAAAAAGCTTAACACTTTTATGAGTAGCTATCAAATTGTAAGAAATGTTTGGAATAATTTAGGTAAATCACAAACATAATTAATTCATTTTAATTTTAATATCAGTTCTTTAAAATATATAACTATAACATACTTTTACAGCCCAAAGTAATTGGAATCAAAATGGAATATCTTTATGTGAAGAGAATGAGAGCCTTGAACGATTGACCGAGTTTCAAAAATATTATAATTGTGTTTTCTTAGACTCAACAGGATATCACAACATTGCTGCAAGTATCTCTAAAGAAATGATTTCTTGGATTCAGGATTTAGCAGCGGCTTCAGTATCATCTTTAGACAATGGACAAATCGATAGCTTTCAAATTCTTTTCATGAGAAGAGTTCCGCTGTATCGAACTTTTGATAATGTCATTTGGTAAATTATAAATACATATTCTATATTTCAAGTATAATAAATAAAAGATTAATAATTAATTTTAGTATCCATGACACTGAAGCTTTAAAAATTATTTCACATAAACTGTCTACAAAGGAAGATAAACTTAATATTGGACCGAATGATTATCAACGATGCGTTAAATTAATTCTTAGTATCTTGAAAGAAGGTTTGGGAGAAAGATTGTTGAATATTTTTGTGATGCCAGAACAATTCAAAGAATGGAAAATAACTGATGAATTTCCAGAATATCTGGACAAAATTTTTATTGGATTGAATTTTAATCCGGATCATTTTTTTGATATAATTACCAAGGGTCCAGAAGGAAATTCATCAAAGTTAAGTATAAACTACATAATTCAATTGGCTGCCTTCAACAAATATTTTTATTTATGTAATTACATAATTTCTTTTAAATAGGCTGCGGATTTTAGAAAATTCTGGGGAGGAAAATCAGAGTTGCATCGTTTCAATGATGGTTCGATTCATGAAGTTGTTGTTTGGGGACAAGGAAAAACTATAGAGGAAAAAAGAAGTTTAACGCAGAAAATAATTTTCTTTCTCTTTCAAAAAAAGTTATGCCTTCACAGAAGTAAATTTTTCTATCTTGGTAATCAGTTGGAAAATCTTTTAAAATTAAAGAAGGTATAAACTCTTTTCAATTAGAAAAGTTTTGGTTCTAATAATAATAATAATAATAATGTTTTATTACATTTTAATTAATTTATCGGTAGATGAAAACAATGAACTTTGATTATGGAACAGGAGAAGAGGCTTCACTGAGAGTAATTCAAGTTTTCAATGCTTTAGAGAAAGAATTGACCTCTCTTACGGATATGCCACTTTCGATAACTGGAATAAGTGGCTGTAGTGCAGTTTTACGATACACAGAAGTATTTCCCCCACTGACAAACATCACTGGCAAAGGGATGAATGTTTTAGGCAAAGATGAAAAATACACGTTCCTCAAAGAAGGCAATTTGAAAAAGGTTTCTCTTTATGTACAACCTATTGAAATCAGCATTCAGTTATTAACAAGTGGAAAGTGGCCAGACGAACTAGAAGCAATTCAATGTACAAAAGGTGCTTTTCAAATTCAGATTGCTGAATGTCTTAGAAAACAATATAATTTAACTGCTCAGGGATGTCTTGATTACACAGACGTTTTTAAAGTGAGTATTTTTCTTCACATTTTTGTTGTCTGAAAATTATTAATGTTTTATTGTTGCAATATAAATGGGAAAAAGTTTGTTATTATAGTTTATTTTTGTTTTAGGATGGATTTTTATTCCGTTTAAGAATAGCTAGTCAAAAAGAAATAGCTCTTATGAAACAGAAAATTGGAGAAGACGGGATAATTAAATACAGAGATACAGATGAATCAGTTGATCTTGAGAAAAGATTATTCCATCTGCCGAAATTGAGTGGAGCTTTACATGGGTACGCTTGGAAAATCTCTATCACTTTTTTTAATTTAATTCTTTTTTTATATTATATGTAAAATTAATCAATTCTCTAGATTACACTGTCAACAGCCTTCTTTTGGACCTGCTTCTTGTTTGGCTAAACGTTGGTTATCCTCTCAGTTAATAGACGATTCACATTTCCCTAATATTGTAGTAGAATTACTTCTGGCCTCGATTTATTTGACGCCAGACCCTTACAAACCAGCTCAAACACCTCAAGTTGCGTTCTTTAGATTACTGGAATTATTTTCTCGATCCTATTGGAGTACAGATCCCATTATTGTTAATTTTAATAATGAAATGACTCGTAAGTCTCTCTCTCTCTCTCTCTTTTAAAACTATGTTCAATTTAATTTAATTTAATTATAAACAAGTATGCATGATAATTTTATTTTTAGGTGAACAAATTATAATGGTGGAAAATGAATTTAGAACTTCTCGAGAAACTTTACCACTCTTATTTATTTCAACGCCTTATGATCATCAAAATTCTCTCTGGACTAAAACAGCACCAAATATTTTAATACTAAATCGAGTTAGTTTAATGGCTGTGGAAGCATTAAAGTTATTGGAAAGTCAAATTCTTAATTCAACATTAAATTATAAAGGAATGTTTAAAACTCCATTAAGTGAATATGACTGTCTGATACATCTCAAGTCTGTTTATAATTCTCGAAGATATGAAGCAATTGAAATTGACGAAGAAGAACCTATTCTTGAATGTCGTTCTTTTAAAACATATCAAAAGCAAAATATACCAGTTGTTAATTTCAATCCAATTGAATTGTATTTGAAGGAACTCAGGGTAAGTTAAAATTAAAAATGATATTTGAGAGAAAATTAAACCTTGCATTTTGTCAAATAAAATAAAAAACTTTTACTTTCAGTCAAGCTATAGTGAATTCGCATTATTCTTCCATGACACATACGGCGGGACAGTAATCGGAGTTCTCTTGAAACCATCAGTTTTAGAACCTAAAGAAGAAATTAAGGTTGCAAACTTTCATTTTCGTAAATTGAATTCGAAAGGACAATTCGTTTTTGATTTACCAACGATGATAGAAAACTTTTATATTATCGGAAAAGATATAATAGCAGGAATTGATATTCAATCTAAAAGAATATCTATGAATTGAATAAAATTTGAAAAATGAATATTTGTACAAAGCTATTTTTAGTACACATGTATAATTAAGGTTTTTAATAAAAAGAATATAAATATTATAAAAGTAGTTTTTTGTTCCATAAAGAAAAGAAAAAAAAGTTAGGTAATTTTAAGGAAAATTAAACTTTATTCATTGACTTGGTCTGACTATATTAGTTAATATATAAAAAAAGGATTCATTTGAAAAGAATCGGGAGAGTAACATAAATTATATTTCATTACTTTTGAAAGCAACGAGAGGAATCTCTGAGATCTATGTTGCGAACAAAAACACAGAGTACTTCATAACGACTTTTTTTTACTTGCTAAGCGCGTGACACAAATGACATATTTACAAGGAATAAGCATCCGCGCAGTCCGTATTTTTCTTTCTGCCAAAGCGTCGCATCCGACAAACTCACGTGGAGTTGATCCTTAAATAACAAATTAATCATACAGCTGATTATTACGAATTAAAAATTAAGACCAATCACAGTTTACATGTATGTATGTAGAGTAAATGAAAAGAGCTCAACGAAAAAGCTCTTAAATGTCAGAACTGACCGACAATTAATCTTACTCAAACAATTTTTTTATGTACACAAAAAATCTAAAACAGATAATTATTTAGTCTTAAAACAAACTATAAATTAGATTACCAAAATGTACGTTGTCAATTCCAACAAATACCCCGAAAGCATTCTCTTTTTAAATGTCAATAACAACAATTTGAAATAAATTATTGTAAATAAATTTTAGCAAAAAAATAAAGTATACATTATTCTTCAGAGATAATTATTGGAACGGAACGAACGTAACTCCCGTAAATAAGGAGTAAATTTTTACTAATTACTAATGTTAGTTTAATATTCTATTGTCTGAAATTGGCTGCGTCTTATTTATTATATGCTTATTTTGTAATTATTATTTTTGTCTCAAATACTGATTGAATTAAAAATGATGAAGCGTTTTTTGAAAGAAAAAATATGGATTTTCATTTTTCTAAGGTTCTACACTGCTAATAATCCAACTATGGAAGAAATTAGGTAACTTATTAAATTATTATTAATATATTAATGAGTATTAAATTTGAAAAATAGATCGCAGACAATTTTAAACAATATAACAAATAACTGACACAATTAAAGATATTTTTGTCAACAGTCAAGACGCATCGCTTACCTATAGAGTGTTAAATTTATTAAATTCATTGCATTCGAATGACTAATAATCGTCGAAGTGGTAATAGTTTATTAATCGTCATTATTCTTAAACCTATTATTATTCAACTTAGGTATGTATGTAAATCAAATCTAATACATTTTTTTTCCTTAACTTTGCATCTCATCTTATTCAAAAAGTTAATTATTATGTACAAACCCAAGCTGCCAATTCCTTTAATATAACTCTTCAAGCTGCGAAATGGATTGTAGTCTACTAATAAAGTTAAAAATAATCTTTTCAACTTTCAATGTAAGAAAATTATAATAATGATATACAAAATCTGGGTTTTATAGACTAAAATCCTTTTGGTTGCAAAGGAACAAGTAGAAAACAAAATTACAACTTAGATTCGGTACTGATTCAGTTAAAATTTTTGTTTTTGGTTTTCATTTTACTGTAGGTTAAATTGCTTGCATGGAAAATTAAAAAATGATTGTTTTAAAATCATAATGCTGCATGCCATCAGATTTTTTACTACAACATTATATATTGAAGAGTAAGTTTCTCAGCTCCCAAAAAGAGGAAGCTAAATTTAGATAATGCATTTTCTACTTTTATATATCTGATAAATGTTTTATATGCATCCCTCTCACTCAGTTTCGACGAAATAAATGATGTAACCAAAACTGAAACATCATATTTCTAAAATTATATAATACATAAAAATTATCAAGAAATTAACAATTTAATCCATTTTCTAATTAGAATTTCTTAAAATGAGAAAATAAAGATACGTTTTGACATAATAGAATAATAATAAAAATCATTTTCCGATATTTTGACTACATAGTGATAGCAAAATTTGAAAATATAATAGAATTTTAAGAAACTAAACCCCAAAGAGTTTTGCTTTCAATTCCAAGGCTTGCTCGCTATGAGTGTTGGAAAATAAGATTTTCTATTTGATCTCAAATGCATTAGAGAATTGATGAAAGCAGCAAAACTTGTAGACATTAGTAAGTCTCAAATATGTACGAAGTCGTGTAAACAAATTAACAAATATACATATAAACAATGTATGTGTTTTACTTCTTTTTGTTCTTCAAATTAATTACTCTATAAATAGGTATAATAATTCCATCATTGAGGCACGCATAACGGCCATTTTAAGAAAGAGTTGAAACACCTTTTAATTGGAAAATTCACAACCATACTTAACCAACAGTCAGTCATATTATATTAAAATGTTTTAAAAATTTGTTCGCATAGTCATTCAGAGCTTAAGAAATTTCATGCGAGTTTTAATTCTTCGCATTCTGATGTGAGAAAATTAACGAACTCGTTCTGTACTCATAATTATCGTTTTGTATTTTCGCACGTTCTTATATTTGATTAACTTAAAATTAAAACGCTTGCATCGCTCTTGCATACTGGACGAATTGAAACCAAGTGCGCTACTTTATTTCATCTTTCTTCTCTGGCATGATCAAAAGGGAAAATGGAAGAAAACTTTTTTAGTGATACCTCTGAGAAGAAAATAAAAAAAGTCTTCTCTTTTCATCAAGCCACATTACTTTAATAATTCAGGGAGAAAAATTAAAAAAAGAACACATTTTTTCTTTCTCCCTAAATTTATAATCGTTTAAACTTCCGGTTTTTTAATACTAGTGGAAATACATTTCAAATTTATGTACCTGGTTCACTAAGCATTAATTTAAACCGCAATATTACTTTGATCATACGATTACTTACGTTTCAGATAATCGTACTTCTATTTTTTGACTAAAGCAAAAAATGGACAAATTAATTGTTAAAACATTCTTTCGCAACGCTTTCTATAAGTACATCGACTTGGTTTATGAATACTCGTTTGTTATCCGTGAGTAGATTAGTGCTATTGAGTTTAGATTGATGTCGTACTCTTTTTTCATATAAAAGTACTGGATTTGTGCTTTCCAAATATTTTTGTACAAAATTTTACAACAAAAAATGTACAAGACATAGGTATTTCGAAGATTCATATAATGAATAAAATAGAATGAATTTGTTCCCAAAATTAAATAAATACTTAAAACACTAAGTTAATTGATATTTTTTAAAGAAATTGGTTAGAAACAAACATGGAACTCAGATTAATGAAAATTATTACAAAGCATATTAATAGATTTGAAAACTGTAAAATCTAACAGCAAAGCTAAGATTCTTAAAAAATTATTTATCAATTGTGTAAAATTTCATCAAAATATATGAAGATATAAGTGAAACTCGAATTTTATTAAGTGACAATTTTCTATACTTTTAAGCATTAATTAATTTAGAAAATAAAACAATTTCAATCACAGATATCAAATGGCTACTAAACTACTCTCGGCAAACTTAAAAAAAAAAAAAAACAAACACTAAAAATTCGGTGATGTGGATGACGACGTTCGGTGGCATTGATTTAATAACGATAATAGCAGCAGTAATAGTGATTTCATAGCGATAATAATAACAATGGCTGTGCGGTATTTTAGTTTGACAACGGCGGTGGTGTAGGTGTAGGAGTCATAGTGATGGTCGTATGAAGCACAGAATCACGAGATGCTGAGTGACTGCTGGCTCGTAACAATGTAACAGCTTCTCGTTCAAGATCACCACTATTTTCTCTTCCTCGACCCCCAAGTTTTCCAGTGTGTCCTCCAATTCTTCCTCCATTCCCCCCAGCACTAATAACTGCATTTGGTACTACCCCCCCGAGCCTGACCGATACTGACAGTCATTTCTGTCTTCCACTTTTCTTCTTCTTTCTTTTAAAGAAACAGCAGCATCTGAAAATAAAACAAACACTAATAGAGCTTAGAATCTACTTATTTTATTCAAGGTATATATTTATCGCTAATAAATATTTTCATTGAAATAAGAATAATACTTAACTATTTTAATTTTAAACAAATAGGAAAAATAATTATTTATTTAATTATTTGCAAATAAAATGTAATAAACTAATCCTCTATTAAAATACTTTTGTATACATGGTAAGAAGTTTAGAATATAAGGTTTTCTGAAAAATATTAGAAAAAGTAGGGGAAGGTAACATATGAATTGGAAACAGGTTTATGATTTAAAGAATACGATATATTTAATAGCTTTTTATAGTATTCTGAACATGGTACATTAATTAATTCTTAATACAAATCTTGTTAGTCAAACAAAGACAATATTTACTAATGAAACAAGATTTAAAAAGTAAATGACAAAAAGCAACAATTTTTTTTAAATAAACTAAAGATAAATATAAATTTCAATTTTCTATATAGAAATAGTAATTCTTAAATAACATATCTATTGAAATTTAAAAAACTGAACGATATTTTATTTAATTAAACAAAAGTTAACGAATTTGGAAAAATTCTTAAGGACACACTTTTCTGGAAAATTTAATTTTTGAATAATTACGATTAATCAAAAATTCTCTCATCGTAATATTATACTGTGATATTGATTGAAGATTAGAAATAAGTTTAGGTTTTTTTGAAGAAGAACTGGGTAAATTATAAATGCGTTTCCTTTTGCATCTGAAGCAAACTTTTGTAGTCATAAGTGGAGGGTTACTAGAGCTGAAAATTGAATGAATTTAAAAAAAGGTTATTTTATTTGGAAAAAGTAGAAATTTAATTTAAAAAAAAACAAAGACCAAGCAATAAGTCATGTCAAATTAAAGATTCATGAAAATTCTTTTAACGAATAACATTAATTTGAACAATAAATATATATAATACTCACTTGGTCTCGTCGATCATTTCGACTTCCTGAGGTGTTGTAATTGGTGTATTTGAATGTCCTGCAGTTGGATCGTCATTCCCTATTTCTCCATTAGTTGAAGAAACCACCTTAATGAGAAACAAAGTAATGTTTAATTTATTTCTCAATTTTTTTATAAAACAATTAAATAACTAAGTAAACTAATATGTACAACGTGAACCATTTAATATATTAATAATTTTGACTATAATATTATCAAAACTACGCCTTTTAATTTAAACTACTGAAACCTTTAAATTGCAAAAATAAAATAAATATCACATGAGAGAAAAAGAGAGAGAGAGAGAGAGAGAGAGAGAGAGAGAGAGAGAGAGAGAGAGAGAGAGAGAGAGAGAGAGAAAGAGAGAGAGAAAAGAGATAAATAAGGGGTAGGTATGAATCTACTCAGGAGCATATAATACATTTAAAATAAAAATGGGGAACTGGAAACTATGTATATGTCTTTTAATCGACAAAACTTAAAGAAATTACACTGATATAAATATTTATATATGGTGACTCTGACGTTCTCGTAATATAAATAATATTGTGATAAGGCGACTTGACACTAACGTTTAAAAGGATTGTGCACGCTGCACAAAACTATACACGTTGAACAATATACTGAATAAATAGAAATCAAATCTAAAGGTATGATTAGTATTTAGTATCCAATGACTTGAGGCAAATTGACCAAAAAAACGCAAAATACAACATGCTACAACAAACCAATCCGCACAGATATAGAACTAACCATATTCCGTTGATGCTTTATCTAAAAGAAGAAGATTTAATAATTTATTCCGGGCACATTGGCACATCGCTTCTTAGAGAAAAAATGAGCGCGATCACGCCAAAGTCGACTCGATTAGTTCCAAAGAGGAAGTAAATCGTTATCATTGATAGTACAGGTAAAGAAGAAAAGATTGAAGGTGGAATCCAGGACAAAGAGGGAAAAGGGACAAACTCACCTGTACAGAACCATGCCTGTCAGCGGGTGTCAATGTGCCACCAGCCCCAGATTGCTTCGCTGTATCAGACCACGTGGGTCCCACCCCTTTAACGCCCCCTCCTCCCACCCCTCCACTTGCCATGTCCTAGAGGAACAACGTCGCGAATGCAACATGTTAGTCGATGCATTATAAAAAGTCCAAAATTAAACAGTTATTTTAGCCTAATTCTTTCACATCCTTTATATCTTTCAAACTCTTGAGACATTCGATTATTTTAATTAGTCCAGAATCTACCTGTTATTGATTTATATAATTTATAAAAATACATTATTTTGTCAATATACTTATTACAAATTTAGAGAGTAATTCTGCGTATTTTTGTGCAATTTGCTTTTCTTACTAAGCTTTAAAAATAAGTAAGGTAAGTATCGGTATTACTGTGGTTTTACTCTTTTAGCTCTATTAAATTTTATATTAATATTCAAATTTTTTTTATCAAAAAATTCCTACAGTTCATTTAATTTGTCAGGTAATTAATAAACAAAAACTAAAAATTTATTTTTAAATTTCGTTAGGTTCTCAATAAAACGTATATTTTTTTGTTATTGGTCATTAAAAACTTGTTATTATTTGTATATTCGATAAATTTTCAATTTTATTTTATCATTATTCTGATATTAATAATAATTGTTATCATTTAACATCAAATCGCTTACGTGTAACCTATCAGTTGTCATTTTCGCGGTATAAAGTCACGGGTAAATGTCGTTTTAGCATCACGGTATTAAATACATTTGCATTTAAAAAATCAATTAAAAAATGTTAAACCTATATTTTTAAAAACAAATATACAGATATCTTGTAGAGTATATGTTTGAATTAATTTTTGAACCACGGTAATACCCACACAACCCATTTATTTTCAATTTTAAAATTGAAAATTAAAAACGATACTTTAGGATTTACTCATTATTTACTTATATATGTAGGTATATTTCTTTTATATTATTTTATAGCAGAAATGGACAAGATTATTTTTTTATTTGCATCATAATAATTTTTTTAATTTTAAAATGATCAAGTCTAATTGATTGTAAAAACAAAAGCAATTTATATACACTGTTAAAAAATAAAATTGTCCGTAACTGATATTAATATACTATTTTAAAAATCTAAACTGTAAGAAGCTATTCAAAATGCTAACTAATGAAGGCATTATACATATGTAGCTTCAATGATCTACAATAATTTATAATAGACACTTAATTGGAACTGATCGTTGAGCCATTTTAAATGAATCACATTTGCATTTAAAAATTCTCGACAATGAGCTTACATAATTAATGCCTTGCTGGTCAACGCGTATGTCGACCTCACCCACCATAAGAACTACGTCTTCTTCAAAATCATCGCGGTCCTATATGTATTAAAAAATAATAAACTTTGGATAACACTATAAAATTTAAACTCTTTTTATTTTTTAGTCGCGGCTTTGAAAACAAAGAAACCCAAAACTTATATATGCATTCATTAGTTTCTCAAAAAGTAAATAAGTAAATAAATAAACATCTACTTACACAAGAATTTTTATTATTTTATTTTTACTTCCAGTCTTTTATCTAATGTAATTTAATAATTGTGCAATATCATATCTATAAAGTGTCAGTATCTTTAAAATCTAATGAAATTTGTTTTTAAGATTTTTCTATAAATTCTTTTTATGAAATCTGAATGAAAAATGAAAAATAAATTAAAACAAAATTTATAGATAGCGACTTTAGGTGGATGAATGATTCGGTCACGTTCAACCAATTCATGCGAGTAATAAGCATACTGCACGGAGAAAATCTGAAATCACTGAGTATTTTTTCTCACAGCACTGGCTACTGTGTAAACCAAAAAATTAAATTCCAGAGTTCTGAAAGTTCTCCACACAGCACTGAATGCTCTGCAGAAAATAATCACAACTTTTTTTGACAGTAATCAGAGTTTTGTTTCATATTAGTTGACAACAGATTATTCAGAACTACGAATGTAGCAATAAATTCTTTGCTCAAAGTTGTGATTGCTGTTCTCACAGCTCTGAGTACTGTGTAGAATTATTTTTTAGGATTAAAGAAATGAAAGAACATTAAACCTTTAATAAAAAATAGACAACAATTTTTAACAAGCGTTCAAGACAATTTTAATCAATTTTAGATGTTTTCTAATATTTTTATGAAAAACAGATTATTTGACTAAGATTATTTATATTTTTTTTACTTCAAGAGATAAATATTTAAAATAATAATGTTCAATCTTATTATTTTTTAATCATAATAATCTATAAATTTAGATTAGGTTGTAATTTGATATTAGCTAAGGAATCTTAAAATCTCAAAACTTGTGAAATACAAATAAATATTTAAAATTTACCTATAGTAATTTATTTTAAAAATAATTATTTATTATTTCATTATAATATAATAACTTTATTTGCTATATAACTAAAAAAATTTTTAAAACCGATAGTTTTTAAAAAGACTTTTTAAATTCTTCATTTCTTTATTTCTGTTATTCATTAACTGGTTATAAACATGCCAATTAAAATTAATATTTGACAAGAAAAAATAACCATGGCTATCTTCCTTTTAATTGACGTTAAACGTTCCTTTGTTTTCTAAATTCTAAAAAATATTTCTACACAGTACTCAGAGCTGTGAGAACAGCACTCACGACTTCGAGCAAAGAATTTATTGCTACATTCGTAGCTCTGAATAATCTGTTGTCAACTAATATAAAACAAAACTCTGATTACTGTCAAAAAAAGTTGTGATTATTTTCTACAGAGCATTCAGTGCTGTGTGGAGAACTTTCAGAACTCTGGAATTTAATTTTTTGATTAAGCAGTAGCCAGTGCTGTGAGAAAAAATACTCAGTGCTTTCAGATTTTCTCCGTGTGCCATATATTCATCCTTAATGAAGTCGCTAAGAATATCAAGTGAAATTGTTTAAAAATATTTTCTTAATTATTTAAATTATCGCATAATAAGTTGACTATTGAAAAATAAAAATTAGTAAAATAATCCAAACTGAAATGCCACTTTATGGATGTCATTCATACAGCCAAGTACAAGTTCATGCTGTTACTCGATTAATAAAAATGTATGCTACAAACAATCATGCTTGCATAATAAAATACTCAAATAATACCTTGTAAGTGGTTGGGTGTCGATCTCGATTGGGTGATACGACAATTTCATGTCCTGTTTGCAGCGATCCAACTGGTGTTGACTGAAACAAATTTTTTATCTAATTAATGAAAGAAATAAAAGACTTACAAGTATTCCATAACTTGAATCATAAAATAACATACTTGAAAATTGACAAAAGTATAAAAATATTTTTCATAGATTATGTATTAAGTTTGATTATATCCAGCAAGATGTCCATCAAGATAGATTATAAAAGCACAATAAAATATTGTGTAATATTTATAAAAGTATCTTTTCTTCCGTTTTACCAACTAGACAGCAACTTTTGACTTATGTGACGGATGTAGAATTTGTTAAAATGAAATGATTTTGTTTAAAACTCTTACTATTGGGTTTAAATGATTAATTCCTTCTTAATAATAATAATAATAATAATAATATCAATTATAATAATTGTGAAAACAAAGACAAGGCTTGACAATTACGAACCTTATCAGATTTGGTTTTTTCAATATTAGATGGAGCACATTCCCTTAGTTGTCTGAGTTGGAAGAAGTTAGGTGGCTAGAGAATGGTTTCAATGCAGCATGCAAATTTTAAAAACCAGTCATCTAATAAGTGTGTTTGTCAAATAAAAGTACCAATACTTACTGAAAAGACGAAACCTTGAAAAAACTTGAAAGTATTTTACCAAAAAGTGTTATAAGCAAAAAATAATTCAATAAATAGCGTTTAGTCATTTTAATTTGTAAACAAATAAATATAAATATTATCGAATTTTCTTTCACATTTTGCATGCGCATGCTTGTCATTTGTGATTTCAGTGAATGGACATTCTTAAATGACTTCATTTGAAACCCACCATGCTTTTGCCGGTCCAATCGAATTCGCCATCGTTGGCAAAGCCTCTTCTATCGTAGAGGTCTTGAAAGAGTTTTCTCAGGTACTCGTAATCAGGAGTTTCGAAAAAGTCTAGCCTCCGGACGTAGCGAAGGTACGTGGCCATCTCTTCGGGATGTCCATCGCAAAGTACTTCAATGGGAGTTGCTCGTTTGGTATCTCCTATTTTTTGATACCGCTCTTTCAAAGTATCTGCTTTCAGTCCCTGCCAAGGTAAACTTCCCCTCAAGAAGTACATGAACATGTGACCTAAAGCTTCCAAGTCATCTCTTCTACTTTGTTCTATAAAAACATATAATGTATATAATTTCATTTTAAAACTGTAATAAAATTCGACATTTTCAATTAGGATGAAGAGATAAACTACCTTTTCCTAAATGAGTGTTAATACTCATATATCGTGCTGTTCCAGTCAAGCTCTTGTGTTCCCGGTAGGGTATATGCTTATTTGTTTCCAAGTCTATGTACTCTTTGGCCAATCCAAAATCAATAATATGTATAACTTTTTCTCGTTTTGTCGTACTTCGTCCTATCAGAAAATTTTCCGGTTTTACATCTCGATAAATTAGATGTCGACTGTGTACGTATTCTATCCTATGGAGCTGTGAAATAAAAATTATATTTTACTCTGTATATATCGATTTTTTCAAAATAAAAGTTTTAAAATTTCTTCATTATTTTAATGAGAAAAAAAACTTCTTTTTTCATTACAGGGTCTTAAAAAAAACTATAAGCTATCTTTTGTGAGTATTTCTAAATGTTTTACTTCGAAAACAAAGGTGGTTTCACTAAAGTGTTTGGAAACATAAATAAAAATTAGAATAAAAGTAATTTCATTTTATTTAGATAAGAGGGGAAAGGGAGACTTAAAAAGTTGAAAAATTAGTATCCAGTTCTTAAACTTATACCAATATTTAAAAATAAAATGGCAACTTCTTTCTTCCATAAGCATCAAGTTTATTTTAACACTACTTACGAGCTGTGTGGCAATGCTGAGAACAGTTTTCAGTGTAAATCTTCTTCCACAAAGGTCAAAGAGATCTTCCAAACTGGGACCGAGGAGTTCCATTACCAACGCGTTGAATTTCCCACATGGACCGAAATAATATACCTCCGGGACTCCTTCTATATGCGCGTTATAAACTGCATGAATATAAGGTAAAACATATTTATCCCATTTCCCAAAAATCATGCTTTGGTGCATAGGGATAATTACTTAAAAACTGTGATTGTTTATAGAATCTTGATTAATATTAACCAATACAATTATTTAAAAATTCCAATCAAGTTAACTGCTGATAAACAAAATATTTGCCAAAAAAATAAACTTTCAAATTAACATAAACATATTTCTGTAATGTATACCTATATATATATATAAAATGAACTTACCATGAGCACCTAATACTTTGTAAAACCTATATTCTAAATGAAGTTGTGGCGCCTTTGCCTTCATCGGTTCCTGCAAAAAATTTCAAAATACATATTAATTTAAGGAGTAAATTTTTGATTACTCAACTTTTATTGTTTAATAAATCTACATAAAGAATTTTAAAATTGATGAAATAAATAATAATAAATATTGATAAATAAATTAGAATTTTATCCAATTGCATATTTTTAGTTAAAATCACAAATTACCATTTTAATTGCTACGTGCTCGTTATTATAAAGATTTTTGCCTGTAACAAAATGAAAAACATAATTAATTAAATATTTATATGTAATAAGATGTAAAATGATTTGGAATGTAAGTGGCATATACATTATTACTTGAATCGCTGATTGGCAATTTAAAAACTGAGTAGATAAAAAATTACATTCATATTATGTGTCTCAAACAGTTATACTAAATAACAGTCATATGGATAAATGTGTAATAGCCGACCTTTTCGACCTTAAAGTATAGCTGTGGACAATTATCACATTAGAAGTAATTGTTAAATAAGTAAACGTCAACTATTGACTAAATTAAACAAACTATACATATTCAACATATATTCTTATGAATGCCTAAAAAATTGATTTTAAAACAATTTTTTAAATTAAATTTTGATAAGCCACGTTCAAAATGAATGTTTTAAAATAACTATCTCATATCCATATATTGTAATTTTCTAAAAATAATCATCTTTTTCACATGTAATAAATATTATTTTCTTCATTTTATATATGTACGTGTTTCAAACAAAAATTTATTCTAGGTTTCAAGTGAGAAGAGGTATCACGCTTTCATAAGCACGAAAGTCCCCCAATCTGGAAAAACAACTTGATGTAATTTCTCCGTTTTATTTATTATGTCGAGTCTATTTAAAAAATGTTGAAAGTCAATGAGTTTTGAAAATGAAATTTTTTTTTAAATTATTAACTGTTTTTAAGTCTCAACTATAATGTTTTTTTGTGATAATACTTGAGAAGAAATTGTTAAATTTAAAAAAAATACATTTAACATAAGAATATACTCTCAATTAGCAGCACAAAATAAAAACTGGAATGTAAAAAGTCTAAGCCATTTTAAATTAGTCATTATTTTGATTTTTATACTGTAGGAAATCATCAAAAATATATTATATCATTATAAAGTGTAAATTGATGGGAGAAAGCACCTCAAATTATACCACTGGCACTGTATAATAATTGAGAAACATATTGTGTTCAACTATAATAATCAGATTCTCCATCAAACTAATAAAATATAGACTCACACCTGCAAATTTACTGTCTTTCTTTTCTAATTTTAGGTTTATACCTTCTTATATGAAAACATATTTTAGGGAGTCAATGAAAGAATAAATTAATTTCCGTCACTGATTTATTTAACAAGCCAACTTCTTAAATAAAGCTCAAGTTAGAAGAGTCGAAGGAATGTGAAATACAAAATATCTATAGATATGTTCTAGTGTCATCAAATTCTGAGAGCTATAAAGTGACCTTCACATTATATATGTGCTAAGGTATACCTATATATTATATTAGTAGTCTTCCAATCGATAATTGATATTTCCTGGAGAATTCTTTATGTGCCTCACAGGTGTAAATCGTCAATTAATTTAATAAAAAAATAAATAAATAGAATTTTTAATTAGACATTAAGCATGTTCACAAACATGATTACCGGTTCCTCAGTCATTTTTAATAATACTACTATTTGACTACATTGTCAAATAAATATTTTTCTTTTCAGAAATATTTAGATTTGACGTTCTAACGAAGATACAAAACACGAGTTCCATATGCAGAATTCAAATACAATTTTTAAAAAACAAATCATATATTACCTTTGTAGAAAATATAAAAAATATAAATTATAAAAATAATTACAAACTTTGTAACGTGGCTTTTTGCTAAAATACAGAAACCTTTTAAATTCAAAGAAACCTTAACTGAATAAGGCTTCATTATTACACGTGCAAAATCTAATTTAAAATTTTTCTAATTTCACTTTTTTGAAACAATTTGTTATTATTAAAACTAATTATCAATCAATTATTGTTGAATCAACATTAATTTATACAATTTTGTTATGCGTACATAGAATTTTATTTTAAAGATGAATAACGACATGGAAACAAAAATAAATTCAACATTATTTTTGCTTCAATTTCGTATTAAGGTGAACGTAATAAGTTGCAACAAAAATTAAAAATTTCTTATCTAAACAATAAATTGTTGGTTCTATTTAATAAATTCTCTTTTCTCCGTGTACATTATCCTTTTTTGACCGTTAGCATGTTTGGCACAACAGATGGTTGTATTATCCGCCGGAAGTGTTGTTGACAACAGAGGTAAAGCCCTCAGAGAAGTTAAAGAACATTAAATGTAAGTTAAAAATAAAATGAAAGTCTTTAAACTAACGCTGCAATAAAAAAGACAGGTGGTACAACTACATAATTTAACGAGAAAAATATTATTTTAGTTTCTTTACATTTTTCTACGCATAACAATATAAACAAATAGTTTATGATTATCCATAAAATTATGAATTGAAAACTAAATTTCATTTTACATATATCAACTTTATACATATTCGCATATTCCTAACAGATTATAAATATATAATAAAACCTGATTTTGTTCTAAAAATTGAAATAAAATTTCCCGTTTTACCGAATTTCCCGATTAGTAGAGACCCAATCAATGCAAATAAAATGGAAATGTATACATATATAGTAATTAATTACCTTTGCTAGAATGTATTGATACATAAAACGCCCTTTCTCTTAATTCAAGTAATATTTGCATTACCTTAATAACATCATTGAAAACTTCAAGTGTCATTATTCCCAGGGCAATGACTTACCTAAAACAAAAGAAAAAAAACAATTCATTAAAGATTATTAAAAATGCTCTAAATTGTTATTAATGAATTTGAAAATTTTATATTTAAAAAAATCACAGTAAGATAGATAATTATATTATACTAGAAATTATTGTTGAAATAAGAAAATATTTTTCATTAAGAAAATTTTATTTTCATGACTGTTAGCAGACTTAATAATATTGTATGAGTTAAGAGTGGGCCAATGTTTTAAGTGTACTTCTAGAATATATTTAGCAAAAATTTTTCCTTGCTACAGAGGCTGCCAAAAATCATTGCTCTAATTTTACAGTAGAATACCTTCTTTCAAAAAAATTAAAGCGCTTTGTTATCCATTTGTTTCATGTAATCTTTTTATGAAATCTTTTATTATATTAAATAATAAAATATAGAAAAATGAAATCGTATGCTGTGTGAGAAAAAAGAATTTTCTCCCAACTATACATATATTATGTATATATGCAAAATAAAAGGTGGATCTTATTTTATTGGTCCATTACATAATACAATATGTTTCAAAGTTGCATGCTTGACTGAACAAATTATCCACCCTCTTTTTTATTTTTTCCCTAACTCTTTATAACGTGTTCCTCAAATATACTTTTACTCCTCCTCACTCTCTCATCGCTACGCATTTACTGATCTCGTGATCTCCTCCTTCATTTCTGATACGCTTCGACAGGATATGTTGGGCAAAAAGGTCAATGTCCTGTTGACGTAAAAAAGATAAACTCTATACTGCCCTTGGAAACGATATACACATTTAGTTTAGTCATCATCGAGTTTGATGAACTGCAGTTATTTTTCTTATTTTCAAAAATTACATAAGTTTTCATTTTCACAAACAATTGTCAGTATGACATTTGGAAAATATGTCAGATAAAGATTGTCTAAATTCGAGAGAAAAAATCATTGAATTTTAAAAAAGTATTCAGTGAAAATAATTTTATTCTTTGAGAATAATCTCTCTGAACGTTGGTATTAAAAATATGAAAATAATTTTTTATCAATGGAGTTAAGAAATTTTCTTGCTCTCGATAAAAAACAACAGTAGTCACTGTAAAAATTGAAAGAAAATGTATGTGCTCTCAGTATGTATATAGTATAGAAAAGTCGAATAGTTGAAAAACAGCACAAAGCATAAAAAGCGATTTACAGACGAATTGCTTATAGCCGGACAATCGACCGTTCTGGCATGTAAACGAAGTAATGTAGATGTAAATGTAGGTCAGGGCATAAGTACCGGCACGTACAATCTGCCAGTCTCGAGAAATATATGCATACAGTCAATCAGCTCATCAAATAGCATTCTAAAATTCAGTTAGTTCCTCATAGATGTACTTTTTAAGCTATACGTCTTATTCCATTGAGATGTACATCACAGAAAATCATATTATTTTAAGTTGCAACATTTTCAAGCTCGATGATAAATTTAAGACTGGGCTTTGTCTAAAATTATGAGTCTCAGTTCACATCCTTCTTATTTCTTGAATAAGATTAATTCCTACACTGAGAAAAAAATGCTACTGAATTTATAGCATGTATATTCATATGCGTTCAAAGGCAGATGCTATTAACTTGATGCGATATGTAGTTCATTTTACAGCACTGCTATTGAATCAGAAACTGTATTCTTTGGTTCAGTAGCAGTGCTATAAAAGGAACTACATATTGCATCAAGTTAATTATATTTGCTTTTGAACGTATGTGAATGTGCGTGCTATAGATTCAATAGCATTTTTTTCTCTGTGTAATCGCAATCGCACAATCAAATTTTCCAATGGTGTCTTTGACTTAAAATAATAATATTTCTCAATCAATGAGGTTGAGATGCGAAATGTCTCCAACTAAATGTTTGTATAAAATTCAAATTTTAAATCCAAACTCAACTACTTATATATTAAAATTATAAGAGAGTGAAGAAATGTATACAATATATACAATGTAAACCATCTGAAATTTTGATGATAATTTCTATTTAAATCTCTGCTATGTTCACCTACACAAATAATTCTGAATTCAGTCGCTTTTGAATATACAAATATAAAATACATATCTATGTTTGTTGCAATAAAATAAAAATTTCTTTAATTGTCTAAATTATCTTTTCTTATAGATAGATCAGTGTAATGTTGCAATTTCCTGCATCCCATTTTAGTATATACAAAACATTTTTAAAGTCTTCCCTATAATATGAATTAAATATATTTAGTTTACTAGACTAGTCTGAAATATTATTTGCTGTTATAACAATTTTTTTTCTGATGCAATCAATACATTGTTATTAAAAAAATGATATTTCATCCTTGAGGCAGCAGAAAAACAATACTTGTTACATTGCTGATAAGTATGAATATTTAACTACGTACATAGTAATAGAGATTGTCAAAGAATAATAAATGATTTTATCAAGAATTTAAGTGATTTTGACGATTCGGTGTTCGCACATTGTTGGGGCAAAGCCGGATCCTTCAGACGAGTTCATTTCACTTTGCAGACAAGTCCCCTGAGTCATTCGAGCCGACACGGCCACAGCAACCCAATAGACAGGTTGCTACCTGCCAGAACCGGCACTATCTTGCATGGAGCCCCACAAATTTTTTTCCATTTTTATTATTTACTATTTGCAACCTTAAACCATCAATCTGAAAGGTTTTCTCTAAGGAGTTACATCATCCTTACTCTCTCTTAATTTGAATCAGTGAAATTCACTGATTAACCTGTTATAAGCGTACCACTTATTCAAATAAGTGAAAATACACTGATTTAAAATTAAGAGGGTAGGTACTTCAAAATCCATGTAAAATGAACCTTTTTTTAAAGAAACTATTAAATATTTATTAATAGTTTCGACAAGAATTTTTTTTCATTTTATACAAGTTTCCTAGTACCTCAGGGTTGTGTAATCACCACCATTGAATCAGTTCTCAAAAAGGCTATATTAATTAGAATATTTTCATTAATTTCCTCAGAAAGCAAAAATCCTATTGTTTATGTTAAACCTTCCTCAAATCTAATTAGGTCAAATTCGATTATGAGTAATCTCATGACCGTCTTTACAGTTTTTAATTGGCTCTACGGATTTCTGTGGCTAACCTACTTTTATACGAATCTGAAATAACCGCGAGCAAAATATCTTTTTAAAAGATATTATCTTATCTAGGACCTATTTTATATAGATGTGCAAGAAGAATAAGAAATTCATCTTCAAAAAGAGAACTCGGTGTAAAATGCATTTTATAGCGTCATAGGTCTTATTTGATATTACTATACTGGATACTTGCTTGCTCAGATTTCTGTGATGAAAGAAATTATTTTAACATATACGTATAAAATAATAGCTCGTCGCTGTGTTGGAGCGATGAGTTATAATAGTTTTTAAAATCAAGTCTACTTAATTTTGATCCATTAATAATTTTTTCTTTCAATTATTATTTAAACAATTAAAATAAATAAAATAAGAGAAATAGTCTATTATGTAGTAATAGTTTATATTCTTTATGGCTATAGCTCTAAATGTAAATTATTTGTTAATTATTTCTTATTAACAAATTCGTGGGAATAAAAGAAGAAAGTATAGACCTCTCAGTTCTAAAATAAGACAAGGCAAGATCAATTTTGCATGGGCCCTTGATGTAGAAATTCAACTTCCGGTCTAATACTATTTCCATTAATAAAAGATGTTTTTTAAATAGTATGTATTCAAGTTCCTACTTCAGTCATTAGAAAAATTTTCTTCTTTTTGTTACTACATATTATATAATGTAATGTTTAAGTAAATAAGTTTTATTTGAATTATTATTTTTCGCCAGTAAATATTTATTTAGTCACGGATTGTTGGAATCAAATAATGTTTCTTTTGGTGAAGGTGACTAAATAAAGCATATGCACTCCAAATCTCATTTTAATCCTTTCGTTTCCGAAATAATTAGAAAACTTTTCTGAATGCTATTATCCTAGATAATCAAGCCATGACAGCTAAAAGATACAATAACAAATTAGACTGCCTGCATGTAATAAAAAAAGATATAGGTACTATTTTATGAAATATTTATTTCACCAAAAAGTAAAAATTAGATATTCTAATTTATTTAATTTTCTGCGACGTGCACTCAGGTGGAAAAATCTATATTATCCGGATATTTACACAAAGTTAAAAGACAAAAGCCAATCTTTGTCAAACCTTATCCAAAGATTAAAAAATTGAAAATAAAAAAGAATTATAAAGTCAACTTTTCAGTGAGCACCTAAAATTTTTAAAATAAAGAGAAATAAATCACAAAAAATTTAATATACATAACATATGTACCTACATCTCGATTGAATTGACTAATATTTCAACGTATAATAATTACATAAATATGTATAAGTCTGATATATCTGAATGACAGTCAATTGTGATAAGATAATAATATTTTCGAAATAAAAAAATGAACATCATTTACAAACAATAGGTTCTTTAGATATTATTTTACTATAAAATTTGAAAATATATGTTATTAGAGAAAATAAATCATTCATTTTATTTAATAAAATACGGAACACTTAATTATTTATTTTTTTTATCCTATGGCAGTACAAAAGGAAGTTTAACGTTAACAGTTTCATTTTCTAAAAGTGTTTTTAATAGAGGAATTTATTTTTTTATTTTAATCAAATATATATATGGAATTTTTTTTTACATTTTACATAGGTAACTGACATAAAAATGATACCACGCGAAGATACTGAAAATAAATTATTGCTCTAAAAATCTACGGCAAGATCAAGGCCTTATTGATTATTGATAACTTGAAACGCTGATGGAAACTAGAAATTAGATTCCCTTGTATTGATTACTTAGTTAGCACATTAATAAATTATTTAAGAAATCTAAAAAGAAATAAATGAAATAATCTTGAATTTATTTCTCCTATAACTTTCTAAATTATTATTATTCTTATTATTATTAAAACAAATTAGTATCAATATTTTCTCTAATAAGGGTCAATACATCATTTCAGAAATTTAACACCCATCGTGATACTTTTTCCATTTTTGCAACATGTAGCGTAACAACAAGGATTGGAATATGACAAGAATTTTCAACTATTTTCAAACTTACCGAGACGAAGTTCTCCGAAGTTACCACAGCCAATCTTTTTCCCGACTCTAAAATTGGGTCCCACCATGAGCATATTTCCAGAAGAGGTAACACTGTGCCTGGAGGAGTGCATGTTGGATCTTGCAGCATTACCACTGCCACGGGAGGCCCTTTTGATAGCGTTTACTTCTCGATCTCTGTCACTATTTACAACAAGCACCATCTCCTCTTTTCCACGACCTTCTCTATTGTCCCTTTTTTGCATGGTACCTCCTTGGTAAACCTCTTAAGGTCCGAGTTCTCCAAAAATCCTTGACTAAGGGAATTTTTATAAAGATAAAAAAGTATTCGCAAAAAAGTAATAATAAAAGAAACATAAAAAACCGGAAGGTCAACCAAACGAATAACAGCAGTAGTAGCTATTTATTTTTTGGGGATCGATCCCCATGCAATATTTCCATGAAAATACGTAAACCTGCTCCAAAATTAAGGTTAGAATGTATATATATATAAAAGAAATTTTCTATTTTTGAGTAGTTAAAAGTACATTTGTTACTTTACCATAAATGAAAAGCTAAAGTTCTTTAAATTGGAAGATCAAGTTCCAGGAGATATATTTAAGAGGATCAATCCCCATTTTGAAAGGATTTTTTTTTAAGCTACCGGTAAAAATTTCATCACCCATGCATTTACATATGCACCCATGAGACACACATACACAGAAGCACTCACTCTTCAATGGCTACTGTGTCGCGTGTCAGTGTCACACAAATAAAAGATATCGGACCAGTCCATCGTTTTTGACTCTTCCATGCCCAAGATCAACGCACTCTTTTGCCCGGCCGGCCGGGAATTTTAGTTATTATCAGAAAGACCTTAGTCACTGCCTTGTACATTTCCAAGATAGCCCTCGTCGCAGAGAGAATGATAACACCACGAAACCTCCATTACAGCTCATCGTGTCATATACATATACCAGGGAGTCCGATCCCTGTGCGCATAAAAGCCGACACCCGAAAGATCTCGATTCCCAGTAGATGATATAACCCGATTTCACTACATAAACGCGTTTTAAGTCTAATTATTACTTATACAAGGAGAATTTTTCCCGCGATCTTCCCACTCGACAGGGAGTCAGTGATCTGTTCATTCAACTCCTTTGGCTTTACGTTCACCTTAATTCCCTCCCGTTACATTGAGCTCTAGACCATTCACAAACTTTACATTTCACTATATTTACAAAAAAAAAACCTTCTTGATTGTAAATAACATTTGTAAACTATTAGAAACACAATAAAACTTTTGTCGACAGGCTACGGGATCCCTTGTCCCTCGCTCTGTTCGGTCGACATTCGATTCCGAGATCAAGATTTGTTGTAAACAGGGTTGCCAACACAATGTTTGAGGTTAAGGTTAATTTTCACAAAAAGGAAGAGTTGAAATGTTAATAAAAAAAGACAGAGAAATCTGAAAAAATTTCTTTTAGTTACTTTAACTTACTAAAGTATAATTAAATAAGGATTTCATTTTAAAAATTTTGCAATTTTTTTTAGTTACTTTTTTGAAAAAACATAAAATTTTGAAAACTGTCAAATTGATTTTAAATCGTTTGTTAAAACTGAATGACTGTGAATGACTATGATTGGTCAGTTATTAATCCAACGCCCGAAAAATGAGTAACGAATCAAATTTGAAGATATTTTCAATTTACATTTCTATTGGTTACAGCTTTTCCCGCGCATTATTTTTAAAAGATTTTTAATAAAATACACTTTTAATTATTTTAGAGTACTTAGAGTATTTTGTGATGATTAAATTAATTAGTTTTTAATATTAGATTGTGACATTAATGTTTTATTAATATATATCACAAAATTGATAATTGTTTTAAGTGTAAGAAGATATAACAGCTGTTGCTATGGAAACAAACGTCTGCATACGTCATGCAAGCAAGCGTGCGTCTGTTGTTGTATACACATACTGTATCAATACACAACATTTTTATTCAAGTTTTTAGCAAACCTTTTTAATATTTTTAAACTTTAAAGTAAATAAATATGGATGAATTAATTGGTCCTAATCTTCAAATTAAATTGAGTATTAAAGAAGGTAAGAATATTGATCAGTTTATAGAAACATAACCTCACTTTTTAATGTATACATTTAATACTGATATAAATATAGAATACTTTATTATGCTTTTTAATTAGTATTTATTTTCTTTATATAGGGAAATGTTTCAATAATATAGTTCATCCAACTGTTATTGTTGCTACAATAAATAATCATTCGTTAGAAACAAATATATTTGAAATCGATCCTAATCCTCAGTATGCCACAGATTTAGTTTGGGAAGTTGACAAAAATACAGTGCGAAAGTAAGTAAATTAGGAATTAATTTTCTACTTTAATTTAAATAAATATATTTTTTTTTACTTGATTATTTCCAGAATGAGAGCTGCACAAGTACCAATAAAAGTGGAATGTTTGATAATTAAAGAAAATGATTTTAAAGAAAAAGTTGGATACCTACTTTTAAGTATTCGATCAGCTCAAATTGTCACCAAAAGTAGATTGTCAACTATTAAATCTTCTTGGAATACTTTGTTAGGATTAAAAGGTGATTTGAAAATTTGTAAACCAGAATTACTGCTATCATTGACTGTTGAAGACCAGGATAGTGAACTGTTGAAGGTAAAACTCGTGGATAAATGTTTTTAATGTAACTATTTTTCTTATAATTTCTCGATTTTATTTTGACATTTATTAAAGGAAGATTTGGATATAAATTCGTCCTCCTTAAAAGCTGGTTTAGTACCTTGTCTGGTAGAAAAAGAGAGTTTAATTCAACTAGGTTCACCAGAAATATGCCAAGACATTTTTTTACTACACATTACAGCTAATATGGCTGCTAATCTTGATCTTCTTGCAAGAGAACTAGTCAGTGCTGAAACTACTTTTACGTTTTGGTATCATATTTTTGAAACTGACTTTCAGCTTAAACCATTCAGAAGCAATGATGCTAGTTCTTGGATGTTAAATGAAAAAATAGTAATAAAAATTAGAAGTTCATTAAATGTTTTAAAGAATTATTTGCAAACGAATCCATATATACTTGTTTCTTTAAAACATGAAAATAATTTAATTGGACGAGCAGAAATTGATCTGAATTCTCTTGTTCCTACTGAAAATATTAATGAATTTTTGAAAATATCTACAAATTTATCAACTGTATTAGATCATCATTGTTTATTATTAAATGGTACCAAAAGCGAATGTGAAGGTAAGTCTAGTTTTATTGATACTTTAATTGAAAAATTAAAAATGATAAATGATATGTATTCATTGGACAGGTCATGTGAGAAAACCATACGTTAGTCTTCAACTAGTATTACAATATGTGGGCTTAAAATATTCAGGTCTTCAGAAAGAGAATCCAGTATCTTCTACAGCCTTGTCAATTAATAAAATAAATCATGAAACTTTAGAACATAATTGTAATTTATTGGTATATAATATTCAGTAATTTAATTATAATATGTATATACTCACTTTTAATTTCGTAAATTAATAACGAATTATTTTTCAGATGCAGAATCATTCAGAAATAGGATTTCACAGAAATGCTGGCGGTGATTTTAAAAAGTGTGGAAATGTACAAAAACAATGTATGAATTATGAAATGATTCATCAACAACCAACTCAAATTCACTGTTGCAATGAATATTCGAAAAATGTAGAAATATACCGTTATTATTCCTTAAATGTTCAACTGGATGGGATTATGTTAAACACTTTTTGTCCAAAAGTTCATCATATTGAATTCAGGTACCTATTTCATTTTGTTTAGTTTTTCAGTTGTAAAATATGTAAATGTTTTTCTTTAATAAAATAGGTAACATTAAACTTATGAACTGAGAATTATACAGCAAATATTGGTCCTCAAAGAATTAATTATTACAATATAAAATAGATTTCATCATCCCAAGACGGAAATTTTGTCAACATTTCATCCTACGATGCCTATTTTGCCTGGAAAGAAGTTAAAACTAGACAATGTTAGTTATAAATTAAATTTCATTTCTGCTGCTGAAGAGATAAAAAAATTGTTGCTTTCTTTTCCACCAAAAATCAGTATTTGCGATGTGAATGACACTGGAAAACCGTGCCTAGCACAAACAATTTTAGATTTGAAGCGTTTATTTGATCATAAGGTATTGCAGAAAATAATAATAGTGAAAGATAATATCTTAAAAATTGAATATAACATTTTCTTTATTTTCAAGTTTGATAACCAATATGAAGCAATTTTAATGGATTCAGATAAAAAGAATATTGGAATTTTAGATGTTACAATTCGTTTGGAAGATAACGGTCCCTATTATAGAACAAAGAACAGAGTTTGTGGTAAATTTGATATTTTTAAAACATTATTTTATGTTTAGTCAAATATAATGTTATTTATTTATTTTAGAAGACAATTTGGGACCACCAATTTTAGACGATAGTTTAATATATAAAATTGTTGATGAACTTGAAACATGGAAAGAAAGACAGAAGGAAATATTTAGAGCAGAGGTAATAATTTTAATTTCATTTATTTATCCAAAATAAAATTGAAAATTTTTGTAATTGCAGTTACGAAAAAAAGAAGAGCGTCATTTAAATCTTCTAAGTACAGAATGGCAAATAAGGAAAGATAATCTAGAAGCAAAATTTACGAGCAGTGTGGAACAATGTAAATTATTAGCTAATACTTTAAATTATGCAACTGAAGATTTGCGAACGAAAAAACTTGAAAGTCTTGAAAAGGAAGTAATGCTTAATAAAGAAAGGGAGGATTTACATTGTAAATATAATTATAAATTGCATGAAATTAAAGAGATATCTTTTAAAGCACAAGAAGAAATTTCTGTAAAGGTACAGTAAAGAACTTACCGGATGAAATTTTAATTTTTTAATTTAAAAATTTTAAATAGTTTTGATATTTAAGTTTACTTTTATTACAAATGACATGAATAATTAATAAAAAATAAATAATTTTTTTTAAGATAAAATACTTAGAAGAACAAAATCGATTTCTCAAAATGCAACATGAGCCTTTAATACGAGAGAATGAAAAATTACAAGAGATTGTAAATAAACAGGCAGAGAAACTTGAAATTTATGAAAAAGGTACATTAACTCAAGACCAAACAGCTTTGTTCTTACAAGAATTGAAAAGTCTCGAGGAGAAATTAACTAATGCACAGAAATGTAAATCTTTTTTTAAAGAACAATGGGGAAAATCTGTTAGAGAAATACACAAAATGAAAATAGAAAATCAGCAAGCTGTTGAATTACAAATTAAAAGCAATAAAGAGGAATTGAACAATTTTAAGTTAGTTCCATTGACCTTTGATAATTTTATTCGATATATTATGTAGTCAATAATTTTAATGTTAAATTTAATTTCTTTCAGTATGGAAAATATTTTAAGCAGAGACATTTCAGGATTTCCGAGCGATCACGTTTTTTTGCAACAATTACAAAAAGAGATGAATTTAATAAAGCCTAAAATAACTTCCCTAGAGACTAATGCCAATGATCAAATTTTTGCTCCCATTAATAACTTGGTTTTAAAATCAAATCGCAATGGACTAACATCTGATTGGACAACAAGATCTGATGAACAGGAAGAGAAATTACGAGTTTTAATTGAAGAGAGAGACTCACTTTTGAAGACTGGAAGTTATAGTATAGATGATGCAGTAATTGTTAAATTAAATACCGAAATCAGATCACTTTTAATCTTTGGATAAAGTAAGTTTAAAAAGTAAATTTTATAAATTATTCAAAATTTCTTCATCTATTTGAAGAATAAAAGAGAGAAAGACAACAATAAAATTAACAAAATTGCTGCCAAGTTGAAGAATGAATATTTTGTATTCATTTCATCAACAATTTGCTTTCTTATAGATAATCAAACAGGTTTGTATTTGTATTATCTTAATAGAAAATACAGAATTAAAAATAATTTTTAAACACTATAAGAAAGCAATGATGAGGCCAATAGAGTTAATTGTATATATTAAACTTAAAGGCTGAATATTTTTATATTAATATTTAGGAATTTTTTAATAAACCACAATTTTATTAACGTTGTTATGTGACGACATTATTTTTCAATATAAATCGTGTGAAACTGAAACTTTTAAAAATCTTCCTATACTGTTATTTCATGCAAATTAAATAGATTTATTTTATTAAGATTATAAATTAATATAAAAAAATTAAAATTTATAAAAATACGGCAGTATATTAATAGGCGCTGGATAGTTTTTTATCCATTTTGGTCCGAAATAAACTCCATCTGTATTACCGTCTCTCCAAGCTCCAGCTGGAAGATAAATATCTCTTGAAACTGCACCTTCTTCAATGACAGGTGCTACTAAGATATCTTCTCCAAGAAGAAATTCTGAAATTAAAAAAAAAAATGAGTAATTTATCAATTGATATATTTCATCATTATGTTGTTTACCATCATTAATTTTATGAGCTTCTTTGTTTTTAGGATCGATCCACCAAATTGGTGGATTTACTGGTGCACCAGTATCTACGGCATTTTGCATTGCTATTTTAATTCGTGGTGTAATTTTTTCATGTAGTTTCGTCATGTTTTTACTGATTTCTACCGTCTGAAATTGTGAAAATTAAAATATTTATTGCAGCATCTTTTAAAAAATATTTTTTAATTCTTTGGAATTACGTACTTGCGCGTCATACTGCCAGGGAACAAAAGAAAATTGAAGAGACGGCATAAAGACATTGGCTTGAAGCCATCTGATAAATAATTCTTGAGATGGTAATTCAGTTTCTTCAAAAGAATTACCAACATATCCATTACCTCCAATCATATCAGGAAGTACGAAGACGTATCCATTTAAATTCATTTGTAAAAGAGTTGTTATTAAAGTTGGAAGGCCATTATTTCTGGTCCATTTGCTGTCCTTGTCGATCATTCTTATGAAAATTGGAAGATTTTGTGTTTTCCAACCAACACGTGCCTCAGTCATATTGTTGAAATTTTTGGCTAAAGTAGTTACATACTTTTGTGTAAAAATTCCTGGACTGAGTTCACTTTCTCCTGTTAATACTGCTGGTTGAGGTAGCCAGGAAACTTCTCCAGCGTCAAATTTAAAACTGTCTATTCCATCATTTTGTAATTTTTTTAATCTATCAACCCACCAAGTTACTGCATTTGCGTTTGTAAAGTCTATAACTGCTGCTTTGGTACCTGAAAAAGTATATAAATTATACCTATTATGTACTTATATTACTTATCACTTATAAAAAATAAATTTAAAATTTTTTACCTTGCCACCAAGTCATAGCAATATTATTATCGGTATTCTTCACGAAATATTCCTTATCTTTTGCTTCATTATATGCTGAATTGCAATTTTCATTGATAAAAGGATGAATCCAAAGAGTCGTTCTAAAACCTCTTTCTTTTAAAGTTTTAATTAAACTTGTAATACTTGTAAATTTTGTTGTATTAAATTCTGCAGAACCATAGCAACTTTCCCAATTATCATCAATTTCTAACTGACTGTTTTCAAAACCATTACTGACAATTTCCTTAGAATATTCATCAACAGTTTTCTCATCAATATTAACTTTATATTTGGCCCAAGTCGACCAAATAGGATATTTTATCATTCTTTCGTCTGGAATTTTGGTTGGTTTCCCTAAATGATTTTTTATCACTAATTCGTGGGCGAGTCTAGGATTACCAATCATGGTTCCAATTTCATATTGAAGATTAATGGTATTTCGAGATGAATAAGGATTTCCATTCTGAGCTATGAGACAAAGATGATTTTCTTTGTAATTATTTTGATCCAAAAAGAGAGGAACTGAGTCATCAACATAAAAATAGTTTCCTTCACTAGACAGCCAATAGCGTTCTGCTATTGCCATATTTGTTTGATGAGTTGGAAGATAAGGTTCTTCATCAAAGTACATTTTTTGAATAGGCCAATGTTGATAACGCATTTGTGGTCCTCCAAACCATTGTACTCCGTCCTTTAATTCTATGCATAAAATTATTTTTCCTTTAGAATCATTTATACTGTGAGAAACTTTGATTAAACCATTTGACTTGTCTATTTCTGTGTGTTTTACATTTCCTTTTCTGATACAAATTTTATTTTCTCCACAACTTTCAATTTCATGTTGTGCCGGAGATGTATTATCAGAGTCACTAATGTAAAGAGATGTTCGCAAATTAGATTCTTCTGTGAAAAATAAATTTAAATAATAAACACTTGATCAATTAATCTTGAAAAAATATATTTTTCATTTTCTTTAATTTATTTATTTTAAATAATTTACCATCGATGGTATTATATTCCAAAATTACGGATGTATTCTGCACCTCAGCGAGTATATCTCCTTTATGTTGTAATGGATTTAAATCAGGATTTACACAAGCATTAGCAAAGAATAATACAAGTTGAAGAATTGCTAAAAAATTTTTTCAATAATTAAATTTATTTTATATTTATTATTTATTTAGGTATAACTTTGAATTTAAATGAAATATATTATATTTTGCAGATTATCATTATTATCTCCTCAAAAGTGCTTTTAGCACGTTTACATTATTCAATAAATAAATAAGAAGATTTATTTTTTATGTTTTGAAATAATTTATTATTGTACCTAGGATTAAGTTCCACTTCATCTTTGCTGCAAAACAACTGCAATAATTAATCAAATTTTCTTTAAGAACTAGGTAAATTTGCTTTGTCATATTTATTTATATACTCATTGATTTTTAAATTGTTTATCATTAGTTTGTTATACCAAGAAAATGATTAGATTACAAGAAATGTTATTTAATTTCTCTCAAGAAGGTTCTTTATCTTTGATAAATGAAAAAAGATTTTAAAAATTTTCTTTTTATTAAAACCACTTTAAAAAAAATAAATTCACTATAATAATTAAGAATAATATGTATATTAATAATAATAATAATAAAAAAATTTTTACATTTCGTTATGGAATTTTACTCTAAAATTTATAAACTTAATTTAATGTTATTTAATCTTATTGTTAATTTAATTTAAATTTAAATTAAATAACATTAAAATATCTCTATATTAACTTAGCGCCAATTTTTGAAGTAACGATAGCAGCTCCACCTATGCACGTGCACGTGTGGGAGTTTCAAGGCGAGTTTAGTCAATTTAGTGATCAACAAAATAGTATAATACGAATTGTAATTTTTTATTTCAAGTCTCTTTAAATGTGTTGAAAAAGTTTTAAAATATAAGAAGAGTTTAATTGTTATAACTATTCAAAAAATTTCTGCAGTGCAATTGAAATAAATTAAAAATAGTCAGAAGCTTAATATATTTTAATCATTTTAAGGTTATATGAATTAACCTAAAAATATATAAAATTATCAAATAAACATATACTTTATTTTTTAATCTCTTTTTTGGTAAGTTAACAATTTTGTAGCATTTCTATTAAGATTTAACACTAATTTAGAATAAAATGTGATGAAATTAATTGTACAAAATTATTAATATCTATAACTTATAGAATATATTTTTAGATTGCGCACTTTTGCAATATATATTACAAATTATTATGTATATGTATACTTATACATATCATAAATATCTATTATAAAGATTTCTCAGAAAAAAAGTTAGAAATAATAGATTTTATCAACATTTGAAAACTGCTCCACACATTTAAAATATTATGTACATATAATAAAATTACACGATTGTGTATTTTTTTGCATTTTTTCTATTAGAGTATACTTACTTTTTTTTGTAAATATTCATGATGAAATATAAATAGAAAACATATATTCTTTTTTGTAGAAAAATATTATCAAACATGTCTTCTTGGAAAAAAGCATCAAAAACTGGACAAAAGACACATCGTGAGAGGCACCAACCTGAATTGCGTAAACATTTGGGTCTCTTAGAGAAGAAAAAAGATTATATAGCAAGAGCTAATAACTATCATGAAAAGCAAGATAAATTGAAACTCCTCAGAAAACGAGTTCTAAACAAAAATCCTGATGAATTTTTCTTTCACATGATAAACTCAAGAATTGAAAATGGAATTCATAGAGAAAAAGATAAACTTGATGTACATACACCGGAGCAATTACTTCTAATGGAAACTCAGGATTTAAAATATGTTGCCTACAAAAGAAATATGGAAGCAAAAAAAATTGAAAAACTGCAGGGTCAATTACATTTTCTTGATGTTTCTAATAATACTAAAAATAAACATACGTTTTTTGTTGATAAAGAAGAAAAATTGAAACATTTTGATTTTGCCAAAAAATTCGACACACATCCCGCGTTATTGAGTAGAAAAATTAATCGACCTAGAATAAGTAACTTAGAAACAATGAAACTACCAGAAATTGATGAAGATACACTTTTGAAAATTGAACAACAAAAGCATATGGCTTATAAAGAATTGGACAAAAGAATTGAACGGGAAAGACAACTTTCCATTGTTCAACAGAAATTGGAAATGCAAAGAGCTTTAAAGGACAAAAAGGTTATGCAACCCAAACAAGTTCGTCCTGGCACAAAAGAGGCACCTCCAATTTATAAATGGAAATTTGAAAGAAAGCGATAATTGTATACAACATTTGTAAAAAATTTCAGTTTCATTAGTAAATTATATTTATAATAAACACTTTTTTATCATTATATATTTGTTAGCAAGATTTTTTTCATTTGTTTATTTTATAAATAAATAATCACTTTTCATTTTATTTGTAGATATTATTCTTTTATTAAATTTATCAGAGTCTACATCAGAACTGAATTCGACAAATCTAAAAAAAACGACTATAGGTATTATTAATAATTCATGGAAGGAGAAAACTTTGTTAGCTTAAGTGTTTTTGCTCACAATCAGTAAAAAATTACTGCTCGAAAAGTTGTTGCAGATAATTTTTTTTTTTTTTTTAGAGAAATAATAATCGATAGATTTAATAATATATATTTATCTTCAACTACTAATACTAGTTTAACTCTTAAAAAGTTTTAATTTTGTGCGTTAGAATATATATGCTTAATGAATCTGCTTGATGTTTAAATAATAAAAGATATTTTCTTAAATAAATAATGTACAATAGTTATTTTTTAAAATATTTTCGTTTTAACAAATTTTTGCTTCAATTTTGTGGTGTTTTACCTATTTCGTCTTCTGGATTTATAATCAATGGTATTTGTATTTTAATTCCATTTTGCACTTCTTCATTCTTGGTTCTTCCTGGTTTTTATAACATAATTTTTCGTCGTGAAGACATGGCTGTAATGGGAGTCTTAAATGTTTTTAGTGAATTGTTAGAAACTTTAGTAGGGGCTATAAAAGGTATTTTTAAGTATTTTTTTTATGATAATTATATAAACTGTATATATCTATAATAATAAAAACAAATACTTATTTTGTGGATTTTTACAGTGATAATACTATTACCAAAAAGAAGAAAACTTGTCAGTCTTGTTAGACTGTGTAATGAATTATGGGAAAATATAGAAAATGAAAAAGAAGCTCAAACAGTAAAATATTATGCGACAATAGCAATGTATTTGACTTATGGATTTTTTATAAATGTATTTTGTGCTCTATTAGCTTTAGCGGTACAATCTTTATTTTCTCAATTCGTTTACAACTCTAATGGAACAATGGTATCGAGCAAAGAATTGCCATATTCTAGTGGAATATTTCATGAAAATATTCAATGTTTTTATATTTGGTATGCTCTTCAAATTCCAGCTGGATTGATAAGTATTATTCCAGTAATAGGAGTGGATACTGCAGTTGCTTTTTTTGTTTTTCACGCTTGTGCCCATTTTAAATTATTACAATATCGAATGTCTAAACTGAAACAATTATATGAAAAAAGTGTTCCATCAAAAAGTACATTTGCGGAAATTGTCAAGATTGTAAAACAACATCAACGTATTTTGAAGTAAGTAAATGAATTTAATTAAAATTTGAAACTATTTTATAATAGGTGCAGTAACTATATTCCATTTTTAGTTATTCTGCAGCAATAGAAAATATCTTCAGTCCAGTTGTACTTTTGCAAACTGTTTTAAGCATAGTAGCAATTTGCGGATTTGGATTTAATCTTCTAATGGTTAAAGAATTTACTTATTTCTTTCAAAATACCTACTTACTTCTTTCTTTCATCCCAAGCTTTTGATATACTGTTTTTTTTATTCAGGGAGGACAAGACACCGTGGCTTATGGTGTCCATTTAATAGGAGCTGCTCTACAGCTACTTATTTTTTGTTGGCCGCCAAATAATCTTCTTTTCGAAGTATATATTATTGATAGAGTCAAATTTACTTTATTTTACACTTTTTCATTTAGAGAACATTTTTTAAACTGGAAATGCGAATTTCGAAATATTCACCCGCGAAAATTGGAAAATATCTATTAAAATGAGGTTTCACTTTTCTGAAAAAATAAAAATTGCAATAGCTATTTTCCAAGTTTCACATATACAAACTGCGTTACGTTTATCGTGCATGTTGGATAAAAATTATATATTGTAGTCACTTTTTAGTTTCTAAAATAATCGTCTGTACCCAAATAATGCATTTTAAGATGGTTTTGATAATTTTGGAAACAACTAAAAAGTGTCTATTACAAAGTCTAATAATAAAATTCACTTTTTTAACGGTGAAGTAAGTAAAATTTCACAATTCAGATTTAGAGAGTAATTTTTTTTATTCGCCTAAAATAATAACAATTATTTTTTTCTAGAGCATGAATATAGGACTATGCGCTTACGATTTACCTTGGCATAGCTGGACAAAAAAAGAAGGAAAAGTTGTAGAAATCATTATTTCTAGATCTCAAAAAGTTGCTTTTCTATCAGCGGGAAAGTTTGCACATATGTCGCTGAAAACTTTTTCATCTGTAAGTTAATATTCTGATTGTAATTTTATGTAGTGATTCGACTTTTAAATCTTTTTTTTTAACATATTGAAATATTTAACATTTAATGTGGAAAAATTCCTATTTTTATTAATTAATTTAGAGTTTTGCCTAGATTTTGTCATCAGCATTTTCATTCTTCACTCTTTTAAGAAAAATAGTGTACTGACGATATCAAGTAAGCAACAAATAATACAAATAAACTTAACTGGTTAAAATATTCAAATTTAAATGAATATTCGCATAAACTTTGATTTGAATATTTTTTTACATGTGAACATTTTAATAAAAATACCAAGTATCATTTATAATTTAGAAAATAAAATTTATTCTATTTCAGAAGAAATAATTGCAACTTTTTTATTATTCATCTAATATCAGGACCTATATTTTCGATTTATGTACTTTCGCCAGCAAAAAATAAACGTAATTGCTGCCTGAATATATATTGACATCGAATATTCGCGATCTAAAGATATAATTTTTTATCGTTTAACTATATACATATATAGACAGGCTATTTTAGTTAGACTTTAACCATATCAATTGTCATTTCTGCTTTTTCTCTTGTATGGAAATGGATAAAAATTATTTCTTTAAGTATTTTTATTTTAATAAAATTTTATTACATTGTTGCGGTGTACTTCCCATAGAAACATGGGGTTCTATAATCAATACCATTACAATAATATTGCCATTTTGTTCTACAAGCTTTTTAGTTCTTCCTGTATTTTACACATTCTTTTTTCGGAATTTAAATTTTGAAACCGCTATGACTATTTTTTCTCTACTGGTGCAGGGAATCGCTGCTGCTTTCAAAGGTTACTGTCATGTTGCGTATACTTGTTTTAATCTGCGATATAGATGCGGCAATTTAATTAATTGTGTGCCAAATATTTTCAGCATTATTACTATTGTCCAAAAGGAAACGATTGAGAAATTTAGTTTTCCTTTGCAATAGTATATGGAAAAGTATAAAGAACGATGAAGAAGAAGCTCAAGTAGTGAAACATTATGCAACAAGAGGACTATATTTCACTTACGGTTTTTCTCTTATTGTTTTCACGGCTCTTGTGAATGTTATTTTACAGTCAGCTTTTGATGAGTTTGTTATTGATTCCAATGGAACAATTATAACAAGCAGAACACTTCCATATCCCTCAGGTTTATTCCACGAGAATATTCAAATATTCAATATATGGTATATATTGCAGATTCCAGCTGGAATATTTATAGTCATACTGATTGTTGGAATAGATACGGCTGTCGTCGTTTTTGTACTTCACGCCTGTGCTTATTTTAATGTATTACAATTTCGATTAGAGAAATTCAAAGAGTTGTGCGATAAAGACCAACAAAACATAAATGAATCGAATAAGATTTTTCAAGAAATTGTAACGATAGTTAAATTTCATCAGAGCATTTTGCAGTTAGTTTGAAAAGAATTTTTAAATTTTTCCATTCTGTATTAATTCGTAATAATCATATTAATCTATTTTTATTTTTTTAGTTTCACAGCATCTGTAGAACATGTCGTTAATCCTGTGGTTCTCTTGCAAACTGTCTTGAGTATAACTGCTATTTGCATATTTGGAATCAATTGTTTGTTGGTAATTATAATTTTTAATTTAAATCAACAGATGAGAAATTTTATTAATAATTTTAGAAGGACGAAGATATTCTGCATCAGGTTTTACATGTGGGGGGCAGTATTTTGCAACTTTTCATGTTTTGCTGGCCACCAAGCAGTCTCCAGACTGAAGTATGTATACACCTAATTACAGCAAAAAATTAAATAATTAAATGAACTTAACTTGTCAAGTTCAATCATAATTATACTAGCCATCTTGTGATCTATTCGGACGAGATGGCGTGGTATAATTATTTTTTATGCCTATTTCTACTTATTTTCTAGAGTTACAAAATTAGTATAAAAATATATGATTTACCATGGTATGATTGGACGAAAGAGGAAAAAAAATTGGTGGAGATAATGATTTTTAGATCCCAAAAATTTGTTGTTATGTCTGCTGGGAAATTTACTTTTATGTCTTTGCGTACATTTACTTCTGTAAGACTTCCTTTTTAATCGCAAGTAAAATGTGCACAAAAGAAAAGTATATGGTTGACGCAACGTTGCATATGATATCTTCCGAAATAATCGCAATTTTTAATTCACTGTGATAAATTTTAATTATTACTAAATCAAATAAAAAGTTCCGTCTTCCACATCATTGTAACTTGAGTACATTCATATTACTTTTTTTCTGTATACATAAATTCAAATAAATATCAATGTATTTCCGTTTTTCAAAGATTTTGTCATCAGCTTATTCATTCTTCACTCTTTTAAGACGGATTTTATGAATAGGAGAAATTTTTTTTTCTTAAACATAACACGTTTAAGAAAACTTGAGAAAAAGAAAATCAATTAAAGTGAAAGGAACAAGGTTTGCTGCGTTTTTAAAATAATAATAATAACAACATTAATATCATATTTTATACTCCTTTCAAATAAAGTATAAAGTAATTTTAAAAAACAACTATGTACGACTTTTTATTTATCTCAAAAATTTAATAAATTTACAATGTCATCTATATGTATTATAAATCAATAATCAATTGCATTTTTTATCCCATTTTTATTAGAAAAACATCAATAGTACAAGTGAATGTTTAGTAAGACTTAAAAAATTTCAGTACATTTTTCAGTAGTAAAACTTGGGTTTAGTCAGACATATAATTAGGTAATAAAGTGACAAAACAAAATCTCATTTTGTGGGTATTCTTTCTATGTATGTATCTTGAATTTAAATTCTCTTTTCGAAAAATTGTGCATAATTTTTGAATAATTAATTATTCGTTGCGGTTTGAAATAGTCACTGTGCGCATAATTTTTCCACCTGGGATATCGTGACCAACAATAAAAAATTGACAAACGAAATGTTCTTGAACAAATAATAATTGGGTGTGTTGTATTATTCATAACTTATGTACGGTCTTTTATTCTCGATTTCTTTAAGACCAAGACAACTATAATAATATAAAAAGCTTTACTCTTGCAGCAAAAAATATTATTCTGAAGACAACGTATAATTGCTGCCTATATACTATACTTGGCTCAGACAAAAATTATATGAGATATTCACTTTTACTGGCACATTACAATTCTCAATAAGTTATTTTTCCATATTTCTGCTTCTATATATATATTCTATATAAAATGAATAAAAATCATTTTCTAAAGTATTTTCATTTTAATAAAATTTTACTTCATTTCTGCGGTGTTCTTCCCATAGAAACATGGGGTTCTATAACCAATGCATTTTCAATTGCATTGCCATTTTGTGCTACTGGTTTTTTAATTCTTCCATTTTTTTATACTTTTATATTTCGTAATATAGATTTTGAAACTGCTGTAGACATTTTTGCTTTACTGTTGGAAGGAATTGCTGCAACTTTTAAAGGTTATTATAATCTTATTTTTTTATTTATACATATATTACTTAAAAATATCATGATATTCTTTATACAGTAATATTATTATTGAGAAAGAGGAAACAATTAAAAAACCTAGTTTTTCTCTGCAATGGTTTATGGGAAAATGTGAAAAATGAACAAGAAGCTGAAGTAACGAAACATTATGCAATAAGAGGGATGTATTTCACCTATGGTTTTTTCGTTAATATTCTAGTTGCGTTAATAAATGTTCTCGTTCAACCAGCCTTTGATAAATTTGTTACAAATTCAAATGGCACAATGCTGTCCAGCAAGACACTTCCATTCGCCTCAGGTTTATTTCATGAAAATGTACAAATTTTCAATATTTGGTATTTAATGCAAATTCCAGCTGGAATCGTTGCACTTGTACTGATAGTGGGAATAGATACTGCTGTCGTAGTTTTTATCTTACATGCCTGTGCTCACTTTAATTTACTACAATATCGATTGTTGAAACTTAAGCAGTTATGCGAAATGTATCAAAAAGAAGCAAAGGACACTTTTCAAGAAATTGTAACAATCGTTCAATATCACCAAGATATTTTAGAGTTAGTTTGTAAAGATTTATTATGTTACATATATGTAGGTATCAATTTTATATGCGTGTATATTCGAATTTTTTGCAAATACTTTTCAGGTATTCGGAAGCTGTAGAGGATGTATTCAATCCTGTGGTTCTTTTACAAACTGTCATAAGTATAGTTGCCATTTGCATTTTTGGAATCAATTGTATGTTGGTGGGTACAAACAACATAATATAATTTTTAAAAATAAACAAAAATATCCAGAAGAAATTTTCTTTTAATTTTTATAGAAAGATGAAGATATTTTGAATCAAGTTTTACACGTTGTGGGTGGAATTCTGCAACTCTTGATGTTTTGTTGGCCCCCTAATAATCTTCAGACTGAAGTATTTTAATTTAATACAAAAAATAATATAATTATATCTATATACATTACGATTAAATATATCATTGCAGAGCTATAATATTGGTATGAAAACTTACGATCTACCTTGGTATAATTGGCCGAAACAGGAAAAAAAATTGGTGGAGATAATGATCTTTAGATCCCAAAAATTTGCATTTCTGTCAGCTGGTAAATTTACCTCCATGTCTCTGCGAACATTTACTTCTGTAAGAATTATTTTTCCTATTCGTTTCTAAGTCAGAGACGGAGGTTATATGATCTTTATACATTTTCGTTTTTTAAAGCAGATTCTTTCATCAGCATACTCATTCTTCACTCTTCTAAGAAGGATTTTATAAACTTTTAAATTTTAACTAATTAAAATTAAATCAAGTATTTTATAAAGAAAAACTTGTTTAACAGAGATAGAGGTATAGTATAAATTATGATGACGATACTGCAGGCAGGGTATAAAAAAATAAGAAATAAAGAAATCAAAGAGAAAAAGGTTTTCAGTGTAACACTCGGATTATCATTTCTCTTTCTTTCTCTAAGCTCTTTCTCATTGCCGAATTGTAAGCAGATTTCAAGTTTCTTGCTCAGAAATGGGGAAAAAATCTTTATCCACTGTCCACTCCATCAGTCAGTAAACACGTTTTTTAGAAAAGCGAAAAATTCATGCTCTAGGTATGTAAAAAATTATTATTTGTTGCTGGCATAATCGTAAATTTTAATCACACTTTTATTTATAACTAATAAATTTAGCTTAAATGACGTATATAAATACGAAAGCTCTACTCAATTTTTTTACATTTTTTATTGCATACTTGAACTATTCTAAAAGAAACCACGTTTTAAAGAAACGAAGTTGCTTACTTCACTCGTTAGGACAGATATCTTTTCTTTTTTTTAAGAATTTTATTGGCCTCGCTATCGATGGTCACGTCTTAGGGGAGCTGGGGGTTGGTTGTAACAATTCTTTTTAACCATTTATTTTATACAACTCCTACAAATGTTCTTAACGCTTTTCTTGAGCCAAAGTAATAAATTTTATTGTCCTTTTGACTTAAAATTACATTAGCAGTGTCACATGTTTAGTAAAATTATTTATAATTCTCCAAGTGTTTGCTTTTCAAAAGAAGTGGATAAAATCACGAAAAGTGAGTCCATCAATCGTTTACCCTGACGCTCATGAAAAGCAATGAGTTGAGATACCCTCTTTTCTATATAGTTTATTATTTATCTTGCGCGTATATCAATAAAATCACACACACAATTCATTCTTTTGTTTGCGTGTAATAAATGTCATTTTATTTGAAAGAAAACTCGGAAAGAAATTACCCATGATCCTATATATTTAATTTACTGAAACTTTCAATTCTTTCACCTGCTTGTTTAAGTGTATTTCTATATAACGAAGCATGAAATAAAGCTTGGTAGGTGTTTAAAATGTTTTTTGGTCGATAGGAGGAGAATGTCATCTTTGATATTATATGCATAGCAGATGGAATGGATTTCATTAACTGGAGAGATCTCGTTTCGTTCAAGAAACGCGACTTACGCGAACTGGAATTGTGCTGTACCAACACACGCAATGTAAAATCACTACCATCACTTGGTCACAACTATGGAAAGCTGTCCATGCCAGATGCACTTCTCAGCCACCCCTATTGCCTATAATTAATTCCGAAGCACACCCTACCCTCTACTGCACTCGCACTAATATTTTAAGGCTCTTTTTTACCAAACGATTAAACTTATTCATGAGATTACTATCGATTCGAATAAATTCATTTCGCAGATGAATTAAATATATACGCACGTAATTTATTGTCATAGAAAATTAAACCAATTTCAACGCAACAAATTCTTTTTTCACTCTCTAAACCTGAATCAGTGGCAAGAACAATTCAATTTTATTGATATGAAAAAAAAGATGAAGCTTTCTTAAAAATATATGAAATTTAATATACAGCAGAGATGCAATTTGAAATTAAAAATGAGTCGTTGAAAATTTAATGTGGGAGCTATAGGGTGTTGATAAATATGACGGTTCTATTTCTGGATAGCTATAGGAGACGCTTTAATAAAGACTCGTACTAAGTCAGTTCGCTCTCATATCAAGAATTCTTTAAGTTCCACACATTCCTCTCGTCAGGAACGTTTCTCAAAAACATTCCAGTGGTTCTCGATGGTTCATTGATAGACTTTAGACGCCATCATTACCACGTCATCGTTATGTAGATCCCACATTTTTTTCTCTCAATGCACAAGTCTATTAAAAAACTGTTTCTTCAGAATTTAACTGCTAAATTAAATTCATTATTTTATAAAGATGACAACTTGCCGGGGATTTGGAAAAATTTTAAATGTCAAATTTTTTTCAACATTTTTGGCTCAAAAACATTTTTTTCACCAGACTCTGAAAAAATAACAACTTTTCTATTTCAATTTAATTTTCTTCTCTGAAATCATATTAAGTTTATTCCATCTTTTCCTTTAGAATAAAAATAAGAGGCTTTTTAGTATCTACAATTAGCTTGTAAGCTTCTTTTACCTTAATCCTAAAATTAAATTAAAAATTAACAATTTCATGTGATAAGAGGATCGTCGTTGCAAAGCTTCAAGTCATTTATTCCAATAACTTTTGAAAATTAAAGCAATTGCGCAAATATGAATTGCATTTATAACATAATAAAAATAAGAAATATTTATTGTAAACTTAATTTTAAAAAGATAGAATAATTGTTAAAGTAAAAAAATGGGACGAGGGCAATAATGCGGATAATCGCTCTTCCAATTTCTTTTTTTTATAATCTAGAGGACAAGTAAACCGAAGAATTCAGAGTGTGTCTTGCGGCAATCACTGCAAGAGCTTTACCACCAACATATAATGGAGCCGAGGAAGCATTTTCATTATCCCCCTAGATCTTGATCTTAAAAAAGCTGGCACTTGCCTCAGTCGAGAATAACTTGTCTTTTACGCATATAAAACGTGTAAAAGCTACGAAAAAGATTAAATAATAACAATTATTGGAAAATGCGAAATTGAAAGACTCAATTTTTAGTCAATATTGCAGCAATGTTTGTGCTGTGGAGGAAAATTATTTCCTTTTTCAATTTTTATCCAGCCATTCAGGTATTATAAAGACTGAAGAACTTTGAGACTAAATGAAAAGAGTAGGCGCAAATGCAACACGAAGAATAAAAGAATGAAGAATGTATGGGGAATGGAGAAAGTAAATGTAAAATAAGCGTGATAATGTGTAAGTATAATAAGAAGTGGGGCGTGGCGGGGGCCAGTGATGGTGGGTGTTGAAAATGATGGACCTACGAGTTGAGGGATGAAATCGGGGTTAAGAGGGAGGGGAGTTTTGAGGGTTGGAGGTTTTTCATTGAGGCGCAAGCGCTGTTAAACGCTGATGTAGGAGACACTTTGGATCTTCGAGAATCGGAAGAGGAAGCCGAAGAAGCTCAGCGGACACAGACAGCGGAGGGCAGCGACGGCCCTGAGCCGGAAACAGGGGTGAAATGCGCCTCCGTCGTCCTCATCAATCGGCCTCGGCTTTTTCGCAGACGAACCCTCGTCAACACTTGAAAAAAGAAACTGACTAGCACATCCATCTGACGGAAATCGGGAAGCAGCCGTCGGCTTGACGGTCTGCACAACCACTTGTGTGAGTTTCTTACTACTTATATATACGTTTGTCTCTCTTCCTCTTATTCTTTAAACATTTGCATTTATCAAATCTTTTCTTGTATATTATTCGTTAAATATATTTAAAGCAGGTTGTGTTTCTAATACCCCAATGTCTCTTAAATGTTTAAGACAGAAATTCAAATTATTTCACACCCTACTTCCATATATTTTAACTTGTTATGAAGAGAATAAAAATTAACTTAATTTTATTGGTTAGAAGTTTCACATTAAATTTTTATAAGAAAGCTCCGAGTAACAGGATTAAAATTATTATTTTTCTTTGGACTATTTTTTGAGAAGAAAAAAACACAATATGATTTCCTATTTTATTTGTAATAAATTTGACTAAATAGCTTATAAATAGCATAGAAAGTGTTACTCTAGAACAACTAATTACTTTTTGTACGGGTTAAGTTATTGTGACATAGAAAAAACCTGGGTTCATTTTTTTGCCAATCAAATGGATCAACATAATGTTAAACGACAGAGAACGTACGTGGCTCACTAAGGTTTTTTTCTGTTCGAATGAAAATCATTTTTAGGCATTTATAATATAAACATATTTTCTTTGAGCTGTTTTAGTTAGTGAAAAATTGTTGAATATTTTATAAATTTTGAATTTGCACTATTCTGTAATAAATGAAGATGAATTATTTGTCAATGAACAATTTTAATTGTCCAAGTCTTTTGTCAAAAGTTACAATTATTCTAATAGATATTATATTAATTATATGGACAATAATTTCAATGAAGCATATCACTTGATCAAATCTTTGTGTGACAAGAGTTTCTCGTTTCTGGTCACCCCTATGCTTCAAGTATATACGTTTCAGCTTATAAGCTAAGGTTAATCAGTATTCTCATTTCCACATGTCAGTAACACTAAAGGAAATGTATTATCAGAAGGTCAAAAGAAGAAGAAGAAGCATGAGATTCAAACAAGTAGAAAATTTGCCGGAGGTCACTTTCGAGACGATATATCGAATATACGCGTAATAATAGAAATATATATTTATTTTTTACTTATACATATTGGTGTCAGGTTCTTAGAGAGCCACATCAGAACTCGGGACTCTTGATAGTGCAAGCTTGGTGAGGTTAATAGAGTGATCAGTAACAAGGTTATAAAGCAATCTGCATAGCTGTGCTCGGTACTTTACTCAACTTGGGACACCCTCACTTTTAGAGTTGCACGGTAATTACCGACAATAATCTAATAACCGGCATCGTCAAGAACGGTAACTGGTAACTGAGAAGGCTTACATTCTATTTCTAACATCTTGTTTTTCAAAATGAAACTATTAGCGATTCTTCAATCACTGACATTAATCTTCGCTTTTAAACTGTGTAAAGAATAACTCGATTTATGGTCAAACAACCATGTGCAATTTAAAAAGTATAGGTATAGAATACCTATACTTTTTTTAAGTAAAACATGAATGAAATTCAAATAATATAGTAATATAGGTTCATTCTTCTCCTCAGATGTTGAGACTCATAAATTCGTTTTATCCCGATCGAACGTATACCTAATTTCATTTGAGTTCTTATTCATTCCTTCCGTCTTTAGTCTTTTCTTTCCATTCTTTCAATTTCCATTTATATTCGCAATCGCAATCGACAAAGAAGTGTCAATATATACGCTATAAAGTAAATAAGTGAATGTATATTGAACCTTACATGCGCGTCAACAGAAATGACATAGGGAAACGATTTCGAAAATGAAAAAATCTCTATTTTCAAAGTTGAAAGGACAATCCGACGCTTTCGTCAGTTGCCAGTAAGCGTTTTCTCTATATAGTTAATGCAATTCCACTCAAGTAATTCACTTAGTGTGCAATATCGCGCGACAAAGTGGAGAGCAGTAACTTTAATAGGATGGTTCTGCTTCTGCTATTGACAGCAGGCTGTGCCAAAACTATTTCATCAATTTTCTTCAATTTAAATCTACTTTTAAAATAGCTCTCTAAACACTTTCTAATACTCTCTAATGCAGTTTTCTTGAAAAATCAAATTCATCTCAATTATGCCAAACAGAAATTCTACTTGAAATTACATTCAATTTGAGTGATTTTTATAAACCTTAAAAGTATAATGACATTTTTTCTATTGTTATAATGGACGCGCCAGTAGGGGAGATTGGCTCAAAGTTTCGTGTCTGCCTCGAGCGTGAAAATTTTCACTCTCTGATATATTCAAGGTGCAAAATACATTATTATCAGAAAATTAAGTAAATTTTATCGTAAAAAACATTAAAAATTTGTCATTAGATATCAGACTTTAAATTTGATTGTGTCAAACGCATAATTAGTTAGTTTAAAGCAATTTTTCACATTTTAAGCTATGTGTCTTGGATCTACTTGTTGAAGCTCCTCGAAGCAACAGTTTGCCCTTTAAGTTTTCTCTCTCCCTCTCTCTGTTCGATACTTTCTGAATCGACAATCACCCACAGTCGACAGCTAGCCTCTATTTCTCTTTTGATATATTTAAACATATTAAAATCACAAAATCAAAATTTACAAAATACATAATATTACATAATATTGACGATTTAATATTATTTGTAAAAGAAAATCTTTTTCATTTTTTTTAGAATTAAAAGAAACTAAATTTTAGTGAACTCGCTCTTAATTCATGTTGTACCAAATCTGAATTTGAACTTTTGAGAGTATAGTTGTTAATTGACTGCCTTATATGTTTGACTGTAGACAGGATCAAAGTTGCAACGAGGTATAATTAAGCTATTCATTTGGCAAACTACATTAGCTTCATCTATAGTAAACTAATAATACTCTTTTAACAAACTTGAACGTCTTAATCAGCTCGTATATTTCATCTTTAATAGTGAAACGTAGATCAATAAAGTTAAAAGAAATATAACAATTAATCTTTAACATACATGGAAAAAATTCTTTAATATTAATATTCTTTAAAGGTAAAAGTAGAATATGCGAAACATGATAGTCACGTTTTATACTATAAATTCATTCGTTCGACGGGTTACAAGATTTTTCTATTAGCAGAGGTAGGGGCACGTGCACTGCATTATTCTTCCCTGGGACAAAAGTACTTGAAAAGTACATAGGTGTACTTGTTGGAATTTGCGAGTACCCTTCGTAGAAAATTTTTCATTGTTTGACATGTGTACATGGTTTAATAATAATGAGACCAGATGAATTAGCGACACTCGATCAATCTTCATATATGCTCTATGTCAATTGCAGGGCATCGTTGAATATCTCATTCTTCCGTAGGAAATGCATAGTGTTATTTATTTAATATTTATATGTATTTTACACCTAGAGAAGAAATATACTTCTTTCAGAGTTTAATAATAAAGAAATGAGATGAAAAATAATAAAATGTAGTATATATTTCATTAATTAATGCGATTGAAGAAAGTTTTAGAAAACAAAAGTATTTGAAATTTGAAATAGAATAAAGAATATTGATGTTCTTTGAAAAGTTAGTCAGGAAATGATAAAATAAAAGCTCTGCCTAATTGAGTTATAATAAATAGGGGGAGTGAGTAACTTTGAAAGGGCAAGCTTTGCCACTGTTAAAAGCCTGTAATTAATACGTTTAATTCTGTTTCGCTTGGAGAATGAGAATCGTGACATCCAATGAAAAGAGGAATGGGCTTTAACTTGATTTCGCAGCTTTGTTTTCGAAAGGAATTCTACTTTCGCTTACACTCTTTATTCGATTGATATAAAAATCTCATAAAATTTGTGAATGTCCAATTGACAATTATAAATTAAACATTAGATAATACAAGAAAAGTGGTTTGGCTTTTCGAAAGTGTAACGATGAGTATGAATAGAACTGAGTGATTCAATAAAATCAGGTGAACTTTGTGGACATAAAGTCAATAGATTTCAAAGCTCACGAAGGCTTTCTTCTGTGAACACTTGACTGAACTAAGGTTACGTGTATGTATTTGAGGATCTGATCGGCTTCACCCAAGTGGTGAGTGCCGGAAAGAATCATTAGGGAATAGTAGCTCGTAAGTGGCATGCCATTCTTGCTTTTAAGAGCTTCCAAGATTGTAAAATTTTAAGGTGAAATGTCGTTGCAATTGAAGAAAATTTTATAATTACATTCAAATGAAAAAAAAAATTTAAAAAGAGTATTTTTTCTTTTTAAAAACATACAATTATTTGCATAAATTTTAATAAAACGATGTTTTAAGCGTTCTCATGAAAATAAATAGAATTTAAAATATAGTATAGGTATAGACAAAACTCAATTTATTTATTATTACAAACATTAGTAAACATATGAAACGATTTCAATCATTATTGCTTGGATAATCCAATGACAAGTTGTTTCAGTGACGATTTTCATTTTGATGATATTGACGCAGGGCGCTGTGAAATAATGTAATTTAACAGAAATTAATTGCGCACGGAATGTAAAAATGTGCAATATACTTACAGCCTCCGTACTCTGGCACAGTATTCGTTTACCCACTCTCGATGAAAACGTTGAATATTTTCGCGGGGTACGTGCGTGTCTCTTAAAATGCAAGTCCAAGCAATTTCCATACTGATAGTTACCATCATTTGCATAGGTACATTTAGTTCACAGCGATGATGTATAAGTGTGTCCCAATCAGCATCGGTAACAGAAGATCTGTTCCTCATTATGCTTGCAAACTGATCTATCATCCGCAGACCACCATTTTGAATTACATCACTGATTATACGACTTTTTTCTGACAGACACCTTCCCATTCGATCGCAACTCATCAGAATCTCTTCTACTGATACATTCAAATATTGCACACTCAATTCATTTGGTAGTTCTAAGTGGTCTGACTCGTGGTTCTGTGCTGACGCGTACTCTAAAGTACCTGCAAATTAAAAGAAGAAGCCAACAATTTAGTTGCTAGCTCAAGAGCTAAAATTAATATCTCTCTTATTACTTACAAAAGATAAAAATCAACGACAGTAAAAGGTATGAATACTTCATTGTTAAACACTTGATTGTAAAATGTTGTTATTCTTAAGGCCAACTGCCATTTAAGAATGTAATCGAAATGTATTCTAATGAATTCAAATGCATTTACCTCCAACTTACTTAACATGCCATTCTTATCTAGAAAATTGAAATCCTGCACTTGCCAATAATAAATTATGAATATAACAATATCAATTTTTATGATAGCAGTCGATACAACAAAATTTTATATTTTTTTATTTTAAAATTATAAATAGGCTAAAATTACGGCGCGTAATATTATATTTAATATAACTGTTGCAAAATGATTTTAAAAAAATATTTTAATCTTTTTTTGATACAATTTCAACAATTATTAATTTAATTATTTGAGATCAAATTTTTTCCCTCGCCGTAATTGAAACATTTTTAAGATTTGCATTGGCTCCAATTACGGTGGGCAAAGTAACTATCTTCAAAATATACGTAATTTTGGTCACCGAAACTGATACAAACGCGCCGTAATAGAAAATTACGGTATTAGTTTCAATTTCTAATATTTGTTTAAATAATCGATTTTTATAAAGTTAAAATTTTTTTTTAACATCTATTAGATAACATAACTTTTAGTTTAATTTATACATAATAGAAATGTTGAATTTTCTATTTCAAAGGTGTTTTGACTCGAATCGCGCCGTAATTAGTGCATTTACCCTAGTCTTGTTAGAAATAATGTAATTCTTGTCAATTTTCATAAATAAAAGTATAAAAAAATTTTATTTTTTCCGTTACGAGATATTTAGTAAAAATAAAAATGAGATTAATATTCGAATTTTTTTTGTGTCATTATAAATTATTGTGGTTTTTGATATTATATAATTAAAATTTATTTTTTATACTTTTTTACCATCTGATATTTAACATCAAGCAACAATTAGCAATATAATAATTAAACACCAAAAATAATTATTTATAATTATATAAGTCTTACTTTTATTTTCAAAGTAGTTTCCGATTATTTTTAAAAAAATTTTATCTAATTAAATTATTGAAAATTAATATTTTGTTGAAGGGAGATTAAATAGAATAAGCTATACACGCATTATTTTTAAAACATTTTTTTATTTCATTCAAGTAATACAATTTTTGTGTTTTTGATCATAATAAATCGTCTAATGTTCCCACCTTGTTATTTTCTGTTTAGCTCTGAAAGAAAAAATAAGTATTACATTGTAACCAATAATTATCTATAAATATATGTGAAATTAAAATATACTGTCAGTCTTACATTCGTTCTATGCGATCACAATAGATTGGTAGATATTCTCTTCTCAGACTCTCAAGTCCCTGCTTATTGTTTGCAATTACTTCTGGAACACATTGAAAAATATATTCGAAACCAATATCCAACATTGTTTGTAATACAATATCCCGATGACAATGTCGATCCATTGCTTTTTGCCACAATTTTTCATTCAGAGGAGGATCTTCCCTTGATCTGTTTACTAATAATTCTATAAATTTTTCTCCATTTTTCTGTTCTATCACCTCCAATGTTTCAAGTCCTATAACAGTTCTGCAATGCATATTTCTTTCTTCGCATTTTTGGTACAACTCATTTTTGGACATATTTAAATATTGGTTTAAAAGTTCTGCAGGTATGCTAAATCTTTCGGCTGCTACACCGAAATCTGGAATAAAATTAACGCACAAGCACAAAATGATTTCAAGCTGAATAATCTTTTAATGAAATTTCATTTAATTATCTCTGACTCCCACTTTTTAACATTTTTGACAATATATATTACATTTCTGCTGTTTACTTACAGAAAATAGTTAGAGTACCGAGAAAAAAAACCAAAGCCCTCATCGTTCTGCAATTCATCAACAAATGTCTTTCATTTTTCTTAAATAGGTTTCTCTTATATACTTACACATACATGTACATCAAATTATGTACAAGTAGGTACTTTGTCTTACATAAATTTAAATAAAATCAAAAATAAACACAAGTACATGCATATGTAGAGTTAAATTTATTTAAATTCACCCAAGTCTGTATATTACATTGTAATAATTTAGTTAATAATTTTTTAATTTTATATATATTAATTTACAGCAATAACATTTTCGTATCATTATTTTTTCTAATTAAAATTAGAGAACTAAATAAAATAAGATACAATGTTCTTATTTTAATAAAAAATTTTCCCTTATTTTCGTCTAATTTCATATTATTTTTAGTATACCTCGGAAAAGTATAAAATTACTTTCTGCCCAGTATTGTATATTTACAATTTATATGTATACTGTTCTTTAGAGAGCTTTTTGACAATAGGAACTTATTTTCTGAAATAAATAAATAAACAAAATTAAAAAATGAAATTTAAAAAATATATTGTATTTAAATGTAAAAGAACTGTTTTCAAATAAAACATAGTTTTATATACCTTTTTATTATTTATTCATTATTATTATTATTATTATTATTATTAAAATATTTAGTTTAATCTCTCTTTTGCTCTGAAACAATTCAGAAATTAATCAAGTTTGTTTTTTTGTGAAATTATATTGCAAAGAGCCATGAAAAAGATAATATTTGTTACAAAATTGAGTTAAAAAATTTTTAAGGATATTTTTGATTCCTCGCGTCCTTCAGGATTAATCAAAACAGTTTCTTTTAAAATTGCAGCTAAATATGGATTAATCAGGCAATGTATTTGAATAAGTGATAAGAAATATAGGTTGTTGAAAATCAATTACAAATTCTCTTGTGATAGATAATGCTTTATTAAGAACTTAAATTGCATAAATCATTAAAATTTATTAGATACATATATTTATATACGACGATATACATATACATATTTATGCAAAAGTCGAGTTATGATCCATCTTCTTTGTTGACTAAGCTTCAAAAGTCGAATATTAATAAAATTTGTTTGGAGCTAGAAGAAAGTAAACATAAAAATCATCAAGATATTTGATATGTTTCTCACTGAAGAGAAGAAAGCACTTAATTCTTGATAGATAATTTTTAGAGGAAACTTACACTCTGCTCACTCTATTGCAGTATTCATGCAAATAATTTCGAATAGCATTTTGAAAGACGGGACTAGTGCTGGTTAATCCAGGCATGCAAGGCAAGAGATTTGTCAAACCCGTGTTTGGAAGTGCAGGAAGAAAAGCGTTACTACGGCATTCTTCGTCAATCATCGAGTTCCATTCATTTTCGTTAATTGAAGAATTATGACCTACTCTATCGACTATTCGGTGTATCATGCGTTCGCCACTTATTTGCTCTGCAACGTCTATGGTTTCTTGAATTCGAGAAATTGTGCATCTGTTGACAGTCTCACATTTCTTATATACATCGATTATAGATACCCCCAGTTCAGGAGTTGCTTCGTCAATAGGTATGATAAAAGCTTCACCCATCACGTATTCTGTGCAATCTGGAAATTTATAGAGTAAAATAATATTAGAAATGTAGTGTGTACAATTATGTAATAGAAAAGTTACTTACAAAAAGCAAGCAATATTGTCAACAAAAAATTTAAAGACTTCATCATTCGATACTTAGCTTGAGCTCTTCTAAATTTCAACTAAATTCTTAAGACATGTATGTCATTCAAATGTATTGAAATTTATTCTCAATTTTCTGTTTTATCTATATCGTTTCGGTAGCTGCTATATATTCTAATTTTCATTTCAAATATAATATATGACCAATGAAAATTCTCTTATTTCAATAATTTATTATTTACTTTGTTACAATGTGGGTTAATTATTTATTCGGCCATGTTTAGAATGCATAACATGACGGAGCAATGAATAATATTGTCAATGAGTTGCAATAAATTATTTCTGAACAATTAATACTTTTTATTAGAATTTATTTCATAATAATAATAATAATAATAATAATAATAATACAATGTTAATAATAATTTCCGTTTTCGTCAATTTGAAACCTTCTCTTTGCCCTGTAAAATGATTTTTATTTATTGTAAAGTAAAAATATTTATAACTGAAATTATTATATACATAGAATAAAATCTTACGCTTCTTTGACTCGAAAACAATAGATTTCTGTATATTCGTCTGTAGCCCTTTTTACAGTGTCAGCACTTGGAATTTCTGCTGGAGAAAGGCAACGACTTAAATTATCAAAAGTATCTTGCAAACTTATGATAAAGAAAGGACAGTTCTTTTGTATGAGAATATTCCAATCATTTTCAGTAACTGGAGGTAATTTTTTTGCTTCCTTTACTATATCAATGATTAGATATTCGCCTGAAAATTTCTTCTCTAGTTCCAGGTCGACAAATTTAGAAACAAGACGTTTATCTTTTACTCTGCATTTTTCAACTAATTCATTTCGAGATATATTCAAATATTTTTTTAATATTTCCTCTGTAGGCAACTCAAAGTTTTGGCCTAATGAATTCCCTATGAAAGCTGAAAATTGATGAGTTGTTGTAAATTTCTTTAAACTTAATTCCATGTAATAATTATAAAAATAATTTAATTTTTATGGGCCCTTTGAAAAGTTGTTACATTACTCACTAAGAAACAAGCAAAAATACCCAAGTTTTTGTTAAATTATAAAAAGTTAAACTGATGCTTTTTAAGATCTCAAAGCTAAATAAATTCTTATTTATAAATAATTTTACTTTCGCTTATCGTAAAGTATAATTTTAGATATACAGATACTCACAAAAAATGAACAAACATACTAGTAAACCAATAGAAACGGTTTTTATCATTTTTAAATATTCTCTATCACTTATTATCCAAAAGAACAACACTTATTAAAAAATAATTTTATGAATTATTCGACAAATAGAAAGAATGCAGGTTGCGTGATTATTAAAACCAATTTTATCAAGAAAACGAAGAAAAATTATTTATATTGAAAATAATTATCTTTTGCGTCTTTTGTGATAAAAATTAATCTCTCATTCTTGAGTTATTTTTCTCGTTTATAAATTGATAAAAATAATTTTAATTAGTATTATTTTGTGTAAACTTTTTTCAAAAACTCCTCAATTGTCATAAGCGTACCTGTAAAATGTTTTACACAAGAAACATTTTTTAAAATATTCAAAAATAATAACTCTACAGAAAATTGTGAGACATTAAAATTTTTAATATCAAATTGGATTAAAATAAGAGCGTTGCCTCTTAGTTTAATTCCTCACAATTTTCTGTGTCTTCGTTCACATGTATTATTCATTTATTAATTAATAATTAAATTTTTATTATTATTTATATATATATGTGTGTGTTTATGCGTTAATAATTTCCATTTCTTCCACTTTGAAACTTTCTCTTTGCCCTGTAAAATAAATTTTACTTAATATTGTAAGATAAAAATATTATGAATATTAATGAATAATCTCAATATATTCCTTTTCCCCTAACCTTCTTAACTTTCGCTTGTATAAGTTTAAAGGAAGCTTCTAATGATATATCAAAAATGAGTGAAAATTTTCATTTCAAAAAAGCACTGACAATAAGGCGAATAATTGAACATTCCTTGGAAACTTAGGGGAAGGTTACTGCAATGTAATATGTATAGTATACGTGGGAAAACTTACGATGCTTTGACTCGAGAACAATAAATTTCTATATATTCATTCTTAGCCTTTACTACTGTGTCAGAGCTTGGAGCTTCTCCTGGAGAAAGACAACCACCAACATTTTCAATAGTCATTTCTAAAGTTGTGATAAAAAAAGGATTAGACTGACAGTTATTTTGTGTAAGATTATTCCAATCATTTTCCGTAACTGAAGGTAATTTTTTTGCTTCTTTTACTATATGGTTTATTAGATTTTCGCCTGCTGTTTTCTTTTGAATTTCTTGATCGATTATTTTGGAAGCAAGGCATTTATCCTTCACCCTGCATTTCTTAATAATTTCTTCTCGAGATGTATTTAAATATTTTTTCAATATTTCCTCTGTAGGTAACTCAAAGTTTTGGCCTGATGAATTTTCTATGAAAACTGAAAATTGATAATGACTTATAAATTAATTGTGATTATTTTTTATTATTCAATCTGAATTTCTATCGCATAACAAATTATCTATATATATATATATATATATATATATATATATATATGTATATTCAGTTGAAAAATCAAATGTAGAATATTCTCATTGATTTTTGAGTTTATTTAAATCGAAATCATTGAATCATTTCACTAATTCACTTACTTATGGATATACTTACAAAAAATTACCAAAAAGACTAGTAAACCAGTAGACACAGTTTTTATCATTTTTAAATATATTCTACATAAACTCGTACAAAAATAACAACTTTTTTATTAAAAATTAAATTAAAAAGAGTTGATATTGAAAGCCTATTTAAATCAATTTTATCAACAAAGCTAACAAGATAAATAATAATTGATGTCGAAAATTATTATCTTTCGTGTTTTTGCGATTAAATTTAATCTCTCGCATAATTATTAATTTATTTAAATTAACAAAAAATATAATTTAAAAATTAGTATTATTAATCGTGTTACTTTATTAAGATATTATGTAACATTTATCAATGTGTTATTAATTTTTCCCTTCTCATTTTTTCTAAAATTAATTTAAACGTTTGTTATTTTATACTTTACTCTTTCGTTGTTACATTTCATGAGCTTTTTGTTAAATAGAAACAATATTTTTATGGATTTCCTTTTTGGACAATAAATATGTATAACCATTATCACGCTTGATTAAAGAAGTTAAGTACTTGTCAAAGAACGGAATAAACATGATATATTAATTTCCACTTTGAAACTTTCTCTTTGCCCTGAAAAATCAATGTTACATGTACATATATATATATATTCAACTAAAATTTAATCTACACTTACGATGCTTTGACTCGAGAACAATAAATTTCTTTATATTCCTCTATAGCCTTGTTTGTGAGGTCAGGGCTTGGAATTTGTCCTGCAGAAAGACAACCACCAGTATAACCAAAAGATATTTGCAAACTTACGATGAAGAAAGGACTAGATTGACAGTGGTTTTTTATGAGATTATTCCAATCATTTTCAGTAACTGAATGTAATTTCTTTGCTTCGTTTACTATATGGATTATTAGATTTTCGCCTGCAAGTTTCTTCTCGTTTGACAGATCAACAACTTTGGAAGCAAGGCATTTATCCTTTGCAGTGCATTTTTTCATCAACTCTGCTCCAGTTATATTTAAATACTTTTTTAATATTTCCTCTGCAGGCAATTGAAAGTTTTGGCCTGGTGAATTTTCTATGAAAACTGATAAATAATTACATATATAGTATCGTCATTTGCATTTTTTGGAAACAAATCGTACCAAAATATGTATTTACTTACAATGAGTTAGCAAAAATACTAGTATACCAATAGACACAGTTCTTATCATTCTTAAACGACTATATGTCAACTCGCTTATACCAAAATAACAAATATCGCGTTCATCAATTTAATGAAAAAAAGTTCAAGTTCAGAGCTTAATAAAGCCAATTTTATCAATAAAATAACATAAGATCGATGTTAAAAATAATTATTTTTTGTATTTTTTGTGATAAAAACTTTCCTCTTTCGCATGAAAATTTGTTATTAAATGAATAAATTTAATTAAACACTCATACTTTCATTGTGAAAGAAAAGAATTCTTTTGGGCAGATAATACCTCCCATTTTTCTATGAGTAACAAAATAATGCAAGATTGCAAAGTATTGTTTATTTATTTACGTTTTGAACCTAAATTGTGACAACAACAATTTAATTAAAACGTACTCCTTGAATTGCTGTAGGCAATCATCGCATCGCTGTCAGCACAATACACCCAATCAAGGTTCAATCGACGAGACGCTCTATGAAAGTGGCATGCTATCAACATTTCTTGATCAATATGCGACTCAAGACATTATGTTTGCATTTATTTTTTCAGATCCAGATATTTTCTTTGTTCTTAATCAAGTTTTTATAAATATATTACTACTTTTTCAAAGATTTGTCTGCAGTTAAATTAACATATTGGAAGTATGGCTGCTATAATCTTAACTTAAACTGATAAAATAAAATTGTAAGCATTTGAATAATTGATTAAGTTTCTTTCTCTAAAAGACTCTAAACTTTATTCTGTTAATTCGAGAGTACTAGATTAATTTCATTATAGTTAGAATTAAGAGCAATTTTTATGTTTATTGTGTAGAAAGACGACCGTCAGAATGGGTGGAGGGTTGAATGGATGGCTGCAAAGATGTCGCGAATCACGAAGACTTGTTCTCGTGATTGTCGCCATCGCTTTGCTCCTGGACAACATGTTACTAACCACAGTCGGTAAGATACTTTAATTTTAATAAAAATCTAATTCTTAAAATAATCAGCGTGGTCGAAGTCACTCTGTTGCTACATTTTTTTTAACGATCAATAAGACTGTATAATTATATTTTTTCACTTTTAATAACTTTGTCAGAATGATATATATAGTTATATAATAAATTAATACTCGATCAGACATATTTGATTTGAATTATGTGATGCACAAGGACTTAGGGGTGATTAATCGGGCTTAATCCAAAAATAATGGTCTTTTTCAATTTCACATAGTATAATATCATGAAGACTACTTTTAGATCTCTAGGGAAATATCTGCAATAAATTTTAAGAAACCAATATATGAAATTATTTTATTGTGTCTTTTCTGACGTTTCATATTATTTTCAATAAGTACTTTGCTCAATAAATCAATTTTTTTATGCCTACCAAAAAAGAATTTTTTCTAGTGCTTTCTCATTTTTAATGCCACAAGTACTTTAAATTACATTGACGGTATATGCTGGAGAGAATGTTTTCTGACTGTCAGAATTAAATTAAATATGGTCAAATACATAGCAAAAGTTGCAGTGATCTGCAAACAATAAGTTGCACTATTACCTACTATAATTTTTAATTCATCAAGATTTAAATATATATAGGTAGGTTTAAATTTAATTATTAAATGTATGCTTGTATACGTAAAAATGCAGAATCCAATAAAACCAATCTTTCCACTGAAAACAACAACTTTTGATGGTGCAAAATAAAAAAAATATTGAATCTGAAAAAACGAAAAATCAATTACATAAATAATCTTTCTTAGAATTAATGCGTTTTATTTAAACAATACTTTGAACAAGGTATAAATAAATATCATATCAAAGGGAATATTTTCCTCAACTTATATACATTTATTTTATTTAAAATTGATATCTAAACTGATATCTTATTTAATTAGTATGTCATTAATTTTCTGTTAGTTATAATTTAAAAACTAATATTTTTTTCCTCAGTTGCAAATCATTACAATTATGACTTGGGAGATTTAAATTTAAAGAGCTATAGTTGATTGAATTTAAAAATTTTCATGCGAGAACAATACTTGAATAAGTGTATAATATTTTATTTGCAGCTTTAAAAAAGAATAATGTCTTCTCAAATAAAAAGAGAAAGCAATTTCTAAGGCTATAAAGGTTCTTTAGATGTGGTCAGTTTCTCGGTTATTCGTCGTTTGAAGCTTTTAACTTTTTACTCTTAACACCAGCACACACTCTAGAATGTTTAATTCAATAGGGTTGTGGAATGAAGGAGGGCAAAGGAAACGTATGGGACTCCGTATGTCAAGCCACCAATCCAGATAAGTGGTCATGCATTTATGGAATACCATTGCACTGCGCACATATGTATTCACACACCTTTTTATTAATTCATACAACTGAAAACTAATAGATATTTCATTTAAATATATTATAGCAACGACGATAAAAATCCATAAGTCTACATTAGATCCGATTTAATTGTATTTCTGATTAAATCCACTTTTACATTTATTATATTTCATTTAGAAAGTATGTGAAATATTTTTAAAAAAATTTATTTTCTAGTTCCAATCATCCCCGAGTTCCTGTATGACATTAAACATCCAAATGCAACCTTAAGTGAACACCTGGAAGGATCTTCACCCTTAACAACTGGCAGTCTGACGACAATAACAACACCGACGGCAATGAATGTTTTGACAACGGCTTCTGGAATTAGATGTTCTTGTTGGAATTCATCATCGAATCATACTCATCCGGAATATTTTAATTTTAAACCTACCTCTTTTTCTGGTAAATAAATATGCAAATGCAATATTTTTTGTTTCTAAATTTATACATTTTCAAAATTTTATTAATTTTTCCTATCTGAAAAATTAGAAATTACAACAATCAACGTAACAAGTATTGAAGAAAGAGAAAAAGTTGAACGGCACCGTGAACTTGTGGAGGAAACTGTAGCAGTTGGAATTATGTTTGCGTCCAAGGCTTTTGTGCAACTGTTAGCAAATCCTATTGTAGGCCCACTTACTCATAAGTATGTATAACATATAATCAATTGATGCATACATAATACTTGGTTAATAAAAAAATATGACATATTTTTTCAGAATTGGATACGACATTCCTATGTTTACCGGATTTATTATAATGTTCTTATCAACTTTAATATTTGCGTTCGGTCGAAGTTACGGAATACTATTTTTGGCTCGAGCTCTACAAGGAATAGGATCATCGTGTTCAAGTGTTTCGGGTATATTAGAATTTGTTAAATTTAATTGCTTCTTTTGATCGATTTTTTGAAATCGTAATAAAAAATGATTGTAGGTATGGGCATGTTGGCGGAAAGATATCAAGACGATAAAGAACGTGGAAATGCAATGGGAATTGCTTTAGGAGGGTTAGCTCTTGGAGTGTTAATTGGTCCTCCATTTGGAGGCATCATGTACGAATTTGTGGGAAAATCTGCTCCTTTCCTGGTTCTTTCTGCTCTTGCCCTTGGTGATGGACGTCAGTAATATTTCATTAATTTATTCGCATATTATAAAAAATTATTTATTTCATTCTACTAATAAATCTTTATGCATTTTAGTGTTACAACTACTCATGCTTCAACCCTCGATAGTTTACACGGAAGTAGAGCCACCGTCTCTAAAAGCTTTGATAACAGATCCTTATATTTTGCTCGCTGCAGGTAAAATATTAAAAATTTCTAAATATGAAACTATAAAAATACATTAATTTTCATAAATTCTCGTTTTATGAATTAATCCACAGGAGCTATAACTTTTGCAAATACTGGTATTGCCATGTTGGAACCCAGTCTTCCTATTTGGATGATGGATACAATGGGTGCAAGCAGATGGAAACAGGGGGCCACATTTCTTCCAGCAAGTATCAGTTATCTTATTGGCACAAACCTTTTCGGACCGCTCGGTCACAAAATGGGAAGGTCAGTCGTAAATTTAACATTTCATTGATGGTACTTGAATTTATTGAGGCATGCCTGGTTCTATTTATTATATAAAAAACTTTTAAATAAGCTGCAATATTTCCAATATTGCACAAATATCTTGTTATTCTATCTATTAGGAGTGATGCAAGTAATTTTTTTTACCGGTTTTGACCTTACATATCTAGGAACCTATTCTCAAGCGTCGAAAATCAACTCGCCCGGATAGCTCAGTCGGTAGAGCATCAGATAAAACAAAGATGTATTAGAGAAAGAAAAAAAAAAAAAAAAAAAAGTAGAGCATCAGACTTTTAATCTGAGGGTCCAGGGTTCAAGTCCCTGTTCGGGCGTTTCTTTTTTAACTTTTCAATAAAGTTTATACTTTTTTTTTAATTTTTCAGATGGCTTGCCTCTTTAATTGGACTTGTTGTCATTGGAATTTGTTTAATATGTGTAAGTAACCTTTAGACGCTTATTTTCTTCAGAAATTTTTATACATTTATAGTGAGATTGAAAACTGATTGAGTAGTACATTTCTATGTTTAAATTTACATCCAAATAATGAGCCCCTTTTCAACAATTTTTTCCTATAATAAACTACTAAATTTGACACAACGTTAACAGTTAAAATAAGACAATCATGAAGGTCAGAAATACATACCCATTAAGTGCCATGTGTGACTGTCGCGCCTCCCGCTGTGCTGTATATCTCATTCATTCTGCACCGAGTTAACTTACAATTAGAAATGTACTAAGAAAATGCAATAAAAGAGGGATTTTTTAAAAGTTATAATAAATTGGTGTACACCCCTTAAATTAAAGTCATCGTTTTTATATATATCTTTGATTGATAGTATGTAAATGTTTGTGCAGATACCTCTTGCGAAAAGTATCAACCACCTGATAATTCCAAATGCTGGTTTAGGGTTTGCAATTGGTATGGTCGATAGTTCAATGATGCCAGAATTAGGATATCTGGTAGACATCAGACACACAGCAGTTTATGGAAGTGTTTATGCTATTGGTGATGTTGCATTCTGTCTAGGCTACGCTATTGGTAAATAAATAATATATAATTTTTATTATTTTATATGAGGAATACTTTTTAGTCGCGAGGACTCCGCTTAAGAGGACTTGGTGGGAGGTATTGTACACATCTGATTTTCTTCGAATTATAAAAAATTTATTATAAATTAAAAATCTATATTGATTAATTTTTTACAAACTAATATAATTGAAATAAAGTAAAAAAATTGCATCGGCCGGGAATCGAACCCGGGCCGCCCGCGTGGCAGGCGAGCATTCTACCACTGAACCACCGATGCTATTGATTCCAAGAAATTTAAAATTATTAAACATTTTTATCTTATTAGGTCCTGCTTTAAGTGGAACTCTAGTGAACAGTATTGGATTTGAATGGATGCTGTTTTGGATCGCTATTCTTAATTTCTTATATGCTCCTCTCATGTATTTTCTAAAGTCTCCGCCAACAAAAGAGGAACAAAAGGTAATATATATAATTGAAAAATTCTACTCTAAGGATTATATCTGGATTACATATACATACTTTGATAAATAAAATATTATCAACTTTGTTTCAGTCCCTAATAATTGGTGAGAAATCTTGCGTTCGTTATGAATCTTACCAAAATGATGAAGAGGACCCTTAGTAATGAAAAAATATACAATTTTTTAGCTTTCAATTAATTTTACATAATTCCTTTTTTCTTGAAAATTGTATTTTTGGTTTTCGTTTGAAACTGATTAGAATCTAGAAATATCGACCAATTTCCCCGTTAAAAGGAGCAGTAATATTTAATAAAATATTAGGAGCGTTTTTGTTCTTATTAGAATTAACAAATTCTAAGAGTTAGAAATATACACGTAAAAAATTGAAGAGCTTTCTGGATAAAATCAAATTGTACCTACATACACTTGTTGGAAAATTAAAAAAATTCTAGAAGCAAAGACAGTAACAAAAATGAAGCGTCTAAACTAAACTTATATATTTACTAGAAAATGTAGATATGCATATTAGATTTTGTCGTGGAAGGCATAAAACAATTTCAATATATTAATTATTATATTGTATGCAATCATAATAACTGCATTACTTATCTAACTATGATGTTTAGATAACAAAAATATTTCGATTCTGGATGCATTGCTCTGACCGTACAACAAATAAGTAGAATCGTATTTAGGTATATATATAGGGAAATTAGTTGAACATTGTGGACTGAATTTTACCTAGGACTGATTTATTGTCGTATATGAAATAAAAGAAAATCGGTCCTTAGGTGAGATGAAATCTATATAATTATATAAATATCACATGTTACGTCTTTCACTTATAAAATTTAAAAATAAATGTTCAAAGTATAAACGTTGTCAAATATAATCATATCTTTCATTGAGATAACATGTATATTATGAGATATGCGATGCAAGGCAACTGATTATTAATGTTCTGCACCTATATATTTATTAATATAGAAAGTTGCATATTAAATATTAGATAAAAGATAAATTAAATAATATATGAATAATCAAAATTGCATGTCGTGGGCTATAAGTGTATTAAATTATCCTACGAGAATCCGTAATTTTAATTAATAATATCTCTAACCTTATTAAACGTATATAATTCATAAATTCTCACATGACTTATTGATGGGGTTGAAATCTTGAAAATTCAAAATTTCTTAAATTCCAAGGAAACCACCCGATTTGGATTCCCTGAATGGCTGCAGGGAAACCGTGCGATGAATGCGATCGGGTTAATTGAAGTGTTCCTTAATATTATAATTGATTACACTTTTGAAAAATACTGCATGATTAAAAAAGATGAATCCCCAATCTTGAAAATGACGACTTACATATTCAGTGCATTTATTTAATATTAATAGTTTGAAAAATATTCAACCTGAGTTTCATCATATTTTAATTCAGTTGTGCGTCTAAACTATTGTATTATTCTTCAAAGTATTGATATTAAATAAATGCACATAATCTTGTGTTTTTTTAATCTTATTTTCGATATTTTATTTTATTTCAAATTCTATGAAAATTTTTCAAATTCAACATCATTTAAATTGAAGAACGTGTCCTTCAATATTGTGAACGAAATTTAGATAAAATATATAAGTGAAAGATGTTTGTTGAATTCCCAGACAACACAAGAATCTTATGTGAGAGAATTTGCAGTTGAAAACTCTGGAGAAGAAGTGTTTATTTTTTAAAAGCTTACTTACTCTATAAATTAATAATAAGTATCCCACTTTTTCTAATCAGCCTACATACACTGATGAATTTCACTGATTTTCCAGTGCATATACGTTCATTGAAATAAATGTTATACTTATCGCTCATTCGAATTTAGAGAGTAATTTTGAAGCTTTTGACAAAAATATATAGTTGACTCAATACCATATTTTATGTATTGGTGCACTATAACATTACAAAATACCTATTACTGTGAGATTATTATAAATCATAACAGTTTACGATGTAATCTTACAGTAATATAATATATTTCACTGTTATGGTCCTACACTTATACATAATACATAAGCGCAAATAAAAAATTATTCAATTATCTGCATGTATAATAATAATTGCATAAAGTTGCATAATAGAAAAGATTTTTTCTTTCAAATAATTAAATAATAAACTAAATAAAATATTCTTCTTATTATATAAATAATTCTAAAAAACGTTAGTGTTGTAAATGATGTAATGAAATGTTTTTGTCTTTTTTATTAGAACTGTATTAAAAGAAAATTATTGTATGACATATTATAGGTAAACAAGCTACTCTGCGTACCGCAAAAAAAATTTAGACATTTCTCGTGAAATTGGAAGAATTAATTTGATCTTCACAAATTTTTAAAATATTTATTGTACTAATTTAAACGTTAGTGATTTTAGAGTCAAGTAGATTATTAAAGTCAACTTTTAAATTTGAAAAATATATAATGATGAAAGCCAAAAGTAATAATAAAAAGTAAATTTTATTCGTCTGTAAACTTGCAAAGATTCGATATTCACTATATACTTTACCTATGTATGTACATAGGTATGTATACATAATATATATATGCATGTATTTCGACAGAAACAACAGTAATATAACCATGGAATCAAACAAATAATTTTTAAAAAATCAAAAGATATCGATCCAAAAATCTTTTCTTCAATCATGTCTATAGTCTTCTGCTGCTAATTCAGAAAACAATAGGTATATGCAATCTGCAAACCTACTCCCGGTACGAAACGCGAGTCAATTCGTTGTTTGGGGATTGGATAAGCATTTTTCTATCTATATACACTTCTATCATGAAAATATAATAAACGAAATTCGAAGTCGAAATATTTGATAACTAAAAAAACTACACAAAGTAAGGTATATATATATATATATATATATATATTGGAAAAAATATATTATTGTTTAATTATAAACACATATATACCTATATAACAATTGGAAAATGATTTAAGAGATTAATAAAAGTTATATTATTATGTAGTTTCATGATTTTATGTATCTGAAAAAATTATACATATATAAAACTTTGAAATAAATGTTCTATAAATTATTTAGTACGTGTCTTACACTGTTCTCAATTATTGTAAATCGTAGGTCATTATACAAAACGCTAATTCGAATTATATTTATGTAAATAATATTATATGCGCCTGTTGAAAGAAAACCCTACGAGACACTCATCATCTTTTTAGAATAAATAATTGTGTTTATCATTTTAAATTTTACTTAGTTTTTTAATTTCGTTTTAGTAATACACACAACTTTTTTTTAATTTGAATTTTATAATATGTATATTATACTTTTAGAGTTTTTATCTTAAGAATAACAAGTGTCTCGAAAAATCTCGTCTGTACATTTACGTGTATGAGAGAAATTATAATATATATAAATAATATAGTTAAACAACAACAACAACAACAGCAACAACAACATCTATATTACTTCTAACTGCTACACTATTACTACATATAATACTATTCTACGTCCGAATTGCGATGCAATCAAAATGGTTTAAAAAGCTGTGTAAACGGGTCACGTACAGCTTATAAAATATGTAGGTGTATTGTCTAAATAAATACAACGAAATATTAAGTTTTTTTTTTAAATAAACTAAATTTATTTATTTATAAAAACATTAACTGACACGACAAATGATAAATTTAGTAATTATATACTTTGTCGTTCTATTTAATTTAATGATTGAACGAAATTTCAATGCAACGAAATGAATGTCATTGTAAAGATTGAAAAAAAAGTATTACGTATTCAACTCAAATATATATGACAAATATAAATTATAATATTTTATTTCTATCATCAATATGATTGAAAAAGGTTGTGATAATAAATTATAAATATGAATAATTGATTATAAGTGAATATCGATTGAAGGGCAACTTAAGACTATTACTTTAATTTTTAATAAATAATTTTAGTGACTCGTCGAGGGCTGCTATTGTGAACAGACAATAAGCAATCAAACGCATCTCCCAGTAATTGATGAATAGGGATAAATTGTTGACTATATTTATTTAAATAAGCCAACCAATCAAAGCAAACATAAAAATGATTGAACAAAATTTCAAAGAATCTAAAATTTCAGTCTTTCCCGACTATGTGTCGTCTCTTTTAAACTTTGAATAAGTTATATAGGTATCATTTGATTTTTGAAAAATAAAATTACGTCTATCAAAGCAAGGCAGGAGGAAAATGAAAATGTCTCTCTCATATTCTAATCTCAAAATTACATTGAATATCAATTAATGTAAGGTGTATGCGTTATTTTATCGTCTATTTCTATATTTAGCCAGCTGGTAAATGGGTCCGATTTAAAGCCTTTGTAGAAAAAATTTATACAAATGGCTTGATTTACGCAGAATACTATATCTGTTATTCTGTGTTATTATTTTAAAAAAATATTAATTCCTTTTATATACATAGCTTCAAACTTGTCAAATATTATAAAGCAATTGAAAATATATACAAAAAAGAACATTATAAAAATATTCGGCTTCGAATTGCGTATTGGACTTTGTCAAAGAATGCTAATGGTATACGCCAGGCAGTTATTTGTTTGAAAAAGACAAGGACTTTGAAAATGATTTTGGATGCTCATACCGAAAGGGACAAAAACGGCATAAATTTTGCTTAAAGGCTTAAATGCTTATTCGACTGGCATAATTAAAACATAATTTTAAAAAATAGCAATGTTTTAAATAAACATAAAAATTTCTCGTAGTTCATACGTATCAAATGTGTACCTGTATCGAATTTATGTCAACTTGTATAAACAATTATACTGTATGTATACCATATAAATAAAATTGACGTTAATAGAGCTTTTATCTATTATTATCCTTTTGTAATTTACCTTTTCACTTCAAATTAAATACGTGTAAATAGTTATTTTCAATTTATCAAAGGATCACCCGCTAAGTGAAAATGATTTTGTCTAATCTCTACCATTTCAAACTAATTATTATTTTTATCCCAAAGATGTTTTAGAATCTACATCATCAATAGTAATTTTCTTTATGCGTTTCAGAATTTGCAAAGTACTATTCATCATATGTTGAACTGCATCTGCAAAATTAAATCAATCATTATATGGCTATTATTATTATTATTTAATTTTCATTAATTAAATACCAATTTCAGGATGCTCAATATTTAATTCGGTTTTTAATTCATCTTCATTTATCTGTGATAAAGTTTCCTTATCTGTAAAACCAATTTTCTGGTTACTATATTAAAAATTTAACAATACATTATTGTTTTTACTCTTACTGTAATTATTTAATTCTCTTGAAGAAAGGATTTTATTCTTCTCTGTAATGAAATTTATATCTTTTACACGCTGATTAGTCCTTTCCAATATTGATACATTCGTTTCAATTCGTTTTATCAAAGAAGCTAATTGAAACTGAAAATTTTTTATAATCTTATTAAATGCAACATAACAGATTAGTAAAATTTAATACAATTTAATACAATTGAGTCAAAACTTTGGTAAAAATTGTAATTGTGTTTTTAAAATATTGTTAAAACATTCAATAAAAAGGGTAGAAACTTTATTACATCAATATCTGTATGTGTTGTACGACTTATGGAACTTTGATTATTATCATCATCATCATTAACTTCATCTAAAACATGGCTCAAGAATTGAAGAGGCTCTATTGGATTTTTTTTCACTCGATGCAATAACTCATGAAATTCTTTACAACATTTATCATTTTTCTGCATATTAAATCGAGAGTTGGAAGAAAGGATAAAGAATAGTAAAACTTAAGTCTTTGGTTAAAATAAACAAGCATAAACAAGGAATGCTGTTGTTATAGCAACATATTAGATAGTATAGTATAGTTGAAATATGTATGGTTCATGGAAAAAGGCTTTAGATAATGATTTTAATTTTTAAATATTTTTCTAAAACAAAATTTGTTACTATTTATTAAGATTTCTGTTTTTATTAATTTTTTTCTCATTTCTTTTTCATTTTCTCTGTCAGGAAAATTTAAAATAGATTATTTAAATTCTCACTGAAAAATTTTGCTATTTAATTAATTGTTTATTCCATTTATAAGAAATATGTGGAACTCTATTTTAAAATAAATTGAAAGGCGCAAAATTTCCTTTTCAAACTATTTCTTGATATTCCACTGACTTACTTTTTTCTAACTGTCTTTGCCTGACCTGCAGCACTCTTAAAAGATTTATTAACTTTAAAAATTAAATAATAATGTGAAAAAATGGTAATTAATTCCAATTAAATATTAATTTAAGAGATTTTATAGTAAGCAACATTTATTTCAGGATATTATATTATATATAAAACAATCTAATAAAATTAATCACGTTTAAACGTTTATTACCTAGTGACTATTTATAATGTTGTTATACTTATTGTTAATAATGACACGGTGTCATCAAGTAATAATCGTAAGTCACTTGAATAAGCATTGTTTCTGTAAATAAATACTTATTATTCATTCAGTTGCGCGACTCGAAGTACATAATTTTTTTTACAATTTTATAAAACAAAAAAAATTCTTTCGCGAATCGTCTTTAGCGTCAACTGTTATAGAAAGCTTGGCAGTTGAGTTTTATTATTACATTGTATTCACTTCCGACACATTAAAAATAGTACTTATACTGTGGGTCTACAAATAACCAACTATTACAAAGAGGGCGATTTTGCCAATTCCGAAATTGAAAAAGTGATATGACAAATTTTTTAACTGAATCAGAACCGACTTTTTATACAACAACTCTAACGAAAACTTTTCAAGATAAAAGATCTACAAGAATCATTTATTCCAGTACGTGTAGTCAAAAAATCAAGTTCTTCATATACCACTTAAAAATTTATCTATTTTTTTCAAAATTACTATCTTTGTAATTATTTTATTTATAAGCCTTTAGTAAATAAGAAAAAATTAAAAATCTATTTCAACTATTTATAAATAATTATGATTTGTTAATTTAAAAGAGTAACATAATACGATTGAAAATCATTTTCTTGAGTGAAAGTGATAAACTTTTAATATGTTTGTTAATGACTAATAAATCAGGTGCAAGTATAAATTAAACTATTTCACTTACTTGCAATGAAATAAATATGTTATTGAATTAACAAAATTTATATGAATAGCAAGAAAATTATTGACTTAAAAATTTATAAATAATATTTTGTTAAATTCTATAGTAAATTTTTTTAATCAATAATTTTCATGCTTTTATCAAAAATTTTGCTTAATTAATACCATATTTTTTTCATTGTCTACAATGAGTACGAATTTCATTTCAGATCTAAAACATGAAATGTTTAATACAAAACTTTCTATCAATTTATTAATTTTTTTATAGTTAACCGTTACTTTAATTATTGCTAATTATAAAAAAATAATTTAAAATGTACAAAATTATTTGATAATTAATAAAAATTATTTTTATATAATTAATCATTAAAGTAACGGATAGCTTTAATTTTATGTTCGTTTTTTGTTCTTCTATGAATTCAATTTTTTCCTTTCAAAATGTAAAAGAAACTTGCCTTTTCAATCGACAAACCATCAATAAATTATATATTTTTTCAATGAACTTAAAATATGTTTATATATCTGTAGAATATTAATTTCCAGATAAATTGAAGCCAAAAAATAAAAAAAATACTAATGAAAAATTTACATACATATTATCACAGCACTCTAAAAGTATATGAGTCTCGCATCTTCTGGGTTTTGATCCATTGGACAATATGGACACTTCAATCTGGAATGAAATTGGTTTCTTTAAAAAGTGATTTCGATATCATTGTACTATGCTATGCACTTAATTTGAACGACTTACTTATTCGCGCTCGTCAGTTTATTTAGAGCATCGCGAGAAATCACGTGTCCACATACTAATTTCATTGGTGGATTATTTTCCGTACTCTGTTGACGAAGAATTGGGCAAGCAAACACTGAATGGTATCGACTCTGTTTTCCTAAGTCTATTTCAATCTAAAAAATAAAAATTTATCATTAATTAAGTAATCAATAATGAAATGATTCAAGCTTTTGAAAAAAGTCCACGCACGGGAAGTTCATCTTTTCCATTCCAGATTCCAGTGACTTGTCTCTGTTGCATTACTTGCTTAATGTTAAGAAGAGCAGGTAGTGCTGTAATTCCTGCATTTATACTGAAATGAAATTCCCATTAGAAACTTATTCCGTATATCATTAATTGTTTCCTTTATATATTATAAAGGAGTTTTAGAGTTAAAATTTTACCAAACAGATAAAGGGCTATCCACACTTAAACCTAGGAGAGTGCAAGCTTCTTTCGTAAAGACGTCATGAATTTCAAGCCACAAAGTTGGATCGAGTAAATGACTATAGGGCGACGATTGGATACCATTTGGCAAATACAGTAGAGTTCCCATTAAAGACTGTACTTCTTTCTCGTATCTAGTAACAAACTGTGGAAGATGTTTACGCGCATACATAATAGCTTCCGTTTGTTTTCTTGGACCTTGTTGCACTAGTCTTATAAATTTAAGCCTATGTAATTTAAATTCAAGTGACGAACTCTGTAAATAAATATAATGTTAAATTGAATATATCACAAAATAATATCATTAGTGATACATTTCTTTATTTATATACTTGTGCAAGAAGAGCTTCCTTGTGTTTTGTAGCCCATTCCAATGCGGGCTCAAGATTTTTCTGTTTCAGGCAATCAAGAATATAATTTAATTCTGTAAATGGTTCTTTTCGTCCTTCCTCAGTCTTAATTCCAGCTTCCTATAATAAAATTTTCGGAAATAAATAATGCAATTAGCAAATTCTCCAAATGGAATGTATTATTTTCTAGTAAAAATTATTTTAAAGATAGGTACTGCTGCAAGTTCATCAGCGATGTCCAGCATTCCTTGACGATAAAAATGTTGGCAAATAACTTGATTAAGAAGATGTGTTTTTTCTGTCCCAGAGAATACATCTTCTCTACTCGTGCTGGCAAAATCTGCAATGAAATTCCGATCTATCGCTTTACCAACTTTGGAAACGGTACTATGTAATTCTCTATGTTCCGTTGCTAAACGATGAACTGTATCTCGGACTTTAGTCATTGCTAATTTCAATCCTTGATGTTGTATAGATGTAGATTCATGATCAGGTGGATCTAAAAATATTTCGTTTAATCAAAAAATAATTGTTTCAAAATTTATTGAATATATTATTATGATTGAATAAAGTAGGTATTCTTTTCTTTTTACAAATAACTATTAGTATTTTAATAAAATAGTTAGAAACCTTTTATATATATACATATATAATGTATTAAAAACAATAACAAAAGTTAGGTTATTTAACTGACATGTACCTACATATTTGTATAATATTAGTTCTAAATAGATTACTAGAGAAATTGTGTAACTTTTAACCTTAATAAAACAAGTTATGAAAAAGAAAGAAGTAAATTGTGTCAACCAAAATAAAAATCTATAAAATAATCTTTATGTCGCAGCAGACTGTTCATCGCCAGTGAATAAAAGCAATTGACGTCTACATATAGGGAGACTAAGCTTTGTAAAGAAAAGTTGAATATACGCAAAGCAGATAAGAAGTACTTACATTCCTCAAGATCTTTCTTTAAAGTTTCAATTTCTGATATCAAATCACGAAGAACATTAACGGCATGTTCATTTATTGCTCCAAATTTTAATAAAACTCGATCAACTTCGCGTTCTACAGCATTGCAAGCCTCCATTATTGTTTTCCTTATTCATGTCGCGTCACTGCCGACCTTTCTAAATTGAATCCAAGGGGGCACTGCCATAAATCTTTTAAAAATTATTTTTTTCAACTAAATTTGTTAAAAAACGAAAGACGAAACGCATAGCAGCTTATTTAATATTTGTTTTAATCGTTTATTCATGTTATAATTCAGGTATAACAACTTTTTTTATTAGATTTTTTTATAAAAGTTATATTTATATACATTATTATATTATATTTTTGTGAAAATGAGAAAAATGTAAGGTAAACTAAGAAAATTGTATAAGTATAATTGAGAGGAATGTATTTATTTTTCATTTATTCTGTGATTCAATAACACGTATTTATACATACATATTGACATACATATAATTATTATAACATTCTTGACAAACTATATATAAGCAAGAATAAGACAGTACAATTTTTAAATTAAATATACAATCATCAATTATTGAACACTTTGTTAAGAAAAACAATAAAATAAGTCTGAAAAATTATTTTTATATTTTATGGAAGGTTTTATATCAAGCCAACTAACACATTTCAAAAGTTGATTCTACAAGTGATTAATATTGTTATATTATCTTGCCTCATCTCATTGTAACAATGTAATACATGGCAATATTTATAAACTTTATTTATTTACAATTATATATATATACATGAAGAAATTGGTCTTATTTGGGAGTGTAGTCATTCTAAAAGAAATGATTTCATTAATAAAACTCGAATGTATTTCTTTCTATCAACATATTATATTTTTTTTTTAAATTTAAAAATATTCTACTATTTATATAAAAAAGATTAACCGCTTACCCATTCTGTTGCCATCAATAAAAGTGTCGTGTTTTTTATTTTTGGCCCAATTAAAGGATTCATTTGGGCCATGTAACAGCATAACCAGCTGAAATTGTAACAAATATAGTAAGAATTTATTTTATAAAATTTTGTCGCATATTATTGCTAATATTATTGATAAAATTGACTCACAATAACCAACATGTGAAAGCTGTTAGCATTAAGATCACTTGCAAGATTCTGAAATAAGAAACAAAAATATGTAAATTATAATAAAAAATTGACTTGAATAAGAAATTAATATTTCTCTTTTATATATTGGTTAGAAGCATATTATGCAGTATGTATGCATCATACCTGTATGTACAATTCGTGAAATGAATCAAATATATGTAGGTTATAGATGAGCAAAAATAATGTCATCGAAAGTTTAATGAATAAATCACTGACAGATAAGAATTTAAAGATCTTACTCTGATATTATTAAAAATCGAATATTTCATCAATAATTGTAGAAGATGTTGAAAGAAGTTTTAAAATATATGGGTTGGGTTAATAAATTTCGTTGAAACTTACCCACGATTAGGTCCTTTGGGAACAAAAATAGGTAATGCAATTCCAATTGCTCCCCAAAATAATGTAAAAATTAATATAGGTGCAGATGAAGCTCCCATTTTTAAGAAAATAATACCAATCTAATTAATTTAAAATTCGTTTTTTTCTGACAGTTCAGACAACCAACAAAGTAGATATTGACGACAAGTCGTCACATGAGTACGATGAGCACAGACAGGTTTAGCCGTCTGTGTGTGTGTGTGTGTGTATTTCGACTATTTCGATACTTGCGATAAGTTTGAGCGCGATATTTTTGAAATGACACTTTCGAAAAAAAATTTTTAAATTGTTTAAATTCAAAAAAACATTTCAACTTTAATCATTTAGAATTGAAAGTAAATATTTTTTTGCATAATTTTATACTTATATCGTTTATAAAATTTCTTTATTTTCTAATATTATATTATTGATTCAAAAATTAAATATAGGTTATAGAGGTAGTGCGTACGCATTTAAATTCAAATAAACATTTTTTATAAATGAAAAATAATAAAACGTATTAATTGTTTTCTTTTTTATTTTTCATAATAAAAAAATATAGTTTACTCTTCATGTTGAATCAACTAAATTAATTAGTGAATTCCTTATCTAACAGGAATTAAAAATACTCATAAAACTTAATGTTTAACATGATTGTAAATAAGAAATAGATGATTTTAAAGCTATTACTTAGAACGTATGTTTCTGAAGGGCTTCGATTTTTTTATCCAATATTTGTAAATCCTTAAGGCGTACTGGTGTTTCAATTGTTGACGGGGCGTCTCCTCCACCATCAACTATTGAACATACTTTTTGATTGATAAGAGAATCTTTTAATGAATCCAATTGATTGTTAACGTCAATAACAATATTTTCTGGAAAATTCTTTGTCTGGCAATTTAAATCCATTGTTTCCTTTTCATTTTCGTGTAATACATTTTTATTGTTTAAGGATGAAGAATTTTGAGAATTGTCAAATGTATCTGCAAGGCCAGAAATTTTATCTAGAATTCCTAAGAAAAAAAAGTACCAAATTCAATAAAATATTTGTCACTATTATTTACCTATAAATGTGTTAAGAATAAATTGAGTTTATTTTTACCTGTAAGATCCAAACTTTCAGCAGATAAATCAATAGAATCACTGCGTATAAAACTGTCTCTGCTGAATAAATGTTGTCTGACACTAGATAAATTTCTTATTTGCAATTCATCTTTATGATCATTTCTTTTTGGAGTTTTATACATAACTGATTGTTCCGATCGCATATTTCGACCCCTTTTTATGTAAGGAATCAAGGAATTCAAATCCGGCGAACTTTTTGAAACACTATTTGCAGGTGGAACAGATAATGGTTGCTTAAAACTGCTAACTGTGTAGGGTGTTCGAATATAGGTCAGAGACCTTTGATCGAAAGGTAAACTTAGAACATTTGAAGGAAAACATAAAGGAGTGCCTAGAAGTAATTGAAAGCATTAGTCTTATTTTACCGCAACTAATATTAATGAATATTTCTTCAAGAAACATACTACTTGAATGAAGAGTATCTCCTTGTCCCATACGAGCATTTTCACATGTAGTATTCATTAATATTGAATTGTTTACTATCGTTTGTAAAATAGGCTGAAGAGTTTTCACAACATTCAAAATCATTTCGCAGCGTTTTATCACACGTAATTGTTGAGGTTCCGTCACATTTTCAGTAAGCAGAGTTTTTGCTGCATGATCAGCTTCATAAATTGCTGAAACATTTTTTATTTAGCACAACATTTTATATTGAAAATTATTCAAGACATTATATACATATATCATTACAAGCTTTCAGCTCTCGAATCTTCATTATAGTATGTCTGTCAAAATGTTCATTTCCAAGATCATCTACAGTGATTGTAACTTGATTCACGAGAGTCAATGATCTCTGAACGATTCCTTGAACTTGTTGCTGAGTTACTCCTTCTCTATTATCTAAGCAATCCGACATTATTTTCACGCGTTCCTGAATATCATCTAAAACTACCTGTAAGCAATAAATTAGGGATCATAAATGAATCATACATAAATCCTTTAATTTAATTATAGATTTCAGATTTCATATAATAATTTCTATGAAATATTGTTATTATCTTACTTGACAGTAGGCAGATGAGTCGATGATTAGAAAAACTGTATTATGAAATTTTCTAATTTCTGTCTGCCATTCATCAGTTAAAAGTTTAACACTCGTTTGTTTTTCTTTATTATCAAGATGAAGATAAAAATCTGTGATTGCGGGAATCAATTCCATTCCTAGCGACTCTAAACTCGCTAAGGAATTCTTGATATTATTAGCACCTAACATTTTAAAAAATTACATTTTTCCGTTTTAAGAACTTATTAAATGACATAAACTACATACAATACATATTGATAAATATACTCACGGTTCGCATTTCGACAACAAGCAATTGCAAAAGATCCTATTTGTAAAGCTTTATCTGAGAGTTGATCAAAATCTTCAATTGACTCATTTAAATCACTCTTTGATTTTTTTTCAACAAGTAGGCCGGTTCCACAAATGTTTATCAGTTTTCGCAAAGGACTTAACGAATCGCTGAAAACTTCCATAATCAAAGTAAGAACAGAAATGTTTACTTTTCGTTCCAAACGATATAAAGAGTCGATAAGAGAATTTAAGAATAAATTTATCATAGTTAGTTCAGACGTTTCATTGTTCATTTGAGTTTTGAGGTTTTCATATTCTGACATAACTGATTGGCAAACTCCGCTTATTGCTTTAAAATCCTGTGGCAGACAAACTTGTGCGATTGCCATAGCATGTGAAAATACGTCTTCTATCCCTAACAACAAATCTTTTAAATCATCCACTTGTTCCTTCAATGATTTTCCTATCATTTCAGTGACTATATCTAATACCAAATCCATTCTGAAAATATTTTTCAAATTATATATTCATACTTGCAATAATTTAATTAAGAACATAATAATAAGAAAAATAAATCATGAAAAACCTATAAACAAAATGATTTTCCTTTTCTGAAACTTCATCTTCAGGTAAAGGATTTGGGGAATCCAATATCTCAATTATCATTTTAAAACAATAGCACAAACGATCACAAACATATTTCTTGCAACTCTAAAAAAAATATGTTTCACAAATAAAGTATTATATAATTATGGAATTTTTGTTTTAAAGTGATTTTTATTTCTTACAAATATTGGTGCCTTTAACTTGTGTTGTTGTTGAATTAAATGAACAAGAATTTTAAAAGCGGCGCAAAGCTGACATAAATAAAGCGAAAGTTTTTCTTTTAAAAATTGTGATACTAAATTTTTCTTATAAAACTGTAAAACTTGAAAAAAATCAATAATAGAAGTACCGAGTTCCTAGAAAATAAATTTTAATTTAATAAAAATAATAAAAAATGACAATGGAAAATTAAATGTATAAAAATAATTTTAAAATTAAACCTTTATATTTTGAAAGTCCTCAATCTCATTAATTGTACTCATGACTTTTACATAATCGTGACAATGTTGAAGATTCTGTTTTAAAGGAAGATATTCCAAGCTTTCTAAATTTTCGAGAGAAGAAACAAATTGTTTTAGAATTAGATCTCCAATTTCTTCTTTGTTGTTTTTATTGTCAACTTTCATCTGAAGATAAATTATCTGTTTATAAATTTAATTTCAAGACAATAATTTTTTATATTTTGGAATTAAAACACAAACTTACAATGAGCTTGTTAACGTCAACTGAAGTACAAAATTCCTCAATTAATGTAACAATTTGTCCTTTCATTTCTTTATAATCATTTGCATCTTCTCTACAAAGAGATACAAATTTTTCAGTTAAATCCTGAAGCTGTTCATGCAATATGAATTTTATAGCAGAAACATCAGCAGAATGAGAATTTTCATTTTCTGACATTTCTCCTAACTTTTTCACCTAAAAATGATGATTAAAAATTAATTTTCATTGACAAGTAACTAAAATATTAACTTATAAAGAAAATTAGAAAGCTAAACAATGATAGTGTTTTATTCTGAAATAATTTATTTCTAACCTGTAACAACGTACTTTTAACCTTTTAATTATGGATTCGATATATATACCTACATTATTTTATAACTTTACCAAAATAAATTCGGAAGTATGTTATACAAAATGTTTATATACGTTTTAATTAGTATAATATAAAAAGACAATAAAATAAAAAAAGTACATGCACATATATTTTGTTCTATGGAATAAAAAAATAAGTTTTACAGTCAAATATAAATTTCCATACCTTTTCCATAACGGGCTCAAATAGTTTTTGCATTCTTTTCGTTTTTAGCCCCATTTCTGCCGTCTTATGAAATAAATGATTGATAATAAATGATGTGAAATTATAAATTAGAAATGTCAACTAACTTTTACTTGAGTAAGTTTTGTTTACAATACATTTAATTGCCCATTCTGAACTTACCTTAAAATTTCTATTTTGGATTCACCTTTAATTAGACCGATTGTAAACAATAATCTAGATACCACTATAAAGATAAGAATAATTTTAGAGATTGATCGACAAAACTACCCACAATAATGCAATAAATTTATTACAAAACTTTTCATATTATGAATCAAAATAAAGTAAGCTGTTGAAACTATACTTATATATATATATATATATATATATATATATGTATATTAATGTATTATTATTTATCATATAGTTGTATATGTTACTTTCTTTAAAAAAAGAAATTCATTATAATAAATATGTAATTTCGATTTTAGACATTTTATCTTTTTTTACTTCTTTTTTATTTCTCTCAGATATTTAAAGATGGCGCCAACTAATTCAACGTTGAACCAATTGAACTATGTTCAGATTGTTCAGATCAGATGAAATGCAGATGAATTTTATGAGTGTTCACTGCAATTGCTTTGTGTTTACATACTTAAAAAAATTTCTTAAAAATTATTTACATTATTTTTGGTAAGTTCTGTTATACTTTATTTAAAAATTTTATTCATGTACTTAGTGTTTTAATAATATCAAGATTATAAGGGTATTCATGTTGCTACTGAAATATCTGAAAATTCATAACCTATATTACACGCTATGACTGTAATTTATTTTTATTTAAATATGTATACAAATATCATATATTTAAAACCCTAATAGTGACATAATTATACTATTATTGTCTATAGTATAACATTATTTACTTATATTCTTATATGCAATATAAAGATGATTAGAAATTTTGTGGCACATGGTCAAATTACATAAGAAGCATATACAAATAATCAGTGTCAAGCATTAACTAATTTTAAGAGGAAATTTAATTTTGATTCTTTTCTATTTGATATTTCAAATATCATTAAAGAAAAACTTGCAATGCTTTATTATTTCTAAATTGACTAAATTGCATTAAATTAATGTATGGGTGTTTTCAACAAGCCCATGGATCATTATCCAGACCATGTCGTGCTCAATTCAGTTTGATTTTTTTTATCATAATATTAAGAAAAAATTAATTAAACTGAATTGAGCACCACTTACTGATCCAGATCATGATTTGTTTAATAATACAATAAAAAATTTGTATTTATTAATGAAAGATATTTAAATTGATTTACAGGAGAAAAACATTAAAAAAGAAGTAAAACTTGTCTATGGGTCACCCACCTGAAAGTGCTTTATAGAACTTTCCTCGTTTTATAATAAAATAATAGCCTATTAGAATAATGGTAAAATATTTCGAAAATAATATTATTTTTCAATTCAATTGGAATCAAGTGGTTCAAGGATTCTGGAAAAGATATCCAAATCCAAATAGGTACATATTTAAAAATTAATTTTTAACAAAATAAAATAAATAATAACAAAGTTCTTGCAAATAATTCAAATTTTGTTTTCATAGTAAGCATGTTCTATCAGAAGACACAGTGTTCAGAGAAGTAAAGGATGGTAAATTATACTCGAAACGACTTTTAACGAAGACAAACAGATTACCAAAATGGGGAGAAAGATTCATGAGCAAAAATGTTGTTAAAATCGTGGAAGAAAGTATTGTTGATCTAAATTCAAAAACATTAACAACCTACACAAGAAATTTAGGATTTACAAAAGTAATGGTAAGTTAATTATTTATACATATGTTTGATGTCTCAAGTTACCTTTGCAAAGTATTTGGAAAAATTAAGACTACAGAAATTTTAAGTGACTTATTCCTGAATTATATACACATATATACATATGCAGAAATTAAAGGTTTATTAAAGACACTCACTTAAAGACATTATGAATAGTAATATAGATACATATACCTACAGTGCCCGGTATAAATTGAAATCAAAATTACAATTCTTCAAGAAACTTTTTTTTTAAATAATATTTTAACGGGAAGAAAATGTTTTCAACAGAACTCCTTACTAGACTCATAATTGTTTGATTCAATTCAAACTTTATTATATAAACTAAATAGAGGCATTGGTGTATAGTTAACAGAATATTTTGTTGACAATATTTGTTTAAATTAAAAAAATTTTAAAAGAGGAGTGTGCTATAAAAACAGTACGTTAAATGATTGCTTTTGGATAATTGATAAGTAAAGCCATTTCTCAAAGGCTAAATAAATATTTTAATATCAGAATAAAGAAAGAAACATTTTATTTCTTGTAGAGTGTAGTTGAAAAGGTTGTGTACAGAGTATCAGAAGACAACCCTGATTGGACAGTGGCGCAGAGATCAGCTTGGATAGATAGTCAAGTTTTTGGATTCAGTAGAGCGATTCAAGCTTTTGGACTCGATAGGTTTAAGAAAAATTGTGTTAAAATGTCCAGTGGATTCAATTATGTTCTAGAACACATGTTTCCTTATACTGCTCACTGCATGAAACCAACTCTTGCCCACATGAATTTTGCTGATAGGGTAATTATTTCATCATAAAAATTTAACTGCATTTCTTATAGTCATTTTCTATTTAAATTAATGTTATTTCAGATTGAGCAACCAGTTATTTCAAAGGTAACTCACGCCGCGGAAGATTTACAGAACACTCTGCATGATAAAGCCGAGAAAATGAAAGGTGCAGCCAAAAAAGCAACCAACTTAGCGAAACAGAAATCGAGTCAATTTTATCAGTCATAAATATTTGTATAATCATATTTTCAAATGACTGTAGCAAAAGCAAGAAAGTACGAATTATTAGCAACAAATATTTAAAGTCTTTTGATGTTATTTCGTTAGAATTTAAACTAACAAAAAAAAAGCAAAAACTCGTTCGCGTATATAAATATGACCCGAGTTCATTAGGATTTTGAATTTAAGGTCGACAATAATAATTATTTATCATTCCTTTAAAACTGCCATCATTTATTCTCTTTTGCAAATTAAAACACGTTTAAAAGTGTAAAGTTTTAATTTATGTTTTTAATTTACAATAAAATTGAAGTTAGTGTACATAAATTTAAGAAAATTTTATTTTAAATCAACTATATTTAATAATAATAATAATTATTATTATTATTTGAATAAACAATTTCTTCTTAACTAAAGAAAAATGAATTTGCCTTGGATTATTATTTGTCATCAACATTACAATTTTTTTTGTATTTTCTATTCGTTTAGAATAAAATTAAATTATTTTAGAGATTTTTGAAAAAATATTATGCTGTTGGTTGGCAAGCTGCGTAGAATAGTATTTCAATTTCTGTAAAAAAGATTTTATATGAAATTTGTATGTGGTAAGGAATTTAACATAATTATATACTTTTTGACCATTTTTTCTTACTTGGTCCACATGTGTTGGCACAATCAACAGCACTAGGATTGTCATATGTAGCCATGTCACTCGCACAAACAGGATTAAATTGGGGTGTTTTTGGACATCCTGGGCAAGTCCTTGGAGTAGGTTGGTCTCTTCGAAAAGGTGTTGTCCTTCTTATAGTTGCTTGTGTAGTTCCAATTGATGGATTTTGATTATCTGGTTTGTCGCTCCAAATCCAAGGTTCTTCAGTAGTTGTTGTTGTTCTTTGACATTGCACCAAAGCAACAAAAACTGTATTTTTAAATTAATTTACTTAGTCGTATGCCACAATCAAAGATCTATATTTTACAGAAAATTTTATGTTCTCAAAAATATTCACTCACCAAGAAAAAATATAAAAATTCGAGCAGAAAACATTTTCTCTTCTTTAACAATGAGACAAAATTGCGACGTTCAAAGATCGAGGATAACTTGTACTCTGCTATATGCATCTCAATTAACTGGAAATTCCACTATAGCCATGTGTAGATTGCATATATGTGTATATACATTTGTGTACCTATATATGTATTATAAACAAATCAATAATTCAAATTCAAAATTATGATTCGTGAGCATACGTTTAACTTTGAATAAAAAAATAATTTTTTTTTCGATGCTCAGTAAATGTGTTCTCCATTTAATTAACTTTAAATAAAAGTATCGTAGAACTAATAATCTTATAATTCATTACAAAATTACATATGAAAAGTAGAATAATTCTGTATCTAAATAATAAATTTATATAAAATCTTTTGTAAACGATAGCTCGCATTAAAAATTTATATATAGAACAAAAGTCAAGTAAAAAATTGAAATTATAATAAAATATATTAGAGGGACATAAAAGTTAAATTTGTAGAATAGGTACATACATATATAAAATCGAAATATATTTCACAAATTCACATTATTTAATTATATATGTACATATCTTTACTTCTTCACTTTCCAAGGTTGACCACCTAAACTTTTAATCAAGTTTCTTTTTAGAAAATATTTGAATACACTCACTTTTTATACGTGTGTTAGAAAGTCCCTTCGTTGAATCATTTGAACATAAATATATCAAAGTTAAAATGAATAAATTAATAATTATTTCAGGTAAGTGCATATATTATTAAATTATTAATTAAATTTTTTTAAATCTTTGCAAATACTTGGATTTTTTATTTATAGTTTATTATGGAATTTTACAATTTACTTCTGTACTATCAATTGAGGGACAGACTCCTCTCAAAATAATACAAGATTTTACTCAAGCGGATGGATTTATTTTCGATGGTCCCGCAGAGAAATCTTCCACTAATATTAATGAGAATTTTAGTGGTTTTAAGCTTTCCGCTATAAGTACATCTGCTCCTGGAACAATTTTCGGTCGTCGTAAAATAAGCCATATAAGCACCTTTGAACATTGCTTTAAAAATTGCCCTGTAAGTACTATATAAAAATATTATTATTATTATTCCGTCTATTTTGAAAATTTCCTGTATATATATTCACTTTGCAATTGCAAAAAGAATTAATTTTTTTATACAATGTACCAAAATTAATTCAAGTAAAAAAATAAAATTTTAGTCTTATCATTAATATAAAAATGGACGGAAATCGGGTCAACGCACAATATTCAAATAAAAAAAATTTATATTTTTTTTTCAGTCAGGTGAAGAAAAAAAACCAGTATGTGGAAATGATGGCCTTATTTATGATAATGTAAAACAAGTACATTGTGCGCGAATTTGCGGTAAATGTGAGTATTATTTATTACTCATTCATATACAATAAATATATTATATACATATACTTATATATTTTTAGATGTCCAAATAAAACCCTGTAATGAATCTACAAATTCTGATAGTGGCACTTCTAGTCAGCCATTGCAATTATTTTCTGATTGTATGAGTAGTTGCTCGGTAAGTGTTAATTAATCTTATTATATCTTAGAGTTGATTTAATTGATTTATTACTTACTATAGAAATCACTTGAATACAATCCAGTTTGTGGAAGCGACGGAACTACATATGACAATTCAGAGATTATTGCATGTGCTCAAACTTGTGGAAAACGTGAGTTTTATAACTAACTTTACATGTAAAGGTAATATTTTTAAAAACGGATTAAAATATTTTAATGATAAATTTTTTTTCAGAAATAAAAATTGCATCTCATGGAATATGTACTTTTAGAGTTTAAGACACTTTTTTTTATTTCATAACAGTCAACTTTTTTATATGATGAAGATATTATATTTTTTAAAATTAAAAAATACATATATATATATATATATATATAATACAAAGCCTTTCAAAATGAAAAATAAATAAAAATATAATTATAATAAGTTGTAAACATATGTAGGTATTAACAATTGACAATTAAATATATTATTATCGCTTATAAATTCTTATGTAAATTTCAAAATATAAATTTCTATATATGTAAACTCCTATATAATTATTATACACAATATGTAAACAAATAACAAGAAAATTTAACATATATTTAAAATAAGACTTTGTGATGTAAAAAGAGGTAATGTTTTTGGCCACTTTATAGCGCTAGTTTTTGACATACTAAAAATAAAAATTAAGCCTATTTAATTTATTTATGTTTAGAATTTGTAAACATTCCTTCTTTTTCATAAAACTAGAAATAAAAAATTGTAAATTAAAATCCATCTTGTTTGACTTTTGTGTGCATTTATAAATTTTAACTAACTGTTGAGCTATTATGATCCGCCCATCTAACTCTTCGTGAAATTTCAAAATTTCCACCATGAATTCCATAAAGGTGTCTTGCCAAAATATCAGCCCTATCTTCTTCAGCCTGTTTTGCTTCTTTTCGATATCTTGTAATTGTAATGAAACAGCCAGCAATTAAGATTATTTGAATTATGAGCCACAAAATGATAAGACTAAAAGCGACTACTGAATTCATGCAGATATTTCCGTTATTATTCAGACAAGTGTCAGGTTTGGAATGAAGACCGGATAGAAGAAAATCTGGATTAATATTGTCATCTTCAACAAGAATTAAAAATTGCAAGGAAAGTTCGTCGAGAGCACTGGATTCAGAATTTTTATTTATTTCATATACATTTGCATCAGTCGAATTTCTGTTGATTTCACGACGTTTTCTACCATAAGAAATCTGTCTGCTTTTACATATGGTCTGAAAAATAATTAATATAACAATTTATTATATGAAAACTGTACAAAATCTTTGTCAGTGTTCGTGCGCCGCTTATCTTATATTTAAAACATTTTACATTAGGAATCTGCTTCAACTAATCACTTACCGGTTCACATTTCTCTAAGCAGAATTTGACTACAACAGTAAATCTTACTCCATGACTATCTGGAAATCTAAATGCATTGAATTCTCCAATTAACGATCGATTATCGGCTGGATCTTTCATAAGAGCAGGAAATACATTTGAATCAATCGGGCATCCTGTTTCATCGAGAAGAAGAATAGATGCATCTCCGAGATTACTACTTGACACTAAATGACCTGCTTTAATATCGTACGTCCCTAAAAATAAAGTAATTTTTTTATTTCTTGGGTTCCTAAAATCAAGGCTTTACCATTATTTACCATTGAGAGGCTCAAGTTGAATTTTAAGAATAAGTTTTTGTCCTAATTTAGTGACTTTTGCTTCTTTGAAGAATTCATCCAATATTTTCATGTGCACAGTAGGCACTTGTGATGATGTATTTACTACCGTTGATATTATTGGCGGAATTCCAGCACTAAAATTGATAAGCAATATTTGTAGAATGTAATTTCGATGTTGATTTTTCAATTAATTTAATAAGCTTTTGAAAACTGACTCTGGGTTTAGAAATGTGAAACTAGAATGAACGGAAATATTTCTAGGTTCCGGCATTGTACCATCATCCAATGAACATCCAACTCTTACAGCTTGATCACCTTGTCTTTGTATAATAGGATTGAATTGTACAATAATAGTGGACCAGACCATTATATGGGTTCTACATAAATAATTTGAAAGACAATTTTAAACAACATGAAAAAAACTAATGCTAAGAGAAATATTGATTGCGTAGGTATTATACAGGTTTTCATTATTGATGGAGAACGCTGGAGTGATTCCACAATTCATGTTGCTAGACATAAGTTCATTTACTTTTGGTATTGACAAATTAAGTATAGTCAAATTATTTCCATTTCCTTGAATTCCACAACTGTCACTGAATCCACTGGCGTACATTCGCCCATGAAATGGCTCTGATGTTTCCAATTCCACTATTAAACTCGAATTGCTACATTTAACTTTCACTAAACAATAAATAAGTTTATAAATAAATTAAATAATTATTATCTATAGTAATTGTTTAAACATACAATCAAGACATGGTTCTCTTTCTTTATAAACTGCACCAGCCATGGGAACTAGGCCACTAGCTCCTGCACTTATTGTATCTTCAGAATTTAAAAAACATGTAGGTTGACTATTTCTTGAATTAGGAATTATAGTATAACTTCTGCAAACGAAACCATCTTTGCTCTCATCACATCTTTTTTCACACTGAAAAATTATTTCAATTTCACCTCATCAAATGATTTCTGCAATTTTGCTAAGTTTAAAATAAGTATATCATCTTACTTCTTCCATGCTGAGATTTGGTATTTTTAAGTCTGAAAGTGTTAAGGATGAATTTCGATATTCTGCATACGAACAATATTCATCCTTTGCTGTGGATAAAATGAAACAATATTTTAATTTTCTTGTCAAAACGAATTATAATATTTAATATAATATAATTATATTTGCTTACATATTTTATGGCACTGACTTTGAAGGTATTCATCTCTGTACCACGAAGCTCGATAAGCTTGAGGTCTTATTCCTCTTTCATATTTTGAAAGAGCACATTTTCCTACTGTATCTCCTATTGTGAGATCACGACTAGTTCGAAACTGGGCTGATTTACACTGTTCTCCTTTAAGTTGACATTAATATTATTATTATTATATTATAATTTTCAAATACGCAAAATACTCGCAATAATTGTAGCACAATTCTTAAAGATAAATCATTTTTTTTCGGAAATGATGCAAATAGTGAGTTATTTTTTTTATTAATTTCTATCTTGCATGAGATCTTATAAAGGACAACCACTTTCTCAATTTGTGCCATGACTACATTACAAAAAAAGACATGTAAAAAATTTTAAAAAAATTTGAACTTTTCATTGCAATCTTTCCAAAAGTTTTCCTAAGCTTTGTGATGTAAATCAAACGTTGAGATGCAATTTAACGTACTATATATTTAAAATAAATGTTTACCTTTTCGAAAACATTTTTCATAGCATTCTCGCCTAGTCATTAACTTTGGCTGCCAATCAGTGCTTGTATCAATAAAAATTGCTCCTATCGTTCGATCCACTTGCCACAGTGTCATTTTTTTACATGCTGATGGAACTAAAACAAATTTGAATTAATAATTAAATTAAATAATTTATATTTTTGAGCATATACAATTCATCGTGCAGATAGTATAATTAATTTTAGTAAAAGAGTAAATATACAAAATCTATTAGTTGAGGATTTATCTTAAATATGGAAAATTTATTAACAAAGATCTTTAAAAGCAAAACAATTTTATGGCTATAACAGTAACTTTACTGCATGTATATACTAATTTCGTCATCAACGGAAGTTGAATTTTTGCAAAAGCTAAAATTTAAAATTATAATTAGAAATTTTATTTTTAAAATGACAATACGCTGAGGAACCTGGCTTCGGTCGAAAGAGTAGCAATTCTTTGTTTGTTTCTTCCGTTGATTGGCAATTAGCTTACCATTGTTGTCCAGGCGGATTTTTTTGATATCAGATAACCAGAAGTATACGTTAAATAAAATAATGAAGAAAAAAGAGTGCAGGTTGAAATTACGCATTAGAGAGTGAACGAGAGTGAAATAATACCTTTTATACAAATTTTGTGATAAAAAGTGACATTGGGTTCCGGAACAAAATCATCACCATCTGATTGGACACTTAAACATACACTTTTGCTCACGTCAATAAGAAATGCTTTACAATTAGTTTTTTTACATCTGAAATAAAAAAACTAAACTATAATCTTAACAATTAATTGGTATAAGGTAAGTGGCCCAGGCGTCGACACTTTAAGCTGATGGTGATCAAATGATTACCATAATAAGTAAATAATTGTATATTTTTAACTACTTTTAACTTACCTTATCATTTGTATAATTTTTATTTTAAAAATTGTTAAATATACTTGATTTTATGCGTCAACATGTTTTTCTCACTTTGTGGTATAAAAATAATAAATTGCATAGATTTCTATGTAATAAGATTTTGGATTGCTCAAATGTTAAAGAAAGAAAAACACTTTAAACAGTTTTACGAAGACAAAAGAATATTATAAAAATGTTTAGTATATATTCGTGCGTATGAATATGTAAAAATGTATAATTATATGAGACCATGAACCATAAGTTTTATCGAAAGTTTAAAATATATAATAAACATTTATCTAGTATTTTTTCAGATTTACTGAATCGTTTTTTTTTATTTAACAAATAATTAGCACCTTTCAAAGCATGTATTTACAAGTCCTTGAGAATTCGCACCAACAAATAACGTTGACTTATTGTTAATACTTTCTGGTTTCATGTTGATAATTTTTTCCCATCCTGTATCCAAACAATCTTGAGAACATCCTAAAATATTAATAATATTCTCTTTATTTTGGTATTTAAGTATATTGTTGAAGAAATTGAATTTCTTTCAAAAAGTCAAGAGATGAATGATTCAATTCAATGAATGAGAAAAATGAATAAATTAGTCAAGTTGCACTGCAAAATAACTGAGATGACTGTAGTCTGCCTGCGTCTGACTTGAATATTGACTTTTATCACTGCAAACGCAAGAGACGAATCTTTTCATATATTCGCGCTGATGAATCAGTTAAAATTCACTGATTATAATCAGTCTGCTTAAGTGGTGGTAATAATTTTCAAATCTAATCATATATTAAAATTTACAGAATTTATATGCTTACCTATCCTGATAATTCTGAAAAAAAAAATAATGCCAACAAATTTGAGAATTTTTGACATTTTCTAATACTTGTTTAATAATTTTTGAAAAGGTTTTAAAAATAAATTTCCGTATCAATCACACGTTTGACTCGAAGTGATTCTAAGGTTGCTCATCATCCTCGAAACATCTCACTGTCCATTACCATTGCTCGACGTCATCCGCAAATCTCGTGTTACATCACAACCCGGCACACGTGGATATTCATATTTGTCTATTTGAACTTTTAATCTATGATATACACAGGCAACCTTATATTCTATAGTTTTCTACTGGCAGAATATTCGTGCAATAGCAACTCAAATCTTGATCGATTTTGCATTAACTCGTCAACAAGGACTGTAAAATATAAAGAAATTATATACAATATATTATGGTATATGTAAAAGCTTAATCTTTTTACGCAGTAAAAATATAATGGCAAATTAATTGCACACTGACAAACATACAAATATAGTTTTTTTTTTTTGAAAATTTTCTAACAGTTAATTTTAAATTATTTTCATATTAATACGAAAAAAATATAATTATGATATTAATAAATTCTTTTTTTTTTATTGCTATGACGTAGCTTTTGGCTTCATCAAAATTTTAATGTGTGTAATACAAATTTAATGATATTTACACTCTCTTATTTATATTAAAAATATATAAAAAGATATACAATTTGTATCCATATTTAAAAATTCAACTATCACAAAAAGGTGAAATCATTCGGAACATTAAAATTATCGAACGCAGACATAAAGGTGCACGATTAACTGAATACGACTCATCGGATGTGTGCGTGCGTGTTTTTTTATGTAAAACTGTCTTATCGAATTTAAAGTAGGTCATTTTTCCAACTTTTCTTTTCATCTGAGTATACACACAAAATCACCAAAATTGATAAATTTTCTTTTAAAATCTATATTTTTAAATAAAACTTTTCGTTCAAAGTTCACTTATTATTAACTAAAACGCAATTTGAATTTGCTTTGAATATATTCATTTTTTATTTTTTTTATTTCATTTAGGATATATTGTAAAATTTCTACAAGTATATTGGTTGTATTGAATAATAATAATATTAGCGGAAAAATATTTTTCTTATAGAATATTTCACAAAATTACATAGTGTCAATTCATTTTTAAAAAAAGTATAAATTAAAATATATTTAAAAATATACCTATCTTGAAAATTACATTTCCTCTTTGAAATAGCCAGCCAACACACATAACAACATCACATTTTAATGCATAATTATCTTTTATATATTTTTAATAATTTTATTTTATTATTGATTAAAGTGTCATTATTTGTTATTTTAATGAAGAGATACACTGCTTTTGGTTTGAATAAAAAGGTGCAGAAAAATACGAGAAGAAATCGAAAACCGAACGAAACCGAAAGTGTTTGAAGCAGCAGGATAGAGTAGCAAATGGGCCCAACGATCAGACTCGCACTGTCGGTTATGTGAACAAAAGTCTATATGTATGTATGTATCGCACAACTGAAGAGTATGTATAATACTACTTCAAATATAATTTTTTACATATCCCGAGTTTGTAACTGTACATATGTTTGAATATAGGTATCTTATATTATGAAAATTAATGCATACAATTATTTGTACGAGTAAACGCCTATAAATATATATATAATATTAAAGAAGAGGCAACACATTGACAGGTCATTTCACGTGTGACACAAATCTTGTATATACATAATCATTGTGGCATAACACATTAAATATACTTACATGTTTTTTTTTCTATACGCTTATATTTTGCAATATTTTATTTTGACAAATAATATGAGACAAAAAATTGAATTAGACTTCTTGGATGGTTCTCTTATTAAGAAACAAGCAATTTATAATCAGGAAGAGGAATAACTAATTAAATTAATTATTTATTGAAGGTGCACAGGAACATCAAAGTCATCATTTCTGCATTCCAAAGGATAATCAATTAATTATTGATTGTTAAACACATATTCAGTGAAAAACAAAGTCGTCATATTTATTTTTATGTAACTTGAACGATAAAATTTGATGTCATTATGTTGATGCAAAAAATGATAGATTTACATGTTCATAAGTAAAATTATGTAATTTTACATATTGGAAAATATTTGTATCAATCCTCACTGGGCCCCGAATACTCGTGCTTCGATCGATTATATGTATATTTATAATGAGCAGCTTCATTAATGAAAGGTAAAAATTAATTTAGCATATCAGTATTTGAAGGTTGTTAAAGAGCAATTTTACCAATTCTCAATTACCCATTGCGTTGGTTGCGGTTGGTTTCTCGCGTAAATTGTTAATTTCGTAAAAAGAGTTTTGTAACAATTCAACTAAAATTTTAAAAATATCTATTTATTTGTATGGTCACTTAAATTATAAGTATATGTTCTTTAAAATATCCACCATCAGACATTGATGAAATTGATCTGAAAATGACTGAAGGGAATTTTTCTTATAGCTGAAAAGTGGACACATGTACTGCGACACTAAATCGGTCAAATGTAACATATATCCAGAAAACATTTTCTTCGGCATTGTGTTTAGATGAAATAAAAAAATTTCTTTAAATAAAAAGGAATTTTTTCTTTCAAATATAAATAACAATAAGCATGACCTCATTCTTTTGATAATGAAACAAAGTTTGCTTTTTGCTAAATATTATAAATATATTTGCAGGGCAAATTAAACGATTTAGTGCATAAAAATTAATTAACATAAAAAAGTAAAAGATGCAAGGACAAACCGAGGATGAGCCTTGCAAAAAACGGTTCATGGTTTGCTAATTCCCATTCTCTACCTTGACATTCTGATGCATCATAATAACGTATCTTTTAAATCAGTGCACACTGAAATGCACATGCGACCTGACAATAATAGTACATCTCGAAACCGTGTCACGTAAACGACCTCTAAAATTGAAATATGATTTAATTATTAATATTACTATATGTATTTTCTTTAGTTAATAGGCCAAAAGTCAGTAGGATTTTAACTTGAAATTTTTAAGTTGGAAAATTAAAAATGCTTCTATGTCGGTCTACAAGCCGCTGGGGATTTTTCATGGGCAAAAATTTATTATATTATTCTAATAGCCATAAAGTGATGAGATTAATGAATTGCAAAACTCGTTTAGGCTCAATTTCCTGCCGGGCCTATAAATCTTCGTGAGAATGTCAGTTGCTTTGCATTATACAACAATGTACACAATTCTTCTTTTTGTCATATCTCGCATTAGGAACGTGGGACTTTTATAGAAAACACTGCACAATGTGTGTGTCATTTTTGGTGTCTTTTTATCTTCATAAACTATACATTCAAGATACACCAATTATTATTCAATGTCTTTTTGCGTTTTGTCCTATATATGTATATTAAACATAAGTATATTTGACATAAATTATGTCAGTTTATGATGTAAATGTTGCGTACGAATTTTTTAATTCCATTCTTAACTTTCTAACAAACCCGCATTCATAATGAAAACTACCTGCAATACACTCGATTACTTTAAAATTATATCATTTAAGTTGATGTTCTTTTATAAGATACCTGCTAGTTTATTTGGGAAGGAGAATATAGAGAATTTATTACACATCAATTTGTAAATGGTTTAGTAATTATTTTACAGAAACATAAAACGTTGTGAAAATAAATTATAACGAGGTGACCGATAAGAGAAGTAAGAAGCAATTATATCCCACTCTTCCGCATAGACATATGTTCTTTACAACTAAAAAGTCTTTTCATATCCACTGTTGACGATATTCCTATAAAGGGGTTGGCGAAAGTTGTCGTCAATTTTTCAGTGTTTCGCTCTTACAACTATGAGGTTTTTGTCGTGCCTATTAATATTTCTCTCCTTTTATCAAGTTCAAACTGGTGGTAAATATCATATTTATGTTTAAGCTTGCAAGCGAGTTTATCATGATGTAATAAAAATTAGCAGTGCGCAATAGGGTTGCGCAATAAATTTTAATCAATTTAAATGAATAAACTTGAATAAATTTTGAATTTCTTGTAAAAATATAATTTCAGTTGTCAGACGAGATATTAATGATACTAGTGCAAACAGACCTCCAGGAACAGGAGGACCTCAAACAACCGCTTTGCAAAAAACATTGCAAGGTCTCATAGAAATATGTGAAAAAATTCCAGTCATTGGTGGAGGGCTAAAGATTATTTTGCAGAAGGTGGTCTTTGTCATTATCCAGATAGAACTTATAACAAATGGATCAGTTGCTCGATTACTGGGAGGTGCACTGCCCTGCGTAATTAGCCTTTCTAATGGTATTCGTTGCAGTGGAATTAGTCAAAATGGCGGAATCACACAGCTTATTATCAATGACATTGACTGGTTGCCAAATTTACTAGTGCCTGTACTTGGGAAAGAAATCTTAAAATTTATCATCAAAGGTGTTTTGAATCCAATTATAGATGTTACATTTGGAGGACAAAGAGAATTCAAGCCTTCTTAAATTTAGTTTTTTAAATCAATAAGTTTGAAAAAAGAAAACTTATTTTTTGTTCTAGTAATAAAAGAATAATGAAATTTTATATGGACAAAAATTAATATTCCCCACCTCTCTCGTTCAAGCAGGGATAAAATATATTGCGAAAAGAATAAGGCATTACTTTTTGTGCATCTTTATTTTTTGATAACATTTTGCAATAGATGTTTTTTCTGAAATCTGAATAAAATATGAAATGAATTAGGTATAAATAAGTTAGTTAACATAATTCAACATCTTCATTACTTTATAAATAGCGGCATATTCTGACAGCAGGATTCTGAATTGCTTGGGCACTCCTTCATTATCTTTGAGTTTATTTGCAAATGTATTCAGTTTGGAGAAGCCAGTGTCTCTCATGAATTTCCAGACGGCAGTCAATACCATATGCGTAATCTTTTCTGTACTCATGTCGGTCAAAAGAAGGGTGTAGGTAGAGCTGTCACCCCCAAATATAAAGGAAAATGGCCAACGAATTATGTAGTAGATTATCTTGAACGGCAACGTTATGATTCCCTTTAAAAGAAGAAATGGAAATTTAATTATTTGAGTAACCCCACTGCCCAAGGTTCCGACAGCATTGGAAATAGATCTTTTGGATCTCGATTTTGCCATTTGGTCCGTTAGTTTTGATAAGTTTTCTGCAGTGTTTGCAGCTGGTAATCCAATGTCCGTGAAAAACTGGGCAATTCCATTGGTGGTTAGCTGCATTGCTTCTGAAATGGCTTGAGCTGTAGCACCCGAGCCGAAACTAATTGATTCCAGAGCCAGCCAGAGGGCGAGATTTTCCGTTTTGGTAACTTGTCTCCCAACGAATCCAGTCACTGGATTAATGATTGGTCCAAACAAAAATTTTATTGGTTCGGCTATTACGTAGTACGATAAAATGATAGGTTCCAATATGACTCTAATTGAAAGTGATATGGGCGTATAGATTCCATACTTGATTCCGTACTTGATTATATTTAATGCCAACCTAACTGGAGTTTCCAACTCTGATGCATCGAAACTTGGATCAGCGGCTTTCTCCATGTCTTTTACTATAACAAAAAAGAAGCACTGTCAGTAGAAAATAGTACGAGTTTTGAAAAGGAAAAATCTCTGAAATTCACGCACTTGATGGAATAGAATTGTTAATTTTGTTGGTAGTTTGACCACCAGGTTTGGTGACTTGATTAGTCACGGGAACAACGGTGTTGTCAGCAGTGGAGATGCTGAGAAAGCAAGCCCAGAGGACTAGGACCAATAATTTCTTCAACATCATCTTCATTCCTGTTGACAAACAAAAGTCTAATGAGCAACTCTTTAAAATGTCTTGTAACACTACACTTCCCCACTGATACTTCCCCACAGTTTTAAACAAGCCATACATACCTTATCTTTTGTTAATTGCCTTTTTCTTTCTTATATTTTTAGTAAATTTCAAATCCTTAGCGTTTTTACAGTCAACTTGAATATTTATAAAAACAATAATATTATATGAAACCAATCATTTTTGACACACTGAAAATCAATTTTTTCTACATAAACTTAGGGTTGAAAAAAATTAATTTACATTTGGTTGATTACGGCGGAAGCTTTAAACTTTAAGTGTGGGTTAAACGATAGAAATGTTTCCTGGGGAACACAATTTATTAGAGAAAATGCTAAGTGGGTGTAGTTAAATGTACATCGCAATGCGTGACGTCAAAATTCTAGTTTTATCAGTAGAGCGAGTTGCACTTGGAAAACTAGTACGATAACCTTGGATGAATTTGGTATTGTTTGTAGACTGATATGGATAATAATTAATAAGGTTCAGGAGTCCTGAGCTTCTACAGTTTTTTCGATGAAAGAAGAAGCAAAAGAAAATATATGGACTTATTATTGTTCAATCAAGGCTTTCTAGAAGCGTGCCTTTAGATAATAAAGTTGACATGCGTCTCAATTTTATTTAATTATTAATATTATACACCTAATATTTTCAACCAAAGCGTTATGTTATAAATTAAGTAACTTATGTGCATAATTTCAAAATTTTATTTTAGTTTTTTACTATTTGAATGGTTAATTATTACGATATTTTACCTAATTTGAAGATAAAAACTTTTTAAATAAATTATTCTTAATGAGGTAAAACTAACTCAAGAATGTTTTTTAAAAGTTGCTGGTGCAATTATCATTTTTTAGGTACCTTGGCAATTAATTATTTAACATCGACAATGACCTGTTTTAATAAATCTTATAAAGTACAAAAAATATCTATAATTTATTATTGCTTATACTTTGCATATGTTATTATAATTGTAGTATGCAGGAATATGGATTAAAAGAAGTTGATTAAACTCAATTTAATTGAAATAAATATGTTTATTCGCATATAGATATAGAAGAAATGAAGAAACTTATTTAGTATAATGAATAGTATACTGCCTTTTTCTGAGATGTTTTGGTAGTAATTTATTAAAATATTATAAGCTATTAATATTATAAATATTGAGCTATTTTCAGTAAAAAATTTTAAAACATAAAAAGACAATTTTTTCATCAAAGATGGGTTAGTAAAAGTATTTTTCCAATTGTATTATATCTATAGATTTTAATTCTTTTTCAACTGAGTACATTCTATTACCCATGGCGTGATAGACTTAAGATTGCAAGGGAATGTTTCACCATACATATTTTCCATATAACTTTGAATTAGTTGTAAGAGAATTTGAGTCAGTGGCCAGAATGCTGTCCTTAAAGTGCCAACTATTCCATTGGTCTTGGGTTGATTGATGGAGTCTGGAGTCTTGATAGATATAGCAACTTGAGAATCCTCACCTTTTATTTTTTTAAAATTAGCTTTGAAAAAATCATCTTCACATGGCGTATAAGTATTGCAATGCAAGGTTTAAAAATAATATTTTTAATAAAAATTCTTAATTATCAAAACTATAATGTTTAAAATAAAAGAATTTTAATTTGTAAAAATAAAGAAATTACATTGCAAAAAGAATTATCTTATTTTAAGGTGTTTTGGTAGCGTTTTTAAGACATTAAGATGTTTAAATGCTACAAAAACATCTTAAAATAAGATACTTCTTTTTGTATCTGTGTCTAAGTACTAAAAATTGTGTCCATGTCGAGTTTTAAAAATGTTTGTTTAGTATAAATCAAAAAAATATTTACCCTTGGAAGTGACAATAAAGCATGCAAATATAAAAAACAGAAGAATTCTGCAACTTAATTGTTGGGGCATGATGATGTGAATCTAAATGCGACTTTTGAAGTAAATTTGATTTTTCAAACTTGAAATCTATAACAAGCTTTGTTATAAACCTTAGACTCAAAGTTTGTCTTTCGTACAGTTATACATATATAGTCCGAACCAAGTTCTTGGGCTTGGTTTATTTTTTTTTTTCTTTGCAAAATACAGCGCAAGCGCATTTCAATTTCCTTACGCACTTACGTGCGATTTCATTTGACAATATAATATTTAGCTAGTATAGTAATATTTAAGTCTAAAAAGTTAATATTTATTATCTTAAATAGGGTCGGCCTCTTAAATGTAAAGCAAACATAGTTCTGATTGCACTATAAAAAGTTAAACGAATAAATATTTGTCAATAAAATCAATCGCGAATAGTAATCGATTTTTGAAGAAATTTCAATACTTATAAATTGGCTTGTACAAACATTCATTGTTTTTTATATGACCTTATTGCATAATACACCTATGAAGTATCTATACTATCTATCTGAAAGTGCACGCGTTAAATGTTGTTAAATTACAACGTATATAAAAATTGTAAAGGGGACAATTTGATTGATATCATTAAAGATAAATCAAACCAACGAAGCAAATCGTCATACTAAACAATTTTATTAGGAATAATTTTTTCGCCTTGTTAATTTTTTATAACTGAGGTAAATGCGCAGTTTTTATTGTCACTCATTGTCAGCTTTTATTCTAAAAGAAAAATATTTCTACAGTGATGGGGGAATATTAATAGTAAGAGAAAATTATTATATTATTGTTATTGTCATTTCTAAGCGCGATCCATATGATTTTATGAGAGAGCAGTTGAAATATAAAAATTAAATAAACATGGTGCAAGTTTTATGCAAATCAACTTTAATTTTATTGATAATTACATGCAACACATCTGCCCAGTTAATAAGACCTTTAAATGTTTATAAAAACATTATAGAAGGAATACATTTATATTTTAACAATACATGCATTATTTTATTACACACTATCCAACATCCAATGGAAACACAAGGTGAGTGAAAATTTTTAATAAAAAAGGAATACAAAAATTAACTATAATAAATTTTTTTTAATTTCATTTCAAATAGCTTTACACGAAGCTGGTTATCTAAAAGATCTTCAACTTTATCTCAGTCAACTTTACATACGTACAGCTACAATGAATCTACATACATTAAAAACTGATGCAAGCAAATAAATTTATTATAATTTATTATTAATTACCTAAGTAAAAATAATTCTTATCAGATTGTTTATTTTTATTCTCCAAATTTTATTACAGATAGGAATTGGTTACTTCAATTTGAAACGGCCTCTTTTTGTTCTGTTGAATGATTCTGATGAACTCAAGATTGAATTTGCTCATGTAAATATTAAAAATGTTGCAAAATCTAGGTTTTTAATTAAAAACTAGAATACTATTTATTTAGAATTTTATAAAAAACAGGAAATTTCACCTTGGATATCAATGGCTTATCCCACTTGGATAATTTTCTTTCGAGAAAATACAACAATTGATTTTTTTTTTAAAAACATCTATATACCTTTTGACTGCATATTTTTGGTAGTTGAAAAAAAAGGTGATAGTGATAATGAAGCAACATTATCAGAAATTTATCAAATCGATAAAGAAAGAGAATTGAGAATATCTGTCTTTGGATATTGGAATTTGCAATTTGGAGTGACAACACCAAACCTCGGGTTGTACCAACGAAGGGGTGATTTATTCGGACATAATATTCGTGTGTCGTCAATTGAGGTTCCTATATTGCGTTTTTGTAAACATTATTCTAGTAAAGTAAAACGTTTTAGTTATAAATAAATAATTAGATACATATCAATTAATAATAATTTTAAAAAATTACTTTCACTTTAATATTAAAAGGATCCTCCTGTATCTTTGATTATTCGTAATCAGTTTGGACAAATGGTAGGATTAAATGGATTTTTTGGAAAAGTTGTTTCTCTTTTGGAACATGGTATGAATTGCACGTAAGCTTCTTTTTTATTTTCTAAAAGAAAACAATGAATTCAATCCTCAAGTTGACACATTTAATTATTTATCCGTTTTCTTTTTCGATTTTAACTTGTCCGTTTCTTTTTTATCCTTTTCCTCTTTTTTTAACTTGTTCTCTTTTTCTAAATTTAACCTTATTTTTTTGAATTGTCTAACAGTTTCTTTTCGAAAATACTCTTCTTCACTAGCTGAAGCTTTTTCTTGAAAAATATCCGTTTTTGTACCGTCTCCTTTTCTTCTTCTTCTTTCATAATATCTTTTATTTTGATATATTGAAACTCGATTACATGTTATGTTGAACATTCTCCGCACTGTTCCCCCAGCCATTTTCAAACACATTCATTCAAGATTTTCATGTTTAATTTTAGTGATTTCGTTTGGAAAAAACTTGTAATTAAGATTTAAGAATTTTCAAATATCATTTATAAAAACTAAATGTTTCATCTTGAACAATGAAAAGTTGTTTTAAAATTTTGAGGATACAAGGACAGACATTTTGATAGCTATTGACGTCTGTTGATTAACAGTTGGCAGTTTGGCTTTTGTTCGCGAATGAATTGAATGAAATTTAGCATTTGTTTCTATTTCAGCAAGGTTTGATTTTTTAAATGCACTTACAGATTTACCTATAAAGAAGCTCACAATTGGGGACTACGCATGAACAATGGATCTTGGATAGGTGCAATTGGAATGTTAACAAGAAATGAAGTTGATTTAATAGCAGCTGAATTAATGATGGCCACAGATAGACTAGAGGACGTTGAGTATACAACTCCTGTATATACAACAAAGTTTGTTAACTTAAAAGTTAGAAACTTAGCATTTTCCTCATTTCCTGCTTTTCATTTTATAAACAATTTTAGGTGTCGAACTTATATAAAGAGACCTTCCTTTACTGTTGTTAAATGGAAGGCCTATACAGCTCCATTTCAATCTGGTATTTGGTATTCACTTGGAATTCTCATTATAGTTTCAAGTGCTTCGATTTCCTTTGTGAAAGCCGTTACAAAAAATAAAATTGATAAACAAATGAAGAATCGATTAACATTTTCGGAGACAACATTCCTTGTTTTTGGAGCTTTCTGTAGTCAAGGTTCGTCAAATCTCTAAATTTGAATCAGCGAAAAGCCCTTGATTTAGAAAACATATTGTAAGAGATGTATTTTACTTGACTTATTGTCATGATATACATGCAGGAATGGACCCCAGCGCATTGGATACAGTGATGATTATACAATTAGTTGTTCATGTGACAGCTGTTGTTATTCTTGCCGCTTATTCTGCTGCATTAATTAGTTTCTTAGCAGTAAAAGTTTTTATAATGCCATTTACCACAATGGAAGGACTATTAAAAGATGGAACATACAAATTTGGAGTCATTGCTAATTCAGCTGATTTTAGCTTTTTTCAAGTAAAACCATTGTTGTCAATATCTTCGCACTTTGTGAGAATATTGCTCTCAATTTTGACATTGCATATTAGTGCATCAAGCTAATTGTATTATTGTGGATATTCCAAGAAATTTTCTAGACATTTCCTGCAAAATTCATTTGAAAACTTGGAAATATTCCCCTATGAATTAGCTCAACAGGAAGTATCTATAACATTAAAAACATTAAAAAGTTTAAACTATAATAATACGCGGCCAAGTTTGATTCATTGCAATATTCCCTTGAGTTCAATATTTACTCACACATGCAAGAAATGGAGTAGAATCTCATTTATTTTTTTTTTTAATTTCAAATAGAACACATCAGATAAGATTCTCCAAGTAATGTTTGAAGAAATACTTGATCATGACGAATTACCACCTAATTATTATGAGGGTTTAAAAAAAGTTTGTGAAGAAGAAAATTATGCTTTCATGGCAATGGATAATATGGTTGCTGTTTTGCAACCAAAAGTAAATTGTATCCTTGAACCTTTGGATGTCATGATGCAAACAACTATTGGAATGGCTGTTCGAAAATGGAGCCCATACAAAGGAATAATTAACAGCAAGTACGCATGTTTATAACAAAATTTTATTCATAATTATTCACACTCAAATATTTTCATTCTTTATAGTCTTCTCATGATGAGGGACAGTGGAATTCTTCAGCGATTATTTAGTATCGAATGGGTTGTGCAACCTGCAAAGGCAAAGTTCATTTTTTCAGATTTATTTATTATTTTTCAAAGTTGATCTGCAGTCTTCGAAAATCTCAAAAAATACTCATATGTATTTGATATTAGACTATGTCTGACCCAACCAAAGCATTGAACGCACCTTCAATATACATATTGCGAATATTGCAAAACAACTTGTTTATTGTGCTGTGTTTTGATTTTTATTTAAATTCCTTTCTATAAATAAATTTAAATTAATAAAAATTATTAATTTCAGAATAAAGATGGTTGGACTTCAGTAGAAATGATTGATATTCTACCTTTAATTTTATTATTAGGAGGTGGATTATTTTTAGCAGGTTTATTATTATCCGTTGAAAAAACTGTCAGTAATAATTTACACTACTTTGAAAAAGATAAAAAAAGTCACAAGATACAAATTGATAAGTCCAATTAAGATTTTTCTCGTCGTATAATATTATTATCGTCGTATTTTAGTGTGTAGTATTTCTGATTGTTATATATGTCTAATCGCATTTAGATAAATGTTTATTTCTCTGCACTTATTAAATTTTTTTCATGTTGAATTATTATTTCTAAAAGGAATTTTAATATAGAAAGAAAAACAACATTAAAAACATTAACATTTTAAAGTTACGCGGTTTTAGGACTACTTTAGCGCCCCTAACGGACAGACATTCCCTCAAACACCAACGCGTGTGTTATATGTCTGCTTGTGTACACTCAATATTCTCCTCGAACTGTCAGTTTGTTTGTTTACTTTGAAAAAAGGAATAAATATTTAGCAAATTATTAGATAACTATATTTTACAAAAAAAACATACCCTTTGTAAAATATCTATCGCAGTGGATCTGTGGAGACCGTTGTTGTATTATTCAATTATTTGCAAAAAATGAATTGAGATTCATCTTATTCAGTTATCGTTATTGTAAGTCTATAATATAATAAATATTTTATTAAACTTACAATTTATTATTATTAGTCAATTGTTGTTGAGAATAATTTGAATGATATTTCATAATAACGTTTTATCTAATTTATAATATTGAACGTATTATTATATTATATTATATTATACTTAATTTACCATTGAAATATGTCGAAAGGAAAAGTTATTAAGTCTTATTAACATGTTACTAATATTCAAGTTTGTAATAGTGATATTTTTTAGATTATCTTTTTAAATTATGGCGGATGAGGAAAGTTACTCAATGAATGAGGACGTTTCAAAAAATAATCCAGTAATATCAGAGACCTCAAACTTTGATGAACCTCAAGATACTGCTTGCGTTGAAACAAATTTGTCAGCAAATGGAAATCCACAAATATCTGCTAAAGATAAATCAAAAAGTAATTTTTAGTCAAATTTAATTATTCATAGTTATCACTCTTTAATATATTAATACTTTCTTTGCAGTTTATCTCACATTCAATAAATGCTCTTAAAAATTTGTTTATTTAGTTGACATTTTACTAAAAGCCGCTGGTGATGCACCAATAATGAAGAAGAAGAAATGGGCAGTAAATCCAGATAAGCATATTGGATCTGTCGGAGAATTTATTAAAAAATACATCAAATTAGAACAGAACGAAAAATTAGTAAGGCATTTAAGTTTACTCTAATGACTTAGTATATCATTTTTTTCTAAGTATATCAACTTATTTTAGTTTCTCTACATAAATCAAACGTTCGCTCCCGCTCCAGATCAAACAGTCCAAAACCTCTTTGATTGTTATGGGACCGATGGAAAACTAATTATTCATTATTGTAAAAGTCAAGCTTGGGGTTGAAATATGAAAAGAAGAAGAAATGACAAAAGTATTACAATATTCTTTTATTTTAAAAATATTTGTAACTTTAAACAGTGCTGATTTATCAATTTAAATCACTAATTTCTATATAGAGATATCAGTATATACATGTTATTACGTCATATCGTGTACAAATCGATTATAATATTATCATTTTATAAAAAAAAACGATCTTATTATTTTGTAACTTAGTAACAAAATTTCTCTGAGCAAATTTTTTTTTTTTACTTCAACATTGATATAATTTGTGAATAATCTCTGATGATTATTATACCTTTTGACATTCCTAACCCTGGATACGAGTACATTTACACGTATCCGTTTACGTTTAGTGTCATTTTTCGTTCCGTTTTGTGATACCATTATGCTGATTCCACACTTACCGAGTTGCTCCGCTATTCCGTGACGCTTTGCGTGAGACAAACAAAGATAAAGATAGTATATGTATGTCTTTGTTTATCTCTCGCAAAGCGTTCAAGATATTTCTGTCTTTTTCTCTCTCATTCTTACGTGATACGATTTAAGGTGAAATCACACGCAGAAGAAGCGAATTTTAAAACTGAAAATAATGAGTTAGCGACGTCATCAGATATATATATATATATATATATATATATATATATATCTATCACTATTCCTCTAACTGAATTTTTTTCTATTTTACTCTTTCCGCTACGCCCCCATGTGATTTCACCCTAAGCACCTTAATTGCAGACATTTCTATTGTATAAATCACCTTAAATCTTTCATGCTAGGTGTGGTAGTATGCAACTATCATATTGTAGTCACACATAGTCACATGATTCTGTCACTTGAATGGAAAGAAAGATTTCAAAGATTTGTAAATATATAGATTCATTTACCAAATAGTGTTTTATTTTTCAAACAATGTTACTTAATTTCGCATTGATCTCTTTTTTTCTTGGAGCAGGTAATGATTTAATTTTTAACTTAAAAATTAATATATAATTTAAGACATTTTTTAACATCTGAATACTGTAATTTGACAGTTACAGTATAACTAATATACCACATTAAATAATCTCACCATTAATATTAATTGAAAATCACATTTTTTAGTTAAAGCCGAAGGAAATTTTATAATTTTGCACAATCCAAAAAGTGTACAATTCAGCGGCAATGAAGAAGTCGATCAAAGCCTTTTAAAAGAAATTTTTTCCGCAGCCCTCGGACTTACTGTAAAACAAGTACTTAACATTTATTATCAATAAGTAATAAACAAAATTTATTTTAAATGAATATTGCATCAAGTCTACATTAATTTCTGTCATTAGTATCGAAATGTTGTAATTTTCCTGTTTAATATTTTATTGTAATTTTGATATTTATAGAGAGGAAATTGGAATGGCATGTCCATCCATAATTTATTAAATTTGCCAGAAGCTGTCGTAGTCACGGCTGTTGAAGGAAAGGATTCATTAAATTCAACAAGAGGAATAATATTTCCTCTTAACGCAGACGAAAATGAAGAAACTACATGGCAAGCATTAACTGGACGTTTAGGAAAAAAAGATGATAATAATACGCTAGTGAGAATTTACCTTGGTGATGGACTTGATGCTGTAAGGATTCTAAAATGCTAAATTTTTTTTCATTAGAAAACATCATAATTATACAAAGATTTTATATTTTTACAGCTTGGACAATCTTCTCTTGGTGAATTGAAACCAATGCCTATAGATCCATCATCTCTGCAATTCTTGAATTTAGAATGTGAAGAAGATAAAAAGTTTCTCGAGGAAGTTCAACTTTTGCGTGAAATAGCAAACAAAATTACTTCTACCATAACTACCAAGGATTCAAATCCAGACGTTTATTGGTTTGTAGTATCTGGTTTAAGTCGCGTAATTGAATTACATGGAAAAGGTTCACCCTCTTCAAACGAAGCTCTCGCACTTTTAAATGATGCTCTTAATGATGTCAGCGAATCATTTGTAAATGTGTACAACGGTAAAGTAAGTTAGAATTATATTTATACATTTTTAATTGGAAATTTCACTCGCAAATTATGAGCATTTTTTAAAATAAATCTTTACATTATATTTTTAGGTATTAACTGCTACGTTTACCAATGATCAGAGTCAAGTTCGTCGTACCAGATCGACAATCGTAAATCGAGATATTAGTGAAAATGATGCACAGAAGGTGGTCAGTATATATCAGATTTTTGTACTAGAAACTTTGCACGAGAGTTTTTTTTAAAAAAAAATTTCAATAATTTCAGACTGATGATAGAAATCTTGCGAAAAAATACAATGATAACTATCCGGTTATTTTCAACATCATTCTATGGTTTGGCGTAACTTTCTTTTTCTCACTTCTAGCTATATGTAGTAAGTAGTTACAAATTTATAATGCGATAATATTATTTACATTTATGTGAAGAATTTTGAATGCCTATGTTATTATGCAAAACTTTGTAAAAGAAATTGAGAGCTATGATTTTTTTCCAGTTGCTATTGCCAGTATGGATCCTGGACGTGATTCTATAATATACAGAATGACATCAAATCGCATGAAAAAGGAAAATTAAATTAATTTTATCGTATTTTATGTACATAAATAAATGCTCGTGTCCTGTAAAAAAATTATTGTGAGTAGGTAATCCAATTAATTTTTATTAATTAACAATGTTCTACTTTTTTGTTCATTTTTATATGCGCACAGCAAGTTGAAAATTCATTCACATACATATATGAAGAAAGAATGTAAAAAATTTTAACGTGTGCGCAAATAAAGGCCATTTTGCAGGTAGAAATTTCGTATTTGTAATTTTACAGATTTCTGTACAATTACAAATGATAAAAATGGTTTTCTATAAAAAAGCCCCTTACAGTTTGGTTTTAAAACCATAATATTCTAGTAAAGTTGTAGAAGATGAATTACTCTCAATTATATTTATTTTTCTTTCCGTAATGAAGGCACTATCAGAAAATAAGGTATTCATAGAATAATGAACATAATACGAAGTTTTATTATATTATATAAATTTCCCTTATATATACCATATAGTTATAAGTATGTAATATAATGAGGCTTATTAGAATGCTCTACATGTGTGATAGAATCAGGTAAAATTAATGATGCCCATGAAATGTTTGTCGAGTTGGTGTTATATAAAACAATAAACAAGTAGCTGGAATTATAAATGTCATTCATTTTATGATTTTTATAAAGTGGAGTTTTCAGTCGTTAGAAAATGTATATGAACGAATACGTCAGTGTATTTATTAAAAAAATTTTATTTATTATCATACATGTCTCCCTCCGTCATTGTCCCAATATTATGGTCTAGCTAATTGAAAGACCCATTTTTTCAAACAGTTCATGTGTAGTTAAACTTTGACATGAAATTTAAATAAAATCGAAATAATAATATTGATAAAAATGTATGTATTAACTTGGTATTTTAATGATGTTATCTCTTTATATAAAAAAGCACTGGGATTATATTTAAAGTAACCTTATTGTTTAATGCTGCATATTGAATTTAATACCTATACCTACATAAAAATGTTATATTATAAAAAATATTACCTGGTAAACTTGACACCGTAATTGGAACTTTTCTTATTTGCAATAATTTCATGATAACTAGTTAACCATTCTAAACGAGTAAAGAATAATTATTTTTAATAAATTTGTTTTCTCTTACTCTTTCAGTGATGTGTCATTATGAAAGTTTAATTTCTTTAACTATTTAGAAAATAATAAAATTCTTCTTACTTGTGCAATTTAAAAAAAATACAAAATGTATTCATATACATATAGATAATAAAGAAGAGAAGTGCAATCAACTAAAACAAATATAAAGCTGTGCGTGATGTTACTTAAAAATTTTGAACTACCTGGTAAGAAGACTTATGTTGAGATAAATTAAAAACTAAAGTTTTTTTTTACAATTTTTAGGAATAAAAATATTAAAAAACAAAGATTCCATTGTTCAAAATGACGTGTGAAGAAAGATGCGAAAACAAACAGCAGTTGAATTATATATACATAACGCAAACACTTAATGAAATAGTGATTAAAAAAATATTATAACAATTAGTTTTGGTCACAACTATTTATTTAAATAAATCCTAATACTATCAACTGCTTATTACAGTGTTTTAAAATTTTTTATTTATAATTTTGAAACAGAGCGGTAAAATAAAAACTTTATAATCACTTATGCATTGCAAAATGATTGATTCATAATAGAATGGGACAATTCTGATTGACTTTCATGAAAGTCTTCTTATCAGGTACAACTGGATAAGAAGATTCAATAATATTGTATACCGTTAAAAATTATTTAACAATCTTAAGTGTGTATTCAATTTTTACTATGTTACTTGTGAAAATGCTTTAGTGTTATTCCTTTTTCATAAAGTGCCCATAAAACGTTACTAATTAAAACATATTTTAAAGCATTATTCGCGTTTTATATTATGTGTAATAATCTGATTTTGAAAAGTATATTATTAAAACAAAGATTCATTTTTAATTAAATAACGATTGTTTTTGAAAAAAATGTCAATAATATCTAATAATAATTATAATAATAAACAATTCAAGTATCTAAATACAATGTAGCATATAAAGAAAATTTATGAAGTGACAACATTTGAAATAGCACTTAGCGAGTTTTTAAATAGCAGTCTTCAATTGTACATAGTGATTTCTTTTATATTCTCATCACACTTTTATTCAAAATTAAATATTTTATGTTTGCAATTAACTTTACTAGACTGTAAAATATAGCACAAAATGCTGGCAAATATTTTAACACTATGTCTGTGATGTTTCGGTCCCTGAAATATAAAAATTAATTATTAAAAAGTGTACATTTTATTTGTCTTTAAATTAAAATAGAATATATTTATATATTAAACGTTAAACATATATAATGAAAAAATTACCTTGTGAATTGAGAACTGAATTCTGATTTAAAAGATAGGGAGCGTGGTGAGGTGCTTGTCCTGATGATAATCCACCAGATGAATGACTTACAAATGGTAGAATTTTATTACCAGTAGACATGAGTAAATCTGAAAAATGTTGAAATAATTATTCGGTATAATGTAATTTTAAGAATTTTATTGTGTAAAAAATATCTAATTTGTCAACTTTTTTGACTCGGAACTATACAGTGTTATCACATTTATTTACTTAAATGTAAATATATATATATAATTTTGTTTAATATTTAAAAAACAAATCGAAAATTATGTAACTCAGTTTGTTTGTTTCGTATCACATAAGTTCCATGTAAATTCATAGTTGTAAAATATTATTTGCAATGTCGTTACAAGCACTGCTTGTTTTTCACATTATGTTCATAATTATAGAGATTTTCGAAAGCAATCTATCAAATATTATTTAGTATTTTGAGGAGAAATGTTTAATATTATTTTTTACCAGAAAATGTATTATTTGAAGGTGCTGGGCGGGGTATTCCAAGGCCAAATGAATTCATGTGATTTGGTGATGAACCAGGAAAGCCCGGAGGCGGTAAGCGACTTCGTTGACCTAAATTAGCCACTGAAATTGACCCTTGACCAGAATTTTGTTGAATAAAATCCTGAGGTAATCGCGATAATAAGGAATGCGATTGCTGCAAAGCATGTAAACTTTGCAATTGTTGTGCTTGTTGCTGAAGATGTGCCAGGTGTGCAACCTAATAAAACAATAATGTAATGCAGCACATTATACGTGTGTGCGTGTATATAGGTATAATGTGTACTAACCAATATATTATAAACAGCTGTCAATGCAAAAAATATAAATAATATACCTGAGAAAAATGTTGAGAACCTAAAGTACATTGAAGTTGTACTCGGCTATCTTCTCTCTCCTTTAGTTGCTGTTGCTGCTGTTGAAAAAGTCTTTGCTGTTGAATTTGAATTTCATTCTCCATAAGCTCAGCCAAAGCTTTTTGTGTTTCGTGGAATGGATCAAAACCAAGTTCATCATCTGCTTTTACACTAGGTACTACCTCATGAAGTGTTTGAACTTTGTTTAAAGAAGTGTAACCATTTTGTTTCAAATACTCACTATTCTCGTAATTCTGTTGAGCCTATAATAATGGATTTTACATTGAAATTAGTATTAAATAAACTGTTAGAAATCAGACTACAACTTTATACCAGGAAGATTATAATTATATAGTTTCTAATCCAATATCTAACCGAATAATTGATGAAACATTTAGAACAACGTGAATATTATAGGTTGTAGTTACCTGCATAACAAGTCTTTGTTGCAATGAATTTTGTTGAAAATCTGCCATAAATTTTGTAGCTGATGAGTTGACAAGTAGATTTGATACAATATTTGATGGATTCGAAGGATACTGTGAATTCGTATATGTATCTTCAACTATAAAATCTTCAGAGTGGAATGGTACTCTTGGCGTGTTGATTCTATTAGGTTTACTTAGAAATCGAGCAGTTTGTGACGATTCATTCTGAAATCCAAAAGCTGCTTGCCAGTCTTCGCTTGAATACACAGTTGGTAAAGAGTCAGGTATAGATATATGCCCTAAATTCATCCAGTCGACGCTTGAATTTGCTGTAAAAAAAATAAACTCAAACTTATTATTTATTTCCGTTGCATGGCACATTCATATTCATACAAGAAAGAATGGAAAAAAAAACAAAAAAAAATAGACAGTAAAGCAATTAATTTTATATACCCGCTTGAGCTGTGGATGGTATTGGCACAGAAGTAGAAACTTTATGGAAATTATTTGAGCTAAAGAAACTATTATTATCTGTTTGAAAAATAGTTCGATGATTTAATTGAGACTGAAAATTATTAGTATTGTCTGTGGATGATCCTGAAGAAGACTGTTGACATATATTCTGGGATGAATTGCATCTAATTGGAGAAGAACCTGTAAATACGTACACAAATTAATTTGCTGTTGTAATCTATTTTCTTTTTCAAAAAAAAATAAAATTTTAATCCATCAAAATTCACTTTGTTTAGAGAAGTCAGAAAATAAACTGACATCAGCTCTCGGTTTTTAATGGAGTTAAAAAAGTCAATGAGGACTTATCTTATACTTTTTATAGTTTGACATGTGGCCTCTCCTTTTATTTCTTTAGAATTAATACACTGAGTAGTTAGTTTTTAAGGCAAAAATGTGGACTATGTTAAAAAAAACTAGAAAAAGCTAAAATAGCTAGAAACTAATTTGCCAAAATATAAACAATAAAGATAAATACCTAAAAGTGCCGAACGATCATTATCTTCTTTCAATTTAGCTAGAACTTCTATTTGGTGAATTGCATTTGAATCATCTGAACTGGAAATTGTACTAGTTGGTGTACCTCTCTCGCCTTGTGATTCTCCTTCTCTGTCTAAATGACTATATTCTACATTTTGTACAACCCCATTTATTTTAAGATCGTTAAATTGCTGTTTTATTTTTAATTCCGGATCTTGAATTCGATGAGATTGTGCATTGTCTACTTTTTGTTTATTAGCAGATGTTTGTTCTGTTTCTATAATTGATTCAGCTGAACAATTTCGTACTTCTTTTGAACCATTAACCTGAGATTGTGTTTTATTTTGCATGCTTAACTGAGCACTTGCATGATTTGAATCTGACTGTGTGGAACCTCGTACATTGTGCTTTTCTTTATTTTGACAATTTTTATGCTTGTTACGAGCAGCTTGTACTTTGCTTTCACTATTACTTTTGCCTCGTCGAAATCCAATTCCACTTTCCCCTTTATTATTATTGCTTTGTTTTTTTGTTGGCACTGTTGGTGATGAAAGATTTTGTTGTATATTCGTAGTGTTCTCATTAATAACGTTGTTTTGACTTGCAATTTCAACAGGAAGAGATGGATCCTTAAAATTTATCTGCGAACCTGAAACAACAATAACATTTATGTCAAAGAAATCAATGCAATATAACCGGAGACATCATAGACTAGATGATAGTATTGAAAATTTTTAAGGTTTTTGAGAAATTAACTTACAGTTGGTTTGACCTGACTGCAACGAGGGCCATGCTTCTTTGGTTTGTGAATTAGACATTCCACCATCTCGAACAACGTTGCCTGACACAGGTGGAGAAGGAGTAGGTTTTCTAAAAATATTACAAAGTTATTTGTAATTGCGTCTCAATGTTTCTAACTGATTAAGAGTCTTATTTCTTATCTAATAAAATCGAATGGTTGATTTATTATTTTTTTATACAATACGAACTTACCTTTGTATGGATGTATTGGCATGTAAAGATTGCACTAATTTCCTTTCATATTCTTGGTGTTTTCCTTGATGCATTTCCTCCTTGGTGAATGATGCTTCTTGATCACCGAGATCATGCAAGTACATACAATCAGGTTTTGGACAACTTTGATTGCGCATGAAATGTGAGCAATATTTTGTCGTACCAAGTGACGTTTTTATTGTCCTTCCATCCACAACTATATTATTTACAGCTTCTATAGCGCGTAATGCATCTTCCTGGCGCTAAAATAAAATGCATTTCCATAAATATTATCAAAAACTGTGTATAAATGGATCAGTTATTTTTTAAATGCAAGGCAATCAACAAACCTGATAAGTTACGTATGCTGAAGCACTGGGACCTTGTGATCCAGCATATGAAGTACTTTGATTTATTACAACTTTGTGAATTTTCCCGAATTTTCCAAAATATTCATGTTTCTTCAAAACCTAAAGCATGACATTAAAGAAAAGAAAATACAGGTAAATACAAATGACAAAAGTTTATCTATATCTAATAAAGCATTAAGAGCTTCTGTAAATAAAAAAAATTTTAATTTTAATAAAAAATAAAAAAAAACAGACTCACATCTGGATCTGCCAGCCGCATTGGTAATCCAACTACGAAAACCAGATTTTTCTGAACCACTCGTACATTCGCTAAATGCTTGCGATTTTCTGTGACTCGTTGTTTTCGTTGTTGATCCTTCAATCTTTTTTCTGCTTTTAGCCTATTTTTATTAAACACATACATTTTATATACATTCACGTATGTCAGCTTTAGTTGCTGAGAAGAAAAGTTTTCAAAAGCTGTCATTTTTTAAATTAAACTGAAAATTTATTAAAAGTTTTACTCACTTTGCTATTTCTTCTTTGCTTAGGGGTTTAAAATCAGCAGGATTTTCAGAATAGGCCTTGCGACAAGCAGGACATAAACCATTTTCATCAGTCCTAATTCTATGCCAACAAAAACGGCAAATTTGGTAGCCGCAAGTACACGGAAAGAAATTCAAATCATCAACTTCTAATGGTTCCATGCATAGTGGACACTCCACTGCATCTTCACTGCCTTGATTCAAAACTGACATATCTTGACACTGATTGTGTTAACTTTTTTTTCTTCACAATTTACAGCAAAGTTTCCTTCTCTCAAAGTCTTTTAGAGAAAAAAAAAACTTGTATTAAATATTTTTTTAATTCACGATTAATATATAAGACATATATATATTTTTATATTGATGTAAATGAATAACATATATATATACTTTTATTGATAATTTAAAACTTAGGATTTTAAATAAACACTTACTTATGTAGGAAATCTTTTGTAATCTTCACCCAATAAATTTTAATTTTCAATTCTTTTTTCAATGAATCTTTTTTAGCCACCTGAAATATATCAAATGGTTTAAAATTAACAATTAAATTAAATTAAAAAAATTAAACATAAAATCATTGAACCACTTTAAAAATTCAGTGTATAATAAAACAGGTTATAAATTCTCAATTACCTTTCTCTCAATCAGTAGATTTATAAATAAAAAAAATAACTAAAAACGAAGCTTTTACAATACAACTTGAATAGACAATTCTATTTTGAGCATATTCATTATCTAGACATAAAAAATTTGTAAATAAAAGTCGATTATTATGACATAAGTAGTAATCGCTGAATAAAGGAAAATATATAAAATCTTAAAAAATAACTATATACCTATAAAAGAATATCTACAAAATTTGTGTATTTTAAATCTTAGAAGTGGGAGATGCAGCTACAAAATTATGCTAATATATATTTACCTAAAGGTGACACTAAAAACAAGAAACATAAGCTGCAAAATATAGGATTTTATTTTTCACTTCTTTTCATTTACGATGTTAATAAGCATTATTGCTACTATTGCACGATAAATTTTTATAAAATGAAAATATCAATTTTTAAAAGAAATTAATCAAAATCAATAAAATATTAGAAAGTAATTATACTTATACAATATACTTTACTAAAAAGTAAAAAAAAAATTATTATCGATTATATAGCTTAATTATCTGTTCAATTCCGTCATAAAAAATAAAATCTTAAAAAAAATTAATTGTACACTAGTTGTGGACAAAACAAAATTTTTAATAAAACCAAGTAAAATAGAACTTAATAGTTAACAGTTTATCCTAACCTTAAAAATGATTATGAGCTTATAACATTAAAAAGAGTGTTGTAAAAAAGGTGAAAATGAAAATAAAATATATTAAAATATGTGAATGATTTAATGTCTTATGTCATACTTTTTTAAGGATGAAATTTGTTAGGTTGTATCGTTAAGGCTGAATCTTCATATACTTTAGTCGATAACATAATGTAAAATGTAATTTTAACTAATTCAATCTTAAATTAAATAAACACAAAGAAATATTTGAAATTCTAAAAGACTTCTGATTGAAGAATTGAGGATAATAATATGGAGTGCATTGATTTAAAAATATTGTGTTTTTGTTAATGAGGTTTTTATTATGTAGCTAAATTATTAAAGTATTAATGTTAAAAATAAAGAGTTACTAAAGATACTCTGATAAATAATTAAACTAAAAAGCATATAGGTAAACAAGTTGGAGGAGAGAACGGTTATATCTGACAGGAGGAAGATGATCTGTCATTAAATAAAAGAACAAAGAACTCTAGATTTTTATAAATACGAACCTTAGTAACTGTAAGTTGTATATTTCTTAAAGTGCATTTATTGTAATTTCTTGTTATGGGAAAGTTTTCATCCTACAGCAACTTTAATTAAAACTATATATGTAATGAATAAAACGACAAAGATATTGCGACATGAACTGTCAGAACACTTGTAACAGCTGTTGTATAGCCACAACGGTGCGCCGCGCCGTCAGTGTCCTGCTATACAATATATGTACAGTAGATTTTCAAGTCAATTGTGCAACTGATGGTAATTTATTTTTGCGCGAATTTTAAAATCATATTCTATTCTATTTACAGTTATTAATTATTATTTGTATTTCAAATTAAAATAAAAACGTGAATTTTTAAAATTTCACTTGCAAAAGACTATCTGACTTTAAAATAAATTGATGTATATAATTTAAACTTCAATTTTAATTAAATCATTAACTTGTAAATTCTTTTATTCTTCTTTTTACAAATACTTGATTAGATAAACTGAGATATACTTTTAAAATTTATATCTTATATAATAAATTTGTTAATATAAGGTTTAAAATATTAAATTTTTTTTAAAGGAAAAATTTAATTCAAGCCTGATAAAGATAACAAGGAAGAAACTTCATTGAAGTATTCATACCTATATGTATCGTACACAAAAAAATGTTGAAGGTTATGTTTGACATGAGAGCAGACGACTTTCACTTTTTAATTCCTATTTATAACTTTTACGTGCCTTGTTTTCGAAAATAATATTTTCTATGTTGTTAAATAATTATAACACTAAATTTTTTTTAGTCATAATACATAACTAAATTAAAAAGTTACTAACATTACTGTAAATTTATGAAATGTCACTAACATTTCAAAGAACGTTTCGCTAAGGTCACTGCATCATTCAATAAGGTAAACAAAGGTAACGACAGTAAGTCCTGGTTACTTGAACCAAAATAAAAATATTAAAGAAATTTCCATCCTTCTAGGGCTTTGAATCCTATTATACATTAATATAATAAAAAATTAATAAAGTGAAAATGTGTAAAAAACGTTTTTCAGTCGAAAACTGTCAAATTCAAGTAATAAATGTCAATTGTTATTAAGCTAAGAAAACCTTTAATCGCGCTAAATGTAGTTTAAAAGTAATAAATTCTCTAGTTGAAATCCAAATAAAAATAATATACATACAACAGAACAACAATAATTAATTTAGGTTAATACACCTTTTAATAGCATTATTTGGATATAGTATCCTAACAGTATTTTCGACCAAAAAATTTATTCCATCGAATAATCAGAATAAAATAAGTAAACTATTAGACAGTGAATGTACTCCAACAGAATAATTAGATATTAATTGTAAATTTTTTAAAGAACCGTTTTTTCTGTTAAGGTTATTTCCCAATACAAACTCGTGTTTGTAACACAATAAAACAGAAATTATAAAAAACTAAATATGATGTCAAAAACACAACATACACAACAAATGGTCAAGAAAGGAATTATATGTAGTACTATTTGGTTCACAGCTCATTTCGCAGATACTTCTTAGAAACTACATCATAAATCAAAATATTTATGCATATACCTGCCTCTAAGGTTGCAAATTCGCTGTTTTATATATTAAATTATCTTTCCTTGATTATACCTTTCACACCACAAATATTAATACGATACAATTAAATACAATTCAACACTGTTACTTGTAGTGCACTGTATTCTCAGGGGTTGGAACAATTACCTTATACGTCAGTGGTTGTTTAAGGGAGAAATCACACGGAGGAGTAATCCAACATTTCGACAAAAGGTGGAACGTCTGAAATATGACACTGATATATCTGTAAAGTTTAAGAGCTAACATAACAGCATAAATTGTTTTCGTTACGGCTGGGCTGGTTCCATAGTTTCGAAAAAAGTGGAAGTCGGAAAGTGTAAGTCAATAAGAACTTTCGATTCAATGGAAATCAGTATAATGTAGAGTTTTTATTGGCTTAACGTCTTACGTATCCGACTAGTTGTGCTTATGCCTTAAGCTACATGTAGAGAGAGATGGGATCGTCTCTTTCCATTGTCCATTGTGGACACAGCCTTACGATTTAAGACTTGTGATCCATGTGTTTCGGCCAAAATTTTTAATAAACAAAATAGTGTTTTAAGCAATGGAGTATACGGAATTATTTACTTTAAAGCAAAATATTCATTTACAAACCATTTGTGAGGTATATTGACCACATATTTTTTGTTTGCAAATTAGGTTTACTATATAGGTTTTGGTTTCTTGTATTTATTTAACGCTTTAACATATGAGTTTTTTCTTTGTTATTTTAAGGTAGAAACCGAATTGAGATTTTTGTTTATTTCACATTAAATTTGATAATCAGTATCCAGATATCTAGTTGATTAGTTTTCAATTTGGGGACAATAGCCATAAAATAATTACTGGTAGAAGTTTTTAAAATTTTTCCAAATTGCAAGTGATTGATATATCATGTCTAATTTTATAATTTATCTACCTGATTAAAATTTCTCTTTAGATTTTAAATAATATTGATTTTTATTTGTTATTATAGGCTATAGAAAGAAATGAAGAAGAGATAAAAAAATGGACTAATTTTCAAAAAGAATGTCAAGTAGTTTTAGAAGGCCTTCAAACTTTACCATTAGAATTATCCATGAATTGTATGATACCTATTGGTAAGCAGGCTTTGATAGAAGGTAAATTAAAACATACCAATGAAATTTTAGTATGTCTTGGAGAAGGATACTTTGTTAAATACTCTGCAGCACAAGCTATTGAATTAACTAAACGCAGAATAAAACGTAATTATTGTTCGGTAAAATTAAAAGATTGTAATTTATCGAAAGTAATTAACATTTAATCGTTCTATTTTTAACAAGGTACTCATGACATGTTAACATTTTTGAAATCCGAGAGGAATTTATTTGAATCAAGGAAAAATTGTCTTTTAAGTTATGGAGTATTTGAAGATATTGTAAAAGATGATCTTGTAGAACACTGGAATGACCAAGATTTACAAAACTGGAGAGGTATAATTGAGAGTCCTGATTAAATAACTCGAACGAACGCTTTAATGTTAGTCAGATAGCAATGATCCGTCACTGATACTTGACTGGTAACAGCGCGTCGCTCGAGTTATTTGATCGAAACCCTCAATTAAAAACTACATTTTCTGAAATTATCGAAAAATATTTCTTTTTACTTTAAATATTCCAATCAGTTATGAAATTAATTGACATAATAATTAAATATATAATATTATATGATTTTTTGTTTTAGTTCAACATAGACAAAGAGAAAAAGAGTATCATGAGCAAAAATCGAAACAGAAAAACTCAAATCAAAATTACCTTATTACAGAGGAACAAATATTTCAAAGATTAGATGAATTAGAACTTGAAGAGGAACTAATTGATGAATATAACAGGTCGATACATTTTTGTAATTTTCAAAAACATTTTTTTTAAATCTGGTTCAAGTTTTTCATAAATTCTAATATCAATTTTTTGATTTCAATATTCATAAGTTTTACCATTCAATTTTTGTACTACAATATTAGTATTTTAAAACCTATTATGCACACGTATATAGTAAGATGAATTATCTTTTATTATATATATAATATGCATTTTAGGTTACATATTAATCAACTTGATGGTGATGATGATGATGATGATGATGATGATGATGATGATGATGATGATTATGACAATGATGATGATGATGAAGATGATAATCAAGAAATGGAACCGAAAAAAAAAGATTTAATAGGTTCGCAAAAACCACTAAGCAAAGAAGAAGAGAGCTTAAAATGTAATTATATGGTAAATACGGAAGATGAAGATAGATTATTTAATAATGTCAGAAAAGTGTCCTTTCAAGGTACTAGTGATGTAAATAACTGTGATAAGAAAAAATTTAATATTGAAACTAAAAAGAACTATAACAAATCAAGCGTTCCCAATACAGAAGTAAAATATAATCAGGGCTCTAATCTTATTTCAAAAATTAATTTTGAGCATTCAAATGTTCCTCCACAATTGCTTGACATTGACAAAAAGGTGATCAATAATCCAGCAGATATTTACAATGTATGTTTTCAACCTAAGTCCATTTTAAAACGACCACGAGACAACTTAAATAGTAAAGATTTTTCATTAGAAGAACACTCGACAGATAAATATGTCGAATGTGATACAAAAAAAGTGTCAGCATTTGAAAATTTGGTAATATAATTTTATAGTTTATATATAATTGTATTTGACTGTATAAACATTTTTTGTATCAGTATTTGTTAAGTATTTATCTTTTTTTTATAGGTCACACAAACAGTTAAAGAAAAAAAACAGGAGTCGATTCAAACTGACATTTTGGATTCTGTAAGTAAGAAAAAACCAGTCAGCAGATTCAAACTGGAAAGGGTAAATAAATGACAATAAATAAATTAAATAATTAAATAACAAGTCATGGTTAATATTAAATAAATAAATTTTTTAATGTTATAAAAAAGGTTTTATTAGGAGAACAAAATATTAATATTCATCGTTTTTTTAGTTACATTTTTCTATAAATATAAAATATTTAGATTTTCGATTAAAAAATTTTGCAATGTTTTAGAAAAAAAGTACATAAATTGAATATTTACTTTTTTAGTGTAGAATATAAAAAGTTTAGTGAACCATTCAACAAATTTTGCAATTGATAAAACCATGAAATATTTAACAGACTTTTAATATTTGTAAAAAGGACTTTAAAACATGACATTACTAAAAACAAAATCTTATCCTATGGAATTAGCCCTCAATTACTAGACAGTATGTAGCGTACCGCGTGCTTCTTGAAACAGGAAACGAATTTTAATTTTCATTAAAAAAATTAAATAATATTATGAGCGTTTGAAAATGGATAGTTTTTGTAGTCGAGTAATTAACTATTAATATGTTCGTTAGTTGATAGTTGATTGATTTAAAATCTCGTATTTGAAATCTTCTAGTATTTGGTATACCAGAATTATTTAAAATTGTTGCTCGTGTACAATACGCATATTGCGTACTGGATTGAAATTATTGTTTTCTTCTTTTCACGCGACTTGTTTTTTCTTTATGCTTCTTCGAAAACTGTTTGGGGTGGAACAACAGTAGGTGGAAGCATATAATTTCTTAATGGAATCGATGAAAGCTTCTGGTCAACAGGCTCGCGTGTATCATACAAACTTGGTGCTTGGAATATAATTCCTAAGGTTCCACCAATACATGCCAAAGTGAAAATCCATAAAAAAAGTCTATCAAGTACCATTGCTACAAATTTCCAGTCTTCTATTACCTAAAAACAAATGTAATAAACCATAAATTTTAATAACGGTTATTTCAAGTTGCAAATAAAAATAAAATATATCATTCAATAGTATAGTTTAAAAACAAATTCTATATTTAAATATTAATTAATATAAAATAAAACAAATGAATATCACCCAAATTATTAAAATTTTAAACATAATTAATGTTTTAATAAAATCAGTTAAACCCACAAATTTTTCGACCTAAAGTAGATGTAAAATGAATAAAAAAGTTCCTACCTCATTATCTTTATCAGCATCTTTAATGTGTTGTGCAATAAAGCGGACACCTTTTAGAGCGGCTATTACATCTGCTGATAAATGTCTTGGTATTGTATTTTCACTGTCGGTTACTGTAATTAAAATCAACTTTTTTCACATAAATAAATTCGTTTTTATTTAATTTTTTTTCTTTTTAAATTCTACTGAGTCAAAGTTTATCGTTAATAATAAAAGATAATTTACCTGATGCATGAGGAATGTGTCGTCCATCGTCTCCTCTTATTGGTTTATATGGTGAAGTGACGCTTTCAAAGCCATCAGGACTTTCTTTTAAGTCAAGGGGATAATCACTTATGCTATCCCGAAAGCTAAAAAAATAACACTTTTTCAAACATGAAAAAAATTACCTCATGTAGGTAATAAACTAACCATTTAACAGTAATAAATTTAACCTTAGTGCTTTTAAAAAACATACCTAAAATCAATTTCATTTGTACAGCCACTATCTAGGTAATTATCATCATAGTCAGGTGTAGAATATGGTGTACGGCGCATCATTAATACCCGAGGCATCCAATTAAGAAAAACCTCTTTGACCCATGGTGACATTTTATGAGTTGATGGAGACCTTTTAAAGAGCATTTATTGATAGAAATCTATATTTGGACTTGTTTCTGGACTCAACAATATTATAATTATTTTAAACATACCTAAAATGAACGTTGAGAACGCATACCGTTATCAAAATGGATAATGTTACAAGAATCATGGTAAATAGTAAGTATTTTCCTAATAATGGAATTGCTAAAGAAGTAGGTGGAATAATTTCTGCCAGTAATAAGAAAAACACAGTAAGTGACAAGAGAATTGAAGAACACAGCGATACCTGTAAACAGCAAACAATACTAATTGTCATTTTTTGACGAGTGAAGAATATAATGATGTATTTACCTTTTCACCAGAATCACTTGGCAAGTAAAATACTAGAACTGTCAAAAATGTGATTCCAACACATGGTATTATCAAGTTGACAGTATAAAACAATGTTTTTCTTCTCATTGTAATATTAAATGTAATATCTGTAAGAACCAATATTTATTATTGTTGTTGCTTTTTTATTATTTTTAAACGTATCAGAATAAGGCTTACCAGAATAAGGCTCTGAACAGCACGGATAGTATTCTTCATTTCGTGAAGCTGGTACTTCCAAAATATCCCACTCTACAGATAAATAAAAGTCACTCAAGTCGATTCCTATTGCTACTAAGTTACTGCCAGATTGTTGTTCCATATGTTTAAGATCAACTTGAGCTCCATTGTAAGTCCAAGAACCAAATTTCATGATGCAAGACTGTTCATCAAAGGGGAAATATTCGACGTTTATTTCGCAGGAAGATTTATAAATGGCAGGTGGTTTCCAGGATACTTCTCCTGTATGTTTTAAAGTTGCCTTTGTCATAAGCGTAACTTCATAATTTCCGTCTGCGCTAATTTTCAATACCAAATTTTCTTTAATTACAAACAACGCTTTATCTGATGGTTACACGCGTTTCTATATCAAAATTTAAAACTTACTTGTTATACAATACGATATCCGGAAGCCAAATATTTTCTGATGGCACATATAACATTTCAACACCGCCATACTCTAATGGGTCCCAACTCAATTTGTAATCAAACCATTTCTGTTTATAGAAAAATCCAAGTAATAAAATAATTAAAGGCGGATGTCTAATACTAATAAAGTCTTAATTTTCTCACCTGTTCCACCCACACGTTTGTTGTCATAACTTGATTTTTCAGATTCTAAAAATTAAATTTTATACATAAATCTTTATTTATGCACTGTTACAAAATATTGATACTTGTGCTAAAAATATAATGTATTACCTTAAAAATTTTACAATTACCTATATACATACAATTAGATAACATTTTTCAAATTACCATTTCAATTAACTGAGATAGTTTTAGTCGTAACCACACAGTAAGCGTTTCAGTATTATTAATAACAGGACGAATAAGTCTGTTGTAATTTGACAATAAATCATCGTATAGTCTTTTAGCATCTGGATTTACTTCGTATTTGCCACCTGAAAATAATTTTATTCTTCTTTTAATACCTAATTGAAACAATAAATAATTATATTTTGTTTCGTCTATTATTATTAGTTTTGAATATTTCTCCGAGTTAAATAAAAACAAACAAATTTTAATTTAACTATAATAATTTTCCAACATTATAATATATTATCTTAAAATATTAAGAAACAAAAAGTGATGGACTTAAAAATAATAATAAAACTATATTATTAATAGCAGCGTATGGCTTTTTATATGAAACTAATTTCTCAAAAAGTTTCTGTTTTTCTGCAAAATGGTAGGATCCTTTAAAAAATTAAAATTTATTTATTTTCTTCTTCTATCTTCTTCTTTATTAAAAAAGTAATAATTCATATAAACAACTCCTGTAATAATTTTTGGATATTTCAATTTCCTGAATACTTTGAAAATATACTAAAAGAAATTATTTGACTCGTACCATTAACTAGGCTGAAAAATCCGAGAAGAACAAGTAACAGTCCTACATTCATATTAATGAATGATAAACAGGAATTATTAACAAATATATGTAAAATGTATAAAAACACTATTATTTATTGTTGACAGTATCTATCAAAATTCTTGTATGAGTGGAACAACAGAACTATCCTAGTCAGTTTTCATTTGAAACTATGCTCAACATCCTCCAGCATCCCTCGCAAATCGATACTGAACGATGTGCGCAATACCGCATGTACCTACAGTTGAACTTCAGAAACTAGTTATATCTAAATATATATATTTAAACACATTTTTTTCAAGTTTTTCACCTTTTCTATATGCTTTTATATTTTCAATCTGAGGTTTTTTAATATCCTTTAATAAATTTCTGATGTAATTTGCTTTATTGGAATATAATAAAAATTTTTTTAATATAAACTGTAAAAGAGTATTTAATATTTTACAATCTTCTTAATAATATATATATATATACATACATACATTACATATAAGTAAAATTATATCTTTATTTACATCTTTATGAAAAATGTACTATTTACAAGAAACCCTGTTCTTTCTAGTAGACAAGTCTTATTATAATTTTTTTTTATATTCATATAAAAAAAAATTTTTTATCCTTAAATTGAAATGATAGCTTCACTTATTATTTAATTTAGACAAGTGCAAAAAACCAGTGAATTTATCCTTAAATTTATAAAATGACTTGAAATTAAAAGATATTCGAATTTTATCTTAATTTTTTGTTGCTATCATTGGTCATAATGTATCATTTTCGTGACTCAAACAACCAATTCAAAAGCACAGGGATAACAAGAAAGACTTGTGTGCATAAATATAACATTAAAAATGTGTATAAATTGTATAATAATAAGTTATGATTTTTCATCACTATATATAGCTTACTTAATTTAATATCAACTCTGAAGCTGTTGCGCTGCCTCTACAAAAAGCTCATTAATGTTGTAAATATATTATTTGCATTAACTTTTGTCCTCTTAAAAAAGTGGACAGGGCCTAAAAATTTCCATTCTCGTATTTGTAGATTTTAAAACCACAGTAAAATTATGCAGAAATATAATTATAAAATTGAAATTTACTATATGTAATCATCTATTTGAAATTCTAAAATTCTTGAAAGCCTTTAATCAACGTGTAGCTTGCATTTGTAATACGTAATATTAAATGATGTAGCAATTAACATTCTTTCATAACGAATTTTAAAATACTCAAATTGTTTTCAATCAATAGAATTGTAAGAAAGATTATAATCTTCTTAATATGTTAACATTTTTTTCTTTAAACATTCATAGCAGCATACCTATATATGTATATGTATGTATACTTTTAAACTCAGTCTCTCCATATAATTTAGGTGCGACACTCCCGTTCATATAAATAATGAATATAAAAAATTTATTTAACTTTCGGTGCAATATCATTTCTTTTCGTAATTTAAATTTCTTGTTGAATAGGAATCTCATTGCGTAGGAAATTTCAATTGCACTGAAATTTCTATAAGAATTTTATTGCACCAGTAGTTTTAATGAGAATTATTTTGCATTGCTGTTTAAATAAGTATTAGGTATACAAACGGGAACTGGTTGTACATATAATTATATTATATTTATGCGACTATCGCATGAATTGTTGAAATCATCATTTATCCACTCTGATGCACAAGTTACTTAGTGCAAGTTGCAACATATAAATTAAAAAACCTTTGAAATTTTGCAGGATATTTTCTTATTTATAGCAGCATAATTTAATATTGAAAAATTTTTAGTGTAAATGTCTGAAAACTTTCTAATAATTTCTTTCCAACTGTTTCCTTGCGTCTTTTGGGATGCGACACGCAGAAGTATTTACTTTCTAATTTAAATAACAAGCATATTAATTTGTTCTAAAATAGACGTAAATAAGCTCTTAGGACAAGATGTCAAATCTCTTTGATTCGCATTTACATGTAATATTTAGAGTTTTAAGATTTTTCCCCCCTAAGTTCAAATTTGTCATTCATCGATTCGCCTGCTGCCTTCTTTATTTTTTCCTCTTTTTCCCTCCATAAAAACTCTGGATCATTCCAGTCTTGAACTTCGCCACTAGCGTAGACAATGAAAATAATATTTGTGATAATAAAGACGACGAGAACAATCCAAAAAACAGTACGCCATTCAGTTAAAGATTTATTATGCGTGAGAGCTCCAACAATAAGTGGTGTAATGATTCCCGTGAGTGCGCCAATTCCATTAACGAGTGCCATTAGAGTTCCAGAATAATTTGGACTTAAATCAAGAGCGTTTACTTTCATGCCGGGATAGAAGGTTCCCATTAGTGTCATGCCAAGAGTGAATAAGACAACAACATTCGTCCTATCACATCCTGAATAAGAGGCTCCAATGATAAAAAGTCCCGGACCTATAGATGCGATCGTAGTTCCTAGTTTACGAACATTAGTTCTTGACATCATATTAGAAGTGATCATCCAGTCGGCTAGCCAGGAAGTGACAATGCTGCAAAACCACATGCACAGATAAGGCAAAGAGGAGAGATATCCATTGCTTTTTATAGGATACTTCATGACATCGCTCATATATTTTGGAAGGTCCGTAACCATGGTAAAAAAGCCCCAATCATGCCCAATTTGCGCAGCTATTAAAGCCCAAACAGGCACACTGGTGAGAAGATGTTTCCACGGTACTGGTGGTGGTTTCTTATGGGTATGTGCACTTAGACGATCTTGAAGATATTTCAGTTCTCCCTCGCTTATGAAAGGATGCTCACTTGGATTATTGTAACAAATGAAAATCCAAATAAGAAACCACAGAATTCCTATTGCGCCAAACACATAAAAAACTGCCGGCCATCCCATAGTAGAATAATGAAGAATCAGTCCCGATAATGTGGTTGCAAAAACAGTTCCGAGTTGGGCTCCAGCGAAAACCATGGATCCAATCTTTGAGCGCTCCTCCGGTGGAGTCCATTGAGCAAGCATCGCATTTAGTGCAGGAAACGTAGTGCCTTCTCCAAGACCCATCAAGATCCGTAAAACTATTAATGCTGTTGAACCTTTCCATTCTACAGCAACAGGAGTGACTAGAGTGAAAATGGCTGTAGAAAGTATTCCAAGTCCTAAAGAGTACTTCCCCCCAAAACTTTCAGCTAGCATGCCTCCTGGAAGGTGGGTCACCACGTAGCCCCAGTAGAAGGAGGACAGAATTATTCCCTGTAAAAAAGAATAATGTTCAATACCTACATAACAATTTTTAATTCGCGTTTCATTTGACTATTTATTCCGCTATTATAAGTGTGTTTAATACAAGTATCAACGTTGTTTATCTTTCATTGCCACCGATGATATGCGATTGGGAGATACGATTATCTAAAATTTCTGATTAATTCAAATACTTTAAGTTATTTAACTACGATGTTTGCAAATATACATTACAACGTCAATCAAGCGTCATATCAGTGAGCAGGATTTTTCATTTTTAACAATCTTAATTAATATTTCATCAGGTCATTGATGAGCATCATTTAAATTTGAATTAATACTATAATTATTCAAAATGTTTATCTTGCCTGTGTTTCTTCATCCCACGCATAGGTTCCTCCAACTGTACTCTCTTTAGGAGGGTCATTTTTGTCAATGGGGCATGTTCCTTCTTCCGTTTTTGTACCATTATCCGTTTGTGGTATTACCATCTCTGTTATGGCTATCGATAAACATACTCTCATTGCGTAAGCAATAAATAGAGCTAAAAAACCCATAACCGCGAAGACCCATCGCTGTGGAATGTTGAAGCCTAAGGACAAATATTTTCCTTATTTCTTCTGTTCTGCTAAATCTACATTTTTAAGACTAATGCAATTTAAATTAAATGCCAGTTTCAAATAAATTTAGTCGACCGAAAAGTTAAATTTTATTAAACTAACTTGCACAATCTCAAGTAACTAATCCAGTATTATTTATGACAACTGCACATACAAATTATGTTGATAAATTATTAATCTTATCAGTGCAATACTCGTCTGAAATCATATAGTACTCTTTATGAGCACGGTCAATGATTTATTATTGGATTAAATAGTTCATGTCTTGCGGTATACATATTTAATACTTGTTTCATATTTCGTTTCAGTTTATTTTCATAAATATTTCCAACAAATTTCCTTTCTATCATCCTTAGAGTCGGTGTGACAAATTTGGAAATGAAAATCAAAAAATACCACTTTAAAAAACATTTTCTTTTACTAAATAAATAGAATACAATAGAAATATAATAAAAACTATATTTTACTTAAATATAATAAGCTAGTGTCATTAGAATAAGTGACGTAACATCACTTATTGACTTTATTGCAATCGTTTGGAACGAAATCCATAAATTAAAATACAATAGCTCTTAGAATTTTTTTTAACAAGGTCAGAAACAGTAAATAGAAACAAAACTATTTCAATATTAGCTTTTATACTTGAATGTCAAGAGTAATACAATGTCAAAATATTATAGGCATTGAAGATTCTTTTTGTATAAAAAAACAAATTAATTTGTTAGGAAGAAAGGCTCTTTCTTTTTTTTCAAAAAGAAAGCTTTTTGTAAAAATATTTCCCAAAATGGCATTAGATGATTTTCATTTTTAAAAGTTTATACTATAAATGTGCTAAGCAAAAGCAAAACTTAATTATAAGATACCTATTTTACAAATTCTGTTTTCTTCAAAAATATTATTTTTTACAGTACTTATTATTACTTACTTAAAAATCTAGTTCTCATTAGTCTACTAAGAAAAGATATTTTTAAACGTTTTTACCAATGAGACGATTGAAAAAATTACCGTTATACCTACCCCAAGGACACTTGGATCTTGTAACAGATTTTGCCATTTAATCACCATTTTTACATTAATCTTTTATTTTTCATATATGACAAATTTTTATTTTAAGAAAAATTTAATAATTTTATCAAATATTTTATGAAATTTGAACAATTATACTTATTCGTTTTCTCAAGTATGTATACAACAAGTTTGGTATAATATAATATATAGCGTGACGAGATCAATAAATTCAGATCAAATGCAACAACTTTGCAAATCAAAGAAAACGCTTAGCATTTATTCTTGTTGTCGAATTTACATACAAACTATAGAAGTAAATCGTTTTTACTATTTATTTGTATTAGTTATTTATACAATATTGCAAAATTTCAGTTTATGCTTTTTTCCTTTGAATGATTTGAACAGACTAAAGTTTTTTTTATCAATTAATATTCCCACATTTACAATTACTACGACTGTATTATATACTTTTGTCTTGTACAGAAAAAATGTTTCTTCTTTTAAAAAACTCTTTTTCAATTCCTTTGAATTAAATAGTTGCAGTTAAAGAAGAGATTTTCTTTAAAGCAATAAAAACTTTTCTATGTGTTATTTACATTTACTCTCTATTTCAGGGATTGTAAAATATGTATGTAATTTTAATAAGGATAATATTGTAAACATGCAATTACGTTTAACACATTTAATTTTCAAATTAATTATTTATTATCTTCAAATTATCATCAATCTATGTAATGAAAAATGTGGTTGCTTCTAGATATTAAAAACAATGGAAAATAATTTACACACTGAAGAACTGACAAATTTAACGTACAATTTGTAAAGAAATCACAGTTTTAATAAAGAAAAATAATTATATTTTATATATAAGTATCTATCAACTCGTGGCGAGAAAATAAGGGAACTGATCTTACAGCAGAAGAAGCGCAAAGTAAGTACATAGATAAATTTAAAAATTTCTGTATCAAAATATGATTTATCAAAAAGTAATTAACAACTTTTAATTTTTGATAGTTTATTGTAAGGATTTATAGTATAACTTTGCTCTCCATACTTATCTAACGGTATAGTTTTTAGATGTGTTTTGTTACTTTTCTTTATCGCAATTGAAACAATAGATTCTTTTTTTAATAATTCTAATACTTACAGCAGGTTTTCCAAGCAGATAAAGTCATTTTTTTCTTTTAATTATTGACAGTGTGAAACAATGAATAAGAAATAAAATTTGCAGTTTTTAAATAAAATATATAACGCTTTTATAAATAAATTAATTAAAAAGAGGCCGCACAATTTTCTATGACCGTTCACTACCGGAAAGATCTGTACACACCAAATCCTTCGACTGAGTGACCACCATTTGAGTGATCACCATCACCTTATATCGACGTGTTACGATAAGACCGTCATTACCTCATCTTTAGAACCCCACTTTTTGATCTAAAAGACATGAATGATAATTGAGATAACATCCTATTCAAGAAAACGAATGATTGCTTTTATCGAACATTAAGTTTTCGGAAAACTTTATCAATATTTTAATTACCATTTAATTTACCACAAGTATGAGAAAATGTGTTTACATATGCACAGTTTCTGCAAGAGGAATTCTATACAGCAGCATAACTAGATTTCTCTGTTAATATTGTTTCAAGAGGAATCCCTTTAGTCACTACGCAGTAATATTTTTAAGACAAATTCTCTTGACGTTTCTTTTGACACTTTAAACTATTTTTCCCTTTAAATAAACCGCAGTTATTTTTATAGTTAAACGATTATGTAATCTTACGAGAAATAAATAAATTGATGCCGGTATAAAGAACCTTATACGAACTCTTATACTATTAATGCATTTCTTTTTAGAATTATGCCCGCGGGAAATTAGTTTATTAAATTAAATTAAATTAGTTTATTAAATTCTGTGTTGAATTTTTTTTTTTTTTTCAAAAAATTCGTATATTTGACTCACCATCAGCACATGATTTGTATCGTAGTCGCTATAGGTCACGTATCGCTTTTTATGTATTGAAAGCATAAACTTTTATTTTCTTTAAATTATATGGATAGTTTTATTTTATGTACCTACATATGTATATGTATATTATTATTATTACCTTATGTACAATGAATATACACCGGATATAAGTTATATGCAACTATTAAATGCGTCTCACATATAGAAAATTTATTTTTACAGCTCAACTAAAAGCATATGTACATACATGTCAGTAGAATAATTTTCAGAGAAAATTGTATTTTTCTATCAAGATCCTGTTCTAATGGCATCGTATTTTTCTTAAGATAAAACAAAGCAAAAAATCAGTTCTGTTTAAATCGAAATAAAATTGTTTGCAATTGATTTAGATTATGAATCAAAATTCATTAAGAATCTATTTCATAAGCGGAACAAATGCACATAAAGTTTTTAGAAAAACATGCGAATGGAAATAAATCAAATATGTAATAGGTTTAAGTCATTCTTTTGAAAATGACACTGATTGTGAGAAAGAATTAGAACTCATAGACCTACCTATTTTTACATAAAATATATCGTTTTTAAAATACTATTTCTAATTGAAAAATTTATCATATATATTTTAATCAATTCTTTAGAACACACACAATAGGATTAAATATATTTAAATAAAGCATAAAGTTATGTATTATTAGCACTTATTCATGAATTATATTTAGAAAAGTAACAATTGAAAAAAGTAGCTAAATAATATCTATCACACTGCTTCTGCAAGTTAAATGATAATATAAAATCGAGGACAAGGATCGAAGGTCCTTCGACTTTATCTGTCATGGTTCACTGAAAAGTTACGAAAAAAGATATTAATATGAAAGAGTCCAGTTTTCATATTTCCTTGAATGAGAAAAACGGTAAATATATGTATATATGTCTATATTATTTTTCTAATTATTATTAATTAAAAATCAAAAATTATGAGAATTATAATTATTAACTTTGATAATTTTAATTAATTATACAACTGAAAATGATGAAGGATTCTTAAATTGTAGAAACTTTATCTTTCAAAACAGAATATTTATAAATTAATTAATTAGTTACTTGGCAAACAGTCGCGATCTAATTATTTATTCAAATCTTTTATTCATTTTATAATAACAAGTACTTAAATGAAATAAGAAGAACTAAATTAAAAGAAATTTAATGAAAAATAAAGCTATAAGCTTTACAGTCAAATTTTAGCTTATAAGAATGCTTTTACGAATTTTAATAAAAAAATTTAAGTTTATTGAAAACCATGAAAAATGTACAGAGGCACAGAGAATTTGAAAATAAATTTAAATTTGACACGACAAACTTGTTGAAATGCAATTTTTTAAATTAAAATGATAATTGATAGGAACTAATTTTACTTTTTCCAAAAATATTTTTAAAAAATTAAAAATGAAGCTTTTTAGTTTATTGTGTAAACATACTTATACATATAAGTACAAATTGAGATTCATTGAAAGAATATTTAAGATATACGTATATATATATATATATAGTACATTAATGGTTATCTTTTTACTTTTTTATTGTTACTGACTTGTGAACAGAGGTCTGCGACGGAGAAGAAAATATTCTAGTTAAAGAATACAATTTTTTACTAAGCATCAATTAATTGATTAAGAAAATTTCTTGGAAACAAATTCTCAGTCTGCAATAAAAACAAATAAAATAAACCTTGTTGCTCTTAAAGTAATATAAGTATCTATAGCTATTCAAATGTCCCCCCTACCAAATATTTTATATTCATTAAATATTCGCCTAGTATACATATACATATAAATAATATATTTTTGGGATAGTATCCCTTGATTATAACAATTAAATATTCAAAACTTTGCGCGCCAATAATATATTGTGCTATTCGAGTATTTTTTAAGCTATTAAGATTATCATTCCTGTCGATAACCTAATTAAGCAAAATCATAATACATATACAAGTATGCACAGTATTAAAATAAATTCATTTTCGTAAATATTTATATTATTTTTGAAAAAGATGATTTATTTTTTTCAGTGTATATTTAATTTAAAAGGTAATTATAATAATTAAAAACTATTTATAATATTAGTTTTTTTCAATTTTTCTTGACAGAATTACAAGAAAAATATAATTTGAAATTGATGGAATTTTACTAAATTATTATTATTAACACTTGTGGCAACTGTTCTGATACCGATAAAGAAGTGCACAGACATTAACAGCTTAGGAGTATTTGATGAATCTATTTTTGTATTTATTAATGAACAGAACATCAGCTTACCTTTTTGAAATTTGTTTCTTCTTCTTTTGTCTACTGACTTTGTCCATTTTTTAATAAGGGGAATATTTTCTTCCTTCATTAATGTTCAATTTCACAATGATTTAAATCAAACAATTCAGTCTCTTTTATAATCAGAGTTTTATCGTAAAAAGTGACAAAGCGAGACACTCAGGAAGACTTATTTAATGTGGCAGCATTACTAACAATAGAAAACAGTATTGGGAATAAATTCTCGTTAAGTGGCTGCAACAAATATTCGTGTAATTACTTCTCAAAGTGACAGTGAAATTTCAGTTTCTAAAAAATTAATACAAATTAACAGACAAAGAATCTTATTAAATTACAATTATATGTATAATGTTAAAAATTAAAGTTCCATATTGCTAATGTTATACTAAAATAGCAGTATTTACAAAAAACATAATATAATTATGTTTGTACAAGTTTTATTTCATTAGTATATTTTATGTATTTATATGTATATACAAGTTGCTTCGTGAACTTGTAGACTATGTGTAACAAACAAACTGATAGCTTTATATCGTTAGACTTTTTTTCTTCGAGTCTAATAAAACTAATCTTTCTCAGTATTATTTCGATTTTTGAATGAACAATTGTGTTCATATACACTGATATATTTATAAATTCAAATGTAATAGATCGCATATACTATACCATTATTATTATCTAAATTTTTGAAGCACTATTCCTACAGTTTTCTAATTTTAAGAATAAATAAAAATATTTATTTCATTTTTGAATTAACGAAATTATAGTCATTCTTGTATAATGGCAATTTGACAATAGAATTAGTTGTTATTATTATTTTGGTTACATTAATTTTATATGAGAAACAAATTATTTGCCAAAAACAAGTATACAAATTTAAAAAATGAAATATTAAAATAAAACGATAAATACCTTTATAAAATTATTAGCAAACTATGAGATAGTGTATCTGCGATATTATCCTTCTTGTGGTAGCTTTTGAAATTGGAAATATTAATGATAGTGGGAGAGATAATAAAGGTAACCAATCTAATTGAACATTAAATTAACTTCACATTATTATGTCAAAAATCATCATTCACCATTTTAAAACTATTTTTATTTCTATCTTAATAAAATAATTAATAATAAACTATAAAGTAAGATTTCTAATTCTTGATACGTAATTTAATTTGAATTAATTTAATGTATTATAAGTATCCATTATTAAGGTATAAGAAGATAACAGTACTAAAGTAACTTATCTGGATAAAGCTTAATTGCAATAATAATCATTGCAAAATAGAGGAATATTTATCTACTCACTATATCTTTCGACTTTTTGTTGATCCATTGTAAATATTAGGGATTTGATGCGATAAATCTTTGATATGATTATCGAGTTTATTCTTTGCAACATTGAATTCTTTTTCCTGAAATATAAGTCTCAGTTATAAATTATCTTCTTTAAGGAAACTGCTAAACTTTTATTAAAATAAGTATTAATGATAAATTTAGGACATTATATTTACAAGCTTATACTTATACTCAAACAACTTTGATGGTTATTTGAATGTAGAGCATAAAAAAACAACTCTTACCAAATCTTTTTTACCACTTTCCCAAACTAGAAGGTATAAATCTTCTATTGTCCATGACATTTCTTCTTGTTTATTCAACTTGACAAAAGCACAAGATGATTTATGGTTTTTATGTTCTGCCCTAAAAAATTATTGTTTTTTTGTTGAAATATTAACTAATAAAGTATAAATTTTTTACAAATATGAAATACCAAGGATCATCGTTTGGTTCCCATCCATCGAGTTGTTTAGAGCAAATAAAACATTCGACCAGATCAGGCTCGTTCTTATTTCCAACAAAATAAAATCCTGCAGCTGCCATTTTCTCTGGGTTACACATATTAGCTGATTGATAAGGCCAATTTTCGAATGTTTCCAATCTACCTTTTTTCCAAAATGTAGACGGAGCGCTTTCAACAATTTTACTATTCAAGTATAAGAGAAAAATATATTAAATCAAAATTTTCTTAATTATAAATAATCAAGATTAATTTTTTAATAAAAAATATTTTAATTATCATACTATACAGCTAGTAAAAATGTTTTAATTATTCAAATTTATACAAGAAACTAATTATATACAACGAAAAAACAATTTAAGAAGTAAAAAAATGAGGTTAGTTTTTTTTCAAACCGCAACAAGTTGTTATTTCTCTCTAACTGTAGATAAATTTTGGAAAAATTTATATACACTTACTTTAGTATATCCATAACTAGAATTATTTACACTGTTAAATTGCTTAAAAGTCACAAAGAAAAAAAATAACACGAATTACTCTTTAACAGTTGATAATCAACAACTGTCAACAACAAAGAGCTGGTTTAAATTTAAAAACCGTTATTGAATTTTATATAGGTTATATATCCTTCCAAATCTAGTACTGCGCATGCGTGAGATAACTAGACAATATTAAACTTATGTTTATATTTATAAAAAATAATAAATAATTTGTATAATTATAAGTAAAAAAATTATCATTTTAAAACATTATATAATAGATCAAATTCGAGTCAGACGAAGAAAACTTGTCAGATTTTGTAAATAATTTTTCCAAGGTATAGCGCATGTTCATTTACTTACGTTGTCAAGGAAACTTATCCCCTCTATTTTGTTTAAAAAATACTCTAAAACCTGTCCTAAATGTTAGATATTTTTACTGTTTTTTACTACATTTATTAATAAAATAAAATAAAAAAGAACAATCTCTACGTATCTTTCTAACATGAGTAGAAATGTAAATAATGAAAATTGTAATCTTCAAGACTTAGATCTCGTCGGTATAATTTCATTCGATGGTAACTATATATTAATATTAAATCTTATACATATACATTTATATATTATTCTTTTTTTCTTTACATATTTTTTGATGAATAATTAAACACTTTTTTTTAAATACATGAAAGGAATTACCAAAAACAGTTTACACGTGCATCCAGATGAAGAGTACATTTTATTTCCAATGGGTAATAAAGTTACTATTAAAAACATATCTTCAGGCCATCAATCTTTTTTGTCTGGACATTCCAATTTAATATCAGCTTTATGTATATCTCCCTGTGGAAAATTCGTAGCCTCCGGGCAAATAAATCATTTGGGATTCAAAGTAATAATAATTATATCTTTTGACAAACTTTAACTTCGTTTTTTAAAATAGGTTTTGTACTATTTAATTATAATATTTAACCTCTTAATTATTTTACATGTGTATATTATATTTCAATTATATTTTGAGAGGACAATTACATTGTAGGCGATGGTTATTGTATGGGACTATGAGAAGAAACTGATGAAAAGTAGTTACGAGATTCATAAAGTCAGAGTTGAAGACTTATGCTTTTCATCTGAAAGTAATTATTTGATCAGTCTTGGAGGTCGTGACGACGGGAACGTTGTCATTTGGAATGTTCATAAGAACGAGGCAATTTGTGGTATACATATTTGGTTTGGTTAAAATAAACATTTTGTTCTTTTGCTCTGGAGAAATTTTTATTATTTTCTTTAAATTAAAAACATTAAATATTGCTATGTAATTAAATAAGTATCTACTAATTTAGGATCATATGCAAGTACTGAAATAGCTGGCAGTGTTTGGACCATAAAACGGACAAATATGCGTGATCAATGTTTCATGAGTGCTGGTGAAAATACTATTAAAGTATGGAGAATTAATCCAGAAACTCGCAAACTTAATGGAATAAACGTTAAAGTTGGCAAAATAAAACGCAGCATAAATTGTATTGTAATTGATGATAGAGATGAAATTGCTTATTGTGGAACTGCATCGGGCGATATCATTAAGACAAGGTTAATATAAAATATTTGGTTGTGAAAATATTTCCAAGCTTATGCTCTTGTTAATTTATAGATTAAATTATTATCACAATATGGAACACATGGAACCAGTGCAAACTCCTATTATGATTGGATGTTACTCGAAAATCCCTAAAGATTCAAAAAAATTGAAAGATGGAATAGGAGATCTTTATCCTGGTGGAGTAACAGCCCTTTTGCTTTTGAATGAAGAAAAAATATTAGTTGGCTCTGGAGGAGGAAATGTTGAAACTATTAAAATTCTAGATACTACTTTAAATTTTAGAAAATGTGTTAAACTACCAAGTACACCTCAGATTCAAATAGTAAATCATTTTATTCATAAGTCATTATTTTTCTTTTGAGACATGTTTTAATGTTAATAACTGCTTGCCTGTGTTTCGTGACACAAACATTTTTTTATTATAAATCTCAACTTTTGTTTAAATTTATATTATAACTTTACTTTCCTTTGAATTTCAGCTTCAAGCCGAAAACGTTGGTAGTGCAGTGTCTTCAATGGTTTTATATAAAAACGATTATGTACTTATTGGAACTACCTTATGTGAGATTTACCAGATAAAATTGAATGATTTCAATATGCGTCTTCTTATTTCTTGCCATACAAATACAATATATAGTATTGCTTTTCCTCCGTATGTTATTTAGTACTGATAATAATACTAGTTAATAATTCAGATAAACGCGTCTATTTTTAAATATGTACCAGAAAAAAATTTACTTTAACTTATTCTAGATATGTACATGGTTGAACCTAATTTTCATTTATAACTTTTTTTGCAGTAACTACTCTGAAATTTTTGCTACAAGTAGTAAAGATGATATCAGGTTGTGGAGAGTTGAAACACAAAAGGAATTACTCAGAATCACAATTTCGAATTTTGTATGCTCGAATCTTTGTTTTAGCTACGATGGAAAAATGATAATATCTGGTTGGATAAAAAAAATTTTTCACTTATATATAGCACTTAATTCTCTTTTATTATTATATATTTTTTAAAATTAAATTTTAGCGTGGAATGATGGAATCATAAGAGCTTTTGCTCCACAGACAGGAAAATTATTATTTGCAATTCACAATGCTCACCTCAAATCCGTATCAGCGGTTGTTATTACGAAAAACGGAAAGAAGATTGTCAGTGCTGGATGTGATGGACAAGCAAGTTTCATTTTTATTCTAAGATATTATTTTACATATTAGCATTCTTACTGGTCAAATATATTCTGTCAAGAGGCTTAGTATTTTTAAATAATACGTTGCAGATAAGAATTTGGGATATAAAACCGGACGTTCAAAGACTTGTTTGTATTTTAAAAGAGCACAGAGGGCCAGTGACATCTTTGCACATTTCTGAAAACGATGAACAGGTCATTAGTTCAAGTGTGGATGGAACCTGCGTTATATGGGATATTGTGTAAGTTTCTGAACATAATTTATATATAACTCTATAAAAAAAAAAAAAAAAAAAATTAACTACTTATTGCAGACAATGTACAAGAAAGAAAGTTTTAATGGGTAACACAATGTACATGGCAGCATGTTTTAGTCCAAACAATGTTCAAGTTTTAACTTGTGGAACTGATCGTCTAATTGGCTACTGGGAAACTTTGAATGCTTCTCTCATTCGAGAAGTTGAAGGTTCTGGAATTGGAGCCCTCAATTGCATAGATATCAGTGGAGATTGTCGACATTTTGTCACTGGTTCAAATGACAGCATTGTCAAATTATGGCACTATCAAAATGGTGAAATCTCTCATATTGGCCTTGGTCATGCTGCTATAATTACTGGAATTAAATTTAGTCCAGATGCCAAGTATATTGTGTCTGTCAGTGCTGATGGAGCAATAATAATTTGGAAATGCCCTTTCCAATTCAATATAAATGAAGAAGTGAAAGAAAGCAGCAGATCGAGTTCGACCTGCAGCATCCGAGAAGAAGAGTTTAATAAATTACGTTTAAAAGAATTGAAAGATGACGAGGAAAGTGTTTCACCATTTACCTCACGTTTAGATACTGCAACAAGCATTAAAGCATTTCATAACGGTTAACATTGCATTGGATATAATTATCATTCAATTTATTTCAAAAATATGTGAATTTTTAATTTTTTATATTTTTTTTTTATAGGTGATAATATTGTAGTGCATAATAAATGTCATCAAATGAAATTTCCTCAAACAGTTTGCGAATGTAAGCAAGAAGAATCATTTCAAGCAAAACTCTCCACAAAATCTTCATCTGTCACCTCGCGCTCTTATACAAGTACATTATTCTCAAAGAAAAGTGACAATGAGTTCTAAAATAATTTAGTTTGTAAATCTATTCAATCAGAATAATTAGAATTGTCAGAAAAGTAAGTTTTTCCTATAAAAACCAGAATAAATTCTTTATACACACTCAAAAGTGCTTCTAATTTGATAGGAAATCAGTGAGAAACTATAACGTAATATTCCAAATTATCTACTCAAACAGGAATATTATATATTGATCAGTTGAAACTATTCACTTAGAACAAATGAAAATCTTAATCTTTCATCGAAAACTCTCGTTTATTTAGAAAATTTTCTCCTGAAACATACATTACTCTCGCTTAGACGCCAACCTCTTGTCTCTTTCTTCGGCAATCGTGAGCTTCACTCCCTTTCCTCTTGGAAGACTCACATACGGTTTCGACCCTTTACCAATGATAAACACATTATTCAACCTATAAAACAAACAAAGATTCAAACAGACAGTAAAAATTATCAACTTATATAATAAAAATGAAAATTTTATAAAAATTGTTACCTCTTTGGGTAATACAGAAAGATTATTGAATGAATAAATCAATCAGCGACCAATTTTGAGGAATTTACTTTTGGTCTTTATTGACCAATAACGTCATGGAAAAAAGACGTTAAAGCTTCGATAAGACCTCATTTTTATTATTTGTATTAAAATTTTCTAAGAATTAAAAGATTTTACCTTGTGGCAAATGTGTGACCCTGTGAATCTTTAATGTGGCAAATATCAAATGAACCAGGATGACGTTCTCGGCTAACAACTGTTCCAACACGACCCAAATTCCTTCCTCCAGTAATCATACATAAATTACCTATAAACGAACAAAAACAAAATAAAAACTTGATTAAACATTTTTCAAAGTTATTTTATTTAAAAGTATAATACAGTACCAGAGTCAAATCTGATAGAATCAAGAATCTTGGAAGTAGCAATATCCAGTTGAACGGTGTCATTGACTTTAATCAAAGGATCAGGGTAACGGATAGTTCTACCATCGTGTGTCACCAAGAAAGGAATTCCCTTAGGCCCAGTCTGAACACGTTTCACTTTGCACAATTTATACTAAAAGCACATTCATAAATTAATAGGCTTGAAATTAAATGTTAAGGAAGAATAATTTGTCAGACTATAACATAACGAAGGACGTACTTTAGCTTCTTCAGCCGTAATGCGATGAATTGTGAATCGCCCTTTCACGTCATATATCAATCGGAAAAATTCACCGGTCTTTTCAATAGTCACAACATCTATAAAGAAAATGAATATAAAATTAAATTATTTGCAGCTTTTAGAAATTTTCAAGTTTATTGTAGTTTAACTATACATTGTGGACTATTTCAAAGTTTTTAAAAAACTAATGTACCTTTCCTGGGTGATACGAAAAGAATATAATTACTCAGTCAGTGACCATATGAAAAGGCAATTTCATTACTGTCGGGCTTTATTTGACCAGAAAACTTAAAATCAAAGTTTTTTGGCTTCGATTAAGGCCCATTTAAAATATGTATCAAATTTTATTAATTTATTTACAAAACTAAGATGAAAGAGAACAAAAATTTGAGTTTTCGTTTTACACGACGTATTTTAACAATCTGTATTCCTTATAAAAAAAAAAAAAAAAAAAAAAATTGTAAACTATGGTAATGATAAGCTTTTTCAATGAGATTTTTAAAAACAATTTAAGTATTTGACCCTAAAAAATAAAAATAAAGATAAAGAATAAAATTTTACTTTACTGCCACAGTTCACAAAGCATTTTATAAACATACTATATCATACATGTCAAAAATGAAATACTTTAATCCAATTTAAAGTTTTGTGAATAAGTCAATATTCGTTATTTGGAATTGTATCTTGTAGAATTCTATTTTGTGAACATTTGAATAAAAAATCACTTATACATATGTATATATTAAATTCGAGTTTATAATTGATATTTAAAAAGTTTGTTCATCTTACCCATAAAACCAGTTGGGTAATTAGCATCGGTGCGAACTTTGCCGTCGACTTTAATAAGTCTTTGAATACAGATCTTTTTTACTTCGCAATTTGTTAAGGCGTACTTTAGCCTGTTACGAAGAAAAATTACCAAAGGTAAAGATTCTCGTAATTTGTGGGGTCCAGTTGATGGTCGTGGAGCATAAACACCACCCAACTTATCTAACATCCATGCTTTTGGGGCATTTAGACGCTTCAAATGTTTCTTTGGTCCACGAGCCTAAAATAATGATTTAATATTAATTCCTTAAATAAATTTCACTTGAAACTAATACAAAGAATAGATTTTAATCAGAGTTTTATTTAAAAGAGTTCAAATCAAATATTTTCAGATTCTTAAATTTGAAATTGATCATTACTGTAAATAAATGAAAAACAATTTTAGGCACAATAAGATACACTCAAATGCACTTATCACGTTAAAATTTCACTGTAACAAAAAAGTAAGGTTAGAAATGAATTTTCAATTTTTTCCAACTATTAATAAATTTAAATCTCAAGATTCCATTAGAGTTTAGTTTTTAAAAATAAAATCTATAACAAGTTTCTGTAATTCGTTTTTTAAACTGAAAAAATACAAAAAATGTATTACGAAAATCAGAATTGACCACGCACGACTTTACACTCAAATCAACACAAGAAAATTTAAATTCCCATAAAAAATAAATATTGTATAAGACATATTAATTATTTCACTTTTGTTCTTAATTTTCTAAAATTTTAAAACTTTTTTTATTCTTAAGATGTATGTAGATTTTAAAACGAAAATGAAAGAAAAGCTCACCATCTTGTCTCACTGGACGGTAAAAGAGAAAAAAAGAATTGCTTATGTTCTCTCCTGTGCCGTTAAAGAATGATGGCGCCAGTGTCAGCAAAGTTAGGTCAGAAGTTAGGTTGGGTTTTAAAGGTGAGTACAGATGCGATTTTTGAAGGTATTTCTACAATAAATTGACTTTTCATATTTGACATTGTCATTAGGATGAAATTACATAGAGGCGTAAAGGTGCTTGTACAACACTTGCAATTAGTATTGCTTTGCAACTTGCATTTGTAAAGTTTAACTTTAATTAATTAATTAATTATTATTATTATTAATTTTCATAATCTGAATCTTTCAAAATACAGGAACTGGAATATTTATCAAAGCTAATCAAAATGCATAATAAAAGCAATTTTAGACCGGCGTACATGATAGAATTTTAACATTTCGGACGTTCTACTTTATTTAGACCAATGTGTGGTACTTAAATGTTTATATGCCCGTTATGGACTCACCATAATGCTCTTTCAGTGACTGAATCTACTTGATTTTGTAAATATTGCAGTTTAATAATTTAATAACTTTATTGAAAAATACGATAGTATACAAAAATATCATTTAAGAAAAAGAAGTTAAAAATATTGTAATTATATCAATTAGCAAAAATTTTAAAGTGAAATAAATAATAATAATAATAATAATAATAATAATAATAATAATAATAATAATAATAATAATAATAATAAATGAAGAAAATATAAAACTATTTATTTAAAATCATCTTGAATCGTGTTGATCACGGAAATTAAAAAAAAAAAAGTGCGATAAATTATTTTTTAAAAAGGATATGACAACAGTAAACCAGGTTTAATATTATAACAAGTCTTTAAATGTAAAATAAAATAAATTAGTTAATATAATTTAATTAATGAAAATAATGATTTTATCTTTTCATTGCTTTGCAGATTGTCAACGATAATGTTACAGAGAATAATAAATATAATGAAAATTACGAAGAAGATTTAGAACTGAAAGAAGATGTTATCTTAGAATTAAAACAGTTTCCACATATTTTGCAATTCATACATAAATGTCAATTTCATATAAGACATCAAAGTGCATTAATTGCAAAATTGGAGGAAAAAATTTTGAAATTGGTAAATATCATTTGTATAATTGAGTTAAGTTTTTAAAGTACAATTATATTAGTTTGATATCTTTCATGTTAGCAAGATCAACAGTTTTGCAAATTACGAAAAAGTTTTACAAATTCTGAAACACAAACCAATTTTTGTGATGGAGATGCATCTGAGACTGAAATTATTAAAACATGGAATTCAGCTACAGAAGAAAGTAGTTCCAATTTCATTGAACAAGTTAAGGAAGTGGCTGAACTTGCAGTTCAACAAACTGGATTTGTTTATGAGGAAACTTCGGGATTATACTACGATTATAATACCGGATATTATTATGATGCAGTAAGTATAAACTAAATCGTACATGCAATAAAATTGTAATATATTCCTTGCATCAAAACAAATGTATTTTTAATTAAAAACTTTTTATTCCATACATTCTACTAGAAACTAACTGTATATAATTTTAGAAACTGGGTTTATATTACGATGGAAACTCTGGGATATACTATTACTACGATGAACAAAGTAATACTTATAAATTCCACAGCCAAACATATGTCGAAGAAAAAGTTGAACAGAATAAAGAATTTAAAGTAAAAGCAAAGCGGAAATCAAGCAAAGTAAATAGGGTATGAAACTTGAATATATTCTTAATGTAAATTGTTTATATTTTATGTAATGATTGACAATCTGTTATAAAACTTTGATTCATTCGATTTGAATAATATTTTTGTAAGAAGTTTTAAAATGTAGTCATCTAAAGCAATTTATTTGTTTTTCTGTAATTATAGCATAAAGGAAATAAACATAGAATGATTTGTGAAAATTGTCCATGTAACGAACCTGAGGAAGGAGAATGCTCAGAGAGTAATACTAGTTGCAGTAGCCAAGATCTTGGTTCCACTCAATCGACAAGTGACGAAAGCAATGACGATGATGAAAGAGGCATTTATTCATTTTTATTAGTATTATTATTATTTAGTATAGTATAAAAAGTATTCGAAAGTAATACATTACTTTATTTTCATATGAAGATTAGATAAACAGATAAAAACTAGAGTGACTAAAAAATATTGCATCAAGATTAGTTAATAGTACTAACTGTACGTGAATATACCTATTTGAATAACATTTTTTTTTCCAGATTTGGCGAAAACTTATCCACCGTGTATGCGAATTGTCGTCAAAGAGACAAATCTTTCAAAATTGAAACTGGGAACTCTGTTTTTTATTCCTTATACTGGAGGAACAATTGGACGAGAAGGAAATCACAATGTTTTAATTCAAGATATAAATATTAGTAAGGTGTGTTGAAGCATTGATGCATGTAATTAGGGAATTAAATTTGAAAACCAAAAAACCGGTTTGCCCCACAGGTACATTTTGACAATTTATCCTGCGTAATAAGAATGCTTCGTACTGGTATTTTTAGCTGAGGTATGCACTTTTCAAACACACAGCAGAAATTTTTAAAATTTTAGAGAATTTTCCAAAATTTCTTTATCAACATAATCGAGATAAGACAAAAAGAAACTTTTGCTCGTAGCACTGTAGAAGTAGAAATAAAAAATATCAGAGGAAATAAGACATGTTAAATATGGTTATTTGAAATTCCTAACAATAAGTGATATAAATGACAGTTTAGCCAATTCAATGAAACTGATGGGGGGTGGTGTGACAGACTCTCCCCTTCTAATCTTTTTCTTTCTTTCTTTACAGCATCATGCTAAATTTCAATACAACGAAGACAAAAAGTTATATGAAATAATAGACTTGGGTTCTCGGAACGGTACAATTCTTAATGACATAAGATTGTCTGTAGCGAAACAAGAATCAGTTCCACATGAAGTAATACACGGCTCTATTTTGCAAATTGGCAGCACAAAACTATTGTGCCATATTCACAAAGGATATGAGACATGTGAAAATTGCGAACCTGGCCTTTTACTTGAAAATTCTACTATTAATGATACGTACATTTCAAAAATACAACAACATAAATCTGAACTACGAAGGTTAAAAACAAAATTCGGCGTAAAAAGTAATAATGACGTTGCCGCTAGTAATGTGGCATTGGGTTATCAAGACAGAGCACAAGCAAGAAGACAATGCAATGGTTCTTCTGATCAATATGCTAAAACGGAACAAAGTTCTTTAGAAACGTAAGTATAAGCATATTTCTAAACCATAAAAATTAAAAAACTAAATTAATTAACGTTTTAGTTTCATTGCAAAGGACAATAAAGGTTTCAAACTATTGTCTAGAATGGGCTGGTCGGAAGGACAATCACTTGGCAAAGAAGGCGATGGTATAGTAGAACCTGTAAGCTTAAACATTTCTTATGTCTTATGAAACATGTATTTAACATTTATATTTATATACATCTCTTTAATTGTTGTTGTTTCAGGTACCGTTTATGCAAAACTCTAGTAAATCTGGCTTCGGATATAAAGATTCAAACTTTATTTCAGTAGATGAGAACTCATTGACAAAAAAAAAGCAAAAACTTTTAGAAAAAATGCAAGACCGCTACAGCAAACTGTCAAATTAAAATTTATTTTAATTCTTAAATTACAACATAATTCGTGTGACGAGTAAAAAACAGTTGTTAATTTTGTATCAAGACGTTGAAGTAATTGAGAAGATATTTCGGCATAATAGTTTTATATTATTTATTCATTATACTATTTAAAAACAATTTACACCACATTTAGTATCTATTTGTCAAATACTGAATTACATTATAATTTGCAGTAAAGTCTCTTATAACACTCGAATATTCAGGATATCTTGAGGACATCCAGAGGTTCGGATAACTGAACCACCAAAAGCCTCTGGACATACCTAAGGTGCCCATAGGATATCAGGGTGTTATTAGGGGTTTTAATTTATATTGATTCCTTGTTGTGAAAGTACTGTTGTCAAGAAATTTTATTATAGACATATTTAAAACGGATCAATTGTTTTATGAACAAACATTTCATGACATATTAATGGATTTTTTTATATATATTACTGTATTTGGTTACATGCCAAATAACTTTATTACTTATTAGAAAAGATACATTATAGAAACTATTAGTGTTTTAAATTTTATTTCAAACTAACAGTTTCAATCTTCACCAGCAGGAATAGCATCTTCCAGTCTTTTTACAAATTTTATTCGTACCTCAGTAACATTGTCGTTTTTTAACTGATCTTGAACAAACCATGCAGCAATTTCCATTTGTACCATTTCACAAGCACCACGTAATACTCCAGTTAATAAATTACAATACTTTAAATGCAAACAGTTATCTGGAAGTTCAACGAATTCTGTTAAAGGATTGGATTCAAAACATAAAGAAAATTCATCTCCGGCAGCATTCCAATTAGTAATAGTAGGTGTTATGCCAAGATATATTTTAAAAGCCGTTTGAATTTTTTCTGCAGTATCCCTAAAGTCGTAACATCGACCAGAACCTGTACGAGCCAGAAAGTCTTCTATTAATCTTATTCCCATATTATAACCCATTCTCTCTAGTTGTTTATTTACATCTTCAACATTTTCATAATCCTTTAGTAACTGAGCAACAAGAGCACCATACGTTAACGTAAATAATTCAGAATTCTGAAAGATAAAATAAAACTACATATATCAAATGATCTAATAAACTTATAAAATCGTAATAGAATCTTTTGTTCAATACATTCAAATATAAATAATCATCTGCTGGATAAGTACATCATAATACAGTGCATACCACTTTTTTAGTATCTAATCTTGTTCCTCCTTTTGACATCTTTAAATATGAACAAAAATTTCAAAAGTTTATTCTTGTTTCATGTGTACAATATATAAATATGTATTAAAAAATAACAGACTATATAACGCCTGCTTCCGTTCAGAATGTTCGTTCGTCTTGGGTCTTGGCCCTTTTTGTTTCTAGGTTGGTTTGGTTTTTGTTATTGGCTCGCAAGTCTCACAAGAATATACATTGCTCAAGAGGTGTTTTCGGGAGTTGCTGTGAGTATACTCTCAGTATGTTGTGAGTGGCTGATCCATCAGCATGTTTATTCTGATTGGGTAATTTTTTACTGTCAGTATACTGTCAGCAGCAACTCCCGAAAACACCCATAGAAGCTTCTATGCGCCACCACTAAGCAATCATCACTCGCGTTAGGGTACGGTCACACGACTTTTGGAAAAACCATTCTTGTCTTTCTCTCTCCTATTACAGACGCATCAGTTTGTCTCACTCTGCATTTTCCGTCTTTGGGAAATGTAAGAAAATGCAGAGTGAGACAATCTTATGCCTCTGTCTTAGGAGAGAGAAAGACAAGAATGGTTTTTCCAAAAGTCGTATGACCGTACCTTTACAAGGCACGATTGAATCGACCCACTCGTGCGTGCCTCGTAGTGTGCTTCGTAGCGTGCTCCGTATCCGTGTCTTACGGAAGCTTTCTTATTTTATTGTTATTACCGTGTATGTAAAATTATCTGATATACTTAATCAAACAATATTCATATTCTTGATAGATTTTATAAAACAATTGGATTTTAAATGTGCTTTAGTTTTATTAGTTTAAGGTTAATGTATGATCGTTTTGTTAAAAACAAAATAAAAAAATTATTTCTGAAAATTTTATATTTATTTTTTTCATATTATATACATATATCTGCTGATATAAATTATTTACAAAGAAAATATTAAAAAATAGAGAAATATGTTACTGATAAAAAGGTTTCAAGATAAAGTTGACTTTTAATACGTTAAATAAAAAATATCAATATTTATCAATTTTTAAATAATAACAATATATTGTATATTTAACAATATTTAAACATAAAGAAATGAAATTATTTTCCGATTTTAACTTGTAATTTATGTAGAAACGAATTTAAATTTTAAGATTTAAACAAATGGATAAACGTAAAAATTTTTGTACTTATTAGTTATTATTATTTAATCACTATAAATAATATTCTATCGATAATGTTAACCAGTACCTATAAAAATCTATTTATGCTTATAAATTAATTTTTATTAAATTGTTTTGTTATATTTGATGTTATTTCATTTATTAAAACACGGTAATAACAATAATAAAATAATTATACTGGGTTTGCAATCAAAACAAATAAGCATCGTCAAAGCTTCCGTGTGATACGGAGACGGAGCACACTACGAAGCACGCACGAGTGGGTCGATATGAGCGGTCGTCACATCTCGATAAATAGCGAGACTATCTTTCTAATATAATATAACGTATAAGAGTGAGATAAATAAAAAATGTTCTTATTTCTCTCACTCTTATACGTTATATTATATTATATGTAGGAAGCCGCGCTATCTATCGAGGTGTGACCGTACTCTTAAAAATATGCGCGCGAATGATTTCGACAGTCAATTTTATTCATGTCAATGAAAAAAAATTTGTTGAAACAGCAGTTTAGAGTAAGAGAGAAGTTCACACTTGAAATTTCTGACTTTCTTAAGGTGTCGTTACAATGAAAACTAGCAGGCAGGCTGCAAAGCTGTGACAGCTCCTTAAGGAAACCCAGTTTATTATAGAAACGGCTTAATCCTACGTTTAGGCTACTCATACGTTGCCATCCCTGGATGCGTCACTTCCCATTACTTTTCTGTTGCTGGTCCGTTTGCTGCTTTCCATTCTTGCACATGTTGAGTGAAAAGTAAATTTAAAAACAAGAAAATTTTGTGTTTCTTGTGATTTTAATTATTGAATAATTAATAATGGGTGGTGATGATATTCTTGGTGTAACAACTGGACAACCTAATTTATTGAAACAAGAGTTATCAAAACTCGTATGTATAACGTTTATACCGTTTTTACAATAACTCTAATCACGTTTCCACAACTTTTGGTTTTTTTATTTCTACATACTTTTTTTTAAAGGTATGTTGCTGATGTAAACTATTCAATTATTTAAATCAATATTATTATTGTTATTATTATTGTTACTTTTATTATTAGTATTCTTAGAAATTTTACTTAATATAAAATATAAAATGTCAGTGATAAAATGTAATTTATACTGTTAACATTTTGGCGCGGCATATGGTTTGGTACATATATACTCTTAATTTATGATAATTTTACTACACTCTTAGCTCATACCATAGAATTTTTAAAATTAACGAATAATCTAGAATATGTTGTTTATAAATTTCTCTTCTGTAATATATTTTTTATAATTTATTTATTATAAATAATAAAATTTGACAATTTTAAATAAATTGTTGAAATTAAGTTTCCTAACGGTTATATTCTCATGCGTTATTTAGTGATAAATTCAGATTCTCATTTTGTTTTTTTCATTTCTTGATCTCAAATAAATAGGATTTTTAAAAAGTCAGTGTATACCTATATTTATTATTTTGAGTAGATTTTAAAATTAATAATGTTAAAACAATGACATATTTGTATAGATAAAACGACATCTTCATTTATCTTTATTTTGCATTTTTAAATATTGACTACTAAAATGTATATATAAGGAAATACTTGAGACAATACGTAATCATTGAAACAAATTGCATGAATCGGATATAATGACGATTTTGAATGGGTTGAATAAAGTCAATTACCTTTAATGGGTTTCTATCGATTATTTTTCGAGAGGAAATCCAGACAGAAACAAAAGTCAAGCAATATAAACAATTAAATACGTGTTATTTGGAGGATCATTATTAATAAATAATATTTCTAATAATAGCCGTTTTCAATAAAAATTATAAATATGCTTATTATTAACGCAATGATTATAAATAATATTTTTTTTAGTCACGACAATGTTTTCTGATGCATTTTTAAAGTCCTCTTTTTTTCATTGTAATAAACAACAATACAATTTTTAAAGGAATATTCTTTTATTTTTTTAAAAATATTTTTAAAAACCTTTATATTAAATGAGTTACTTGTGGTTAAATTTAAAATTTCTTATAAATAAATTTTTTTATAGGATGTGCATCAGCTTTCTCCTTTATCACCGGAAGTCATCAGTCGTCAAGCAACTATCAATATTGGTATTTTTAAATTTTCATTCTTAGTTTATGCATATTGTTTAATATATTAATAACATAATTAGAACTAACTAACCGCAAATAAACACCTTTTTTGTTTAGGCACAATCGGTCATGTAGCACATGGTAAATCAACAATTGTCAAAGCTATTTCTGGTGTGCAAACTGTTCGTTTTAAAAATGAACTGGAACGAAACATAACCATCAAATTAGGTGAGTAAATTTATGTCACACATTTAAAAAAGTCATATTTTCTTACAAGTTTAGAAATCTTTAGTAAGAAATGCACCTTGCATTAATAATCACTAGATATTAATTTGAATTTATAGTAAATTTTCATTTAAGGTAGGAAATGAAACTAAAATAGAGGATTTTTGACAAGATTAAAGAATAATAATAATAATTAATTAATTAATTACATAATTGAAATCTTAATTATTAACCCTCAGTGGCCACACTTGACTAGTTTAATATGGCGGCCAGATGTGATAAGTAACGTCAAACGATAGTAAAAACGCTATAACAACTCTTGAAAGACTTATACTAGTAATCTATATGCATATATTCAAAAGTCATATTACTTTTATTAATATGTCAACATATTAATATATGTGGATGTCAGAATGAAAAGGACCACTTCGCCGTTCGAATTTTACTTGAAAAACAACATTACTTAAAGTGACAGCTGAATAAAACTATTTAAATAGTGTTATTTGAGACACTTTGTTGATTTGTCATCCCAATTCTGCCAAAGTGTGACTTTTCTATGCATATGTCCACATACGTCTCAATTATTGATAGGATAATTAAAAAAGCACTTAAAGTGTTTTTAAAATTGTAATAGTTGAATATTTGTCACTTGGTAAAACAATACAAAGTGTGTATGAAGCAAATATGCAATACCAGTAATGAAATTTAATACATAAACAGTTTTATTTAATTTATTATAAAATATATTAAGTTTAATGTGAATGTATACTAAATTTAAATACTGTTATTCTATATTTTCTTTATAATCAATTTATTAAATTAAATACTGTCTACTCTCAGAACGTGAATTTAAAAAAAATAGTTTTTTTTTTTTTAATCTCATGATTCTGAAAATAAAAATTATTACAGGCTAGTTTAATTTGCTTACATGACCTATTTATTTCGTTTCTCGAATTAATATTTTATTTTGAACACGTGTCAGTTCCCATGTATAAAAACGATTCACTATTCTGCCTTTATTTATATTATATGACAAACAACCTTTTTTCAAGCCAGAAAAACATTGTTTCATATAACAAATAACAATCTCAAGTTTGTCGCAATAATTTATATAATATAAAAATTATTGCCTCAAACCTACATTTTTCTTAAAACTCCAATGAATTTAATTATAAATTGTTGTTTAGAAAAGTAAACTACAAAAAGTATCGCAATTTTAATTTACCCTCTATTACTTGCATACCGAGCAAATCGCAAGGGGCAGTTTATTTATTAAATAATTTTTCTTAAAATACAAAAAATTAAAATTCCATAACTCTAGCACCTTTCACAGAAATTTTCATTTGTGTATGAAACCGAGTGTTAGGTTTTTTAGTTGTATTACTTTCATTATATTGAGTGTCAAGTGTCAGGAATTGTTTATGATTTCTGATCAAACTGAGCTGACGACCTAAATTTTCATGATGCAACAACTTATTAAGCAGAGCGTTTTGGTTAGATGTGTGTGTGTGTGTGTGTGTAGTTAATGCATCCATCTGCTTATCAAGTGTCCATCATTTTCTGCTTTTCCTTTTCGATTTACTAATCTTTTGTCATAAAAGATGGAAAATGGGAACATGTCCATTTGATCGACAGTCGAGTGCCAGCGGTATTCAGCAGATAATCTATCGTCACTGCATTACCAAAACATCAAACACCTTCCCCTTGATAATATGTACACCCAATCAGTGATGGGTAATAGTGAAATCTCTCAGTGAGTATTAAGAAATTTAAAAGTTGTAAAAAGACAAGTTTGAATCAACGATACTACTGCTGAAAAAGACTTGAAATAAAACGATTTAAATTGCTTTTCGGTTCTTTGATTATTATGAAATGATAGGAAAAAAGCAAAGTTGGACTATAATTCTGTTCTCTCGATAAAATTTGGTCGACTCCAGTACCAACCTGACTGCGCAGCATTCGTCCACCAAATTTAAATTAATTTTATTGTATTTATGTCAAATGAAATGTGTGGCAAATGAGATTTGTGTAAAATGAATTTTATGTCATATGTTATATTAAACATCATCATAATTTTAAACTAAATAAAGCCGCAGAAATCTGTAATGTTTATCAGTTTTTTACTGTAGCCTTAAAGAAATAATTTGAAAAATGTCTAAACATGTTTATGTCGTTGATTGGTACCTTGAGCTAACTTTAACCAATTACAAAATTGAGTGTCTTCGGTATAATTCTATCCGCTTCTAAAGATGCTTTAATTGAGCGAATTAAGTTTTAACAATGAGCGAGAAGTAATTGCGTGACGTGCTTGCTTTCCGTCTTAAATTGAGTTCAGAACTTACTTTTATTATTTGTCAACTTTGACTGTTTTACGTAGGGTCTTCCCTTAGATGCCGAATTGGTTTTAAATCAAGTATTTGTTAGAAATGAATTATTTAAAATAAGCGCGTGCTATTGTAACCAAAGAATGTTAGACTAGTATATTCGTTTGTCTAGACTTGCAGGAACCAAAAAAAAGAAAATTAAAGAAAACTCTGATTAATACTGCGTAATAGCGCCTGATATGAGGGTGTGGCCTATACCAATTTAGCACAGAATGGATAATAATTTTAATATATTGTGTTTGAAGAGGTTGATAAGCTTAGAGGGTTGAAAGGGAAAATTTTAAGCTAAGAAAGTGTTTTGCAAATAATTTTGAAACAAAGGCTTCTGAATAAAGAAAATGACGACGTTTAAATGTTTGGCATTGCAGAGGCTCGTGCTTGTGCAGCAGATACTAGCAGTGGAGAAAAGGCAGGACTACCAGATGAGCCAGGCAAAACGATCAACGCCTGTCAAAAACGGCCCATAACTCTTGGATGCTTTCAACCGACAGCGAAGCAGCCAAAAATTGAGGATCAGTTATGCAATTCTCAAACATTGACGTACTTAGAAGAAAAAAAAGAAACAGAAGTACATGACAGTAATAATTGTATTATAAAAGAATGTAACACCGTTGAGAATTATGATGAATTTTCTTCGAGCAATACTTCAGTTAAGTATTTTGTTCCAATATCAAACTTGCTAAAACTTGAGAAATTGAAAGAAGTCAGAATAGTTTTAGAAGACATTAGTAAAACAAAGATGAATTTAAAAAATAATAAAAAAAAAGTCAAGTCTGGGAATATATATGAAGTCGAAAGAATATTAGATAAAAGAATTATGAATGGAGCAATTTTTTATTTAGTTAAATGGAAGAGTTGGAATATGGACAATACTACGTGGGAACCAATTAAACATTTAAATGATTGTGCAGAGGCACTGAATGATTTTGAGAAAAATAGATTTAAATCATTAGAAGAGTTTCAAATGAAAATTCAATTTTACCCAAAAAAACGAGATGTAGAACGATTCATGAAGAAATTAGTCAATAATGGTGAAGAATTTGATGACTCTCAAATGACGGCAGAAGATAATTTATTCAAGAAGATAAAGCAATACAATAGAACGTCTCAGAGCAAGCGTGACAGTTGTTTAGAAAAGATTAAGGAAGGTATCTTACGATTGATGCTCACTAAGGCAAGAAGAGAGCAGGCCAACTCTTTGAAAGATTGGGAAAACGAAATCAACAGCATAACGCAAGGTAAACCTACGATACGCGTTGAAAATATGGTAGATTTGGAATGTGCTCCACAAGATTTCTTGTATATTGAAGATTATTTGCCAGGTTCAAACGTAACTATTCCAGAAGATCCACCAATTGGCTGTGAGTGTTTGACTTGCGATTCAAAAACTAGATGTTGTTTTGCTCAATGTGAGAGTTCATTTCCTTATACGTCAACGGGTAAAATTCGTTTGCCTCCCGGTACACCAATATATGAGTGTAATAAACGTTGTCGCTGCCCTCCAGACTGCCAAAACAGAATTGTTCAGCGAGGTTCTCAAGTGAAAATTTGCGTCTTCAGAACGTCAAATGATAGGGGTTGGGGTGTAAAAACATTGAGAAAAATCAAGAGGGGACAATTTGTTACTCAGTATGTTGGAGAAGTCATCACTAATGAAGAGGCTGAGAAACGTGGTAAAGAATACGATGCTGCTGGGCGAACTTATTTATTTGATTTAGACTATAATGACACAGAAGACCAGTGTCCCTACACTGTTGATGCAGCTGTCTACGGAAATGTTTCGCATTTCATTAATCATTCTTGCGAACCGAATTTAGCAGTTTACGGCGTCTGGATTGATTGCTTAGATCCAAATCTTCCGAAACTGGCTTTATTTGCTACAAAGGATATTGAACAAAACGAAGAACTTACATTTGATTATATGTGTCAATCAATTAGAATGCATGAAAAAAATAAAATTTCTACATCTCAAACCCTGAATGGGACTCTAAATGTTCCATCAGAATCGCGAAAAAGATTAGAGCTACCATTGACCTTGTCTAATGATATAACTTTAGAAAATCGGACTAGATGCCGTTGCGGTTCAAAGGTCTGTAGACAGTATTTATTTTAATAGGGTTTTTCGAATGTTTAATGAATTAATAAGTTCATGTTTTAGTGAAATTTTTAACAAAAAGAAAAAGTAAAATATTTCGCATATCTATCATTATTTTGTTCTTTAGCTCATGTATAAACTTTAAATGAGTGTCATACTGATCATGTGTGCAGAAACGAAGCAATTATTGATTAACACAAAAATCACTCATATATATTTATATGTACTTTCGGAAAGGCAATCTATACATGTAGCTTTTGATACAACATATTTCATATTACACTTCTTATGCAACGTTAATAATTACTATTCAATTTTTTACTTTTTTACATTCAAGTAATCACATTAAAATGAACTTTTATAAACATATTGACGTCAATAAAAATCCAATTTATTTTTATCAAAAAAAAAAAAAAAAAAAAAAAAAAAAAAGACTTTTTTGTAAAGATCTTCTTAGGGGTCCTTTATAAACCACGTAGCTAATGCCCCATCTAACAGTGTGCTACATGGAGGGATGGGGAATTTAATGTTTCCAAAAAAAAGTTGGCTACGTAGTTTATGGACAACCCCTTAAAAAGAAGATCAAGTGTTTGCACGTTATACCTTACAACTAAAAATATTCAAGCACAAAGGAATTTGAATATCCCATCTTTATTCTTTATCGTTTCCTTATATAATAAATTATATTATACTTAATATGACAAAAGAATGTAGCCATTTTATAGGATTTTTATAAGTGTATTATGATTTTCTACTCTGGGTTCTTTATAAAGAAACAATAGCACATAATTTTCAAGATAAAAATTTTAAAAATGTAGAATATTGTTATTTTCAATTGATTTAGATTCGGAATTAACAATTCTTTTCAACAACAAGAATATTTTTCCCATGTAAAAATATATGAAAATTTGGTGCTCCTTGCCCCAAAGATTAACGATAATATGTATAAAAAACTGCTGTTATAGTTTTTAGGTTTTATAATAATCTTTATTGTGACAAATTTTCAATTTAAGTATATTAAATTCAATTTTTATTCTTCGAATCAGTTTTTCCATCTACTTTTAAATCCACGATGTAGATAGTCAAAAAAAGAGAATATATCTATTTTAATTTAAACTATTTTATTAAGAAATTCAATTTTTAACCTCATAAATTTTAAAAAAATTTTGCACAGTATCTATCAAGTGCTCAGATTAATTTTTAAAAAAGTATATTAAAAATTGTACAAGATCTTTTCTACTTAAAATAAAAATAGTAAATTATTTCTTTCTTCATTATTATTGTAATCTATTCTCCACTATTTATTTTTTAAAGTTTTGAACCAATAAAAATTAGGTTAATTTTAATTGATTGCAACAACAGGTAAGTTGTAGAACTAACTATAGTAAGATAGTAATAACAACAACAAATAGTCTATTCAGCTTCTCATTAGTAGAAAATGATGAGTTTGTCAGTTGTATAGGAAAAGTAGTAAAGAGAAATATACTTTTTTAATTAGTATAATACAGTTTGAGTTGTCCTAACTGGTGTCCACCATTCAAGGAAAAAATTTTGTTTGTCAGGAAATTTTTAAACAAAAATGTGGTGATGTGGCTCCCTGATTGTTGATTTTACTTCTCTTATGCATAAATAATGATAAATATATTATTAAACTAACGCATAATTTAATTATACAGTTATATGGAAAACAACACGTGAGTTATAGATCGGACTAAGATTTAAATAGATTTTATTATTTTCCGTTATTCGACAGGCTTTAATGACATCTGTTACTAAGTAAACTTTTAGTTGGACTTAATTTTTGTTGTAGAATAAATGAACCATTATTTTGTAGTAGATTTTTGTTTTTTTACTATATATTGTCCCATTCGGCTTTATCGTTAAATGGTTCGTTTAGACTAATAATTAAACATTTTTCAGGATATGCAAATGCGAAAATATACAAGTGCGATAATGAAAAGTGTCCTAGACCTGGATGTTATATCTCAGGAGGTTCAAGTAAAGATGATTCATTTCCATGCTTACGTTCTGCATGTCCTGGCCGATTTCAATTAATTCGCCATGTATCCTTTGTGGATTGTCCCGGTCATGATATTCTTATGGCAACAATGCTTAACGGAGCAGCAGTTATGGATGCAGCATTATTGTTAATAGGTAGAGTATTTCCACGGTTCATTGCTTTTTTTAAACTTAAAATTTTAATAAGTTATTTCTTTTCTTTTATAAGTATCGTTTCGGACAGTAAATGTTAAAGCTTTAGATGTCGCAAATTGTTTGCTCTGAAAAATGATTCCTCCTCTATACACATATATCTCGTAATTTCAGATTGTACTGTTTCTTTAAATAATAACAATGTTCTTCTTCTTAGCTGGAAACGAATCTTGCCCTCAGCCACAAACGTCAGAGCATTTGGCAGCCATTGAAATTATGAAGTTGAAACATATTGTCATCTTACAAAATAAAATTGATTTAGTAAAGGAGGGTCAAGCAAAAGAGCAATATGATCAGATTCAGAAATTTGTTCAAGGTAAATTTTTGTATTTAATTTTATTGTAAGGGGCCATTCATTAATTTCGTAAGGACGATTTTGGCTAATTTTGACCCCCCCTACCCCCATGTAAGGATACATAAGATTTTTCGGACCCCCCCTCCCCCTTCTTACGTAAGTTTTTAACAATATTAATGTAATTAAAAAATTAATTACATCAATACAAATGGAAAATACTTGGCAAAATCTTACGTAAGATTAGCTTCTACCCCCCACCCCCCCACGTAAGACCATGTAGAGATTTTATAAACCCCCCCTCCCCCTAAGGACCCTTACGTAATTAATGAATGGCCCCTAATTTATTAAACTAAATTAGTAAAATTTAATTAAACAATTATAACACTTAAAAACTTAGGTGAATATAAAAATTCAATAGCATGTATATTATATAATTTAAATTTTTAACAGGAACTGTAGCTGAAGCAGCACCAGTAATTCCTATATCAGCTCAATTGAAGTACAATATCGAAGTATTATGTGAATATATTACAAAGAAAATCCCAGTACCTTTACGTGATTTCACTTCAGAGCCAAGATTAATTGTTATTCGATCATTTGACGTAAACAAACCCGGTTGTGAAGTTGACGATCTTAAAGGTGGAGTTGCTGGTGGCAGTATTTTGAAGGGAGTATTGAAGGTAATTAAAAAAATATATTCAAAAACCTGCAATAGTTAGGTAGTATGGTTTAGAAGAACCTTCCGGTGACACACATGTTCATTTTGATTCAAAAAGAAATTTATCTAGCATAATTATCTTTACTCTATAAAATTCTTTTTGAGAGCTTATTTATTGCTAGTTTCATTATTAAGATAATGGTTATATAAATACTTATATAAAGAAGCCAAAATAAGCATGTTCTTTTACATTCTGAAATATCAAACTAAATAGCGCATGTTATGTTTGTAGGTTGGAATGGAAATAGAAGTAAGACCTGGTTTAGTATCTAAAGATAGTGAAGGAAAATTAACTTGTCGTCCAATCTTTTCTCGAATTGTTTCTCTATTTGCTGAACAAAATGAGTTACAGTTTGCTGTACCAGGAGGATTAATTGGTAACATATGCAACTAACTTAAATTATTTTTGTTTCATCGAATTGTAAAACTTAAGAGCGAGATGAATGGTATACAAATTTAACTAAGAAGCCCTAGTGGTTTTTTTCTTTAGCATTTTTAAAAAATGTTTACTCGTGTTGATGAAGTCGCTAAAACGTTGTCTCATTTCGTGAAAATTAAAATAGGATGTGTTATAGAAAATGCAAAATTTTTAAGAGTATAAGAGCACACATGCATTTTAAAGAAAATTTTTCTTATTTTACAGGTGTTGGAACTAAAATTGAACCTACCCTTTGCCGTGCAGATCGTTTGGTTGGTCAAATATTAGGAGCTGTCGGAGCTTTGCCTAAAATTTTCATTGAACTAGAAATTTCCTATTATCTTTTAAAACGATTGCTAGGTGTAAGAACTGAAGGTGACAAAAAAGGAGCTAAGGTATGACTGAAAGACCAACTTACATTTTAAAAACACATACTTTTTTATTATTTAATAAGTTGTATGCATCAAAAAATCTTCTCAGGCCAGTGAGGTGTACAAAGCGCTTAAATTTAATTACAGGTACCAAAATTGTCAAGGAATGAAGTACTTTTAGTCAATATTGGATCATTAAGCACGGGTGGACGTGTTCTAGCAACTAGAGCTGATCTTGCTAAAATAAGCTTGACCAATCCAGTATGTACTGAAGTTGATGAAAAAATAGCTCTATCAAGACGCGTGGAAAAGCATTGGCGTCTAATAGGATGGGGACAAATTCGTGGAGGAGAAACGATTGAACCAGTTTTAGATCATAAATAATTGTCAGTATCATGAAACACTTTTATAAACTTGAAAATTGTTTTTAAACATTTAACTGAATGCATAAAAACTACATTTCAGAATATACTTTACATAACATTTTTCATATATGTTTTGCATAATAATACAGTATACATCTACTGGTTATAATTACAGTCAGAAATATTTTATTAAAAATCCGTGAAATTTCACGAGCAGACCCTTCCCCCATAACATGGCATTTTTAGATATTTTTCAATTTTCGTTGGCTATTTTTGGCAATAGTTAAGGCGCTTGTACTCGGTGTGCAAGCGCCTTTACAGAAGCATTGAAAATTATAATGATTATATGTATTCAACTATCGCGCCTCCTGTTGTTCATTCTCCATGGATTTCCAAATATCAATCTGATTGGCTGTGCTTTGGAAGTTATTGTAAGCAGACCCATAATAACACAATCTCTTCAAAAATTTGTATGTTGTATCCTGCATTCGACCAGCAGTGTCCAGCAGTGTCTGTTTGATTTGTTCATGACGACCCGTAATATTTAGTCTAAAATTAAAACATGTGTTTTTCTACAGTTGTATACTTTGGTATTTTATACTATAATTTTTACAAGAGGACATTGAAGAAAAATGTGTCTCTAGAATTATTATCGTGAACATTAAAATTTTATTGTGTAGCTCCTAACTTTCGAGGATAACGGAATATAGGTAAATACATATATTATAGGTTATATTTTGATGAGCAACGGAAGCACAAAGGATTAAACCGAAGAAAAGTAATAGTTGCATTGTTGATTTCTTAACAAATTTAGTAATAATTAATTTATAATCTAATGAATTTTTCAATTATTTTCTATATTTACTTTTTATATATTACGTATTAAAATACTAAATTTTATTTGGAAAGTATTATATCTTTAAAACATTGCGTATATGATGTTTAATACAAAACCTCAATTTACCATGATACATTTTGATTAATCTATACATACAACCGGAAAAGCAATTTATAATTTTCTTCATTGTTTTATAACATTTAAACACTGTAGGTTTCTCTTGCACCAGCAGATTTGTCATTTATACGTGTTGAAAAAGATGTGAAAAAAAAGAAAATCTGTTGATAAGATAAACTAATTGAATTGTCGCACCATAGATGTGAAGTTAATTAATTATGGTTTTTATAAATAAGACTTACACAAAAGTTTAAAAGTAAATATTTCTTAAAAATGCAACCTTGCACGACAAATTACAATTGGTGTTTGTATTTTATAAAATTTATTGTTTGTTTTTCTGGGATAATCATTCTTTACGGTGGATTTCCTAACGAAAAGTAAGGGTGTAAAATTCTTTTAAAAATAGATAATTAATAATATATGTTGATAAAGAAAAATTGATGGCCAATTTAACGTCACGAAATTTATTAATAAAAAAATATTATTTTTAGATGCTAGAACAAATAATCTTTAAATTGTTTATAAATAACTAAACGGATAGTTACTAATACAATGATACGATGATAATTAATTTTCAGAGAAATCCCCTGTACATGTGATTCACGATGGAAAAATCAGACACAAGATAATGGCGAAATGTAAGTACAACTTTTCAGTCATTTAAGATATAAAATATTTCATACAGAGAAAAAAGAAATGTTAAAATAAGGTAGTTTAGCAAATATTTGTACAACTTAATTTTCTAGTAAATTTTACAAACTGTCTAGTTGGTAAATTTACATACTTTCTAGTTTTTTATGTTTTTAACCATCAAACTATTATAATACAAACCATTTTATTAATTTCTCTTATTTTAACGTGAAAAATTTCACATAAAAGCTTACCTAAAATCTTTAACTTTAGAATATGTATAATAAAAGCAAGTCATTTTGACATACATACTTTTATTTGACTTTTTTAGAGGATGCATCACTTTCATTACGGTCATTTTAAAATTTTGTACATAATACACATACATTGCATTGGGAATTTCTTTAAAATACAAAGCAATTTAATGTAGTAAATCTTAAAATAATTTTAATTCTTGATTATGTCGATAATCAAGAATTTTACAAGTCGTTTTATTATAGATGTATATGATTTATAAAATCGTCGAATCAACGTTGGTAACTTTAATATAATTACCGATATTTTCATGTAACATAATTAAATTAAGTTTAACTTTTTCTTACAAATAAATTCTGTTAGAATTTCTGAAAAATCGACTTCCACCATGAGAAAGAAGGAGATTCTCTTTCTTCAGAAATTTTAAAAGAATCTAAAAAAAATTTTAACTTTATTTAATTTAAATATTTAACATGAAAATATTAGTAAGTTATACTATATTATAAAAGTAATAGGTTATTTGTTATATTTCGCAAATCACTATTTAATATATAGTGATTCAACAGTCTTGAATCTTGTCTAGGCCTTGACAATAGTTGTTTTATTCCGTTTCTAATTACTAAATCAAGACAAAAAGATACTTTTTTTGTCTTGTTCTTGACACCGATTGTTTCGTCTCGTCTCGAAAAGTCTCAAGTCTTGCGGCATCACTAGATTATAACATCGAAGGGGTGTTGGAAAGTGGGAATTTGTCAGTGGTTGCCAGGCACTTTTTAAATTATTCGAGGCGATCACCAAATAATTGCAATTTCACATTTATATTCCAAAAAAAGGTAGAATAGCCCAAAATATCATTCTTTACAACAAAATTTCATGAAATAAGAATTGTTAAAAAAAAATTATAATTTCGCGATTTGTGGTTTTAGACAAACTTTACAGTTTGTTACGTGCGATCATAAGAAATATGACAAATTTCCAGGGAGAAAATGCGGTGACCATGAGGTAAAGTGCCGTTATGTCTACAATATGAATGCCTTTTTAAACGACAGTTTCATTGTATCGACATTTTCTCCATGGAAATTCGTCGTACTTTTCCGTGACAAAGAAACCTATTTAGTGTCGCATTCCATCGTATGTATAATTATCGTTCATGTCGACATCAACTCTATATCCATTCTGGAGATCATTTAATAAATTTAAAAATTTGTGTACATATATCACTTTTACGTTTAGCGTTCATACGCAACAAGTTGTGTGTAGAAAATCGCAGGTTTATTTTCATTCAGAGTACATTTAGACCTTAATTTCAACTTATTTTCCATAATTCTTGCATTTAACATGAAATTTACTTGACATAAATCTCGTTTTTGGTATAAATTTCTTATGCATAACGCAACGCAGACGTGTCGCATTCATTCATCAGATTATTATTGTTGCGTCAAACTTATTCTGGAACAACCCTAATCTACATTTCGACCCAAGAAGCGTTGCGTTGTCTTTGCGTTAAGTTCATTGTAGAATGGACCGTAAACTGAGAAAAAAATGCTATTAAACCTACACTATACGGATAAATTCACATACATTCAAAAGTAAAGTAATTCGTATAATATAATAAGTAATTGATTGCTATTGAAACAAAAACTGCCTTCGATCCTTGGATGTTATTGAATACGCTTCTATATGCTTTCCTATAGATTCAATAGTATATATGTTTTTTCTCAATGTACATCCAGAAAGTTTTCCATAATCTAGGTTTATACATGGTGTTCAAGAAGTATGGAAACTTGAAAATATCTCGAAAAGTACGCATTTTCGTGATACTTGTTTTTTCACTGTTGGATCCCGTGCCCAATTTTTTGGGTTTAAAAATGTACATCTTTTTGTTGGGAATAACTTTTGTGTTGAATATTTTTCACGAAAATGCGTACTTTTCGAACACCTTTACTTTATATCATTAAAATAAATTATTCATTTAGAATTTTCAAATATCCTATATATTATATTATTTCTATATTTCATCTATAATAATTAATTTGTTTCAACAATACTGAGAACAGTTCTATTTTTAAACAGGCATATGAGTCCAAAGGATTCTGCAAGAGAGGGCTGTTACTGTTCTACATTGTTAAATTAATATTTTATAAAAATATTAACATTCCATTCATCCCTTCAAAGTCTTATTTGAATTAGGTACATACCATCATATTGAAAAAATGATTCTTTATATGTAAAATTGTAAATAACAATAGGAAAATATATTTAAATACATAAATGAATAAATATCCATTTGAAGTCAGTCTATTCTGTTATAACCATTTTATGTGTGTCAATTATACCTAATTTGACAACTTTTTACAGCTCAAATACTGTCAAAATATGTAATATAAATATTTAATATTATATTAATTTTATTCATATTTTTAATTTAAACAGCCTAATCAAATACCCGATAATGATAATTATTTATTTAGAATTACATGAAAGTATGTATAATTGCGTTGTTGTCAAAATTTTATTTATAATGTATTCATATTATGCATATTGTTAAGCGCAATTACAAAAATATCATTTATATCATTTTTAAGATGAATATAGGTATTGAAAACTATGCTAAATTATTTTTAAATTCAATAAAACTATGTTGGAATAGTGATAATGTAAAAAAAATTTTCTTGTGTTGCACTAGGAATGTAAAATAAAGTAAAGTTGAGAACCATGGGACCCCTCACGTGAAGGGGGACTCATCTGGAGGATGGTCAAAGAAAGAAGGTAGTATCTCAATCAGGCATGGACTGAGCACAGGTTGGGGTGTTCTGGACCCCTGGATGGCGGTTAGTGTTTGTGGCTCTCTACGAGCAGAACTTGTGTCTGCAGTAGTTGACGATTACATATATATATCGTTATAAAAAGCGCGCTCTTATTCATGCATTCGTCCAAAGTAACTGTTGCTTTTATTTATATATATTTTTTTATTTTTAAATAATTTAAGCATTTTTCTTCCGAGTAATAACTTTTTATTAAAACATCCGTATACTCATTATAATAGTAAATTTATCCTGGTTTCCTTCACATACAATATACATAATATTTTGAAACAGATTTTGTGTATGTGTGTGTGTGTGTGTGTGTGTTTAAAATATATTTCACACCATATTATGACATTATATGTTTATTGTTACTGAACAATATGACAGCAGAGGATTTATTAAAATAATTAAAGGTATGTGCTGTTTTTAAATTTATTTAATTTTAACTACATTATTATTATTATTGTATAAACTATATGCAATATATAATAATATTGTATAGTATTATATGTATTTTGTTATTATTAGCAAAAGTTTACTTTTAATCAAATTATATTACGTCTATCAGGTGAGGGTCTACTTGATAATTATTTCAATTGTTTTTTTTAAATTAAATTCTTAAAAAAATGTACTTAACCAGAATAATATATCAAGGTCGTGTCTATTCGTGGAGACAACTTAATTTGTAGCATTATATGTATATATATACATATATATGTATGTGAAAGGTTCTTTAGATCTGTGTGTAAGAAATGTATCCCGTTAATAAGCTGTTTTCAATTGACGACGAAAAAATCTATTAAGTTTACTGAAAACCTGTAACCGTTACAGATTTTATAATGTTAATAGACGCCTCTTCATTTCAATTCGGAAGTATCCTGTGCGCATGATCATATTTTAATTATTCGGGCATACTTGTTTAAGAAAAAGAAAGGCAATGTCATTCTGTCACATTTGTTATAACATGCAAACAAACATAAATTATATTGTTTCTTGTAAATTATGTAATTGTAATTGTTTTCTTGTATTACATAATAATAATAATTTATTTAACTTTAGCCTATTGGTCCAAAAGTGGACTTGGTTTACAATGTTCAAATCTTACACATGCACATTCATATCTTGCTACATCTTTTCTATCAGATTATTTGTATTAAAAATTATCAATATTCAGTTTTATAAATAGGATTAGAGTACTGCGGACTTTTAAATATTAGATACATAAGCACATCTCATTTTAAGCCAGCAAATTATTCATATTTCATTGTTTCATTTTTTAATGAAATTTTGATAATTAAATTCATTAAATGCATTCTCAAAAACGTCAAAAAATAGTTCAAGTTTCCTGGATTAATAAAAACATGTATAGAAGCTCCTACAACTACGTGCAGAAATAATAAAATCAAATTATTAACAGTTGATATAGCTGCAATAATTACAATTCATTACATTTCAAAAAATAATGTCAAAAATTTTGAATTTAATTTTGTTATGTTTGTATAAAATAATGAATCTGTAATTATTTTTTATTGGTTTTACAATGCAATAATAATAGATAATATAGTTATACCGTCTGATATTCTCTGAATCTCAATCATTAAAAATTTCAACTAGCAAAAAGTGAGTCATCAATTAAAATTAGTTAAAATTTTTACTAATTCAAATTTAGAGAGTACAGAAAAAAGAATAAAAATATATTTTTAAAAAACATGAATTATAATTTTTCAGGAGAATGTCTTTGAATATTGCGTGGATGGACATTGTCCTAATTACACTTGTTATCTCGATGTCTAGTTTAACAAAATGTTCAGATTTGTTAGCAACAAATAATTCAATGAGGTGTGACGATGCAAGATTGCGATGTGCCTACAGAACAGGGTGTGGAATGGCTTTACAACAGTACCTTACACGTTGTACATCAGTTCTCCATGGAGAAATGAACAAATGTCCAGAGACCTGTCAACATGCTCTTATTGCTCTTACAAGTACGGATGAAGGAAAAGAACTAATGAGAGTAAGATGATATATGTTTGCTAATTACTGAACCAAAAATCGCTGAAAAACTATATATGCAACCGAAATGCATGTTACAAAATTACCATTCAACCGAAATGCCATGGGAAAATGATTTGAAAAAGAATTTTTGTTAAGTGACAACTCAGTTGAATGATAATTCTATTATACATACATTTCGCTTAAAGAAAAAACGTATCATGGAAATAAATGTATTCATATGACATTGCAGTGTGATTGCACTCAAGAAGATCATCTATGCTTGCAATCAAAACAAAAGGTAGAAGTCTGTCGATCGTCAGTTATAGCGGCCATGAATAAAACAAGAGTATCCTGCAGAATAGCAACATGGATATGTAATGCCGATGCTATATGTTCCACAGCATTAGTATATTATAACGGATACTGTAAAAGCATGTTTCATGGTAAAAAGTGCACTCATCGGTAAGAAACGATTTTATTTTCTACTGCATGCAATGACCCAAACGAAAAAAGCACAACTCATGTAGAATTTCTTATTTTTTACCGCAATAGGTACTTCTCGTTTAAAAGTTCCCTAAATTAATTTCTTTTATATTTACATTTAGTTGCCGAAATTCTATAAATATTTTGAGACGCCAAGAGAAGGCTGATAAGTTAAATACGTGTTTTTGTGATGGTGCTGAAGATTATGACTGTAAATCAATTCATCGTAACATGAATTTATTATGTTATAAAAAATCCCATCATATTTACCAGGATGAAAAAAAAATAAGCGATGACACTAGTACTAACAATATTCTCAATAAAAGCTCAAATGCTGTTGGTGTTAAAAACATTTATGTGATTAACAGGATAACATTATTCGCATCTATGGTTCTACTTTTTTTTTAAATATAAGGTAATATACTTTGACACATATTTCAAACATGAATGAATAAATAAATACGAAATTTTTATTAACATACTTATTTAGAATTGTAAAAGAGTGTGGATGTTTTTTGTTTTGAAACTATTAAATATTAACTCTCTTGTTTCAAACTACAATAATATAACTTTAAATTATCACTAAAATGTTTTTTTACTTTTAGACTGACGTAGTAATGGAGGTCATAAGAGAACAGAGGAACAGTATTCCGCGAGTGAACGACCAAAGACACTAAATAGCTACATAAATAATCACACTCAAAAGCAGTAAGAATAAAAATGTTCTTATATAAATTTCAAGAAAATTCTCTTCAGGTATGAAAATAAGGTTCCTAGGGACTCTACAAAATTCAAATGCCAGGAAAAGACATGAAATTTTTTAAATTTTTGATAAACATATTTAATTGTAAGAAAATAACGCAATATTTTTTAAGTTAATCTCATCTAAATTACTATTATATGAATAGGAAAATTTTAGATAATAAGTTATACATAATAGAAAAGATTGGAGACAGTTGATACGATTTTAAGAAAATTTTACAGTAACTAGAATTTGATTTTTCTTTATTATAGGGAATGTAATATTAATAATTTAAAGATAATCATTTTTATTTATTATTTCTAATTTTCAGTACCTACAAAAGGATTTTGTAACAACTAATTTCAATTTTAATTAAAAACGTTTCAATTGTTCCTCAGAAAATCATATCAACTGTCCTTTAGAATTGATCACTTTGTTAACAAACTAAATATTATGTATGAATAACAAAAGCATTTTTTCTTAAGCTGGATCCTCCCACAGAAAAATGAGATGTATTAAAGTAAGATGCATGTAAGATGCAATGCACTACCTTTAATCTAATTTAGTTTTAAAATTCTAGCGCTGCATCTTATTTTAAGACCTTACAATTTTTTCTACATAGAATTGGTATTCTGAACTGCACTCTGTAAAGTGTAAATGGAAGCTGGTTAATTTCCCACCTACAAGAGACGATCGCAACGAGGGCGTCTTTTAAGATGGAATAGTATTCATCTTCATGTTAAATTTTTTAAAAACTCATACGTTATATCATTTTTTCTTCGAATCCACTATAACATGTGAATAATAAAATTTATGTAACAAAAACTATACGCTTTCTTTTCATATAAGTTTCAAGAAAATTTAATAAGTGGGGTGTGTTTTGAGACATTAATATTAAGAGTTTTATATTTCAAACTTGAATTTCTTTAAGAAATGCAAATACCAATTAAAAGAATATTACATTCTATTTCGAAATAATGTATAATATATTATGAATATTCACATGTTTATAAAATAAAATTTACTTAAAGAATTGCGATCGTCTTTTGAAAATGGAACAGTTTGAAATAGAATGCCCCAAATATTTTATTTAAATCAACAGTTCCCTACTAAATTTATATTATTTTTAAATTTAACTGGAATTTTAAGAAAATTTCAACTAGAAAAATTAGAAAAGATCTGAAATTATAAAAGGGTAATTCTCCATGTAAGGTACAATTTGGTTATTTAAAAAAATGTTATCAATGTCATAAATATCGAAAACAATATTACTAAAAATATTAACTTATTTTCTAACTCTTAGTAGAAATAGGTCAAACAATGACGTTTTTGGCTCTATAAACTGCTATTAATACTTAATTATAATGTTGAAAACAAAAGTAACTATTTGTTTTACTTTGTAAGTACAGAAATTACTTGTTACACGTTGTATTATATAAAACTTGATTGTTTTATTTTCTTTCCAAATGTGGGAAAAATTAAGTTGTGCGCTATACATTGAGAATCACATAATTATATTTCTGTAGATTTTATAAAAGAAACGTTTATAGAATTTTTTTTTTTCGTTTATAAGAAACTTAACCTTAGATTTATTGTCAGATTAAAACCTTTTAGTATTTCATTTTCTGATCATATACATATAATTTTGTTTAACTACATAAAATGAAAAACCTTTTTATAATAAAAAATTTAATTCAAATATTACTACGAGTGAACATTTCTGAAGCCTCATTATTTCCTAAATAATAAAAAACATTAAAATAATATGTAATATATGTATGTTTATAAAAATAGGTTTAAATGATTTAATCACAATAACGAATTATCTATGATGCAAATACAGAAGTTGGTTAATTAATGAATTTTAAACTTATTAAAAAAAGTATGTATATATTTATTTTGTAATCTTAATTAATATACTTTGGGGTTCTAATAGTCGGTGAATTCGAATCTGAAATTAAACATTAACAGTAAGAGATATACATATTTGACCTAAGAAATAAAGTGAGAAATTATTTTATTATTACATTCGCTGACAAAATCATATTTTCAATTTGTGTAACGTCTGATTTAGACATGGGATTCTCTCGAATATCCAGTTCTGATAAATTGTTTCGCCTTAATAAATTTAAAACATCTTCTATGTTAGATATATCGTTACTTCTGAGTGTTAATATTTCAAGTTTAGGTAAAATAGGAAAATTCTCTGTAGAACTTACACCATTGTTTGATAAAGATAATTTTTTACATTCTACTAATGAAGACAGACGTTCTAAAAAGTTTCCCAAATTATTAGAATCTAAATTGATTTCTTGAAGAAAAGAAAAGTAATTCTCTTTATATAAGGTTGTTAATTCCAGACCAGAAATATTTGCTTGATAAGTGCAACGATTTTCATTTTTATCTTGCGAAACATTATATAAATAGTAGTTTACTAAACACTTACTTCCTGTAAAGAAAAAAATTTATAAAATTAAGGTTTATATTTGCCAAATTGGAAAAAATAGGAATCTGAATCATGTCAGCCATGATAAACCAGGTAACCATAGGCTTTATTTAAACGAAAAGGCATACTAACTATCACAGAGTTAGAGAATTTGACAGATTAGTTGCGCTGTCTAAGAAATAAATAACCCAATCGATATATCAGATCGCGCTTCAGAATCCAACGAATTGACATGATAATACTCTAGTACATAGGTATATACTTACTTAAATCTTTATAATAGTCGCATCGCATTTTATCCACTTTCAGTAACAAGTCTATATCACAAAGAATACTTGAACGAAATTCAACTACGTTAATATTTTTCATAAGAAATATTCCAGTTAATAATGCCCATTTATTCTGTGGTTCCATTTTAGATAACTGTTTATAGTTTAGTAATTGTTCTCGTAGTTGTATTTCATTGGATTTTTCTTTTTGAGGCATTTCAGTTTCACAAATCCATGAAGAATTTGAAAGAAAAAAGGGATAATTATCATTTCCATACTTTAAAAGAATTATACTATTATCAGAAATATTTAATGGATAATCAAATGTGGTACTCCATAGTTTTGAAAACTTGTCATTATTTACAGATTTCCATTGACAATCTAAAACATGCCCATCTATGCATAAACTAATATTCGATGATTTGATTGATACGTTGTCATGGAAGACAACCAACGCTTCAGTCTTAGTCAGTTTGGCTTTCCAAACTTTACTTGTTAAAAATTTGCAACATTCAAGTAACCATCTTTGGTAAAACCAAGCACTGGTATCGTTTGGATCAGTGAAAGTTGCTTGCATTACTAAATCCAATTCTACGCAAAATAAGTTAAATGCATTTAAAATAATTTTAATCATTTTCGAAATAACTAATTAAAAGTTGAATATTATTTACAATACATTGTATTTTATATAAAATCATATCTTTATTACCTTCTTTGTGCTTGTTAACTTCGATTGGTAACTTATAAGTATCATCGGGAAACATTTTTGATAAAATTTTACTTCTATAATGCCATGAAGAATAATTAGAAAAATTATTTAATATTTTCGTCATGGAAAATTCAAATTCTTCATTGTCAGCTACTCCTGCTTTTTGTACAATAAAGTTTCTATAATCCCAACAGTGAACTGAAATTCATATAATAATAATCATACATTATGACTCGAAAATCTGCTGTATAGGATATTGAATTTAACTAAAATTTGTACTTTTATATATAATTAATATATACTGTAGTTGTCAAAGTGTTGTTTCCCTAACAATAAGTATTTATTGTAGAAAAATACATGTCTTAACTTAACTATTTAATATTTTTATAAGCATTTATTCTTATTTTTAATGACACTTACAATTTCTCTCGTCAATGTTTAAGCACTTGGTACATAAAAGTAATTCTTTCCTATAATTTGGTTCTGATATATGATCAATAACCCAACATCGATGGTGCCAAACACTATAAGACTTGGGATTTTCCCGTAAACAGTTTTCAGTCAACATTAACTCTTTATCTAATTGTTCTTCATTTTTTATTTTAGACCTGCATTTAATTTAACATAAAAGCTGAATTCAATTTCAAAAAAATTAATACATGTGTAATTGCAACTCACCAATTATTGTTTAGAAGTACTTCTCTTCGAATATTCCAAAGAGTGTAAATATCTGAATTACGAACAAGTACTTTTTCAGTTGCTACCAACAATTCATCATTCCAGACTTTTTCTTTTCTCTATAACATAGACTTATTTTATTAAGTATAAGAATCGAAAAAGTACTTAAAAATATTATTATATTAATTTATTAATTAAATTATATATTATAAAAAAATTTTTCTCGGTCAAACTATGTATGAACGTTGGCCCGATCATCACATCGGCAAAGCTTTGGCAAATACAGTTAAAAAAATTAATGTAAAAATGTGTTAACAATTTTTATTCATTTCTTAAAGGACATAGAATTTTACCTTATGAAAAATAAAGTTAATTGCAGTTCTGTACTCTACAACTTTTTTTGCCTGTTCCTTTTTCTTTATTTCTTCTTGTTCTGCAGACGTAAAAACCTTTATCCGTCCATGCTGAAATATAAAATTATTTAGAAAATTAACTAGTAAAAAACATAATTTATATTAAAAGTAAACAATTATATTTTGTTTATATAGATTATTTATTTATCTACTTTACAACTATTCTATACTATCGTTATTACAGATTTTTTGTATTTTTTCCAAAAACAGTATAAAATAGAAAAAATATATAAATTAATATAAATAAAAATTTTCTACGAGATAGTTATTAGGGTGAAGTCTTTATTAGTCTTAAACCTCAAAACAGGATATTACCCCCAATTTTTTATTTTTTTACCTCTACTTCTTCAAATTTCACATGAAAAAGGAAGACATACATTAAAAAAAGGACATATCTTTTCAAAGTTGAAAATCTGATCACCTTAATAGTAATTATAAAAAAATTATTTTTGAAAAATGTTTGAGAAATCAGTGGACAACGACTATTACAGAGAAATTATTATTTCTTTTTTTACTATTTCATCAAAATTTTAAATATTTTACCCTATATAGTCTTCATTGTTCTTTAAACGTATAGTTCTAAGTAATTTATGTCTTTAGTTTTTTACATAATTTACGTCAGAAATAAATAATGTCACGTCATCTTACATCCCTGATTATTATACCTTTGATTAAAATGTCAGATAAAAACAGACATAACATTATCAGAACTCATCTAGCTTTAAGCTGCAGAGAAAATTCAAATTACATTGTAAACTAATTTTTAGAAATGTTACTAATAAAATTTTCCATGAATCCTATATTAAAATGAAATAATAATTCAAATAGCATTTATTCATTTTCCGCATCTAAATGGTATCCAAAATACTATATGCTATTAATCCTTCAATTTCAATTTAAAAGCAAGATTTCGACACTTGTTAATTTTTGACACTGTTTTTATTTAAAACTTTATGTGCCTTTTTATTTGCAGATTATAAGACGGAGTAATTAAGTTTAGACACTCACACAATCATATATATATATATAAATAAATCATGCAAAGTTTCATACAATCCACAAAAGAATGAAAAAAAGCAAAAATAAAGATTTTTTTACCATTTTATTTAAATGTTTTAATTAAAACTTGACACTAGAACCTATATTTTCAGTGATGTTCACGTATCTTACTGTAGAGGCACTAAAGTGCTAAAGGTGCGGTCACAAAGCTCCTTATGTTAAGCAGTTTCTACAATAGCTTCTTAAAGCCGAGTCCAAGCTCCTATAAGGTCAATGCACAATAGTTTCTCCAACAAGATGCATGTAATAGAAGAGTATAAAGGAGCTTCTACAACAACTTGCAATCTGTATTGCTTTGCAACTTGCTTTGCATTTTGCTCAGCATTTTGCTTTATGCGCGCGCAACGACTCGAAAATTTCACGTTCCGCTCATTCCTGAAATTTATACATATTATCATTTGATGTTTAAAAAAAAAAAAATAAACATTTGTGTTTTTTGATGAGATGAGCAGTGATAAAAAAATAGTTTGATTAATTAATTAATGTGCGTGAAATGAATAAAAGTGTTTGTGATTTAATGACATAAGTTTTATTTTTTTCCTTTTATGCGTCATTTTAAGGTAATTAGTTGTAAATATGTCACTATGTGTTATATTTCATTTATTAATATTATTTATTATATACATTTATTTATATTGATGTATAAAGTTGATCAGAATTAAAAAAAATGAAAAAAATGATATAAAAATGTAAAACTAAGATCTTTTGTGGTTAATACTTTATATACTCTGAAATAAATAATGAATATAGTGCGTGGGGGAATAAATAAAGAAACTTTTAAATTTGTGTAATGTTGTTATTTATTTATTATTTAAATTTAAGAACTGCAAAGAACTTTAAATGTTATTTTTTATTTTGGAACAAATCTCTTAATTCAAAATAGCAGAGTTTCCTTTTTTTTCGGGAATCTTCACCCATGCGTCCCACAGAACCTCCTCCTGGCGCTGTAAAAGGATATCGTTCCTTGCATTATCCCGGGCCGGAAAGTGTCTAAATATATTGTCTGAAAGTATTTATTCAAAGTAAATAGAAATTTGTTAATCATACAGTTTCGTGGCCATAATTATTTAGTTGATTAAAATAATGGCATAAATTATAACAAATTAAGTTAAAGAAAAATAAAGATTATAATTTATATTCGTTTTTAGTTCTTTTAAAATAAATATTTATAAATATGATAAATAAATTCGAGGCAATAAACAATCAATTTTAGCCATTGCAGATATAATAAAGCGGTGTAAAGAGGAAGCAACATTTTTCCGCCTTATTTTAATAAATTCCTAACCTATAAAAAATTTAGGCTATTTAACTGTTTTCATAAAGCAAATATACATATTATATAACCATGTATTAAATTAAAAAAAATACTACATAAATTTAACTTTTAATGAACAAAATTTTTGTTATATATATATATATATATATATATATATATATATCAATTGGAATGGAATTTATTTAATATAAATTAAATTATAAATCGGTCAACTTACCGGTAACCGGACACTTTGCTGTTTTCTGTCAAATAAACAATATAACACATTGTGCGATAATTGTTTACAATAATATACTGTATACGGATGGATATACACGTACATACACGTACGTACTTATCGCCTGACAATTAACCCTCATAAAAAATTTTACAATAAAAGAAACAGCACTGTTAACTTATATGTTATAACTTTCCAAAGTATACACTATATTTTTATATCAGTGTTAATCTTACCTCGACATACAATAGGAAGACGTCGCAAATTAATAATCAATCCTAATTACTGCGGTGACTCAAATTCATTAATTACAATTGTTTATAAATTAATCAATTGTTAATTAATAATTAATTTATAACATTGCAGCAGAGATTAGTTCTGATTGCAGACAGTGAATGTTATTGAATTTGAGGAATGACCGGAATGTGAATGGAACGTGAAATTTTCGAGTCGTTGCGCGCGCATAAAGCAAAATGCTGAGCAAAATGCAAAGCAAGTTGCAAAGCAATACAGATTGCAAGTTGTTGTAGAAGCTCCTTAAAAAATATCTCTCTCTGTCCTTTTCTAACCCATGTTTCACATTCGCCAACTACATTCGTGATCTGTTGTACGTTGACTTTTAATACAACATAACAAATACAATAAGATTCTTTAAAAATCTATTGGGGTGAGAGAGAAAACAATAAACCTTTTCATGCAGATCATTCTGTCCTCTTCCAACTCATGCGTTATTGTATGCGTTAGATAAGGACAGAACGATCAGCATGAAAAGTTCTATTGGCTATCTCTTTCACTCTTCTAAGTTACCATGGAAACCTGCATGCACAAGCTTTGCAGGCTGAGCTGTGACCGCTCCCTTAGGGTGAAATCACATGGAGCTGTAAAGTGTCAAATTTTGTAACTAAATCATGAGTATGAAAGAGATAAAGATATACGTTTGTCCTTCTCACACATATAGTCCTGTTACAAAATATGACGCTCACATTAGGCCTCCACATGATAGCGAATTTCATGCAAATGAAAGTATCTCTTTTCACTTTTCTCTGACGCTTCACGTCAATATGGGACAGGGACGTTGCTTTCAGTAAGACGTGGAAATAACAACAACAAGGATATATAACCTTAAAATTTGCATGTATTATTATTATTTATTTATAATTTCTGTGCTTTTTAAAGGTAATTAAATTAATTATATTTTTCTACAGAAAGACAATGCAAATGATTATTGTGACAGTTAGGTTAGAAGTAATCTTATTTTGTTTTACTAAAGATCAGCCATGTTAGATTTCTAAAAATATTTTATTAATTAACTAATTAAAATGTATGCAAAGTTTTTCTTAATTTTTAAAGCAATTTATCGAGATAAATCAAATTGTGAGAGAAAATAAACATACTTTACTCGTTAAATTATGTATTACTGTCTAGGTAACTTTAAATGTATTAATTAATTATACAAGCATTTTGTTGGCCTGAAGGCATTCTTAGAAAAATAATTTTCGTTTTTTTATTACATATTTGAATTCCTATTTGTTATTTATAAATGCGTTGTTTCAGATGTCTCAACCATTGCCTGTGACACAAACAACTTCTGATCATAATTCTGCTCTTGGAAATTTGCAGTCTGTTGGTTCTAATAATCAAAATCCTCTAGCTATAACAGCATTACAAAACAGTTCCTCAGCATCTGTAATGCAAAACCAAATCCCATCTCAGTATTCTACACAATCAGTAAAAATTCCACAAATGCAATCTTCTGTTTCTGGAACATCCAATGAATTTCCACAGGTTCTTTCATTTAGACTGTTTTCATTTGTCAGACATTTTTTCTTGTGAATATTCATTAATAATTAACGACTATTATTTACAGTAATCTAAAATTACACGCTTGAATATAGTAAAATTGATTTTTTAAAAGTATTATAGAATGATTTAAAAGTATTAATTTTGTATAACGTGCAATTTGATAGATTTTTGTATCGTTCTAAAAATTTTAATACAGTATATTAAATTTTTTTCAAATAACTTTCCTTAGTTTTTTAAATGTGGCTAATACCATCTTTTTCAGTTTCTGACAAAAACGCGGTTACAAGATTTAGTAAGAGAAGTAGATCCATCTGAGCAACTGGATGAAGATGTTGAAGAAATGCTCCTGCAATTAGCAGATGATTTTGTGGAAACAACAGTTAATGCAGCATGTTTACTAGCTAAACATCGACATGCTAATACTGTTGAAGTAAAAGACGTTCAACTGCATTTAGGTATTAAGGCATTTTAAAGGCTTTTATTTTTCTTTTCAAGTTTACATTTCACAAAGATTTAATTTATTAATTTCCTGTATTAAATTAAACATTACAAAAAAAAGTGATGCTAATTTCTACCCAATATAAATTAGTAAAAATTAAAGTTAAAATAGTTACAAATATAGTTTAGTTCTAAAATTAATTGTAAACACTAATTTGGAAATTGTAAAATTACTAATTGAATCGTGAATTTCAAAAAGGATTCAACTCTAAAAACTGTAAATTATTTCAATCAATTATAGATCTTAATATTTAAGATACTCAAGTGCGTAGAACGTAGAAGTTGATGATTTAATTAAATTACTATCTCTTTACTAACCATCAAGCGACAATACATACATATCCCAAGTTACCATAGAAATTCATTAAATCATCGAAAACAGATTCTTCATATAGTAAATAATTTTAAAAAAATTATTTTTTTTAGAAAGAAACTGGAATATGTGGATTCCTGGATTTGGGACAGATGAAGTGCGACCTTACAAAAGAGCTACTGTAACTGAAGCACACAAACAGCGATTAGCACTTATTCGTAAATCAATAAAAAAATATTAATTCTAATTTATATGATTTTTGATGAATATCATAATAAAAATTACTGTACATTTTCAAGTTTAAATTTGTTATAAATTAAATATTAATAATATTATTTTTTCATAATTCAGATTTGATATTTTAAACATTTTTCTTCCTACCTCTTTAAGATTATCCTTCCGTCCACAGAAAGTATTTTAAAAAAATTTATCAATAAACTTCAAAATTGTTTGCTGGTCAAATGACACTCTTTGTCTAAAGTAATAAATGAAAAAATCATACATGATTACTTGTTTTTTATTTCTGTCTTATTTTATAAATTTGCATTACACAATCTCTTTTTGTATGCATAGAGAAATTATATCGCAGTATGCGATACTTTGCTTGGTATTATTCATTAATATAATATACTTTTATTGTGTATCTTAAAAATAAGAAAATCCACATATTTAAACATGTATAATTATAAAAATGGTATCAAGATGTCTGTAAAACAATTGTAGTACAGATTCTTTTATACAATACTTTGTAAAAAAAAAAGAAAGATACAGATACATTTTAGAATTAATGACACATGTAGTAACACTTTTCGAACTACTGTTCTGTAAAACACTTCAGACGGTTAATATATCTTGTCGGACCATCTATTTCTGAGCGAAAAGAATACATTCACCTATATTACATCTGCCACAATGTTACTTTGACCTATAACAAATGTTTGTTTAGAATCAGAAATTTCGTTTAAAAATACTACACATATACTTATGAGAATCTAATATGTAAAATAATTTATTACGTTTGTATATCAAATGATTCAAGTTTTTGAAAAATATAATATCAAGTTAATTAACTTTGTAAAACTGAAAAAGGTACACTATTTATTTAATAAAATAAAAAATATTAGAATACAAAATGAGCAATAATAAAAGATGCTAATTAAATAAAATGCATATTTAAAAAATTGAACCTATCTGTCTATCTGAACAAATTCCTCTCCTTTATGAATTATTACAAAGTTGGGTGGAAAGTATGTAATTGGAGTTATAAACTTTCAATTGATTATTAAATTAACCTTTGTTATTGTTTACATTAAAAATTAATAACATATCAAACGAACTACACACGGTCAGTTGCATAAAAGTTTTCATTTGTGTTAAAAATTCCCAACATGTGTTATTTTCAAACTCAATATAAAATTATATTAATTTAGCGTTTAAATAAACAATATTAAAGCGTGCGGCTGTAGAGACAAATTTATATTGTTCAATTTCATTTAGACTAAGAATCAAATTCTTTTATGCCATAATTAATTTTTATGTGAATACTGAAGATTATTGGGAATAGCAAAACCAATATACAAGTGCTGTCTCCTGTGATTAAGGCATATTCATCAGGCGTTCAAGTGAAGAAAATATTGTCGAAAAAATTTCTAAAGATTAGAATTTTTAATAACTTTGAATAATTGTCAGGAAAAATTAAGTGTATTTGCGGTTTACAATTTCAGTTAACTAGAGGAACGTGAACCACCCTAATGTACATACATGCACTTCTGTTGAGATATATACCTAGGATGAGCTTGTCGCACTCATATGTTTCTATGGAGAGATACAATATGTATATGGCACAAGTTCATCCTAGATATATCTCATCGAAAATGTATAACAATATATTTTTAGGGAAAATTATATTATATACATAGGCTGATATGCACTTTCTTTAAATTAGCATCTTATTGACCTGGCATTGGAATATGTATATCAATAAGAGGTGGCGAATCTCCCTTCTGTCCCTCGAACTCGAGATTTTCTATATTAAATTTCATAAATAAAATATTTTTTATATAATTTGAAATAATTAAACTGTATTTTCAGACAATGATAGTGATACATATTTTATTATTATTACTATCCTACTTTTATAATAGTACGGTATATATGAATTCAAATAATACACCCTACTTTTTTGAAACTTGTGTAATAATAACAATATGTTAAAAGCAAAGTCTTGTTGAATTGAATAAATCTTGGCATAGATCATTGGTTTTTACAGAGACCGTCACCCTAGACTTAAAAAAAAAATATTTTTTTTATTGAAGAAAATAAAATTAAATCTTTCAATTACTTAATTACCTTGGCATCAGACGGCAGAGTCGTCTAAAATGGTCAGTAGGGCATATAGTATCCACGTCTGTAACTTCTGCAACAATAAAATTGTCAAAGAAGATTTAAATATTCCAGACGATATATAAAAGAGGCTGTAATATATGACTTATTGAATAGTTAGCGGATTGTGTAAAGTTGAGATGATTCAAATGAAAATAAATGAAGTTTAGATATCATCGAGAAGAGCGTTAACTTAAAACCCAATAGTATGCTAATAAGTTGTAACTCTACCCAGCTAGTGATACTGAGAGAGAAGTTTATATACAAACAGTCACAGACTATAAAAAAGCAGGTATTCTTTTAAATATATGTTCAAAGAACGCGAGTCCGATGTTACTGGTTATAAGAACAAGCGGTATGTGCTAATTGACACAAGAAAATTAAATGGGAAAACACTATTGTTCATACTAGACTTAGCTAACGGTTACTTGTAAGTTGCTATAACAAATGAAGATCGTAATAAAGAAGCTTTTATCACTCCTAATGATACACATAGTGTTAATAAGAAAGTTATCGATAAATGTGATTCTAAACAGTTATCTTGTAAGATATTCGCGAAAGTCAAAAACTGATTTTCAATTTTGTGAAGAATCAATAATTTTGAATTACATTTTTTTCTTCTAGAACGGATTGCAACATTGGAATCTGTATTTTTCAAAATAATTTACTTTTTTAAAACTCAAACTAAAATGGTTCATTTTTAGGCAAATCATCCTTATAGATTAATTTTTGAAAAATATATAAGAATAATTTCATTAATTTATAATTATTACAGTTTGTGACAAAATCAGATTAGTAAATCCCCATTTCTGCTCACAAAGAAAAACGATCATAATGTTAGTACAATTATAACACAAAAGTATTAATAATTTTAATATTAATCAAATGAAAATTATTTACCTAGGTCGTCTTGTGGGCCTGTAACCTACAAAATATGCACTTCCACGACTAAGCGCACGAGTTATTCCCCGATAAACACGCACTCCTCTTGGACCCCTTTAAAAACAGAAAAATATTCAAATTATTTTTAAACTTTAAAATTACTCCATATGACCATAAATGTTAACAATTTTTTTAAATCTAGACTCACTCAGAAATTAGAACCAAGTCCATAAAAAATTCAATCATCATTTTATTTTTTAAAAACTATTAAAAAGACAGGAAAAAAATGCCTTCTAACTTCTAATTAAAAAATTAACACGCACCTATTAGTCATTGACATGCCAGGCCTATTTGTTCGTTTAGGCATTACTTTTATTTGACGCCCTCTAAACATGGAATCATCCATTGCCATTGCTGTTTGTACAGAATCTCGATCAGCAAATTCAATATAAGCAAAACCTTTAGGATGACCATCAAATTTATTACACAAAATTGTTACTCTATTAACACTACCACATCCATGAAAATGTTGTTCCAATTCTTCAGCAGTTGCGCCGTAATCCACCTATGTGTAAAGTAACATATCAGTTTTAAATTTATTATCAAAAATAATATGGGTACGACAGCTATAGTAGTATTTTCATAAAATTATTGAATTCAACTGAATATTTATGTTTTTCACAATCAAGTACTCACATTTCCTACGTAGATAGATCTGTTATCTACTTCCATTTTATCCTCTACTGACATATTTAACGGACTGGCTAAAATAATTGCAATACAATTTATCTTATAGAATCAGAAATATGATGCTGCGTAGTATTAAGAAAAATTATAATTTACAGAAAATGTACTTGAATAAAATACTTACTAATTCCAGGAGGACTACCCATGTTCATTTGTTTATCAACTTCCGATTGTAGTTGTTTTAATTTTTCAGCCTCTTCTTCCATTTCTCTTACTCTAGCTTTGATAGCTTCTAATTCCTAATATAGAAAAATATATTTTAAGTATAAAGTTAAAGATATTAGATACTCGATCAAATGAAAACTCTCAGTCAAAAATTGAATACGAATACTAATTTCATGATTTGTCTAAAATTTTCACCAGTGGAGTGCGAAATTACAGAATATTTTTCATCAACTACAACAAATTTATTAACAGTCAAGTTGTGAATATGTACATTTGGATATTCATCGCAAATGCATTAACATATCCTCGACATCAAACCTTCCGCTTAATATTTTTTAATTAAAGTGAAAGCACTCAGGAAGGATATTGTTCAATCTTGATGAACCAATCTATATCATCGGTTGCTATTATACGATATATATTATTTTTATATTCAAATAATTTAAAGTAAATGTTACTGCTTACTGGATCATCAATATTAGCTTCAGTGAAGTCACGTCTTATGTTATCATTATGCATTAAAGCATCACCATCTTGTCCATTTTCAAGACCATCGAGGCCATCAATTTGTTCATGAGATAATAAATCCGATTCAGACATTTCTGAAAAAAATTAATAAAAACCACAATAATAATCCAACGAATGTAAAATATTAATTTTAAATTGTCTTATAAAAATTTACATATTATTTTTGTTGAAATCAAAATACTTATACAATTAAGAGGTAGCAATATATGTATTTGCTTATTTTAAAAATTAACTATTCTTATCGAGTACATAGTTTGGGGGTCAATAAATATGTATAAAAACTGAAACATTTGCCATTTAATAATTTATTGTAATTTAAAAAACAGCGTCGTTTATCAATACTACGGAAAACTGCTTATTTCTTTAGTGTTACAATTCATGCTGTTTTAAAAGACGATGTATTTGACAGTTTTAACTTTAACAATTATTAGAATGCTGCTCGTTGAATAAACCAATTGTCAAGAAATAATTTTTAAAATATTTATCTTTATAATATTTACTTTTTGAAACTTTAATTTTAATTAAATTAATTAATTTTTTTATATAAAAATATATACATACATGGCTGTATGTAACATTATAAATTAACTAATTTTATTATTTTAAAAATTTTCTATTAAAAGTTATAACGGGAAAATATAAATAATTCTTTTATACTAAAAATGACTTTAAATATTAAAAAAAAAATTATTTAAATGAAGTCTCAAAATAATGAAGCATTTTTAAAAATTGAGGAACCCGCCTTTTCAAAATATATTTAAAATCTTCACTGGAAATTTTAATTTATTTCTTTAGGCGTATATATTTATTTAAGACTAAAATGTTTTCTTACTTTATAGGGTATAAAATGTATATTTGCAGTTTAAATATTGTGCATCAGAAGCTTGAACACAGAGCGTCTATAGCAGTCGATTAACCTGTACAGTCATTACAGACATAATGAATTTTCTAAATTTTGGGTAAAAAATCTCTAAAAATGAAAGCGGCTTAATTTGAAGATACAAAATTAAATTTGTTGAAAACAAATTCTATATAAATTTGCAAAATAAAAATTGAAAATCGTTATTTATTATTGAATTTAACTTTTTAACATTTTACTGCAAAGTATAAAGTATTCAAGTTAATGTTTGACCGTTCATAAGAAGCTTTTGGTATGTAATTATTTTTTAATTAAAAAAAAAAAATGTTTCAAAAACATTAAGTGATCGTAATTTTCGTTATATTAAAATGTAGTAATAATTATTACTAAAAAATCATAAACAGTGACCAGCTTAACTGACCGGTATTGCATTCCGGTATGTTTTTGTACACAATTAAAGTTTTATTTCACAAACCTGAGAAAAAAAGAGTTTTGTAATTAAAGCGAACTTAAAAAGAGATAAAAATATATTTTTTATATCCTCTTTTTAAATGGTATTACAAACTTTTCAGTAAGAATTAAAAGCAACCACTATTCACTACCTGAATAAATTGATAACGATGCAGAAACACAGAGGATGAAGCGAAAATTTTTAGAGGTTAGTGCATTACAAATGCTAATGGCCTATTCATACTGTACAAATGTCTCATTTTCTCATAAGGCTGGTTCCACAATGGGAAGAATGTATCGTCTTGAAAACGATTCTCGTCATTGGGCCAACACAAATTGAAATCATAAACTTTAACATGAGGTAGAAAAAGATATAAGATATTTGCACGTGCTATCGCTGTCAAAACGATTTTTGCGGCAAAACAATTCGCAATAATAGAAAATGTATCCGCACGCCATATTTCGTCCTAAAAAATGTCTTTTGTTGAACCATGCGGAAGCATCATAATCAGCACGTTAACGTCGACTTCTATGCACCTAATGTAGACTAAGCTTAATAAAGGTGCCATCCCATGTTGGAATAAAGCATTTACAATAAAAGTGACAGAGATAGTGATAGCTTTTTGTCTCTTTCACTAACATAGTTTACGCTTTCCGCCAATGCTTTTACGCCGAAATGCGTCAAAATCGCTTTCCAAAGGCCTTTTTCTCCAATATGTTCCTAAATGTTTGCGTTGCGTGATTGACGCGTTGGTTCGCAAGCGCAGTGACGTCATCAAAACATTAATGCCAATCCGCGAACAAAAAGTTTGGTTTATGTTCCTCTCATCTCTAATTTCCAAGTTTACAATTTTTAATGCAAATGTTTCTCGGCGGCTTTTAATAATTTTAATTATTTAATATTTATAATTAAATAATTGGGTGTCTTAAAATCGTAAACCAAACTTTTTGTTCGCGATTGGTATTAATGCTTTGATGACGTCACTGCGCTTGCGAACCAACGCGCCAGTCACAATAGGTGCAAAAGCCAAGTACAAAATGCAAATCCCATGAGTGCAAGAGAGATAGATAGACTACCTATCCCCTTCGCACTCATGAGATTGCCACTTGGACTTGGACTTGTACTTGGCTTTTGCACCTATTCTGGAACCACCTTCAATGCTAATCAAATGGGAATGCGTCGCGTCTACGCTACGTTTGCATTGCGTCGAGCTCATTGTGGAACGAGCCTTAATACATAGTAATCTCGAATTACGCATAACTGCTCAATCCTGAACAACCAACAAAAAGAAAGATGTGTAGAAGCAGCTTATAGGGATCGAACCAAAACAATGGAGAAAAACTCTTTTAATTAAGTTTATCCGGACCCGGTATGGATGATAAGTATAATTTTTCATTGAGAAAACTTAAAATGAAAAAATATCATTTGATTAAATCTTTAAAAGTACGACCTTTTTTCAAAGCGGAAAGTTTTGTAATTCATAAACATTATCTAATTTTTATTATAATAAGTTTTGTGATAATATTTGTGTATACGTGTCCTTCGATATATAATTCAATATGTTTCTATCCTTTCAATTCCTCTAAATCATTATGCCATTTCTACATTTACAATAGAACTTATCCTATAACGAATCCTGTCAGATTGGCTAATGGTATTTCTTATAAAATAGCAATTATTAGTGATCTTGATAAACGATCAAAAGATTCTCGAAACACAAATCTTTGGTATAGTATTATGAAGACAGGACACCTTTTGTGGGTACATGAGTCAAATGAAATACTTGTGACATGGGATGAGCAAGACATTATTCTTTCTTCATCTTTGTCAATGCAGGGACGTGGAATGGAATTTTCAGAATTGGTGACCTTTGATGGACGTCTTTTAACATTTGATGACCGAACTGGAATAGTTTATTCAATTGACAAAGATCAAATATATCCTTGGGTTATTCTCATGGATGGCAATGGAAAAAACGTCAAAGGTATAGGGCACGTATTGATTTTTAAGTTATAAATTTAATTTTAAAATAAGTTAGTATGAAAATTTCTTGCACAATTCAGGAATTTTTTATTTTGATAGCTTTAAAGCTTTTTATAAATACACCTTTATAGGTTATTACCCTACATAAAACAACACACCAGGAAATGTAAGGGAATTTCACTGAATTTCTGGACTTTTTGTACCCTTTTATATATCCTCAATGTCAAATTGAAATTATCTAATGCCCTTTTTTAATCTATTAATTAGAGATGTGCAAATTGAATTATCATCATTCGTTAAGTTTGGATTTTTATTTACAAATAAAATTGTACAATAAACTAGATTGAAAAGATTTATTTTATATTATATAGGTTTTAAAAGTGAGTGGGCAGCTGTCAAAAATGATCAACTTTATGTTGGCAGCATGGGTAAAGAATGGACAACGAGTTCAGGTGAATGGGAAAATAATAATCCTTTTTGGATAAAAGTAATTTCACCTCAAGGAGAAGTTCGATCTATTAACTGGAGTAATAATTACAAAAAATTAAGACATGCGATCAACATTGATTTTCCAGGTAAATTAGTTTACACATTTATATGTACAATAATTTAATTTCTTTAATGAAGTATATAAAGAGCAAGACAGGATGCGTACATCTAATGTTAAATTAAGAGAGACAGCCAAGATAGTTTGTCATGTTGATTATAGTCTGAAATAAAAATAAATAGAAAGGTGTAGGATAGGAATAAAGAGTTGTAGAGCAATAATGTTTGAAAGCAGTATTCGTTTATGTTGATTAAGGAAGGAATTTAAAACGATAAATGGAGTAGACGGGGAGATAAAATGCTATTTATTTCTATCTCGGAGATATTATGACTAAAATCCATTACTTAAATTGCAATAATAAGTTTTTATTTATCTAATATATTAATCACTAATATTTTAAAGAACATTGTTCATATCCAGATCAATTAAATTATCTTAGGATAACGGTTTCTTAGAAACATAAATAAAATAAATATTTTATGAATTGATTTATCATATTGTCATGTGTAATAATTGTACTCTCTTTTCTTATTAAAAAAAGTTAATTTGTAAATTGTTAAAATTTATTTGTTTCTTTTTCTTCATTCACAATTTTTGTTTGTAGGCTACATGATTCATGAGTCAGGTTTATGGAGTGATGTGCATAATTCTTGGTTTTTTCTACCACGCAGATGCTCAACTCATAAATATAACGAAACATTAGATGAAATAAGAAGTTGTAATGTATTACTTAGAGCTGATGAAAATTTTTCCAATATTAGGGTAAGCATAAGATAAAGTCAATAAAATAAAATACACCTCCGAATTTATAATTTTTTAAATATGCGGAAAAACCTTTACTTCCTCTGTCACACCCAGGGTGTAATAATTAAAACTATGAACATTTTTAAATATATGTAATTATTTTCTATTAGCAGTATTTCATTCTAAGTATAAGAAATACAAATATGAATCTGAAATAAATTTCAGGTAATCAATATTGGAGCAGTGACACCAACCAAAGGATTTTCGAGTTTCAAATTTTTACCTGGATCTCATGAAAATATTATTATATCTTTAAAATCTGAGGAATATCAGAATCGAATGGCTACTTATATTATGGGTTTTACAGTTGATGGAGACATTGTTATGCCTGAACTAAAGATAACATCAGAGAAATTTGAAGGATTTGAATTTGTATAAAATTGTATAAATTTCTTAATAATAAATTTTTATATTAATTGTTGTCTATACATCATTTACATAAAACTAAGAATAGTTCTATTTAAAAGTTGTTGATTTTATTACAAATGATAAACACAAAACTTTATGTTTATAAAATTTAAATAAATTCACTTGAGCACAATGCGAAAATATGAGAGAAAAAAAAAAAAAACATTTTTTTAAATATATTTGAAAATAACGTCTTTACGTTTTGTAACTTGAATCTCTAACTTGACAGGACATTGTAGCCAATAACTTAAAAATTCTTCGCTGTATCCTGTTAAAAAGTATATTTGTCTTGGATTCGCTGATAACTTTAAAATTCCAGCTATTCTAATAATGTTAAATTGTCGTTTTATGATTATTTCACTCAACAAAAGTGAAGGCCATGTACCTGTTATGAATCGTCGTATAAACATATCTTCCACCGCTGTTTCAGAAGATCTGTTTCCATTAATTAAATTAGCTAGAAATATAATTTTCAACTTAAAAACCATGAAATAGACTTGAGAATAATTATTATTGTCTCATTGATAAATTAATTAAAATAAGTTTCCTGTAAATAGCAATTTACTAGTATCTATCAGGTACGAAGAGGTTGATTACTAACTAAATTTAACAGTATTTCAGAGTGTTACAATGTCAAAAATGACGACTAATCTATTTACTTTGTTTCAAAGTATTTTCTCCTGCATTTCTAACAATTAATGGACAAATTGAAAGGAACATCAGTTGTCTTTTCAATTTTACGTTGACTATCCGAATTGTACGAAAAATTTCTCTATTAAAAATAAAACATAATTAGTGACTGGACATTAGCAAGGCTGTCACTTTGGAATACTGTTAATCCTTCTTTACTAAAATGCATTAAAGTGTGAGTAATATTTACGTTAAAATTATATTATCTGGCAATTTGATAATACTTACAAGTATTCCAAGAATTCCAGCCTTTTTTGTGAGCAATCTCATGAGGTGGAAAAGCCATTTCATACGTGAGCGGTTTATTTTTTTTAGGTGTTACTCTATAGCGACCGGCATGTGATTTATTAATTATTGCTGATGTTTGAAAAAAAGCAGTACATGACTTCTGAGATGTCTGTAAACAATTTATTAATTACTTTTAAAAAAATAATATAATTTATAATTAAATTTATAATAAATTTAAAAAATTAAATTAAATTTATAATGAAATTCTTCTATAAAATAAATGATTCCTTCTTTAAATTCTCTAGTTTTATTTATTTTTTTTTAATACAAATATTAGATATATAATTTTAACTTACTGTTCGTAAAATTGTATGTAATGACATTTTAAATATTTATATATTTTCTTTTTCTTCTGTGATTATTGACATAACAAACAGTTGAAATTATGTAAAATTTATGATTTTAGTGATTCTTCGTGAAAATTCAATCCAGTCGATTGCTTGACTAAAATACTGGAGGTATAAAATCACCTTTAGTTTGTTCTACAATAAGCGCGACGGACGTGGACGTGAACGTGTACTTAATGAGAGAGAGGGGTACGAAGATATACATCTATACCCCTCTCTCTCATTAGGTACACGTTCACGTCCACGTCCGACGCGCTTATTGTATAGAACCAACTTTGAAGGCCTTTCTCCAATAGGAACCTAAACTTTTGCGTTGCGTGACTGACGCGTTGATTTTAGCATTTGTTGCCAATAGCAACCGACGCAATGCATACGCAACGCAAGAGTTTAGGATCCTATTGGAGAAAGGCCTTAAGGCGCTTGTATACCTCATCGATCTCGAGTATACTTGCGTTGTGTACCATTGGAGTAAAAGGGACAGAAATATCTTTTATCTCTTTTACTCCAATGGTACATGACAGAACTCGGGATTGGTGAGGTGTACAAGCGCCTTTATGGTACGATCACAGTTCGGCTCAAGAAGACTAGAATAAGGAGGTCTAACTCAGGTAGTGGGGGTATGGTATGTATACGTATGAAATTGGTAGTTGCAGTAGGCGGATTTTCGAGAAAGGCAGAGTGTGCGGTAGACTTCTGCGCATACCAATACATACAAGTTTCAATAATTCTTGACGAGGCAACAAAAATGTATATGTATTGGTGTGCGCAGAAGTCTACCGCACACTCTTCCTTTCGGCCTACCACGAAAACCAATTCTTTACGTACCCCCACTACCTGAGTTAGACCTCCTTATTCTAGTCTTCTTGATTCGGCTGTCTGCTTTCCTGCGGAAAGACGAAAGACGGAGACAATGGGTGTTTTTGGGAGTTGCTGACAGTATACTGACAGTAAAAAATTACCCAATCAGAATAAACATGCTGATGGATCAGCCAATCACAACATACTTACAGTATAGTCACAGCAACTCCCGAAAACACCCAATTGAAACCAACCAAAGGTCACTCACGCTTTTTTGCTTTAAGCTGCTTCTACAACAATTTTTTTTATCTCTTTGTATAGGTCAACGAACAATAGTTTCGCGAACTAGATGCATGAGTTAAAAAAGGACAAAGATATATATTTGTTTCCTTTTCTATCTTATAAATCAAGTTCGTGAACGACTTTCGCTAAATTATTCTGCATTGGCCTTATCGATTTGTCGACGTAAAGGCCTGGGCAGAATAGAAACTTAACCGTAATCGTAATCGCAAACGCAACCGGAAGATTGAGTTAGAGAAGGATAGATAGATTGTTTGTCCTTCTTTAACTTATTCTTCCGGTTGCGTTTACGATTCCGGTTATGTTTCTATTCTACTCAGGCCTTAAACAAAATAAAAATGCACTGACAGTGCATTTTGTTCATGTTCAAGAAAAAAAAGTTGTTGTAGAAGGAGCTTTAGATGGTGTCTACAATATAGGCCAAAACATGCGGAAAACTGAAACCAATACGAAAATCGGTCCAATGGAAATCATTCTAATAAAGAGATCTCATTGGCTTAAAGCTTCTTTCTTTCCATAAATCAGATATGACTTGATATCTTTGTCTAACTTATAAAAAAAGAGAGAGACAAGTTTAAATGGGAGTTCACATTCCAGATATATGTACATATACATAGTTCAGTGGTTCTTGTAGAATCGCTTCATTTGACTGACTGCGCCCTCATTGTTATACGGTTGGAATGCGCCATGTCACTTTACATTGGTTGTGAATTTTGTTCAAGTTGAGTAATTGACTACGACCACACTACCTACTACTTAGTCACAGAAAGGCGAAGGATAAAAAAGTTTGTGGCAGTCGTATAATAAGTTTTGTGAATTTCAACATACATACTCCTTTTATTATTATCATTGGTCAAAGTTTAAACAAAATATATTTTAATGTAAGTTTATTCGTGTACATATTATTTCTTCTAAATAAGATTAAATTATACAATGAACTTAATAGTTATTACCTATGTTACATACTCCACCTAATTCTCTGCCCCCTTTGCTTTTATAGTAATTTTCGCAAGTACAAAGTGAATCGAAATGTTTAACAATTTTATTGATCTTGTGCAGTTGTTCTAATTAGAGGACCTGGACCATGCAGGCAATTAAGTGCGTGGTTGTAGGTGATGGGTAAGTTGAAAAACTTTTTTCAGTTTATAGTCAAATCACATAAATGTCAGTCATTCCACTGTTTTAGTTTTTTAAAGCAACGACAAGTACAAAATGATATAAAATATGAAAAGAATATTTTTCAAAGTTCTAATAATTTTCTATTGATTTATTGTAGATGTGATACATATTAGATATTAATGTATCTACTGTTCGTTAATGATTAAATTAATTTTTGATTTATGATTATTTAAGTTTTTTTCATTAGAACACTAGTTTAATCTTGTTTATTAATTATTTTTTCATCAAATATTACTTATTTATTTTTAAATTCTTTCTGCTTTATTATTAAAATATATTCATATTTTTTCAATTTCTTCTACAAAATGTTAAATAAAAAAAATACATAAGTATGAAGAAAATTATAAAAATTTGAATAATTTTCACAAATTATGGTTTTGTTTTTCATTAAATTTGAATTTTGGTTTAATAGTGTTTTATAGAATGACTATATATTTCATGAAATGCAATAGCAAATCATCCACATTGTGTAATGATATGAAATTACTCAATTTGTTTATTATCACAATACATTTTATGAAATTGTACCTACTCCCTCGACAATTGGTTCCTTTACCCTAAAACATTTATCTTGTTTTTGTACAAGAGTCTTTGCTGTTGTAAAGAAGATTTATTTTTTATACGCACATTTGTTTATAATACATTGTCGAGCAGGCACTTGAATATGATTTGTAAATATGTAGTACTGTATTTGCAAAATCGACATAATAAGACTTGGATGTTTCAATTCATAAAATGCATTCTGATATTGAATCTATTTTGTACAATTTCATACCGTTAAATGCAACAACAAATGATTAACTTAATGCATTAAGTGCACTATTTGCCGATTCCAAATTGGTAGATTTTGCATATTTGCAAGTATCTACTTGATATATATATATGCATTCGGTCCTTATTATACATCATTATCATTTTTTCCAAGTACATACTTGCTACTATGAAAAACCATCATTTCGGAAACGGTCTTTTTTCACTAAAAGGCAGAGAGAGGAGTTGTTATTTTAAGTTACGTCTAAAAATACAAAAGAAAAATTTTTCTTTTTTGTACAGAGCTGTGGGTAAAACGTGTTTATTGATCAGCTACACAACAAATGCTTTTCCAGGCGAATACATACCTACAGTATTTGACAATTATTCTGCTAATGTAATGGTAGATGGTAAACCAATAAATCTTGGTCTATGGGATACGGCTGGTCAGGAAGATTACGACAGATTACGACCACTGTCGTATCCTCAAACTGATGTTTTCTTAATTTGTTTTTCATTGGTGAATCCCGCAAGTTTTGAAAACGTTCGAGCCAAATGGTATCCGGAGGTTCGTCATCATTGCCCAGCTACTCCTATAATATTGGTTGGAACTAAATTAGATTTGCGTGAAGATAAAGAAACTATTGAACGATTAAAGGATAAAAAACTTGCACCTATAACATATCCTCAGGTAATTTATGATTTATTAAATGTACAAGTATTGTAAGATAATACATACAGAATCTATTATACTTACCTGTAATATTACAAAACATCTGTAGGGTTTGGCCATGGCAAAAGAAATTAGTGCGGTGAAATATTTGGAATGCTCAGCTTTAACGCAAAAAGGATTGAAAACAGTTTTTGACGAGGCAATTCGAGCAGTCCTTTGTCCCGTTCTCCAAGTAAAGTCGAAACGCAAATGTTGCCTCCTATAATATTAACCTTCTTTTTATTTGATGTAAAACTTTTCAGTTGAAAGTAATTCTTTGAGTTTTTTTCAAAATTTATATATTATATACACATATATTTTCACAGGCTAATAATTATTTTACTTTCATAGAAACAGTCGATAATGAGACGCACAACTAACAAACATTTATTGACTTTTAACAAAATTAATAATATAAAGAGAGGTATGTATAGAGTGGTGCGTTATAATAAGCCAAAATAAAAAAAAAAAAACAAAAAAAAAAACAAAAAAAAAACAAAAAAAAACTGTTTAGAATGCAGAAAGTTTTTCTTTTTAGCATTTATTAACGATTATGACTTGTTACTTTTTAATTAATTATTTTTACAATCTTACAAAAAAATCAACATATAAGCTGATTGTGTACAGTATGCGAGAGTATATTAACAATAATAGCTGCGATTACTCTTATGTTTTGTAAAGAAAAATATACAGTGAGGGTGCTTTCAAATTAAAAATATATGATATAGCGAAAGTATGTTTTCAACAATACCATAACGGTTAAAATTATCTGTGGTAGTTAATACTATGACTGCGACTGATTTGAAAATTTCTTTGCATTTTCGACATTTTACGTCGTATGTGTAAATTATTTTTAAAAAATTAATATTACTGTTCGCTTACAAAGTCCAGTATAAATAACAAATTTTTAATAAATTCAAGAAATTAATGGAACTTTTTATTGAATAAAATAAATGTACAGAGCGAAAAAATAATTTGAAAAAATCGTTTTATTTTATTTTAATATTTATAATTTATTAAGAGAGTGGAATGTTACGAATTTTTAATATGAAAATGGAAAATTAATATTTGTAAGGCTAAAACTCTTTATACCTAGTTATTTTTCAATTACGATAATATTTCATTTGTTATTACACAGCGATCACATTGGAATAAATTATTTAATGATGACTGTCTTGTAATTACAATAGAAAATTTCATTTGATCTGATAATAATAAATAACACTGAGAGAAAAATTCTTTCAATCGTAAAACGACTGTCTTCTTAAAAACAGTCCCTTCAATGATTAGAATAATTTTCTTAATCGTAAAATGCATTGTTTAACTATAAAAATTGCCTTAATTCATTCATAAGAAAAAATTACTTTCAATGTCAAAAGAAATAATCTCAATTCAAAAATTTTCTAAATATTTGACAGTGCGTTATTCGGTTTGTTAATTTTTATTTTTGACTATTGTCGATTTAACAAGTGTTTTTTTAAAAATGAAATCATCTAATGACATGAGAATTTGTTCATGATAAAACTTTTTTTTATCGCAAATAAAGGAATTACTTTAGGAAAAATATCAAGAGGAAATTCTGATTATAGTTAAAGGATTAATTTTGCTCTGAATATACTATTCTGTCAGTATGTCACAGTGAGATTCAAATAATCTTAGGCCTATTTTTCTATCATTTCTCAGAATTAATACTCTTTTCTAAGAAGCCACTCACTTTAATTATACTATTTTTCTCAAGTAAAATTTTTTTAGTATAAAAATAATAATTTTTATTCTTTTCTTACTATACCTGTTTAAATTTCATTTTTGTCTACGTAACCTAAATGATCCTTTGAAGTAACATTAAAGTGAAACAGTGTAACTTTTTTAATTCAGAAGAAGAGGAAAAATACACGATTTTGAAATAATACGATTGATACAGATTTATTCAATGAGATCCAATATTTTTTAATTAATCTTGTTGAATCGAGTCAAGTGGTTTAAATCATGTTCAATCGATTATTTCTGTACCCAATAAAATTAATCGATAGAATGATAAAGAAACCTTATAGAATCTGATTTAAAATTATATTCAACCCATTTCAGAAACATAATTATATTCAACAGAATGAATCGGTTCCAATAATGTTTCTATGAGATGGATCAATTAGTTTTAATCAGTTTTTATCGATTTTTTTTAGGTATTTTAAAGACTTTCAGAATTTACTCGAAAATTTTAAGCACTATCAAATAACAATTTTTTAACTGAATAATCCTATTATCGAAATATGTATACTTAAATATTAGGTTATTTATTGCAAGTATAAATTAATTAAAAGTTTACGCATGTTTTACTGTAACTACATTAGAATATATATATATAGTTTGATATAATACAATAGTTAAATAAAATAAATACAAAACGAATTAATAATTATTGTCCATTGATTGCCATTTATTAAATTTTTTCATTTAAAAACATTTTTTGAAACATTACTTTAACATTCCCACGTGAAATTTTTCTTAAAGTAAATATTTTGTAAATCCTTTGTTCGCGAGCGTGAAGCATATTATGTTAAAAAAGGACAGACTGATTTTTATATCCTTATTTAAGGAAACTTTAAAGCAGCGTCTACAATAATCGAAGTGAGCTCCAAATATGATAACATAAAGGCCTGAGCAGAGTAGAAACTTAACCGAAATCGTAATTGTAAATGCAACCAGAAGAATGAGTTAGAGAAAGACGAACAATATGTATATCCTTCTCTAACTCATTCTTCCGGTTACGTTTCTATTCTGCTCAGGCCTTAAGCACCCAGAAGCGTATACTTATCACTGAACTCTATTGGGATCGGCTAAACTGCAATACGCCATCTGGTGGGGACCCATTCTCTCCCTCCATTTTCTTTCTTTGTCTCTCTTCAATTAATAGGTTAGAAAGAGTAGAAAAAACAAAATGGCGGGAGAGAATGGGTCAAAGTTACTAGATTGTTACTAGACCACCGTTCCCAATATATCTGGAATGATGTCTGACATTGATGGTCGCGAACCGAGAGAGAGGTCTCATTCTTGTATCCCTCTCCTTCTCTTGCTAAACTGCGCAGGCGTAGTACAATACGTTCCAAAAGTTTACTGTTAACTGTGTTATGTCATATTCACGTATACATACTGTTAAATATTTTCTAATGGACCTGTACCGACAAAGAGGGGAATACAAGAATCAGCCCTCTCTCTCGGTTCGCGACTTTCAATGGCAGACAGCATTCCAGATATATAGAGTTCAGTGATACTTATCGTGAGTGTTTTCGGAGGTTCCTGACACTGACAGTGTACTGACAATGAGATAGTAAATCTTATGTCACTATCAAGGTCATTACTATACGGTTGGTTTCCATTGTCCCCACTCGGCATTTGTGTTATAATTCTCGTCAACTACCGCACCCTGCTCTAGTAAAAATTTAGTGAATTTATTCTTAAAATTAAAAATCACTAAATTTTTACTATATCACCATTAGTTTCTTATATTATGCTATTTTATGTTAATATAAGGAACTAATTGTGTACACAGCCTTACATCTGGAAGGTTTTTTTTTATTTCATTGTAGAATGCGAGCCAAGAAAGGCGGAAGATCGTTAACTTCCTCTCATTCTTTTTCCATAAGTTAGACATGAACAGATGAAATTGCATATGGCTACACGTGCGTTAGAAAAGAACAAAAAAAGTGTAGGTATATATCTGTGTACATTTTCGTCAATTTTGAGTCTACATTTCGCATTGTCTTTCCAATGCAGAGACAGCTTTAAGAAGTTATTGTGCGTTGACCTTAACATGTTTAATATTCAATATGAACATACCTTAAAGGCCACCACCGAAATATTTTTTTGTAAAGCGATCATGGTGGTGACCAGTGCCGCCAAAAGCTTTAAGCTTATTAGGGACCCATGGGTACTAAATGATATACATACATTTTTTTGTGACAAATTATTCGTCTTTATTTGTATTATACACTGAAAAAGATATATTAATGGAATTAGCTTCTTAATTTTAATAATTTGTATTGTGCATTACGATTATGTCAGATTACTAAAAGTTTGTGTAAATGCTAACGTGCCGAAGTCGCCATTTTAGTAATACATTCAGATTGCAATAACTTCTGTTTCTATTATACGCTACTTATTTACAAGTTTTACTGAAATACAAGGATAGCTTCTAGGATTTTATTTACTGTTTAACGTTGGTTATGACTCAGCAAAATAAAACAATGAATTTTTTAATTCATGATGCGAATGGTAAGTAATAACTGCGCGCCAACATTTGACAAATTTTCTGAATATTATCTTCCATTTAATTATTTACTTATTATAGATCATTTCTTTTAATATATTGAAAATTTTATACATACTTATTAGTCAATTGTTATACAACGTAGATATACATGTAATATTTTGAATATCAAATTTTACCATTTTTATTGCATATAATTTTATTTTTACTTAAATTCTCTTATATTATCTTAAAATCATTTTAATTATTAATTATGTTGTTAACATAATTCTAGTCAACGGTCGAAATAAAAAAATTTTAATTTCGCCCCTAAAATATAAAAAAAGTTGGTAAAAAATATATTGTTGCCTGTCATAAATAATTATATATTAAAAGAACTAGCTTAACAATATACTTTTCTCTTATTTCTCCCGCCTGAGAAAATAAATAGTATATAAGTTCAAGTAAAATTAATAAGTACCTACATGAATTCGTTTATATTAAAAAATACTTGGGGGGAGGGAAAGGACTACATAACTGAAAGCAATCATTTGATCAGCTAATTAAAAACTTACTTCTAACATAACCTTAAATATAAAAATTTTGTTCACATTGGCGGGAGTTAACTTTTTTCTTTAAACTATATAAATAATCTATTCACTTAGATCAGTTTTTAATTAAAAAATAAATTTTTATTTTCCACATGACCCTTCATACTGCATTTGTTTTTTATTTATTAAGATTAAAAATTTTTTTTTTTATTGAAAATTGTACTAAACTTACTCTGATATAAAAAGCTTCTCAAAAAAATCATAATTTGACTAATTGTAAGATTTGAGGAAACAAATTTGGAACTAATTATACTAAATGAGCTTAAAAATGTCCCAATAATATTTAATAACAATTGTATCAAATAACATTTTCCTGAAAATTCAACTTCACTTTTATTGTTTGATTAGTCGCAACATTTAATTTCATAATTTATGGTCAAATTTTTACTTTCTTTTAGAAAACTGTTATGTTACAGTAGAACAAACTTTTTTTTATTATATGTATAAAAAGAAAAAGAACTGTTTAAAATACGCAGTCAATTTAAAGTTTTATAATTTAGAACTAAGCATAAATAAAACTTGAAGAAAGTTTCACGCAATTCTATAAATTTTCATTTTTATTTTGTTATAGGTCATCCACAGGTAATCAAGGTTGTGCAGAGCACTCCGAATAAACCACTGAGTAATTTTGTTGGAACAACAAATACTGGAAGTCTCAAAGTGTTTAAGACACCTGGACAAGAATCACGTGTATGAAAAATAAATATTTAATTTTTTTCAACATGTTTTATATAAATATAAGTAACCTGTAAGCGCGCCATGGTTATTTCTTACAGATATTACCTTTAGATTTATTACAGTTTCCTATGTAGACATTTCTAGTAAAGATCAACCTGGAGTCGAATTGCGAATTGTTCGGCTCAATTGTAAAAATGCACTTACGACACTGTGTGCATAATACATATACTATTAATAATTAGGATAAATGCATCAAATATAACAAAAGAATTTAATTTTTTTTTATAGGTATTGTCTTCAGGAACACAAGTTTTAAGAACTATTAGTTTACAGAGCCCACAGGCAGCAGGTCAACGTAAGTATAAGAAAAATTTAAAAAAAAATTTGTTTCTTTTGTAATTACTGTCTAATAGAACTACAAATAAATATCTCTTAGAGTGCAATTGGTAAATAACATTTTTTCCATCATTTCACGTAAAATGTTTCATATATATTTTAATATTCTTCTTAAATAAGTCATTAGACCTTTTTGAGCGAATGACCTTTATATTAAAATTGTGCATAATTTTATAATTGAAGTTACTGCGATAGAAATATCACACATGTAATTTCAAAACAAAATAAAATAAACAATTCAAATTTGTTTCAATCTTTCTATTCTGTTTATACATTTCTAATATATTTTTATTTAGGTCTTGTCACCATACCATTACAAAATGCAAAAGTTTCATCTGTCAAGCCAGGCGATTCAGTGATGACGAAAACTATACAGCTTACTTCAGCTCAAATGGTAAAAACTTTTTACATTTAATTTTATGGAATATCCATAATAGAGAATTTTAAGGCAATCAAATAAAACTTAAAATTTTAGGTAAAGTTCCAAATAGCCTAAACTTTTAATATTTCTTTGCAACCTTTGTATTTAATAAATATTTATGTATTGGTAAGAGATCCCTTCGCATGATTTATACATTCATAAATTTTATGGGTAAAATTTATCTTAAATGAAAAATTGTTTCATTATGATAATACATACCCGTAAACATTGTTTTCATGGGAAAAACCATCACCCCATTAATTTTTTCCGACTTTTTTACTATTAAACAAACTAATTTTGCAATAAATAATTCAGATTTTTAATTATTTTTTATAATGTTAAATATAGGTTTGCTTTACGAATCCAATGATATGAAAAACTTAATTCCGATAACACATATGCATCTTTTTACTTTGCACGTCAGAACTGTTCGCCTAATTTTAATTAACTATTATTTAATTAATTTAAATATTTATATTAATATCATAATAAATTTAATTAACAACACCTATTAGAAACAATAGTAGTCTATAGTTGGAAATATATGACAATGTAATATCAAATAACCGAATTAAACCTATTTATCATTATAAGTCTATCTTAATTTTAATGTAAGATTTTTTTAAACAGAGCGATATAAAACATGCAATAGCAACTCAGCAACAGCAACAAAGTAGCCAACAACAGGTTGTTAAAGATTCATCAGGAAAAACATTTATAAGTCCCATTTTGGACCACAGTGGAACAAGAAAACGACACGATATCGATAGTGCAGACTACGTGCCAGAGTAATATTTTTATCTGATATTGAATTTACACTGGAACACCGGTTTAGCGAACTATCCGAAGGAGTCGTCCGCTAAAACAAACAGGACCTTTGATGAGGCAGGACAAAGAAAATCACAACCCAAAAAGTCCGCTAAACCAGTGCTCGAGTATATTTATTTTTTTATTTATTAAATAATTTATTTATTGCATTTCAGTAAAAGACGAAAAACGGAGAAGGTTGGAAAAGGCTTAAGGCACTTTTCTATGAAAGTGTGCGAAAAAGTAAAGAAAAAGGGAACTACATCTTATAATGAGGTGGCAGACGAATTAGTTGGAGAATTCACTAATCCTGCCCACGTAAATTCATTAACGGATCAGGTTAGTCTTTTATTTGAATTTTATTTACAAATAAATTCATATTCCTAATTTTTCTTTTAAAAAAAGATAGTAATGTGTAATATAATGTTTATATTTATTATAAACAGCAATATGATCAAAAAAATATCAGAAGAAGGGTTTATGATGCTTTAAATGTTTTGATGGCTATGAATATTATTTCTAAAGAAAAGAAAGAAATTAGGTGGTTAGGATTACCCACAAATTCACTACAAGAATGTGTGTCTTTAGAAAAAGATAAAAAAAAGAAAATTGAACGAATTAAGGCTAAAACACAACAGTTGCATCAACTTATTTTGCAACATATTTCTTTCAAAAATCTAGTTGAACGAAATCGTTTGCAACAGCATCTTAATGGACCACCCAAACCTAATTCTGCTATTCAGTTGCCATTTATCATAGTAAATACAAGTAAAAAAACTGTAATAGATTGCTGCATTAATGATGAAAAGTGAGTCAATTATTCATTTCTCATCAATTTATTACATTTATTAAAGGTTTATTTGTTTAATTTTAAATGTTATGAATTGCAGAACTGAGTACCTGTTTAACTTTAATGATAAATTTGAAATTCATGATGATATTGAAGTTCTCAAACGAATGGGCTTAGCCTTTGGTAAGTAATACTTACTTAATTAACTTCTAGATGATTTTTTAAAAAAATTATTTCTGACACGGATACTAAAAGTTTTTTAAAGCTAGGAATGAAAGAAAGTATATCTTAGTTACTTTTGATCTCATTAAGTAGAGTTTTTTAAAACATTTACCAGGGTAGGTATATTTGTGTTTCTGTTACAATTAGGGCACTATATTAAGAAAAAAATAGTTATACTTTCATAGCATGTATCGTGCAAAACTTTATATATAACTTTTTTTTAAATATTTGATTGTTGACTCAGTTTGTTTTCAATGAGAAGGAATATACATTTAACTAACTTTCCGATTTTCTCGTACAAGATAGTTGATTATGGAAATTTGATTTCATTTGGGTCACATAATGTGTTAACTTTTTGTTTTAGGTTTAGATAAAGGAGAGTGTTCACCAGAAGATATTCAAAATGCTAAATCAATGGTTCCTAAATCCTTAGAAAAATATGTCGAGCGTATGTATTGAATTTCAATTCCAATCTTTCTAACATAATTTTCTCAGACATACTTAGCATTCTCAAAAATTTATCTTCTGAAAATATAATTTACAAAATTAAATTATATAATTTTTGCTATTAGAAATCGACTAAAGTGTCTTTGCATATATTAAACCGTATAACAACTCTCATTTGAGAATCTACTCCATCAATCGTTACCTCATGAATTGTTTTCTTTACTCTGGACGACCGATTAAGTAACGTCATATTTCACACCAATGCTAATTGGAAATTAATTTTATGAATTAAAATTTTTTCGTAATAATTATTATTTTATCCACTTTTAGTCCAGAATCCCTATACAAAACGTACAATCTTTTATGATGATGGATCACTTAACTATAGATGATGCATTATTTTTACTTTATATTAAAATAAACAAATTTTACATATTCACAGAAATGGCATGTGGAGATCTAGATCAATTTATTCCTGTGACAATCCCTGGACCAAGTACTTCAATTGACGATCTTGAAATCAAATTAGAGGGAGCTTCCCGGCCTCCTTCATCCTCTCAAACATCAATATCTGAGGATCCTTTATCACCACCGTCACACTTTTATTCAGAAGAAGAAGATGAAGAAGATGAGAGTGAACAAGATGAACAAGCTGACAGTGATCTTGAAATTAACTAGCACCTCAATCGATCTTTGTAACAATTAATTATGATTTTTCTTACTTCATATTTCAAACTTTTATTTTAAGAAAAGTTAAATTGAACCTCCTAATATTTCAGGGTGTTAGTGAATCGGATTTGTTTTAAATACACAAATAAATAAGAACAAAAGCTTTTATTTTAAAACAATAATTATTTTTCTTATTATCATTACTATTATTATTATTATTACTATTATTATTATTATTATTATTATTATTATTATTATTATTATTATTATTATTAATATAGTAACTGATTTTGAAGATTGAGGCAAAAGTTACTTATGTGTAAACTGAGGCGAAACTATTAATGTATGAAATATATATTTTAATCTTAAGAAAAATCAAGTATTGGTAAAGGTAAGACATTTATTTAAGTTTCTACATAAAGCCTTTTTAACTCATTGTAATAGACAAAATATAATTATAGGTACACAAATCCGATTTAAACCTATTTACATTTAAATATGCTATCTACTACAAAAAGGAAATATAAGAATTATCAAAAGTCGATTGGGGCCAATGAAAATCTACAAAAATCAGAATTCATACATTCACCTCAAGATGGAAGGATACAAATTTTTCAAATAATAATTTGAAATAAAATAATACGAAACTACCCAATACACCTTACTACGTGTAGGGTAATTAGTGACGTCAAAGTGTCAAATTTATAAACTTTGAACAATTTAAATTTTGCATCGCACCACGAAACTTGTGTGATTAGTACTAATGTAATAATGTATGATATTATGTAATCTTACGGTAGCGTTTAAAATACACATATATTTACTTATGATTTTCCTATGTTACACATCAATTATACACATAAAAAATAGCAGAACACAATGTATCAGATCATAAATACATCTGACATATTCTGTAAACGAATAAATTATAAAATCAAAAATACAAATTTCACTACTTGTATTGTTGTAATTTGTAATGTTTAATTTTAGTCATATTATTACTACATATTTTAACAAATAAATTTTCATGATCTTTTGGATTTGGATACTTTTCAAGATAAGGACTACAATTTAATATTTCTGTATTAAATAATTATAAAACATGATAATGAATTTAAAAAATTTTTTTTTTTTGAAGAGTATTTTTTATACATAGTTTTTTTATGGAATTGACTGCGTTAAAAATAGATTAATTGAACAATACATTATTTGTATAAATTTTTTTTTTTGCAAATCAGTTATTCCATTTACGGTGAAGATGAGAAAGCTGTCAGTATTTCACATCCATCAGTTCTTTGGTGTAATACACAATCTTATTCTAAATCATCATCATCGTAAAGATCGTAAAAATCTGGAACATATTATTTTCATAAAAAAAATATTTTCGAAGTGTAATATAAATAAAATTAATTTTAAATATGTCTTTAATATATTACTCTCTAAGACCAAAAAACTATTTTAATTTAGTGGTTAAAGGTACAGAATTTTTTGTAATTTTCTTCTATATATTTTATAAAAAATAGAGTTTGATGAAAAAAATATACATATATCTCCATTTGACCTAAAGTGATCTTTGAGGTTTAATATAAAATAATACAAACAGATAATGCAACAATTTCGATTAATTTAAAAGAGGTTTAAAATAAAAGAATTAAAATTTCTCTCAAAGTGAAAGCATATTTTAATTTAATAAACATAAAAACTCACCATTAAAAAAATCAGCATGAACGGCCTTATCATCAAAACTGACGTCAACGAATAATCTATTGGATCCTCCAGGCTAATCATACAAAATTTAAATTATAAATTACATGTAATTTAACAAGAAGTCATTCAAAGGGAAGAAGAAGATAATTTCCATGTAAGTCAGAGAAAATCAATAAGTGAACGTCACTTCTTTTTAAAAACAATAATAAAGAGTATTCTTAGACTTTAACAAAAATTTCAAGAGACGAATACAATAAGACTTGACAAATGTAATGTTCAATTTGTTTTTTAAAGTAACCTCAAAATTGTATAGGTACTGTTATAAAATATATTTACCATTTCAAGATCCATGAATGGTCCAGGACCATCCGGAAACATTTCATCAACAACAAGTGAATGCTTCATAATTTTAATTTAAAAATAAATATAATTATTTAATTAGTTATTGACTATTTGTATTTATTAATCTCAATTTTCCAACTTCACCTCTAGGCTAAAGCATAAGGCGGTGTTTACATCGTTCGATCCTTGTTACACTTATTGTTCTACGCAAAACGCAGCGTTCGAACGCGCAAGCATGTGTGAGATAGATAAAGCCAGTGTTATCGTAAATGTATGAATGAGAAAGTAAAGGACAGAAATAGCTATTATATATAGTTTGTTTTCCATGGATGTTTCTATATGCTTAAGTTTCCAACCAAACGTAAACACTAAAATTTTTATACGGGAAATTATAATTAATCAAGTTAATTTTTAAAAGACAAGATGGAAGAAGATTCTTATGAAATAGAAAAAGAAACGTTTTATACAGAAGCAGTAAAATACTGGGATAAAATTCCTCCAACGGTTGATGGTATGCTCGGAGGTTTTGGATTTACTTCACAAACTGATATTCAGGGATCAAAAGCTTTTTTAAATTGTCTTTTTAAGGTTTGTGAAGAAAATAATAATTTTCATTTTAATACAATTGGATTACTTTTTATACAACATTTGTTTGTAACAATTTCAGTTATCGAACCCTCCTAAGAATACGTACTGTTTGGATTGTGGAGCCGGTATTGGAAGAGTAACAAAGAACTTACTTGTAAATTATTTTAAAAAAGTAGATCTTGTTGAACAAAATCCAAAATTTTTAGATGTAGCTAAAAAAGATCTCGAGGCCTATCCTGAAAAAATTGGTGAATTTTATCCTTCTGGTAATCATTGAATTGAATTATAGATAATTATAAGGAAAATTAACCAAATTTACCCGTATATATGTATATTTTTATATATATTTCAATTTAGGGTTACAAGTATTTTGTCCTTCACTGAATTTGTACGATGTAATATGGACACAGTGGGTTCTGAGTCACCTTTGTGATGAAGATTTGATTATGTTTCTGAAGAATTGTGTGTAAGTTTTTTTTATATTTAAAAACTTTTTGTAATAATTCATTTAAATAGAATGCCAAAGTTTATTTTATATATTGAGCCAGTGTAGGGAAGTAGAAGAAAATTTACAAAATAAATCAGGAAATACTAGTGAAATATGAAATTTTTTTTAGTTATTTCACTAGTAAATAAAATATTCTAACTGTTTCATTTGTATTTTCTCTTTATTGCAGGAATGGTTTAAGCAAGAATGGCGTAATTGTAGTTAAGGAAAATGTAACTAGCATGAATAAAATAGACATTGATACTGAAGATTCTTCTGTTACACGGCCATATATGGAATTGCAGAACATATTTAAAAAAGCTGGTTTAATTTGTATTAAGGAAGTAAAACAGAATGGCATGCCACGTGGCCTATATCCAATTTATATGTTCGCGTTGAGGCCTCACTAAAGCAATGGTAAAACTTGCTTTATATAGAATGTAACTCGTATAGGTAGCTCTATTTTACAACAAATAAAACAAACTTTTTAAATAATGAAATATTCGTTAATTGACTGAAAAACAACTGCAATTTACATCCTCATAATATAAATAAATGTACTAGTATGTGAGTGTAAAAATTAAAATTTTAATTTATTTTGGTCGAATTTTTTCATACATAAAACGTTGGTTTGTATCTTGGATGGAAGCACTTAAAAGTCTTCTTTTTATATTATGAAAGTAAGCCAGAGCGTAGTTATATAATTCGTTTTCCATCTTCCATACTACAGATTTTTTTATTTTCTCCACAGTCTCTGGTTGAGGATCAATTTTTTGTGTAGTTTGTCGCAAATGAGATTTGTTGTCTAAAAATAAAATAACATTACAGACACTTATTAAATAAAAAAATGTCAAATGAAATATTAAGTATATCATACTATGCAAAAATAGATCATGTCCTCCTTTAAAAAAGCGTGGCAATATAAATTCAAGTATTTGTATAAAATCGCCTAATTCTTCAGTTACTCCAACTAATAAATAATGCTTTTGTAGATTACGTTTCGCTTCATCTAAAGCCCATTTATTGCCAACTTCCCTGTAATATTTATATCAAATATTAATTACATACATTCACATAGAAAAAGAGTTATATTAAGATTAATCAACAGTTGCGAAAATAAATTAAAATGACAAAATTAACATTTATTGCAACGATTCCTAATTATTAGTTTTTACCAACAAGCTGGATCATGTCCGCATAAGAAAGGAATTTGAATCCACATATTATTTGGATCACAGTCTGCTTGTTGAAGTAGAACACATTCGTCAAAACTCTAAAAAAAAAAAAAAATTAAGTAGAAAAAAATAATGATATCGGACAAGGGTATAAATTAATGAGTGGGTGATTTGTCTTTTTCAAAAATTTAACATCATTTACCTTGGTATCACCATGTTTCTTTCTTATAAGATGAGGTCTAAAATTGTCACCGTATCTTAGAAAATAATAATAAGAAACAAATCTGTCTAAAGGTTTTCTCAATAAATTTACGTAAATTGGAAATTGCTGAACACCGAATCTGAAAAAATAGTTTTATCAATTTCTTTTTGCATCATGAAAAAAATTATTTAACGCTTTAACACTCAAGTGGAATAAATTTTTACGATTCACACTTTGTTAATGAAAAAAATGGATATTCAAACATAATATCCAGATATTCAGGGTGAATAACTCAGCTATTCAACTACATGTCATACATCTAAATACTCAAATTAAGACGCTGGCAAGTAAAACCATTCATCAAATTCTCTCAATCATTTGAATTGCACGATCGGATGAATTTATGCGAGGTTTTACTCACCTGCGACTCAATTAAGCATCTTTTTAAATGTTAAAAAAAGAGTTTATGAACTCGGCGTATAGTAGCTAATATAATACACTATATGTGACTTGGACAGTTTAAAGGGACCTTACGTCCGAGAAAATTGGTTTTTTGAAACTCATTGCATTCAAAAGAATGTACTTTTTTCTATATGAAATCATTATGAAAAAATACAAATAAAATTTTTCGAACGTAAGGTATACCTTTTAACTGTCCAGGTCACATTGTATAAGAAATCACTAACAAATAATAAAGTATAATTTTTATCATAATTACTTTTCAAAGTTTAAAAAGGCTATATGTCCATGATAGAACGCAGGTTTTAGAACACTCCATTCTGTTATATTATGTATAAATTTAATCTGCAACCAAACTTACATGCATTTTGTAAATGTTTAAAAGATTTATATCAACTGTCAGAACGACAAACAGAAATTTACATACCTGATTAGCGAGTGTCAAAGTATGCATATTATTAGTAACATTAATGTGTAAGCTATGAAATTTGTTCTTTTTACACAAATCATAAACTACACCAACGAAGCTTGTTGAACCTGTTTTAGGTACTCTATTGTATATTACAATAATGTCATCTAACTGAGATTGCTTATTATATACTTGTGTATAAGGAATATCTTGTTTATTTTGAGAGTTGATTTTAATTACAGCTTCATCTGAAAACAAAAAACAAAATAACTGTAAGTAAATAAAATAAAAAATAATAAGATAATATTTTTCATTAAACTGTTTCCCGGCATATCAAAAAATGTGTGCTTTAAAGAGTTAAATATTATATGCATGTATATAAATAACTTACGTAATAATTTGTTTTTTTCTTCTAAATTTATTACTTTCATTTTTAAATAAAGTAATGTAAAGAAAACTATAGCAATTAAAATCCATTGAATTAAATGGTTTCTTAATATCATATTGAAAACAATTAAAAACATAACCTATACTTGCTAGATTAAGCTGGTCTATTCTTAAAACCAACGGGACACCCAATAACAATAATTAAAATTGAATTTTAATATGTATAATAATGTAAGGTAATGATTAAGAGTAAATTATAACTAAAATGTATATTCAGCTTATATTGATTTTTTTGTCATTTAGAGTAAATATTATAATTTTTGTAAATTTAAAATTTTCCGCCATAAAATTGCTTTTGACTAATGAACATGATCATTATTTTTAAAGGTACTCTCTCACCGTCTGCCAGTGTAACGCTCCTCTGCCCACGGCTGGGTAGAGTACCGTAATATTTAAATTTAATTTGATATCTTGTTTTAAGAGCACTGAGTACTAGTCTTAATTTTAAGAAGGAGAGAAAGAGAGAGAAACAAAGAATAATGAATTGACATAAATAAGAAAAACAGAGTTAGAGACAGGTAAATTATAAGAAAATTGTGTAAAAGAGAAAGAGAAATATGTATGATAAGTAAAGGCAATGTGTAAAAAAAAGGGATATAAAATAAAGATAGAGAAAGGAGTAGATAAAGATAAGATATAAGAATGAAAGATATGTAAAAAAGAAAATAGTTATAAGAAGAATTAATAAATATATAAAAGATGAATTTAAGAATAAAAGTAATAAGAAATTAAACAATAGTAATAAAAGTATGCAAGAGTGAAAAGAGTTTCAAATAAAGGTATGATATTAGATTAAAGGGTACTTAGGAAGGGTTTTCTGCAGTTTCCCCTTTCCTCTGAAGGATTGTTTCAGGTAAATGCGAGTACCTATTTTTGAAATCGGCTGCAGACGTCGAAAGGACTTAAGAAATAATGTAATTAAGGTCCTTTTGCAATGAATCTGAGTTTTTTCAATTAGACATTGTTATTTTGTAACTAATTAATTATTTTGCAATTAATATAAATATAAAGGGTTATTGTATAATAAATTAGCGTAAAAAGGGTTAAAATAAGCTGAAGGGAAGTTTAATTATAAAGGGATAATTATCAATTCAAGGATGTAATGCAGACACGAATGAGTCATAATATAAAATCAAGCATGAGTCATACTTCTACTTGACAATAACAAGGTCAAGCATGAGTCATACTCCTACTTGACAATAACAAGGTCAAGCATGAGTCATACTCCTACGCGACAATAACAAGGTCAAGCATGAGTCATACTCCTACGCGACAATAACAAGGTCACAGTGACGTCCAAAATAGAATATGACTCATGGGGATGAGGCAAACAAGGTCAAATGGGGCGGAGTATTACTAAATGCATGTCTCTAATTGGAGGAATTGTTAAGCGTGAGTCATCACTGCGAAGCAGGATTCGTTGGTACATTTAGACTCAGATTGGAAGAAAAGTGGGAATACTGCTATAAAAGGAGGATGATCGAGGTTGCTAGCCAGAGAGAAAGAAAGTCAGGAAGAAATAAAAGGGTTATTCTGATACTATAGAGAAGTCAAGATACAGAGATAGAGATTTTGGTTCTGACTCTGACACGAATTTAAAAATATAGATAAAGCTCAAATCCAAGTTTAAAATTTGAGGCGAATAGTGTAATTTTATTATTAGTTTAAGGATAAAAGGGAAGAACTCAGATTTAAAATAAATTGTTGAATAAAACAATTAATATATTTAATCTTAATTATGTTTTATTTAATCCTCTCAACAAGTTAATCCTTCAGGATTTTAATGAGATTCGAAATCATTCAAAAGAACTAAAGTGAAGTTAAAAGAAAAGTATAAATAATTAACAATTTAATTAAACAAAAACTAAGTGAACTTCTATAATATTTATCCTAATAGTGTTGTGAAAACACCTTTAATCAACGTCGGTTGTTCCTGTGCAGTTCCATCTACGAAAATCATATTCAAGACTATCTATTCTTGTAACATTGATATTGTAGACGAACCTTTAATCAGTTTTAAAATTCCTGCGTGTTACAGGAATTATTTTGGTGACAGCGGTGGGATAATCTCAACTTGTTGAGAGTTCCTAAATGACTATATCATACATTAAATAATGAAGAGAATGTCGTTTAAAATGGAAGGAAGAAACCATAAATGAATCCAAGAAACCTACATTGAATTTGCTAATAATAATAATACGTATAAAGTTATTCATCTTAAAGTTGGCAAAAATTGATAATTAAGAAAATCCGAATTGTACGAGAAGCTAAGTAAAAAAAAAAAAAAAAAAACACCCCAAGGACATCAAAAAAAAAAAAAGAGAAGATCATCTAAAATAGAAGATTGATTGCTTAAATAGATCAAGAACAAGGAAGAGGAAATCCACAAAAAAAACGGCAAGAGTTGACAGTGACAAACAAAGTGTGAAAACCAAAGTGAAAATAGTCAAAAGGGTAAGTCGATTCATTTCTATGATTCTCTCTCTACAATAAAAAAAAAATAAATAAATAGTAAAATTTTTTTTTATTATTAGTAAAAATCTCAGTGCTCAGTCATTTTGTTGTTGTTGTTGTTGTTGTTGTTAACAATTGGAAAGGATATATATATTCTTTTTGTTGAAAGGGATACATATATATGTATGTGTTTAAGTATATTTGAGCAAAATGGAGAATATTGAAATAAATTCAATTAGTGATGTCGATGATTCAATCGACAACCGTAATATAAGTACCGGTTCAAGTAAATGGAATGTGAGTGATTTTGTAACTATTCCTAGAAATGCTGATAATAAATTAATTGGAGGTAATGGGAATAATAATCGAATAAAATATATCCCATTTAGACATGCCTTGGAAATTTTACCTAAAGAGTTTAATGGGCAAAATATGCCAGTATCACGGTTTATTAAAATCTGTCAGTCTGTTGAAAGGTCTATTTCTCCTGAGGAACAACATAACTTATTTATGGTTATTAGATCTCGCGTAGTAGACGATGCAAATGATTGTTTGGAAACCCGTGAAATTAACAATTTAAATGATTTACTAGAATTATTGAAATTAAATTTTACAGATCATAAAAATTTGGGCCAATTAAATTCTTTATTAGCAACAATTGCCCAGCAATCAAATGAGTCAGTAAATGATTATAGTAAGAGAGTTAATACCATATTAAATCAAATTATCGAAGCCATTGATGACAGAAATTCTCCAGAAGTTGCATTAGGGATGAAAAGTGCTCTTACAGAAAATGCTCGCGAAAGCTTTGTATTAGGATTAAAGGCAGAATTAGCATTACGTGTAAGATTAGGGTGTCCAGTAGATCTTCATAAAGCTATAAAACTAGCTAGGGAAGCCGAGTGGGAATTAAATTTTTCTAAATCATTGAGAAGAGAAAATTTGACAGATTTAGAAATCTTTTCAAATGATAAAAGGGGTGCGAAATATTCAAAAATGCAATATAATGAAAGATTTAAGGAAAATCCGCGAGTAAGATTTATAGAAAAAGAATCAATAAATAATAAAAAACGATCCCATCAAGATAGTAATAAAAATGTGAATTCTCGAAGTAAATTTATAAAAAGGGAACCAAAAGAATATGATAAATCTATTCAGTGTTATAAATGCGGTAAAGAAGGTCATGTTAGAAAAGATTGTAGGAATTCAAAATTTTGTTTTAATTGTAATAAACCGGGTCATGTTAAAGAAAATTGTAGAAAAGTAATTAATTGTTTTAATTGTGGCAAGGAAGGACATCATAAAATTCACTGTCCAGAATTGCAAAATAATAAACCCGAGGAGAGACAATGCACAAAGTGCAAAATGACGGGGCATACGGCTGAAAAATGTTGGGGAATGTGTGGTTATTGTAAACGACCAGGGCATAAATACGAAAATTGTTTCGCGCGGCAGAAGGAAGTAGAAAGAAGCCAGAAAATTAAGGATGAAGATGATCCAAAAAACACATAGTAGACTCAACATGGGGGTGCGATTTTGAGTCTATCAGGGACGAACAAGCGCCTAATAAGCGAATAATATTAATGGCACCACATAAAGATAATGTAAAATCGCCAGAAGTAGAAATATGTAATGAGAACTTTGAAAACGAAAAAATAACTTTAGTAGTGGATACAGGTGCCGAACTGAATTTAATAAAAATTAAGGCCTTAAAGCCACATTTAATAATAAATAAAAAGGATAGATGTCAATTATTTGGAATAGGCAGTAACGGAATAATTACAATCGGTTCAGTAGAAATACCAATTAAAAATGAAATCCAGATTTTTCAAGTTGTACCAAATGTATTTCCTATTAAATGCGATGGACTAATAGGAATGCCTTTCTTACAGAATGCTACTATAGACTTAAAAGAGAAAACTTTAATTCATGATGTTGGAAAATTCCCAATATTAACTATAAATAAGGGAAGAACATTTAAAGTAAAAAGACGAACAAAACAATTAATTAAATTACCTGTAAAAAATAATGACTTAAAAACCGGATATTTACCGTTAATATCGACAGGACCTGGAATATATTTGGGAGAAGCATTAGTTTCTGTAAAAGAAGGAATGGCACAAGTATTTGTCATCAATACCACTAATCAGGAAGTAGAATTGTCAATACCTCCAGTAGAGTTATTAGAATATACGGAACAAGAACCAGGAATGAAAATATCAAAGCAAACCGATTTAGAAGCAGAGAGAATTGACAAATTAAAAGAACTGCTAGAAATTAAACATTTAAATAAGCAGGAACAAGAATATTTATTCATGTCTATAAAAAACTATTCACATCAGTTTCATATCCCAGGTGATAAATTAGGATGTACAAACGAAATTCAACATACTATAGAAACGACGGACGATAATCCTGTAAATAGTAAATATCCACGGTACCCACCTGTTCACAAAGAAGAAATTAAAAACCAAACAAATGATTTACTAAAGAATAAATCAATATCATTATCTAAATCTGGTTACAACTCACCAGTGTGGATAGTTCCAAAGAAAGCAGACTCCCAAGGTAATAAACGTTGGCGTATGGTGATTGACTATCGAAAATTAAATGAGAAGACAGTATCCGACTCATATCCACTACCTAACATTACAGATATTTTAGATCAGCTTGGAGGTGCTAAATATTTTACTATATTGGATCTAGCTCAAGGATTTCATCAAGTAGAAGTTGTACCTAAGGATAGACATAAAACTGCCTTTTCGACACCATTCGGACACTATGAATTTAACAGAATGCCCTTTGGGTTAAAAAATAGCCCTTCAAC